CCAGCGTGCCTCTAACACAGCCAAATTTCCCTATTTTTCAGTCTGAACCCTGTTGTCCATACCATCTTCTCTTGCTCGGTTTGAGCTCTTGGGGGTTTGGTTCTTTTCACTCCAAGGCATGTCGTTGGATAAGAAGTGTTGTAATTCAACCTCACACTCTCGGTTTGGATTTCTCATCTCCCATGAGGAAGATTCAGCCCTCCAAAGTAGGTATCCCAAATCGGTTTCCATACTTAACCAAAATATCCTTCCTTTCCAAGCTAGGGTGGCTTCTTTGTCAAGTAAGTGAACCTTGTAGATTAAGCTTATTGAGATCATATCAGGCTCCCCTTCTTTAAAAGGCTTTGCCCTCAAAGCTTGTGACTTCTTTTGCTCGAATACTTCACTGAATGCCTCCCAAATTGGATCGAAAATAGGCTGTCTGAACTCCACTTTCTGCAAAATTAGTCAATAATGATCTTCGTCGCTGAAATTGGAGCTTTCTATTTGAGGAATATTCAGCTCAATTCATGGCGTCCACGAGCTTTGCCATGTTCCCAATTAACTTCCTGAACCATCCTTCCATCTCGACTCCTCGTCATCGTCATCGAATCTACTCTACTTCGTTTCCCACCATCGACGAAGTTCGAATTTCCCAAACCCAGAAATTCGAATCCAGAATTGGGCATTTTTATTCCAAGTATCTCCGAGTCGAATTGATGATTCCTACAGCTTCTTGGGACCTTCCTCGACGATTTGGCATCATCCGCTTGTGTCGAATCATCCTCAAACTCTGGAACTAATTTATACGTCAAACATTAGTTGTCGACCGTTTTCAGAGGGATTTTTGCTTTAATGGGATCCATCTCTTGAAGTTGATTTGAAGCAATTTGACTCAGCAAATTCATTCCTAGAACTTCCTTGAACGTGGTGGTCGCTGATTTGGCTCGAACCTTTCCCCAGACCTCCACCCAATTCACGCTCTCTCCTACCCTGGTGATGTCAAACATTCGTCTAGTGGCTCCAAAGGTGTCGAATTACTTCGGGTCATACACCATCCTGCACACACTTCGAAGAAACACAACTCGTCCAACACAAGCAAGGTTCACACTCACAAAACAAAAGGTAAAAGGTAGATTAACACCAAACAATGTTTTCAAAATAGCGGATCGAAGTTTCCGGCAATGGCGCCAAAAACTTGACTCGTCTCGAATATCACAATAAAATCCCAATTAATGCCCAAGTATAAACCCTAACCGGGTGCAATATACGTCAAGTATGTTTTAAAAGTCAAACCCAGGCCGGTCCATGTACCACTACTTTAATTGTTTGAAACATTATCTAGCAAATGATTTTTGGTTGAAACTACGATTTATGACTAAAGCGATTGGAAAAGTAAATTGTTTGAACACTAATTGAGAAGACTTCACCCGGGTGTTGCTCCCCCTAGCTAACAATCATGACTTGTCGGATCGAATACAAACAGGGGCAGACCCATGCATTAGCAAGGTGTGTCAACCGACACACCTTCGCTTGAAAATTTTGTTAGAGAACCATGTTTCGTCGGTATAAAAAAAATTAATTCGAGATTTCCGACACACCTTAGATAATTGCAATCGACGCACCTTTAATACATTACATTGAATTTGATGTCATATAGGTACCAAAATATGTAAATATATATTATTTATTTTAATTTTTAGTTAACTTATGACAAATTAAATTATTTTTTTAATGAATTTGAAAAGTCTCACAAACCATCCCACTTACCCTTTTTAAAACCCAGTGTTGTCTTTAACCCTTCTGATTTCACATTCCATTTTTTATATAAAAATAAAAATATATTTCCCCACTTATACTAAAAAATCTGCCTATTTCCTTATTAACACGTTTAATTAACATTTCTTCCTCTATTTATGTATTTGTACGTTGAGTGCCGAGAGGAAAAAATTCACAACCCCTGGCTCACAGTTCCCTGTCCTCCGCTTCACTCTCTAATTGCCGGCGCCCACTAGCGGAACCTCATCCTCATTCAAACTTTTATTTTAACGCCTTCCGCCGACCTTTCTGCTTTCCATTTTAGCTTCTTCGTATGAAGTTAGTGTTGACATTACATATTGCAACTTCAAGTTGCAAAAGAGCCTTTTATTCTATGGAGTTAATCAAGAGCAAACTTTAAAATAAGTTTTATAAATGAATGTTTAGTTTTGTATGTCAAAAAATTGTGATCGCACCATAAGCGACAAATATATTTTACAAACCTTTCTGAATGTGAAAAGTTGTCGTGTGTCAACGTGAAAAATCATAAAATGTGGCCTTAACGAATTAAAATTTATTTTTTTTATTTAATACATTTAATTTATTAATTATTTTTTGTTAGCCGACACACCTATCAAAGAATCCTGGGTCCGCCACTGAATACAAATGTGTGGTAAAGGCGGTTGTGAACCGTAGGGAAGTGCAACAAGTGAGCAAACGTCACTCCCGTGGTCACTAAGCCAAGGAATGTCACTTTAAGCTACCAAGGTAGCTCTCTTCGCTCAAGTGACTAAGGGTTGCTTAAGTTTCACCCTCGAACCAAAGTTTGGACGGCCAAATTACAACCTACCCAAGGTGCTAATACGAATTAAGAGGTTTGCCTTATCCAACCTAGGTAGGTGACACAATTGGCGAAGGAATTCCAGCTTTCACAAGCCTCTTAACAAGAAGGGAATTTCCCTCTACCTAGGTCAAAATGGCATAAGAGTTGGAAATGCACAAACACAATACAATCTTCATTAAAATACCTCATAAGTTGTATTAAAACACAACCACACACAAGTCATTCAATTCATACAAACATTCACATAACTGTAGCTAGGGTTTACAAACACCCAAGTGAAAGAAGGGACTACTCCATGCTAAGTAGAGGGAATACACAAGAGAGAGGAGAGAAAATCATCTTGAAGATGTTTGCCTTCTTCCGTGTGGTGTGGAGATCAACCTTGAAGGGAGAAATTCTCAAAACCTTGCTCTTGGATGAAACCCTAACTTCTCTTCTCTTCTTGTTTGTCACTTTCTCACTCTAGAAATATGAAGAAGAAGAAGTCTCTCTCACTAGGTTCTCCCCCTTTCTCTTTCAGCTCAACTCTCCTTATATACCCTGATCGGCGGCAGTTCACAATCACAGTTCACGGCCGTGGACATTTGGCTTGGACCGTGATATCGAGCAAAAATGTGTCGTTTCATTTAGCCTCATCACGGTCTGGAGCTAATGTTCACGGTCTTCTGGAACTTCTTCAATTCATAGGCTGGGTCGGATTTTCACGGTCTAGTCGACCGTGAACTCCTTTAGGCCCGCGGGATGTACTTTCTTCTCTGGAGCCTCTGCGCTTCACGACCTGATCTTCTGCTCTCCACCGTGAACTGCTGATGATTGCTCCCTTTTTTACCGGTTTCCGCCCTTTTCGTCCAACTTTCGTTCCATGGGTTGATTGCACCTGTTAGGATCTGAAACATACTGAAAACAACCACAAACTAGTGTAAAACCGAACCTCACGGAGTAAAAGTGCCTCAAACATCTAAGGAAAATGGGGGTAAAATATGTACAATTAGATCCAAATCACTAATCAAACCAAATGGAATAAGAAGAATGATGGAAATTGAGTTTGACAATAATTAGCATTCTGCAGAAGACCTCCCAACGGACAATAGTGAATGGTTATTTACTCACTTTTACCAACATAGCTAAAATACGACCAAGTATAATCGTAATATAGGAATGTAGTATAGTGTTTTCATTTTCTAAATGTCAACCTAGGTCCTAGGTGTACTTGTTACTCCGTGAAGTTCTATTAACTAGTGGTTGAAATGGTGCGAAGTTGATTGAAAGCAAAAGTAAGCAAAAAGCAAGTAAGTGGTTGTTCTCAAATTAAGAAGGGCTCACTCGGATATGAGTCCTCCTATATTGCAGCTAGGCTAAGTTGTAATTCATCCAATTCAGTTTGAACGTCGTGTCAATAGTGTAGCCCATTCGGTGGTTAGAAAGGCCCTTTCTTTGTACCCGACTACTAGTCGTTTCTTTCATTTTCTTGTCTGACTTCAGTCCAGGATGTAATTGTCTCTTCTCAAATCAATATATTTGATTATCTTTTGTAAAAAAAAAAAAAACTGCGATGCTTTAACATAGGCAGAACACATGTGTGGCTAAAGGGTAATACTTACCCTATTATTATAAATATGAAGCAAATTACAACAAATAGCTTTCGTTAAAGGCATGCATGGCTAAAACATATGTTAATAGCTACGAGGAATAGTTTATATAGTTATTAACTTGTATTAGCTGTAATATAATTATTTATAGCTAAGATTTTGTAGCTATAAGAGCCGATTGTTGTAGTGTCGATATTTATACTGCGGAAAGTTCTCAGAAAGTCTGGAGTCTTGACTAAAGTGTTCCAGACCCTCCCTAATAGAATATCCAACGGGCTACTAACCTCCACTGGAATAATATAACCAAGGCACTAAGATTCAAACTTCATCTAGTTGATTTCAATTCCAGTACAGAGCATTGAATCGACTTCTCGACTAAAGTAGTCGATTCACTACCTCTAATTTAGGTTGCTCTTTTAACCTATGTAGAGACTATCATTCTAGGCTAAAGTAGGAATCACAAGAATTTGATCAGCACTCAAGCAATTCTGAATCAATGCCTTAATTAGATATAAGATAATCAATCATCCATGAAAATGGGTTCATACAACTCTTCCTAACATACAAATCTAGGGTTCTAACGTACCCAAATGATAGATGGGACTACTCCAGAGAGAGAGAGAGAGAGAGAGAGAGAAAAGCAAGGTTGGATGTAAAAATCATCATGTAGATGAAAGAAATCTGCTCCAGGTTGTCAATTGTCACTCCTCGAGGCATGAATCGAGCTCCAATGGTGGAAAGACTTGATCAAGTGCTCACAAAGATCATCTTCGTCACTTTCTCTCTCTAAACCTCTGTTTTAGCTCTCCAAAATTATATCACCTTCCAAAATGTCGTGTTCGACTTGTAGCAGTGCAATTCGTCCTTCCCCTGTCAAATTCCCCCGGTCGGGGAATTGGATGCTTGATTGGGAATGCGAGGATCGACCCTCAAATAATCGTGATGTTCAATTCCATGAGAATGTATTTTCCATGCAGGAAGGGATTCAGCAAGAGCTCCATTTGATTCACCGTCCACTTGTCCAGCCCACAGATGACACGTCCGACGACTCTCCTATCCTTGGCCCAGCTTCGTCTCCTCCAGGACCTGCAGAGTCCGCGTCCGCACCCGAGCCATCTTCGAGCTTTGGATCCGGGCCAAGCCATGAGCCTATGTCCCCTAATCCGCGTGCGTCATCATCCGAGAGTCACAAGAGCAGTCCTGGGCCGAATCAATCATCCCCTAGCCCACAAACCAGTTCGGCCCAACCCATCTCTCCTGCTCCGGTTGTTGTACGCAAGAGTGACCGTATCTGCTTTCGTCCGAAGCACCTGGAAAATTATGTCACTCACTTCTCTGATGGAAATGAATAGGGAAGTACCTCTAATCTTGCTTCTCATCCCCTTGCTGCATATGTTGATTATTTTGGGTTCAAAGGCATTTATCGTTCTTCTCTTGAAGCCCAAACTCGCTACGATGAGCCTCGCTTCTTCTACCAAGCAGTTCGTGAAGCCTCCTGGCGCAAAGCCATGTCTCGCGAAGTTGATGCCTTTGAAAAGTATGACACACGGAGTCCTGTTTTCCTCCCTTCTGGGAAGCGTACCATTGCATGCAAGTGGGTTTATAAGATCAAGTACTTTTCATATGGTACATTGAGCGCTACAAAGCACGTCTTGTAGCCAAGGGTTACACGCAGACTGAAGGTCTTGACTTCCATGACTCCTTTGCGCTAGTAGCAAAGCTGGAAATAGTTCGTTGACTTATTGCAGTTGTAGTCAGTCATGGTTGGCATCTACATCAGCTTGAGGTCAATAATCATTTTCTTCATGGGGATCTTGATGAAAAATTTTATATGGAGGTTCCAGAGGGTTTTTGTAAACCGGTTGATACACGGGTTTGCGTCTTCACAAGTCAATCTATGGGCTTTGAGAGGCGTCGCATAACAAGGAGATGGTTTTCATTAAACAATTAGTAATACATGTAGCAGGGGTTCTTGCAACAAATCTTTGTAACGGTGAATTTAAAAAAAGCTATCAGGGAATATTATTGAACCCTTGTTAGAGCTAAAGGTAACATAGTCTGGCGGTGAAACCGCTAGTCTAGTTGGCTCAGGATGTGGGAGGTCCTGAGTTTGATTTCCAGCGACGGCGCTTGTATGTTCTCGGAGGCATCACTGAGTGTCGGGGACAAAGTCCCCTGATGTTGTGTCTTGTACCGATGCTCCCCAGATTTAGTAGACCATCTGATGCGGAAAGAGTGATGGACAATAATGTACATGGTTGCTGCGTACAGTTAGTTTGCATCCCCAAGAATGCAATAACAATGGAATATTTACAAGACGCAGGGCACACTATATATACAGGCTATAGTTTGAAACTGTAACGACGGCATGAGAAATCCTTATACACCATCTTTGATTTCGTACAAGAATGGCGATGATGGTGTGGACGGGTAAGGTAGAATCAGGAGCTCGTAGCTTTGTCAACAAATTCCTGATTCGTCACATCCCAAATTACGTACTCTTCATAAAGGGTGAAAAGTGAAAATGAGGAGAAGCGAGGTGGCGGTGATGAATCACGAATTTGTTGACAAAAGCTACAAGCGCCTGATTCTCCATTACCCGTCCACACCATCATCGCCATTCTTGTACGAAATCAAAGATGGTGTACAAAGATTTCTGATGCTGCTGTCGTATAAGTTTCAAACTAGCCGAGTATATATAGCTAGTGTGCCCGGCATCTGCGTGAACTTGAAAGGCGGCAAAGCACAGGCTCTTGTAACTATTCCATAGTTATTGCGTTCTTGGCGATGCGAACTAACTGTGAGCTTAGGAATGAACTAAGCCAGAAGGTGTCATTTCATTTCGAGTTTGGACTGTACGCAGCAACCACGTACATTAATTATTACCCGCCTCTCTTCCGCATCAGATGTGTGCCTGCAGCTCGGACATAAGTATCTATGACGCTTAGCTTGTTCAGAACCGAAAGCAGGGCCCACGGCTTGTTTGGTATCGTATACGTCGTGAAACGTAGCTAGTGTGCTAACGCGCACTTTGTTAGTTATGTTACTAGCTAATATTAGTTTCAGCCAATAATATGATGTTTATATTTCAAGGGCTAGACAACAATTTATGCTGATTTTTTAAAGGGAGAGGAAGATTGTCGTTTTTAAAAATTAGGAAAGCGCGCGCACGTGTGTCACGCATCTTATTCATTCCACGTATCATGTCTCATCACAAGTATTATGAAATAGACTGTAAAATGCATCCAAAAAACACAACAAATCACACAACAAATAACATGTATAAAGCAGATAATAAAGTTTATCAAACATATCAGAACCTCCCCACATCACAAAATTCAGAAAGTAGACCAGAAACGCAAAGCAGGCCGTACGTAAGTTCCCTAAAAGCATACCTGAAACCTCACAATTAGGGATGACAATTGGAACCCGCCACGCTGGGTATTACTCGAACTGATCAGCGATGGCGCGGATATTACCCGACCCGCAGTAGCGTGGGGCGGGGCATGGGTATCTACTTTCGACCCGACCTGCACCGCCCCGTCCCGTTCTTGACCCATTCTATCGCAATTTCTTATAGTATCTATTCATATTTCTCCTATTTTGACCTTTTCAACTAGTTAGTCTTGATCTTTCAATTAGTTAGATTCAATTATCCATTCTATTATCACTATTTTTCGTTCATGAAGTATTTTTTCCTTCGTTTTATCGCAAAAAGTAAAATTTTGCTTGTATTATTTTCAAATAACATGTAAGAGTGGGTCGACAAGTCCCGCCCCGTTCCCGCACGGGTATTACCCGACCCGTTGTAGCGTGGGGCGGGGCATGGGTATTAAGCGCCCTGCCCTGCCCCATTGCCATCACTACTCACAAATGAAGACCCCAAGGTCCCTAAAGTAGGCCACAAGTTCCTTAAAGCAAACCACATATTTGATAAATTTTTCCTTCTATCAATGCACCTTGAGTACATTTTGACATATCTTAGGTAGAAATCAAGATTATGTGATCAATGTGCTTTTAATACACATAGGATGTGTTTTGTATCAATTTATGCCTTTTTGTATGGGTTAATACCTTATTATGGCCTGAACTATGACCATGTAATCAACTTTGGCCCGTGGTTTGAGAAATTAACATCCTGGCACGAACTATACAACATATAGACAGAATTGGCCTGGAGCGTGGTTTGACAGTTTGTTTGGACGGTCAACACCGTTGACCGTTAGTCAACTGTCCAGGTCACTGCCATGTCACAAAAAAATTATAATTTCATTTTTCTTTTTATTTCCTTTACAAAGTTGAATAATAAAGAAAGAAAAATAACTTTTGGCGGCGACGGAGACGGGCCTCGGATGCGGCGGTTCTTCGTCGGTGGTCATCCCGCTGCTGGAGCAGTTGTTTTCCTCGACGGACTCTGCTTTTACCACCGTTTGGAATTTGAAATCCAGGATGCTGTTATTCGCCTTCATCGTGTTTGATTGGAGCAGCCGGTTGATTTCCGCCATGGATTGAGCTAGAGCCGGTGCGGATTTGAAATCCAACTGGGTCGGCTTCGCCGGAGGAGTAACAGTAACAGCCAAATCAAGGATGACTTGGATCAATGAATGGATCAAATTGGAGGATCAGGAGGGATCATTACTATGAAGATCAAGGTGATTCGTCCATTAAACAAAGCCAAATCAAGGGGAAGCCTTCATCTAGTCATCATAAAAGCCAATGAGAAGTCCACTAGAGAAATTTCAACCCAAACCCAAGAAGACTCTATGGTGGTGGTAGCCACCATTGGCCCAGACCCATCAAGCTGTGTTGGATTTCTGAGGAGGAGTTACTTGTGGGCCAAGAACCCAAGGGAGAAGGAAAACTCACGATGGGCCCAACCGTCGTTGGCCACCACATGCCCATGCCTTGGAAACCTTGAGAATATTCCTTTCGTTATCCCCAAGACAAAAAATCTGAGTCCCATTGGTATCAGGAATCCTTTGGCTGTTTTAGGAGAAAAAAAAAACTCAAAAACCCTAGTTCCTCCACTATAAATAAAGGGTCAGGTTAAGGAATTCAGTAAGCTGCAAACATTCACTAAAATTACTCTGTCAAAATGCAGCAAGGAGCCACTTCGCTTGGGGGAGGCCAAATTAGCATTCATAGTAGGGTACAGCTAAAGAGATGTCCTCATCATTGATGGTGTTATCATCCTTCTCTTTTATGTATTGTTAGTTTTAGCTTCGTTGTTAAAGATGTGAATTCTATTAAAGCCGAACCGAGACGGTCAATCGGACTGGTAAAATCGACACCCAGCCACCAGTCCGGTTCGAAACCCTTCAAAATCCACTATGGTTGGAAAGGTCGGTCGATGAGCGGCCAAAACGGTTAATTAGAGCTCTCTGAATCTCACTTTCTCGCTCTCGTGTTTCTGCTATTTGAATTGGTTAGCCTAGAGGGTCTGAGGGATCAACTTTTTTAGGAGCCGAGATCCCCCAGAATATTCCTCTTTAGAGGGGAATCAGTAATGTATAATTAGGAAGATAAATATCTCCTTAATTAAAATGTGTCAAGTAAGATAATCACCCAAATTATCTCCCGGGTATATCTTTTTTGTTAATTATCCTTCTTAACGTACTTGTTAAGGATACAATATAATTAAGTTTGAAAATTCTTCAAAAATTATTAGTCTCAAGGGAAACCACTCGCTCGACCGACCGGACGGACGGCGCGCGTGCACGAGTGTATGGTGGTCCATTAGGTCCTCCATCTCCCACAAAAGTGGGCCACCCCAAGGGCATTGCTCTTAAGAGAGAGAGAGAGAGAGAGAGAGAGAGAGAGAGAGAGAGAGAGAGAGAGAGCCCAATCTTTATAGACCTTATGCAAGTCTTCTCCCACCAATGTGGTATTTCTCCACTTGAGACTTATAGCTTCAAAGATATTCACACATTTTCAGCAATCCTCCACTTGAATAGTTTTGAAACTATCTATGAGCATCAACAGTTGTATAAAATTGGGAATAAGCGAATGTGTCTCTCGATGTGAACCTTAGCATAATGGTTACACTTATGATTTCATAAGAGTGACTTGTAGTCTGGAACTCTATCTCGGACAGTGTAGCAGCCCAGATCTTTCTATTAAGTGTTATCTCTCATAGCACGCGCATTTATCCTGGTCTAGTGAACACTCTAGCAACTCTATGCCTCCAAAGTTTCATAGGTAGCAGCCCCACTCCCACATTCACATAGGTGAGTCTATTAGAAGTACTCCCAAAGTAATGTACTACACTCCAAATGGAGTATAAATCCCATTAACCGTTAATCGAGGCCCTCTTGAGTTGGTTGCTTAGAGGGACGTTTCCTTCTCTAAAACAATTGATCAAGGATTTCTACACTAGACTCTCTCTATTGGCAAAGGTTCTCACTCAATTCATAGCAATGAATTGACTCCCCCAACTTCCAATCTGTGATGCTCTATTGACCTAATCAGGTATACCCTATCATAGAATCAAAGCATAATCAATAATCTCAACTAAATCATAAATTAATCATGAAATCAAGCATAGATTGAATATGAACTCACAATTATCAAGATATATTACTCTTACAATCATTCAATCAAGCACAACATAGATAGGATTCTTCAAAACCTAAGTGAACAAAAGTAACTCCATAGTGAAGAGAGAGATGCAAAAATATGATCTAGATCTTCCATATCCATCTCCAAGCTTGATTCCTGAGCTCCAATGGTGAAAAAGTCCTCCAAAATAGCTCAAAAATTGTTCCCAATTCTCTCTCTATCTCTAGGGTTCGTCCCTTGGGTGTCTGAGGTCCAAAACCCAGCTTTGTTGCTCTAGAATCACAACTTCCCTTTTAAATCATAAAAGCAGCACGAACATGGCCTGGAACACAGTCGTGTTCACCAAAATTATTGGTTTCCTTGCACTCTTAAAGGGGGGAGGGGGGGGGGGGTGTCTGCGCACCATAAAACACTTTCGTGTTTTCCAGGACTTCGCCGTGCTTTTCAACAGGACTCTCATAACATGTTGCACGACCTCAAAGAACTGAAATACGGCCAAAGTATTCTGATTGACTGACATGGTTTGGAGCATGGCCATGTTCTTTGACTATTTTCCCTCTGCTTCTACCTATGAAAAGAGGAAATCGTGCTCTCCAACACAGGTTTGAACATGATCGTGTTCCTCCCTACTTCCTCCAATCATAGCCATCTCACCTCCATTTTTCCAGAAACTCCCTCCTAGGTTTCACCCACGTACTATGACATGAAATGTGACAAAAGAAGTATAACCCAGCGTAAAATAGCCTTGGAATGATAAACTATAAGTCAAATGATCAAGAAACGAGGTTGTAAACTTGTACAAATATGCAGTTATCAAACTCCCCACACTTAACCGTTTACTTGTCCCCAATCAAACCTAACTCAAACTAGTGCAACTGACTAGACTCCCACAACAACTTGCAATTTCACTTGCCGGCAGTGGATCAACTAGTAACTTATGAGGTCAACTAAAGACAAGAAGTCTCACCTCCATCTCAATGTGACACGCAAACTCGGATTGAGAATAATGGACTTTATGGCGAAAGTCTAGACAAGAGGTCTAGACACTTCATATATCCACTAAAGGATTCTAAGAAAACAGTTTGAAAATAATGGACTTTATGGCGGTGTTCCTACTTTAAAGGGCTCACACTTCAAGCCTCAACTTAACATTGCCGCACATGGCATCACACCTTTTGTTTTACAAAACAAAGCTCTCTATCTCATGACTAAGAGAAAAAGTCACTTTCACTTCTCTTTCTTAGCCTCGTGTGGAGAAAGTTATGGTTTCAATGATGGAATAGGGTAGAATGGTGAAGCGTTCTAACGTTATTCTTGATCTCTCAAGCACTAATTCCAAGCCTGCATTCTCGCCTCAATGACAGACAAGTTGCCACACATGTGAGATAATAGCCAGAGCCGAGTTCTCCTAACTTGCATAGAGGCACACTATCTCCTTTCATGCAAGTCATTTGAAGAGGGAGGTGTTAGAGGAAGGCTATCCAAATCCCTATCAAAAGGCATCGGGTCAAAAGAAAACCCTTTGATGACTTTGTTTAAACGTTATGACCGATTTCTTCTCGCTTGAGAACACTCATTTTTTCATGCAAAGTATATTCAAAATGGAACACCTTTTTGAAAAAATAAATTTCGAGTCCAAACATGGGGAGAGTCCAACACATATATCCTAACCTCGATAGTAAACAATATCAACAAACCTAAGTCAAAATGGAAGCAAATCCCCTCATGTACCAACATTTTCCATAGAACTACACTAGCCTCACTAGGTTGCTTACTGTCATGGCATATAGCACTTGAAAGCACAGTGAGCGTGTAATTACAAGGAACTACACTATCACTAAGGTTGATTTACTAACTCGAAAATCAAAAGATATACTGACTCAATCAAAGAGCAAAGGGAAAGAGATGCAAACAAACTGGTTGGGTTACCTCCCAACGAGCGCTTATTTAACATCATGAGTCAGACGGTGGTTCCTAAGTCTCTCCCAAAACCTCGATGAATTTGAGGTTCTTGTTGATGAGGTGGAGTCTCAAGTCGCGAGCATGCATGTGGTACAGCCAGTGAGATAGGTTCGTGTACTTGAGCCAGATGAAGTGTCCACCCTTGAGACCTCTCCTTCTTGTCTCTCTCTCTTCTCATTGCCCTAAACCATGTAAGACATCACAGATTGACCATCTTTGCATCTACCAAGAGGGATCAATTATTGTGTGGCCTTGGTTTGGCAAAGATACCATTGTCACAAACCTATTGGTCCCAATAACTCGAGTTGTTGGGAGAAGGTTATGCTGGATCTTATACCACACTCTAACACGCTCCCTCAAACGAAAGCCAACTCATTGGCTTGAAGTTTCCACAGGCCCACCATACCTTGTGCTTTAATCAACTGTTAATATTGGGGGTCGTGGAGATTCGAACACACGACCACTTGGTGAAACCAACTCTGATACCATGTAATTGGTTTGAATGTTGTGTTTTGCATTGAGTAGGAGAGTGGTTTAAGTACCAAACTCCACAACAGAACATGTAAACACGTAGCTACAAATGAGGATAACAAACTAGCCACTACTCCACTAATTACAATGAATAAATAGAGAAGAAATAATCTAAGATTCCTTATCAACCATAACTGAGTAGCTTATCAAGGTAGGGTGGGGATCTGTGGAATGACTATGCACATGTAGAAGCCTCAACCACCTCAACCTTATCATTTCATTGGACCTCAACTGCCCCTTCAACAACCCTTTCGTCTTCAATAGTAAGATCCTCCACTTGGGATAAATCAAAAGCTCCCTCTCCTATATTCTCTGCTTCCTCCTTCACAACTTGTTCTATCACCCTTCCTTGCTCTTCCTCAAGCACAAGTTGTTTTGAAAGTTGCCATGCAATGTCTTCAATAAGATCAACTTGTATCTCCTCACTTGTGCTCCTCTCTTCGAAGCTTGATGTGAATCGGGGGTGGGTCGTGGGTGTGGTCTGCCAAAGTAGGACATGCTTGATCATGATCATCACGGGAGCTCTCAGTGAAACTTCTATCTTCTCGGCAATATCCTATCGGATAGCCTCCTCATCCTCCTCTTCTTGTATTTCGCTCTCTTTAAGATGTTCGCATTGCCTCGTTGCACACAGCAGACTATCATTCGATCTTGAATAAAAAAACCTCTCTTTGTTGCTTGGCAGTTTTGTGCGAAAACCGGAGCTCGTTAAATCTCACCTCTCTCGTGTTTCTGCTCATAGAATTGATGTCTAGAGGGTCTGAAGGGGTCAGCTATTTATAGGAACATAAACATCTCCTTAATTAGAAACGCGTCTGGTAAGATTATCAGCCGAATTATCTCTGAAATATTCATTTTCTAATGATGATCCTTATTACATATATGTTAAGAATACATAATAATTATGTGCACAATTTTTCAAAAAAAAATTAGTCTCAAGCCGACACACCCACTCATTCGGCCGATCAGTCTGTCAGCGCGCGTGCCCCTCGTGTGTGGTAGTCCATTAGATCTGGACACAGCAATCTGACGGTTAAAAAGTGGGAAGGGCTATTTAATTGATGACAGGGTTAGTTTGGGTATTATGGAAAATTACGAAGTATACAAACCGGACTTACAATCAGTACAAACCATAAAACATACAAACAGTACAAACTACAACGACAAAACATACAGAAAGATTTACAAATATTACACACGTATGAACTGTACAAACAATACAAACTAGACCGACAAACAATACAAACCAGACCGACAAACAATACCAACCATACAAAAAAGAAAAATCAACCGGGTTGACTTCGGAGGCTCCATCCCTATATAGAGGGCTCTGTCTCAAAGTCAACCCGGTTGTTTTTTAGACATACAAACACTATGAACATTGTGGACAAAAATGACAAACTAGACCGACAATCCATACAAACTGGAAAAAAACACCCGGGTTGACTTTGGAGGCTCCATCCCTATATAGAGGGCTTCATTTCAAAGTCAACCCGGTTGTTTTTTAGTCATACAAACATTACGAACATGGTGGACAAAAATGACAAACTAGACCGACAATTCATACAAACTGGAAAAAACACCCAGGTTGACTTTGGTGGCTCCATCCCTATATAGAGTTCCATCCAAAAGTCAACCAGGTTATTTTTTAGACATAAAAAACATTACTAACATGGTTGACAAAAATGATAAACATGGTGCACAAAAATAATACAGTTTACAAACATTACAAAAGAAACCGACAAATTACAAAATAACAAAGCGTACAAACATTACAAAATAAACCGACAAACAGTACAAAGCATACTAACCGTACAAAATGTCACTAAAAATGACAAACAAGAATGATAAACAATACAAACCGAATCTTTCTCTCTCCATATGGGAATTCCCCTGGAAAAAATAATGGCGCATGAGGGGAGAATTCCCCTGGACGGAAATTGACCACCGCCGGCAATTAACGACCGGAACGGAGACGGGAGGTTGTGACTAGCCGACGCAAGGGGACGGAGACTCTCTCTCTGGGAATTCCCCTTGGAAAAAATAATGGCGCATGAGGGGAGAATTCCCCTAGCCGAAAATTGAAAAAATAATGGCGCATGAGGGGAGAATTCCCCTAGCCGGAAATTGACCACCGCCGGCAATTAACAACCGAAACGGAGATGGGAGGCTGTCACTAGCCGGCGCAAGGGGACGGAGACGGAAATGCTGGCATAATTTTTTTATTAATTTTATAATTAAAAGTAAAAAAATAAACATACAATTACTACATTGCCCTTCATTAAATTGGATTAATTGGAGCCCTTGGATTTTAATGAGGTTGAGTGGCTGAAATTCACTTAGCCATGTGACTATTGGACCCCCCTTAGTCACCTGATCTTAGCCCCTTATGCAAGTCTTCTCCCATCAATGTGGTATTTCTCCAATCGAGACTTATAGCTTCAAAGTTATTCACACATTTCCAACATTTATACATAAGAAACTTTGGTCCCCTTCCTCAGTATTTATTTATGACGACTGTGCTCTTCCTTCTCTTTCTCTTCATTAACTGTGCTCAACTTATTTAAATGAAAAAATTATTGAAACAAAATATTCCTATTGACAGAGAAAGTATTAGCATTATGTAAAAAAAATTAATATTCTAACCATTTTTAGTAAACCTCGTGCAAATCTCGATAGATTAGGGATGGCAAAAATATTTGTAACCGTGGATATTCGTCCGAATCCGACCTAATCGGGTAGGGTAAAACCCGAACCCGAAGGACTTTTTGTGGGTACGGATAAAATTCAAACCCGAATATTGCGGGTAATGGGTGGGCATGGTTTTCTTCCTATCCAACCCGAACCCGCTCGATTATACACATGAACATGTATTTTGTCTATAAATAATCATTTACTTTTCTCTATCATTTTTTATATTTAGCATATAAATTTAATATTTTTTATGAAATTGTGTTGTTTTAATTAATTTTCTTCATTCTAGTGAATTACTGTCGTGCTTTTCCTCTTACATAATGTAAGAATACATGTGAATGTTAATATATTGGTTGGAGTTATAAAGAGAAATTAGTATCCATGGATACCCAAAATTCGAACGGATATGGGTTATCCATGGATACCCGAAATCCGAACGGATATGAGCATGATTTTCTACTCATTTCTTATGTGAGTATGGGTATGGGTAAAACTCGAACTACTTTGAATAGGATAACGGATATGCACTATCCGCCCCGACCCGACCCAACCCGACCATTGATTGCTATGCTTGTTTCGGTTTATTTTAGAAAATAAAATGAAAATGCGAGCTTGGACCGCTAAGCTAGGCATTACTTATTTAAAGTTCCATGATGTCCAGTGGAAAAGCTATTAGGGGTCGTTTGGATGGATCAATTGTAAAATGAGACAATTTGACCAATTGTTTCATTTTACAAAACGAGTCATTTAAAACGAGTCAATTCAGATTACCTGCCCCCACCCCAGACAATTGTAATTGACTCAAAATGAGTCAATTCAGAATTCCCCAACCCAAATTGTTTCATCCAAATTTTCTGCTGCCAAACGGATCAATCTAGCACAATTAACTCAAAACGAGACAATTATGTCAGATTGATCAATTAGAATTCCTCGTCCAAACGACCCATAGAACTTATTTTAGACATTGGGCTGTATTGGGCTATTGGCCCATTTCCCTGCCTTGGAAAATCCTTCTTTCTTTATCCGAAGGAGTCGATTATAATTGATTTCCTTCACTGCGCTCGAGGAACCATTTGAACAGCGGCGAAGAGCGATGGGCAGCAACCACAATCATCCGGCGCCGGCGGCGCAGATTCCGACCAGCTTCGGTCACGAGCTAAGGGCATGTCTCCGATGCCGGCTTGTCAAGACTTACGACCAGGTAACCCCTCTTCCTTTCCTTCTCATCTGTTGCCCCTCCCTTCTCCCTTTAGTTTAATTAGGGTTTTAGGGATTCGGTCGAAAATTCAATTAGTACTAAGAAAATCAGACGCCATGATTATCCTTTCTTTGACGATTTCGCTCCTCGCATGTGCAGTTCAGGGAGTCTGGTTGCGAGAACTGCCCCTTTTTCAAGATGGAGGAAGATCATGAGCACGTTGTGGATTGCACCACTCCCAATTTCAATGGGTAACTCGGCCATTCGATTCTATTTTATATATAAATTAGCCATGCCAATGACTCATCTTACTTTCCGCATTTTGTCATTTTAGTGCCATTTACATTTTGATCTTCAATGTAGTAAAATTGGTTGATTGTATTCTGATCATTTAAATGCTTCCGATGGCTTTTTTTTTTTTTTTTTGTTCTCTTCCTTAATGGGTTTTCTTCTTTGCTGTAGTATAATTTCTGTTATGGATCCTGCAAGAAGCTGGGCGGCTCGATGGTTGAGAATTGGTATTTTCGGTCTCTTTGCCCTTCGATTCCACGATAAAATTTGAGTGGGTCTAATTATGCTGCTTGTGCTTTGTATTGTTATTCTTGAGCACATTCGGGCTATCCAATTTCTGTTGGCGCTCAGTCGGTAGATTATACACCCACTGCGTGTCATGAAATTGTCGATGGATATGTGATCTGTGCAGTGTCATTTTGTCAAGCATAGTTGTTTCTTTCACTTCTTTTGGATGTTCGTCTGCGTTCTTGTAGAGTTCAGGTTTGATATATTCCCCCAGATGGTTCATTTTGCTTACATACATTACCATTAAACTGCTTCCAGGAAAATTCGTCCCTGGCTGTTATACCCTTGCAGTTTCAGAGCAGCTATCAGAGGATTTGCAGGTCAGTATCGTATGCTTAGTTTCTCTAAGCTTTGATGAGAATAAAACCCAGTGGCGATGACACTTATCTTAATGGTCGAGGGAGACTACTTTGTGTTTACTTTGCTTGCATGATAATGTTCTTTGCAAATAAGGCTCGGGAAATAACCATTCACTATACTCTGTTTGCGGGGGCTGTTGCAGATGTTATGTCAAGAAGAGCGCGTGCTTTACGTTCCTCCAAAGCGCGTATAAGGAGCGAGATCAAGTGTTGCTGCATTTTACTCGTATGGAAAATGGGAATGTCTCCGATGTACGTGTGTAGCAGGACCTGACAATGATGAGAAATGGCTACTGAGAACGTTTGAGAGAAGTAACCTCCATATTTGCGTTGCTTCTTGCTCACGGACTTGGTCGATTATAACATGTAATTTGCACACTAACGTTAAATGAAAAGCTAGCTTTATTATCTTCACGCTGGTCTACAGCATACATCTACCATCTGTTTATGTAGATGGGAAAAGGACAACACGGAAAAGGTTGAGGGAAAGCACGGGTTTCCAAAAATAATTCACTTAGTTCGAAAAATTCTCTAGTTCAGGGTTCAATATATAAGTGAGTATAACCTTAGGATGCTTAATATGAGTAACTAAATCTCGACTTTTTTTTAAGTAGTTGCAGATCTAGAGTTAAACAATTCATAAGTTAGGATAACTAAATTTAATTGAATTGTTTGTATCAAATTATCATAAACTAATTTAAAATAAAAATCATAAGTTAAACAATTCATAAGTTAGGATTACTAAATATAAACCAGAAAATTGTAACCCCAGATTGCAGTTGTTTTCGAGGGCTAAAAAGCTAAAATAGCCATAAGATAGAGGAAACAAGAATGCAACCTATATTTCCGTTATTTACCCCATTCGATTACTCAGCCACTCGAAGTTGACATATCTCAAATGAGCCAAGGAGTCCCAATGCATATTATTCACAGAGGCCTTCATATACACACTAGGCTACGTATGCAGCCAAAAAATGTCAAAATTTAGAACCAAAACCACACTAGCCATGGTTCTTTTCACAAGCTTCAATTCAGGAACGATACACGTCCAATATGTTCTGCCTACATGATATTACTTCTATGTAGCACACGCCCAATGCCTTGTCTCTTGCCTTTCGCCTCTTCAATCGTTGACATTAGAACTCGCAAGAAGTCTTGCGCATCGTTCTCCGTCGGCAGTTCCAGGTTAGTCTGGAACAGCGGGAGCGGAGTGGAAGGGTTTGTCCACTGCCTCGCCTTCGAGTCGCTGCCTCTTTTAAACTGTAGCTGATTCTGCCTAACCAAAGCATCCGTGCTGCTCCCAACAATGTGCACCACGCCATCCGCAGTATCTGCGTGGATCACACTATCCAGACTGATTTCCGACTCGACAATCCAGTTCGGATCCATGGGCACCCCACGGAAGTTTTGGGTTCCTAAGTCAACCAAGCTGGAAGAGTAGGCTTTTAGCACCAGTCTCTCAGTGAGAACGGCATATTTACCAGCTTCTCTGAGTGGTCTGCACATTACTAACACCTCGTCCTTGAGTTTCACGGAATCGTCAGCAGCACATGAGAGCACTGATGTCCCAATGGCTTCTTCCAAACAGTAAGGCCTTAAGGGAAGTTGTGGACTTAGAGGTCTTGGGAAGCGAACTCTGTAGCGTTGATGGTATAGCCGGCTTCGATTTCTTATGCTTTGTGCTGTTTTCCCTGTGACCTCAAGAAGACTAGCTGCTGGTTTAGCCACGAGTCCTGATATTCCCAGTGCGAGACCTGAAACGATAATCATCCAGCAACAAGCAGCAATGCATCATCTTCCTTGTCCGAGTTAGATACAAAATAGTATGCGTTTCAAGATCCATGTATTTTAGAAATACAGGACTTCATGTACATTCGAGAAATATTTGGCAACCCCCTAAACTTTTTGGTGGGCTCAAGTGGTCGCTTTTTGAACTAGCCATTCAAACCAAACACCATATTTCCGACAATACATGTGTTTCACAAATCACACATTCAGAATACAAGGATTACTACAATACGTGTATTTTGTAATACACGACAACTAATCATCCGGAGTAATCAACTTTCTAACGCTCCTAAACTGTATAAGTTGACTGCATTGCATTCAAATCCTAAAAATGTTATGGAAGTTGGAAATATGGAAAATATTACCTGAGAAGACACCTGGAAGACCATGCTTCTCAGCTTCTCTAATTGGAGACTGAAGGAGACCAGTCAGTCCCTATATCAAACAGCAGATGAAGGTGTTCTCTCAGTTCAAGTGAAATACTATTCAGGCCCTCGTAACATCATCACACCTAAATCTGTTAAGGATAAATCCAATTTGCAAAGGCAAGAAAAGTTCAGAAGCTTTCGGAGAAAATTATGTACCTCAAGGACTTCACTTATTACACCTTTACTCTGGGAAGGCGCACCTTTCTGTTGCTTTTCCATCCTAGCAACAGCTTGCTCGTCAAAGGTGAATGCAACAATTCCCTGTACAGAGGATTTGTTAGATTTAACTTGATAAACTGAAATATTCAATTAACTGTAAGAAAGAAACTGTCTCTACCTTGTGTGCAGCTTTACTAAACTGTGTGGCAGCATCACTTAGAGCATACACGGTGTTACTCACCAGACTACCAGTGCCTTGTGCCATGCCTGTAATAAGCCCAGTGGGGCTCTGTAAGAAGAGGGAAATATTATTCAGCGGTCAGTGCGGTAAAGCAAGATTCTGGCAGGATAACAGAACAATAGACAAGAAGAGCTGATGCACCTGGAGAACACTTCTGGCAGGAACAGATAGGAAATCTCTGACACCAAGTCCTAAACTCCTAGCAACGCCCATGGGATTGCCTATAACCCCAGCAGAACCAAACACCTGTGCATTGCCCAATGCTCACAGGTTAAAAGGACATTGCAAATGAAACATTAGAAGAACTGGTGTAAAAGGACTTCTGAAACTGTTAAAATAATGAAGTGAACTCATCAATCATCAATACATACCTTGTATATCTCGTGAAGAAGTTGGCGAGTGTAATGTCTAACGATGATGTCCCTCATTGATTCTAAGCTAGCCATCTGATGTGCAATAGTCAACTGTTTGAGACTGATCCGAGCTCCCTCAACATCAGCAACAGCCATAAGACGTTTCTGTAAGTAACTGCAGATGTGAGTAACAAACAAAAATGGCAGGATTCCAACATCAATTCATTCTTTGATCATGCAAATAACAGAAAATCAGAAACCCTAAAGAAGATAGATGACACTGATAAGATGGTGAACAAAAAATAGTTACAGTTTCACCATCAGTTAACCAGTAGTTTTCAGATCACCACTAAACAAATGCAATCGGGACACAATTAAAACACAGTGAGAAAGAACATCATGTATCAAATGAACTGATATAATGGTCACGCTATCTAATGATGTATGCATCAGTAGTTCAGTACAACTTCTAAAACTTACATGGATAAGAGATTCTCCAGATGTAAGAATACCGTTCCTAAGAATCCACGGAGAACTAGAAAAGCTGTGAAACACAAGATATCGCATTCATCAGTTAACATAACAATGACCAAGAGTTAAGTCCCCCTTAAAGTTACTGACCTCAAAGTGAACTTGATGGGAGAAAGATCAAACAACTCCACGTAGATCTTCTGCTGCTTCCCGGCCAGTAGGAAAATCTTTTGCCAAGGAGCTCCAATTGGAACTACTGATGGAAGAGATCCATAGCCTATATTCCTCTTTTGTTTGGCAGCATGCTTAACTCGATGATTTTCTTCTCTTGGTATGGCATAATTATCAACCCAATCACGTCTATTGCCAGCATCAAAAAGCAAAGGAATATGTGCAGGATCTGAAGATGGCAATACTTTACTCCGAGACCTTGCAGAGACAGCCTTGAAGAAGTCAAGCAGGCTTAATATAACTTCTTGCTCAAGTTCCAGGTGGAAATCTGCTACTCTGCAAAGATTTAATAGTTTTTTAGGGAAGAAACAAACACATTAAACTTGGAGGGGAAAAAAACAAGTTCAGAGGAATAAGGACCACCTCAAACTTATACACTCGAATGAAAGCAAGGAGACGTCTTTCTTCCTCCAGATTGTAACAGCCAGGTGGAGCACCGGTTCAAAAAAACTGCCTGAAGCCATTTGCAATCCTCCATCACCTTTAGAACCCGCATTATCATCCTTTACTCTCTGGCTAGCCATGCTGCTTCTATTCTCTTGATTGAAAGACAAGATCACAGGATATGGGGTTGTTGCCAACTGATTATCTATTTGCAGCGATGAGATTTGAAAAGATATCTTTTGTTGATCCAGACTTTGAACCAGGTCAAGGGTGATGTTCTTCGCACAAGCAAAAAGTAATTCCTAACCAAGAACAAGGAGCATAGCCGTTTGTTTTAGAGAACATGAGCAGCTAAAAGCATATTATAATGAATATGCCTTTGTGACGAGGGTGATTACTTTTATAGTGCTGGGTTAAAGGAGGTACTGAGATATCATAAAAAAGTATGACATTAATTTTGTAGAAAATTGCAGTGATTGCAAAACTGTATGGTACCGGGCAGTCCGACCGGAAAAATCACCTACCGGATCCCAAGCCAGTATAGGGTTTTACCGTGTATGAAATAGTTGAACCACGGTTTAAGCACAAAATACCCTACCACTAAATTTTCCGCTACAACCTAATGCAAGTTTAATATCCTTGAAATTTTGAAGAAAGAAGATGACAATGGTGAGAGGAAAACAAGGAACGGTAAGAATTCAAGACAAGTATACACAGCAATATTTCTCATCTCCTACTTAATTTGTTATATAAATCCAAACAACAGATTTTTAAATCCTTTTCAACATTTCAATAGTTTCACGAAATATAGTCGCACAAAAAGAAAAGCTTAGACACAGATAATTTCCATTCACCTGAGGATCTCCATTTATGAGCGATATTCCAATATGAGATATAGCAAGCGATAACTTTTCCTCATAATCAACATAAGTTCCATGCTTCTGCTCACTTTTTTGTTGAAAACTGGCAGCTGATGGACCTTCCACATCTTTTAGCACATGGTAACTCGAGTCAATGATGTTCAGTACCTGCAGTGGAAGAAAAGAAATATATGAAGTAGGAAGTTCAAATAAACTGTGTGAGCCAACCTCTAACAACAAACCTTCATTGCTCCCTCTGCATGGACAGATATATGTAATGTTCTTCCAGTTTTCTGCCATTCAGAGCAACAAAAAGAGGACAAGTGGTCAGCGATGCACACTGTAAGGTGATAGAAACAACCGCTTAGACTAGTTAGTCCAGAACCATAAAACGTCATCTGATACAGCATTTCAGATATCATGTTTTTACTTTTTTCCAGCAAAAAAACGGTTGGAGTTTATTCTTTTGACATATCCCTTGTGTATGCTAAATTCAGAGAGTGAACTACAAAAATGGCAATGGATAGAGTTTGGGGCGGGTTCCACGAAACCCACATCCTGTCCCGCTCTCTACCACAGGACCCGCCTTGTGCCCCGCAACGGGTCGACAATTTCAGGTTTCTGCCCACCTTAGTCAGGGGTATTATGAAAAATAATTGCAGCTACTATAGTTTCCTCTTAGTTGACAACAACATAATTTCTTCTGAAAAACCCACAATTTTATGTGAAGTGGAAACAATGTCATAAAACAATATACCAAAATCTTAGTCCACACTAAATATATAAGGTCATACCTCAGAAGCTGGCTTTATGTACAATGGAGCGTGTTCTTTCATCAGATCAAGAGTGTACAGACCAACAACACGTTCTCCAGGAACCTTTTGTATATAAAATGAGGAATTAAATCCTGCCCAATATAATCAGTGAGTTTTGGGAAGGGCGGGGGAAAAGAACAAATACCTCAATTGCGAGACGATGTGGATAGTACGGCTCATCCCATGCATAAAGACAAGATGCATATGGATGTAGTATAGTATCAGATGTTTCACACCTTTGTTGATACACACGCAACCTCTGCTTAACAAGCGACAACAGATTATAAAAAATCCAGAACAGCAGGCAAATTTAATAATTTAGAAGCAGAGATATGGGTACTATACCACAGATGGAGCATGAGAATGTATGCACGTGAAAAGAGCAGGACAGAAAGTAATGATCATGGTTTTGCGATATTAAAGAAGTAAACAGCCAAAGTTCGAGTTGCTCCTGAGATAGGCCCAACCCACAAAATAAACTTAGATCGTCAATTTGAGGAAGGCTCACAGAATGTAGGGTGTTAACTCATTTTCATCTTTCCCTCCTGTTAGTTTGTTTTATAAGGCACACGTATGGCATCGAATGGGTGTTACACCATGTTAAGTCCCATAACAAAACATTACAAACGTAAATTTGGATAAGTATGACCAAGAACATTTCTCCCAACTTTGGAAGCAAGGTGAAACTTCTGATTCCCAAGTCTTACATTATGGAAATTTCCTCCCAAATGACACTTTTATTCTATGTGGTTCTAGATGCAGGAGATGGTGAAGGGTGATCCTAGCCCTCCTACGATTCTTGGCAAAACTAGCATTTGGGAATTCACCCTTCAAGAAACACAAAATCCAATACTCCATGCTGGCATGGACATATTTAATATTCACACAGCAAATGGCAAGCATCAACCATCTACCCTGCTTTTTAGAATCACCATTTGCTTCCGTCCTTAATGCTATATAAACTCTGAACAATCCACACTAGCCTGAAAGCTGGGAATCCAATTGGAACAAAATCTCACGCCATGCTGGACAGAGCACCTGACCCCATGCTACATATTTACACAAACTTATTTCATACAAGTAGGATATAAGTTGCAAAGTTATCACAGGTTTAGTCCTGGTCCTAGAACAAAGAAGTTCCCAAAACCTTGTGCCACAACTGTTTAAATATTTTTTCCATTGACATATCTAGAAATGTGTATCCCACTAAAAAAGATAAGGGAACAATGAAATTTGAACAATATATCCGCAATGAACCTAAACTTATTGCCATCTCCTATAACAAAAAACACTTACTATGACGATATGATGTAACTGAAAAGAGGGATGACAATTATCCATCCATGGGTAATTTTACCCAAACCCAAATAGACAAACACATTCATTATGATAGGGTATGGGTGAAGTAAAGATGGGTTTGGGGGTTTGTAGATGGGTTTGGGTATGGTATGGATCTTGCTTCCATAATCTAAATGGGTATTGATTGGGTATGGATACCCATTTACTTGAGTGTGTAACTACACATATAAAAATTGGACCTATTTGTAAAACTTAAAAAGTTTAGGTATCAAAATGTAATGCACAAAAAAATTAGGTACTAAAATGTAATTTTTAATCATTAAAGATTTATATGCAAAACAAAACTAAAATTGGGTACTAAATCTAAAGATCTAATAAATGGGTATGCGTACAAACCCAAATTCATGAATTAAAAACCCAACCCAAAGAAATGGATATGGGTAGATACCCATCAAATTCTACTCATTTACCATCTATTTGGATTTCATACCCAACCCAATTGGGTTGGATAGCAAAATACCCATGGGTATAACAAAATTGCCATATTCTCCAAAATGGAAGGATAAGAACAAAGAAAGGAAAACACACACAGTACAAACGGCCGGAGTAGCACTTTTCAATTGCCAGCCACAGATGTAAATTCATTATACATACAGATGATAACGTGTTACGCACCTCCTTTGAGAAATTATCTATTCTGTACGGCATGAACCCAGAGTCATCATCGGATAACAGAACTAGGTTAGTTCCGGAATTTCCACGGACGCTTCCAATGATCTTTTCATCCCCAATGGAAACATCAGTATTCTGCACCTCCACCCTTACCATCTTTAGGTCACCAGCATAATTCCTCATTTTGACTTGTGTGTCCCCTAAATGATCTGGCAAAAATCCACCTGACCACTCCCATCCAGGTTCATTAAAACGTATAGACACTAACAGCTCCCTGCAAAAGATTGAACCAAAATGACAGGATAAAACTATAAGCACCCTTTAAAACCGCATACAAAAAAGCAAGGCACTCAATTGTGAACCTCCGCACGACCCATACACCATGCCTAAGAACAAAGACCCAGGGGAAATGAGCATAGCTTATCTGCGAGGAGTAGTTTGGGTGGTTGGTCCATATCAGTAACTATCACTAATAGTTTGGGTTTGCAATTGTCATTGCATCCTTTTCTTCATTTAGGTTAATTCGCTAACCTTTGGGTTTTCATAATACTCCTTAATCAGCATTACTCATAAGTCCATTTCAAGGTTGCCAAAGATGTATAGAACGATTTCAAGAATGCTCAATCTCATGTTAGTTCTCGCTTTTTCCTTTAGATCTCTTTTAGGAGGGTCTCAAATTACATTCACCTGGATGATTGTACAAACTCACAGTAGTTATTCATTGAGCAACAAGAAAAAGCGAAATTGGCATATAACTAATGAAAGGCTACCTCGTGTTGTCTGTCCAGTCAAGGCATGAATGCTGCCCGATAGCCAACAGAAGGAAAGAATCTGTTCCTTTCTGCTTATAACATATAGGTTTCCGGCAAGCATTGCTAATAACATATCTGCAACAGAACTTAAAAATTAGAAAGATCAAACCTAAATTTCAGAGAGCTAGTTAGCATAAGGATCATTCACTTCAGACATGGCAAAATACCTCGGCTGGAAAGTGATAGCTTGTGATCTTCCAGTTAGTGGCCCAGTAAGACTACTAGAAGATACAGATATCACATGTACACCATTGGATGATACTTGAGGAACAAGAATAGTACTTGATCCACTAGGTGGGACGAGAAGAAATGGTTCTGACCATGAAGAATTTGAGATGCCTCCAGTTACATGTTGAGGCAGGTTCAGACTAACTCTGACCATCACTTCACTCATGGAAGAAACGTTGCGTGCGGAAAACATACAAGCTTTGACTCTACCAAATTCAACATCAGCCTCATCAGACACCATGGATGCTGATCCACCACTTGAATAAGTACGCTTCCCAGACAACCCGTGCTTCTTTGATTGTTCAGAAGGCTGTTCCAGGAAGCCAGAACTGAGACGCTCCCTATAATGTCTCCCCTTGTGTGTATCAACATTATTTCTATACACAACAAGGTGATTTGTCATTTGGGACTTAGAATGTGAATCAAGGTCGGCAGATAAGAGGCCCACATTATTCCTTTGGCTCTGAAAACCCTCATTTTCAGGCAGATCAGAAGATCTGTTGTAGGATGGAAGAGTGCAGAAATTTCCTTTCACTTCTGTGCTAGCTTCCGCAATATTGAGAAGAAGACCAGTGCAATTATATAATAAGAATGTTGAAAAAACAAATACTTCCCGTTGGCCAGAGAATGCATCCATGATTTTTTCCACCGTTACATGTATAGGCCCTGGAGAAAATAAACTACTAAGTTAGGGTACTTCAACAACAGAATTCAAAAGAGAACAAGGAAACGGCACTACCATTAGAAGAATCAGGTTCCAACGTAAATGCTTCAATTGAAGAGAACTTTGTTCCACTGAACTTGGATATTCCACTGAATGCTTCCACACTAGGAAACTTCAAAGATGAAGGCCGGAATCCACCCAAATACAGCTCCATCCCGACATCATGTGAGGGATCCACGTGATGAAATGAAATTTTCTCCTGACAGATAATGCAACATGCATCAGGGAATAAGATTGGCTTCAGGATAAGAAAAAAAATGACATGATGTCCTTACATCTTGATTAGCAATTTCAACACTGACCTCAGTAAGTGGCACGGCACTAGAAATTCCGCCACTCTCAATTGTCAATGATACAACATCTGGAAGATAGTTGTTCACTGTTAATGGAGTACCTAGAATAACTTGGTGAACAAATCTCTTTGTACTCTCCCCATCGTGCAAGATAGTGCCACCAGACTGTCTTGAACTGTTAACATGTATATGTGAACCTTTCCATGGTACACAAGTTGTAGGCAATCTAAAATGCCGAACTGATATGCAGCAACGAAATGGATTACTGCTAGGGTTAGATGGATAACAAACAGAAGATCTGAGGAACCCAATCTTGCTCTCTTGTGATATGACATTCGCAAGTTCATTTACTTCACTCCACAAGTAAGCATCTCCAATTGGTCGCCACCTCATACGACCAGCTTCAGCTAAATGCAAAGGCAGTGGAAACTCTCGACCAGGATATATTGGATCCAGAATCTGGGTCGGAGGGGGCGAGAGAGAGTGAAAGAACAATATGAGAAAATTATACCATTGACAATATAATTGTTGGTGAAAAATTGTAAGCAAAGATCTTCTCCAGTACCTTTGGTGCTAGTCCAAAAGGAATATCAAACCGTAACTCCAGAGGAACTGATGTTTCATTGAACAGAATTACCTGAATCATGAAATGTAAAGCCAGCTTAAGAATTCTGATCATATATTGCAGCTCCAACAACAATAGAAATTACACATACCGTTGAGTACAATCGAATCAATTTGCTGTAGCGCTTCACTGAAACATCAAACACAACAGGAAGAACAAAACCATGTTTTGCATTGCCTCTACCATTGTCATCCATAGTTCTCTCGGAGTTATTTGAGGTCTTTGAAAAGTCAACCTCAAAGTAAGTCTGCCCTACTAGATCCATTGAAACGGGTGAAGAAGGCTTAGAAGTTCCATCAAGCTGAACGCGCATGAAGTGGTGCAATACTCCAGTCGATTCCTTATCACTGAGCCTGTCTGAAGATTGAGCAGGTCTGTAACGAAATAGTTGCTCCTCTGGAGTTTCATTAACATATATAGGAATGCAGGCACCAGGTTCCACGGATATCCCATCTATCATTACTGAGGAATCAGATACATTGCTAGTTCCAAACCCTTGAGAAACATGATAAATCAGAGGCAACGATGTCAAATTCTCAAGTAGATAAGGGGCATATCTTCCTTCATACATGTTGCTAGTTGGCTGTGGGCCAGAAAACCTTCGACCCTCATCTGGTTGCAAGAGATTCCATGCATCCTTAACCATCTCAGCTGTCATGCAAGCACACTTCAACAAGCAAAAGTTTGTTACGAAGTCTATCAACTGTTTAGTAATGAGGTACCCACAAGAAACAGAGACCCGGAAACATGACTAGTAAACCTACATTTTTAGAAAATTATTAAAAAAAAAAATTGGGATGGGAAGGACTGTAAGCAATCTAACATATTTACTCCAGAACAACAAATGGGGATGAAAAGGACTGAAACAGAATCAAGCATCCGAAAACGAAAGCGCTTGGTCTTTATTTTTTTGCTGAAAGAAACAACAGTACTTTGATGTAGTGTAGGTGTATAAGCTGTCAGATTCGAAAAATAGAACAAGGACGGAACTTGTTCCATTGTATAATTGAAGCAATATCACGCATATGTACAAAGATTTAGATATCATGATGCAGAACACTTGCACTCGAACAAACTTACAAGGAGGATAACAACTTCGAATTTCAATAAACTTTACCTCAACAAGAGATTCTGTAAGATTCAAGTTAAGCTGTGCTGATGATGCAAGATTAATATCTGTTACAATGGAGCTGTTGAGAATAGATGTTGTATCATATCTTCTGACAATGTGTACCCCGAAGTTCCAAGGCTCGATAAATGACTCCCACAAGACCTAAAATAGGTTTGCAGATTGAGAATCCTATGCAGAATTACTAGCTCGAAATGAACGCATCGAATATAACACATATACTGTACCTTGTGAATATTGTTATAATTCACCTCAAGGACACTATCAACTGAGCTTTCCATCATCTTTTCAGTCATAGTAGCACTTAGCAGAAACTGCTTCATCAGAATCTCCAACAGAGGCCCACCGAAGCTCCACTGCAGGTGAACACAAGACAGAGAAATAAGTAACATAATAGTAGTAAAGCAATAGATACAAGATAAAAAAAATTGGGCATATATCAGGTAGCTGGTGCACAGTTGATGTAAGTGTTTTATTTGTGTTAAAGTCAAGGTTCAATTCTTCACATCAGCCACAAACTGTCAAATCAATCATAGAAAACAAATACACCACCAGAGCAATCAGCAAAGCAACTCAAAAGTTTCTCCAGAAAGTCTCTTGTGTGAGACATGTTCAGCTTAGAAGTGACTGATAGACGAGATAACTCTAAACTCAAGCATACCTCTGTTCTTTCACACTGCCACATATCCCATTCACCAATTTACACGTTACTTTATTGCATACAAATGCAGCCCTCCGTAAGAAAATTTGAGAGAAATCCTGATAGAAGTAAATACAAGTGAAGCTGTGTTCAGGTTGTACAATCTTGGGTAGCTACCTAATAGGAGTCGACCAATTTTTTTTTTTTTTTTTCCTTTCAATATTGCTAATAAGGGAAGTCAAAGTTTAAGCTTCCCAAATGCGGGGCCATCTTCACTCTGTATGGGAATAGGCTTATTATACTGAATAAGGATACTCATATAAGCAGAAGGCAGGCTTATAGACTGACAGGCTGATAGAGATACTCTAGTCGTGCCAGAAAAGTGAAATTCACAAATGTAAGAAAAATAGATATAGCAAAAGGATTTTGAATGAAAAACGCATAAAAGAAAGGAAAAGCTTGCTGAAACTAAGAAATGCTCACAGAAGCAACAAGAGAGTTTGGAAGAGCTAGAATTGTCCATTTAGATCCTCAATTATAAAATGTGAAAAATTAAAAGCAGAAACCAGTAGTTGCAATATATTAAAAAAAAATGCAAAAAAGTAATTGTCAAACCTACCCTTTCATCAGATATCAGAAGTGAAATTTTCCTGGTTTCGATTTTGAAATCCATTCTGCCAAACGATGAAGAAGAAGTAGATGTAGTTTCAGGAACGTTGAAACGTACATCATGCAAGAAGCATAATACTTGATGAGAAAGCCAAACATCCAAACGGTGACAATCGACTCCCAAATTGACCGTGATAAGTTCCATTTGACCCTCCCCAATGTCTGCATCCACAGTGGCCTGGGATATTTGGAACAAAGGCCAGGTGATAATGTTCTTTCCCTGAGACATCCCCACCTTGCCAGTGACTCTTTCGAAAACAGACTTCACTTTTATCAGTGAACCAACCTTGCGCAGTTCACAACGACGACTTACTGCTGTAACTACAACATAGTCACAATGGTTCCCTTCAGTTTCAGATGAAGCACAAGGTGGACTCGGGCCTTCTGCGTCAGTCTTTCCTTCTAATTGATCCACTGGAAAGTAGATATTCAAGCCAATGTTTTCTGATTTTACAAATAGGGCAGCAGAATTCTGCTTTGCAGACTGCGACGCAGTCAAAGATTGAATATTCACGCAATCATGCGTCTGAGATGTTGCAGATTCCATTTTCCCATTCCCGCCAACAGCATTTCCCTGTGCAGTGTCCAAAGAACCCTTTGCAGATTCAGCTCCAGAAACTCGTTCAGCACAAGAACTACAGATATCAATGACCCTAAACCAACAAGAAATTTGCAGCCAAATATCAAGAGATGGAAGCGAGATATCAAGCTGACTGTCACCACCAACTTCTTTCGATAAAGAAACTTGAAAAGCAGAAGTTGAGGATGTCTTGATGCACTGCGCTAACATGACTGGATTAAGCGATGAAGTTAATAGTAGAGAAGTCAAACTAAAGTCCATGCCGATAAGCACATCATCGACTAAAGACGCCGAACATGCAAATTGCATGTCAGCTTTAGCCACTTGTTCTGATAAACTCATATTTGGTTGTGAGCCAAATAATTTAATTGTCAATGACTCAACTAAAAACTGGAATTCCATAAATGAACTGCTTGAGCCAGTGAAGGACGGTTCACCAATTTCCTTGAGACAAAAACCAGTTCTTAGCTGAAGGAAATGTGGAACAGATGTGAAACTCTTAGACAGCATGCTAACAGAAGAAAATTGGTCTATGACAACCATCAACGCGTTGAACTCATTCAAAGCAGAGCAACCTGTACGCAAAAGGCAAGAAGAAAAAAGGGGGAATATGCTTTAGTCATCATAGTAATCACACTACTCATATTTCTCACAAGTTCAGACCTAGGACCATGCAAACCCAAGGTATCTTACCATCAAGAATAAGTTGGCAGTCACTGATCCCCGCCATGATGGATGTAGAATTGCACTCCGATTCACTTTCGTAAGGAATCCGGACCCAAATATCAGCATTAAGTGAGGAAAGTAAGCAAATACTCTTGCATCTCGTCTCTTGACCAAAAACAGAAGAGTCATCTTCATCCCTGAATTCTAGGAGTGATAAGAATAGATCCCTTCCAAATATGCCCAAGAAATGATTCCTGGTAGGAATATTATGAGCAGCCAGAACATAGGTAGGATAAACATCTTTCAGTTCATCTACCAAAGCACACTTATGTATGAAACTACAATACAGCTCTCCAATTTCCATCTTCAGGAATTGTCCGCAATGCTGCTCCACTGGTAACAATAATGTAGAATCAAGTACTTCAAACTTGTAAACAATGGGATTTACATTAGCCGCAGAACTTCCATTTTTCGCAGGACTCCGGGTGACAGGCGTCTCATCCCAATCGGGCAATGAGAAGTACCCAATTAATATGGCTAAATACTTGGGTGGTAGAACACAGTTTGTGTGCTGAACACCAATGCTAACTTCAATTTCTGAATTTAATGATCTAGCAAGCCCCTTCCTAACACGAACATTTAGTATAGGAGCCATATTTGGCAATGTGGGACCCCAGAGGAACTCATGAACACTGTGATTCCACCATGACGACGCAAGAATCAATCCTTCTGTAGAACACAGCAAGTCCATACTGTCTTCATGAACCAACATTGATGACACAGCCGTCGGAATTAGCAGATCTCCCACAACGGAAGCAGAATCATGGAAATAGACTCTTATTCCATGAAGATAAATGTCCATTTGAAATGCAGGTTTACGAAAGAAAACACCAGGAGAAGGACTATCCCCAGCTGCATTAATCAAGCCAAATCCATTATTGATGTTGAATTTCTTAGTTCTTGTCGTCTCGTTCCTTAAGTTAAATAATTTCCGCCATTCGGAACAGGGACACCTAAGTGAACTCTCAGGGCTACCAAGAAGTCCATTATTTGATATTGTCACAAATGGATAGAAATCCAACGGAATATTAGCATCAGATGAGCTAGATTCATAAAAATTAGAGAAGCCAAAACTTTGAAATCCAAAACCACCCTTTTTTGGCTGATAATCATCATGAACAGGTGTGCGTAAGTTATCCGAAGCAGAAGACGCATCACCAGCAGATATCCTTCTAAACAAACCTTGCAGTAACCCTATTATATATGGATGACAATGAAGATCAATATCAGTCAAGTAAAACTTGCACCAATGGACAGTATAACCTGCACTTTGGCAAGCTTCATAGCGCATAAGAAAGCACTCTTCAACAGACCCACCATTAACATTTTCCCCTTGTCTTTGGTTGATGTTTCCGATATGAAAGTTCTTTTGAGCTTTAGAAGAAGAGCCGAACTGATTTCTAGAAGAGCAGAGGATATGGCTTTCCTGTTCACCAATCAAGGGTATGGTATCCAACTTCAATTCTTTTAGAGATACCTGGCACTCGTCAAATTCCATATGAGAATACCTGCAACATTATGATTTAGGATGAAAAAATGATTTGCTGGCCTCTAAGATTCTGACTAGAAGGCACATCGGACATAAGCACATACAATCTAAACTTTACAAAAAACAAAACCTACCCCACATATAGTCCCTGAAGAGAGAGAGACAGTTGAGGGCTATTGTCTCCTTCATTCTCAAAGTCAGTAAAAAAGATGCCTGACTCCAAACTCACTGCCAAAGTAAAGCCAAAATAAGAAGCCCATGGTCGACTTGAAGCAACACTTGGTGCATTGAGATTAGTCAAACTAAGAGATCCGGAATTTGAAAGGAGAGAATCAACATGGGCAAACAGGGCCATAACAGATCCATATATTGACGGAGAAAAATTTGCTGCAACTGAAGATAAGATTATGGAGACCTGAAATGAACACAAGGAGCTCAGATTGCCGGGCTTGAAAAACTAACAGTTCTAATTAACAAATAGGATAGCATATTACATGATGCTCCTAAGTAGTCTAAACTAGAAAACTCAATTGCTCCCTCCAGGGGGTATCTGAAAGACAAAACGCTTGCAGAAAGATGTGAGGTGCAATACAAATTTTTTTAACACAGGCTCCAGAAGGGATTGGATTCCCGTTAAAGTGATGACTGCATATGGTCACAAAGTAGTCAGTGACTTATTGCATCTTCAAAATTAAGAAAAACCAATGTCTAAGGAGTACTTTCTACCATAAAGTACTTTCAGCAGTAGTTCAGAAAACTAAGTATGATAGATTATTACTTTCAGTGTAGGCAGTGTTCTGTCGATATTATCGAAAATGACTTCGGCCATAATGACGCTTCAACCAATAAAGTACTTTCAGAAGTAGTTCAGAAAACTATCTATGGTAGGTAGTGGTCTGTCAATATTATCGAAAGTGACTTCGGCCATAAAGACATTGTGCAGGCCTCGAGAAAGGACAACATAATACATTCAAGATAAAGAGAAACAAAACACACTTTATGAACCATACCCACCAGGACTGACACAGAGAAAAATACACACATTGAAAGGTCTGGATGCATTTCTGTAGTTCAATGCTTATACTACACAGGATTCCATCCACCCGGAACATCTGAGTTTAAGGAACAGTGTTCTATTTTGGGTCGGACAGATATCTAGCAACTGGTAAGGAATGTACATAGACGACAAGATCCCAGTCAAACTATATATACAAAAGATCAGCATGATCATATGCAGATTGCTTGATTACCTCCAACTGTTTCAATATGGATTCATCAGAAACTATGCAAGACGCTAAGGTGATTGAAGGCCGACATTTCTTCAAGATAGTGACTGATGGAGCATGTTCAGATGCCAACAGCTTAACCTGCACTACGGATCACACATTCAGAAACATAACAAGACACATACAAGCAGGCCCGGAAAAGAAAGGGGATTTCTCACCTCCATATCAGTTACACTGATGTCATAGTGATTATAAAGGTCTTGAATATTTATGCCTTCAAATGACTCATCAGTAGAACCAAATAATTCTTTCAGGATGTTAGATTGCTGTTGAACACCAGAACCATCTAGATCAAGCTTCGATGCACATAGCAAAGTTTCTGCCGTTAGTACCTGCCCAAAGCACAACCCCATTAAAGGTACATCACTTAGGCTTGGGAATAATATCTACTTAGGCTTGTGAAATTTGAAACTACTAAACAAAAGGTTTAAAAATTAGCAAATCAAGCCGTCAACAAGCAGGCCACACAGTATGCCAGCAAACTTACATTTCCTTTACCAGTATCAGATATTTCACATGTGCTCATAGTGGGAACAAAAATTTGGTTCGAATGAATGAAGATCGGGCGGAGCCAGGACCCAGAGTACAATATCATATACCTTTGTTCATTTACTTAGAGGATATCTAAGGAACACACAGAGAACCAGAGCTTTAAACAAATGAGTAAGAAATGGAAACTTGCCAAAAGGCTGGTCTTAACAGTTGACAGCATCATGATTTTAAGACATTTAAACATGAACATCGTATAGTAGAATTGTCCACACAAAAAAAACTACTTGTTGACCTATAAACAAATCTACACCAAACTGACAGAGATCTTCATGTTGCATTCTCTAAGAATGCTCCTGTACATATTAATATTAATAATCATGAAAGAAACGGTTCATGTACAGCATATACAAACAAAGACTTACCAAGTCACGTTGTTCCGCAACAGGTTTCCTGTGAGGAATACTGACAACAACATTTTTGGCACTGACATCCCATCTTAGCTTTTTACGGCTTGATAAAATGGATCTGCAAGATATAAATACTAATTGTGATAATCTAGAAATTGATAATTTAACCCATATTATTGAATAATCATCACATAAATGATCATGAAGTGAGCAAGAGCGCTCACACAGCCTTCCATGATAAACGTGTCTTCAGATCCTGAATCCCATTCAGTGACAGCAATACCTAAACAAGAAATACCAAATTATATTATATTTTATGGTCATGAAGTGGTTAATTGGATGTAAAATTTAACTTTAGGCAAGTGCTATCATTTCAGAAAATTTTACTTACACCTCATGAGCCTAGTGTTAAAGGACTAACTGCCTACAGAGAGCAGGCAGAATAAATTAAAATTTAGTATAGGCAACAAATCAGGAGTACTAGCTATAACCAGGAGCACACAAACCCCAGAAACATGAGCTAGAGCCTGTTGGATTTCCACTTAAAGTCCCCAAAAACACATTCAGAGACAAACGCTGAAGTCTTGATGGAAGCTACATCTTTAAATGTAGTCTTTGAAGAAACTAAATACGGAATAGAAAACCTAATATCACGGTTGATCAGTTTTAAACTAAACTCTGTTGACATTATTGTCATTTGAATATGGCAAACTTTCAATGTGACAATTAAGTATCAACTACGTGCGAGTAAATTATTCAACAAGTAGTCTACCCAAAACCTGAGCTCACTACCAAGTTCCTAGTTGTAATTCAATAGTACTCCCCTAGAAAAGGTTTTTGCGCATCTCTCAACTTTCACATGATATAAAACATCAGCTCTGCAGTCTTCCAACGACAACCCCAGTATGGACAAAGACATGGATACCATCCAATCCGTGAGATCAAGTTCGGCATATAGAACTCAATCCATACCCAGGGAAATATGTTGCTCTAAAAAGCACTTAAATACTAACAAGTAGTTCAACACTTCAACATTCTATGGCAGTCAGTAAATAAAGTAGCATCTTGCTACTTAAAACAGTCATTTCTGTTTGAGTGCTCCAGTTTGGTGCCAATTAGGAAACAACTAAAGGGGTTTTGTGACCTCGATATTTTCTGCTGAAAATTCAAAACTGGGATGGCGATAAAAAAACAGAAAGGAAGCACGTGCAAACAAATAAAACTAGATCTCAAAATATCTATTTTGAACCAACTTCACACACATCAGTATGTAGATTTTGGGGATCTTCAGCTCATACATAATTTTGAAACTACATGGCCATTGGAAGTTGTGATTAAACTTTTATCCAACTAAAACACAGCCAAAGAGGAAGGGGGAAAAAAGGAACCGAGTTAGATAGTTACTCTTTCAGGCTGAAACTTGCAGGATCTGGATATCGAAAAAAACTCCATAATATTTGCAAAGAAGTCGATATCTAAAGTGACTTCAAGTGTTTTAAGCATGACCTGCAAGTTTACAGTTACGCGTCACGGGAGCAGAGAAATCAGAGGATTAAGCAAAGAAAACAGATAACCCATGTGAGACATTTACCGACAAATCAAGCTCTTGTTCCTTGGAAACATCAACTTGGACCGTACAGGAGGCTCGCTCAACTAACTCTACATTGTTTTCAACAAGGAACTGCAACAAAACATGATATTCTGCAGTCTTTAAGATGATCATGAAACGGAAACAGTACAAGTCACAACCAAGAGAAGATCTGGCTCAATGGGCGTCAATAACAATCAAGCAACATTAATTTGTATAATTTTAACAGATTTTCATTGGAGGATTTTACAGCCCAAAGTTTGACATCAAAATACATATAATAGCTGAGGTAACTCATTCAATGGCCACACTAATCAACTAGCTATCCATTGAAGACTAGAAAGAATTTCCAGCACAATAGCCCCTACAATCTCAATAGCTGAACTAACTGATGGGCAATATATATGTGATCAGTTTCCTCCTTCCCTAATTATCACACATATAGATACAGCATCATGGACACCAGCCGCTTGCACCAAGATCACTATTTAGTATGAAACTTCAGTCCAATGGCCATTGATGAAACTTAAAACCTTGAATAGCATAAGCAAGAGCTACTTCAGAAAAAAACAAAAACAATTGCGACTTTTACAGAGAGCAGGAAATAAGACAAACCCCTCCTGTCCGTAAAACGACTTTCCCGCTACATGGATAAACAATCTCTGTCATCTCAGCAAAGCACCCAACTGTAGCCAAGTCTTGGCCGAGTTCGCACTCAACTAAGACATCTTTTAAAATCAAGTCACCAATTCCCTGGCTGGACTTCCTGAAAAGAGAACTCATTGACTTGAGGACTAGAAATGTAAGAACACATCAAACAACATAAATTGCAAAAGCACCAAATCATAACCATCACCTACTCCATCAGAATAAAACTGATATTTAACCAGCCTGCATACACACATATTTTAAGCCAAATGGATGTAAATTGCCAAGCATGTAGAAACAGCCAATTCGAGCCTTTGGCACAAGATGTTTTTTTATTAATTTTTTATTTATTTATTTTTTTTTTTTTTATTTTTTTTTTTTTATTTATTTTTTTTTAGGGAGTTTGGCACAAGCAAAAAATTCAAGCATACAAGATATTGTTCATCAATGGGGCATAAAAGAGTTCACAGCATAGATGGCATGGCAGCACTATAGTGCAAACAGAAGGATGGTAAAAGTGAAGGAAGCACAGAACAGAAGAGAAGATGGGTGACGGAGAACAGCAGCTGATATGGGGGAAAGTTAGAAAATGTTTGGTTGCACCGAAAGAGACAACAACTACAGCTGAAACACAGATGCAAGATGGATTACCAGAAGATTAACTAGTGGTTCTTAAGAGTGAATATAAAACCTCCAGGAGCAAGCAGTAATAATAATTACCATTTCAAGTCAGAAGTTACTTAAAATATTAAAGCAACTAATGAGTAAGGATATAATCATGTTCTAGAGAAAAACTATAGAAGAAAGGTACTGCCCAGTTAGTGGGCTGGGACTGGGGAAGGTGAGAGACAGGCATGTCAAATAAGAACTAAAATAGCGAACAGACACAAAAGTCCCAGTCCTCTACAAATTGTCACGTAGAGTAGCCATAAATCCACGTGCCATCCAAGAAATGCACTTATCCAAACACAAGCAATAAGATTTCCCAGCCAGAGCATAGTAGTTAAATTTCTGTTGGTCAGTACACAAGTGAATTTCCCACCTACCATAAAGTTTCTCGAGCAATTAAATATCTTCAAGTCGACAATACAAATATTTAAGCAACAGGATGAAAAGGTAAGCTTCTTAAACCCATCACAGTTTGGATGTGACAAATAATAATTCATACCCCAAGGAGAACAATAAAAGTTTAAAAGGACATACTGGCTATGTAGAGTTGCAGTTATCCGGGCTATACTGAAAGTGATTGCACAAGTAAGGAGTTTTCCATTTTCATCAGCACTCCCAGATATAACTGATGGATGAAATTTTGTAGCTTCATAAATGTCCTGTAATAACATCTGGAACTCAGCATTCTGTCCATGCAAGCTTTATTTAATGTTATCATGCTGAGGACTTGGCTTTGGCAAAAATACCTTCACAACTTCTTCGGAGATTACTCCTGAGAACTGACTAGAATCATCAGTTCCTCCAGCACCAAGCATGCCACGAGACAGCCAATTTAACCATCCCCGTGACCGACCTAATGAACGCCCATCATTTTGTGGTTTGTCAGCAGAGTTACCAACGCCTGTAACTTCCTTATTTGGAAAGGACGAGTTCAATGAAATTTCCTACACAGATATCATCCAGTAAGTTGCAAGAAACTGGTACTTGGACATCTTCGAAGCAATTACTTAAGAAACATCTTTTCAACATTGCATTATTGACTTTCAAAAACAAAAAAGCAATGCATTGTTGGAACTGCTACTTAGCACCCACGTCATACCTGAAGCTCAGTTTCAGCAGCAGACCTGTAACGTAGTATGTCATCAACATCTGACTCTTTCTCTATTTCTTCTAGTTCCCGGAGAATATCTTCATCAATTGGCTGGGAATCAAACATAGTAAAGTAGAGGTTTGCAACCAACCAGTATTTTCAATGCACAATTAATAAAAAAGCAAATGGGGAAAAGGCAGGAAACTATAACAAACAAAATCAAAGTGATTATTGTGCTTATAAATTATCCTTAGATTGAGTTATTGAGAAACAAAAAATAGCATGTAAAAAATGGGGAGATGCCAGCCTCCCGCATATCACAGACACTTGAGTCAAAAAAAATGCTATAAATCCATAAAGTTACTCAAAAGAATAGACAAAACTACTTGCTTACAACAAGACCGACTGTGAGGAGCGTAAAATAATTATATGCCTTAAGGCTCATATCTATCAACACCCAATACCTTTAAATTCAGACTCAGAGATGCTTAAGAGGCAAACAGCATCGTTATGGTTAATTATACAAAGTCTGATCAATATTTCATTTCTGCCCATCTCCCACCCCTTAACCGAAGAGATCCAAAAAATACTAGAGCGAAGTGTTTTTGCAAGAAACAGGTGCATGAATATTGGAACATCGTGAAAATCTCATACCTGCTCATTCTGGAGAAAGTCCAGCTTTTTCTTGTAGAGTGTAATATACTTGCGGCGAGAACTCCTGCATCCCAAATTGCAAAAATAAAAGAGTTGACAAGCGAAATAGGTATACAATAGTGGCAAATGAGTGTTTATGTCTAGTTCAGATATTTAGCCACATTTTTAGCTTAAACTAAGCTGTGAACTACAACCATTTCCTAGCTTGAAGAATGCAGAATATCATGAACAAAGATGTAAAAGGATCATATCTCCAAAATAATCTTTAAGCTCGGGTCACAACACTTATTGTTAATGTCATGCTAATAGTAACTATAACCAGTCACAAGCTGGATTTAACTGTATAGGGGTACAGTTGGAGACATTTGGGTCATGTCACAAACCAAAATCAAAACCAGTTTCACTTCCTTTTGTAGTGGCATATAGCCTACAACTCAGTCTGACAACATTAATCAGATGATAACCAAATATACCACACAGATGGAATACAAACTTACAAGCGCTCTCCTAGGTTTTGCAAAAGCAGTTTCACTTCCTTTGTGGTGGCATATATACACCAAAAACTTAGAATTCAGTCTGACAACATTAATCATAAGATATCCAAATACAGCACACTGATACTTACAAGCGCTCTCCTAAGTATTTCCAAGATGTCTTCCTTAATTTCTTACGAACATCTGACAAAATAGACTGTTGTGCATAATCCCACCATGACTTCTGCCAACCCTCCTGCTTTCGTGATAAAGAATAACCCCGAGGACGGTAACGTCCGTACCTACATAATGTTAAGAAGTAGTTTGAGCAACATGTTGGGCATCATTACCACACATTTAAACAATCACGACATTTTTTAACAAGACTAATAAACATCCAGCCATAAAAACGCAAGCACAATATCTATCTAAAACTAGCTTTGTGACCAAACAAAACTCATTTTATTAAGCCCATGCATCATCTCACACCTCAATATCATAGTGCCTGAGTTCACAAGCAACCAAACTCGGACATCATTTCTTGGAACAGGCAACTCACTCTCTCACAATTTGTTAGTAAGATCAGAACAATGGACCATGGTCGGTTAGAACGATAAAAACAAGTTGGTGAATTCACCAGTTTCAAACTAGAGCTTTCATTTCCACAAAACTGGAGACAATGCTTTCCCGAATATAACAGCTTTAACTGACCTTAATATGACAGCCTAAACAAGATAAAAGGAAAAAATGCAAGTTAAGTAACGAAAGCTTCACATGTTACATAGTAACTTACTTTTCTCTTAGATGGCTTGTGCTCAGGTAGTCCATCAACATCAGTATTTGTTGCAACTGAACCTCGTTTAAAGACAAAACCTAAGAAAAAAGAAGAAAAAGGCTGGAAAAAAACAGCAGCGCAACTCATAATCGCAGGTCATCATATCCTAAAACTGAAAGCCAAGAAGAATGACTCATCCTCAGTGACGTGCACCCACCAGGCCACTCAACTCAGCTCTGATTGAGAACTGTGGCAAATTACCATCTAGCTTTCCCTCTTTGTTGATCTACAAGAGACACAGCCAAGTTTAACCCCATATTAGTCAGGAGAAAGAGTCTTTCCGAATTAAGAAAACTTTTCTTGAAGTATTTTACTAATAACATTTCATTTCAGGTTAGTCATTTAACAAGAACAAACATTGCATAAGCATGAGGAATTGGTTACACTACATAACTTCTTGAGGGACCTGGCACAAAGACAGAAATAGCTAAAAGGAATGATTAAGACATAGTCCCAGGATCTAGTACGGACTTTTAGGAGTGAAATAACAAGAATTCGCATCTTGCCATTACAGCCTCCCCATACAATAAGGCCCAACTTAAAATAACTTCTCAGTCAGCCTAATAATCTATCAAACTGTAACTGGTCCAACTAAAATATCACTTTAAGTTGTTTCACGACCTCATTTATCCCATCCGCCAATATAATAGTGCTTCAATGCTATACATGATATATGGGCTCAGGAAATAATTTCAGGTTCACACCCACCATCTAACAAAATACAAGTAGGTTCTCAGCAATAGGACCATGTGAAACATAGCATAAGAACACGTGGGGCCCAGCAATTGATAATTTATAAATTGAAGGAGCAGAAATCCATATGAGATGAGAAGTTGAAAACTTTCTCCAACAGCAACCAAAAGCATAAAGAAATATATAGCTTTACAGGACTGGCAAGTGGGCAAAATATAACTGCCGTAATGGGTGAGACATGAGAATTTATAATTGAGAGACATAAGTGCTCTTACCACAATAGAGACTGATACATCTAACGGCTGTAACAGACGGTCAAACTCTTTGCCTTCCCACCTTGGACTGCTGCAGCACTCAGCTTCTATAGCACCAGATGAACTTGTTGAATTTCTCGCTTCAATGGTGTGACAATAGATTTCCAATCCTTCAACATCTACAGTTTTGCTTACTTGTCCACCAATGACTTTAGTACTACGGGGTCTAACATGAAACAAGATGTTGTCAGTTAGACACTGGACAAACCTTTTTGTTTTGTTTTGTTTTGCCATAGATAAGCCAAGAAAGCGTCACTAGACACACCTTTTGTTTTAACTTAATATAATCACAGATCAAATAGCACACAGAGAAATAAGAGATCCTGAGTTAAATAAATGTGCAAGGAATCGCTATAAACCCCCCTAACAAAACAATCAGAAGGTTTTCTGAACTTTATTTTCATTGGAAATCCTATGGTTGCTTAGTCCAGAATCATAGATATGGATACTTCAGGAAAATGATTGGGAAGCCTAAAAGTAATAATGGAAAGATTGAGGCAGCTTTCCAGGTGAGAAGGCTATAAGACATCATAACAATCCTAAGGCCACTGCGGTTGTCATTTATACCCAAGAAAGGTTACAAATTGTAATAACTGTGAGAATAGAAAAAGAAAGCTAATCTTAAGTGAGACAGAAGCTGCTTCATGCCTTATCCATGTCCTTATAACAAGGATCGGTTATTTGTATCATCATGTTCCGGTAACAACACAACAAAAGAGAAATAACAGATGACCTTAAAAGGCGGTAGTTTCTAATAAACGAAGAAAATTCTTCCACATCCAAGATATAAAAACATTGAAGGAATTTTTACTCATTTAGCCTGTATCCCTTGAAAGAAGCAATAGTAAGGAAAATGCAAGTACATTAGAGCATCGACCTAAAAAGATTACCCAACAGGACTTTGCCTTATCGTCAAGCTGGAGAACTTTATACCTGAAAGAACCTGTGCCTGGATAAATGCAAAAAGGTAAAGAAGACGTTGAGACGGTATCAGAGTCCAAGGAAATTCTCATAAAGGAAGGCATCTTAATTTAGACTTCAACATCAGCTAACATGAGATATCAATCGCTTCTTTTAATCAATCAAAATGTTAGAATGTACTTCATGAAAGATGTATATGATACCCTGGTAGAGGGTAAGCTAAAACTGCATGTGTGTGTGTAAACACTTATGAAGAATCATTGGAAATGCCGATGACAGGGCACAGAGTAAGCAGTAAAAGGGAGCATATAATATCTTTGATGGAGACAATTAGCTCAAAATTAAACAACGAATAGTTCTAATTCACCAGTACCAAGTGAAGCTTCACGTAGATAAACCAAGAAAAAGAAATTTACGTCCTAGAAATACAGAGGGGAAGCATGTGCTTTCGGTTGAGGACAGAAGTCATAGAATCCCCAAGAGAAAAAAGGAGAGCTCGCTTAGAAAGTTCGATTGACAATGATAAATGCGCAAAGGATGAACAAAAGGATTTGATTCTATGGTATGACTAGTTGAGCTGTGTTCTCAACAGAACTAACAGAAAACAGGGATTAAGCATGCGAAAATAAAGGGAGAAGAAGAGAAGAGACTTGAAGTCAATTTGCAATGTCCAAGATTGGTTCATCCAACCAGTAAAAATGTCAACGAATCCCAACTGGCAATTCACTTAGCTCTAAGCCTGCAGGCTGCACAAAATGATGCATGCAGTCTACAAAGTATATATTATGAACCCTGGTTGTGCTGATTTGTTCAGTTCTATGTGCCAGCTCCACCTTACTTCCAGAACAAATCCCTATCTTTCCAAGCCAGCATGGCAAAGGATATAATAATGTCATTAAGGGCAATCAATTTCCCCAATAGTTACCATGGTCTTAGTTTCTGTAATCACCCAACTGACTGCATGATAGGGAGAAGATGAATGAAGGCTCAGAAACAGGAAACTTACTGAGTCAAACAAGTTTTCTCTATATTGGATATGGAAATCTCTAATTGACAATTGGATGCTGTCAAGGACCTAGAGGGAGAAGAATCAGAAACAGTATGATTAAGGAATTACCACCAGCTCGAAAATGTAGAGCAGAAGTACCATAGAAGAAAACAGTAGACTAAGACATGATTTAGCTTGAAAATATTTTGCAGGCATAAGAATAGTCGTTGTCCAAAAGTGAGTCCACGACAGCCCAAAAAAGAGTCTACTACAAAACAACCAGTGGAGCGAAGGAAACTCACCTTCGCAGTAATGTATGAAATGAATGATTGTCCTGCTTGATTATCTGAAACAATCATAAAAGAATCAACCACAAAAGTGAAAATTTGATGTTCCTGTTATTGATAAGAAAAAGCTGATGTTGAAATTAGTAAGAAGTTCTTAGACTATTAGTGAGCAGAAATGGCACCTTCACCCAGCAGTAGCAGAAAAATGGATCAAACCACTACCACGAAATATAAAATCTGGTGAGAGAAGGAATAGAATATGCAAGAATAAAATTGTTTTACTAAATTTAGTTCTTTAAGGGTCTGATAAGACTTTGTTTCCATTGACTTTACTCTTGCCTTGCCTATAAAAACCTTCTTAGTCCCATCAATCCTTGACAGAGCAGAGTAGTCTAGGGGGTTTTCTGGAGCTTAAAATTTCAAATTCATAATTCTGAGAAAGCAAGTATTTCAAGAAATACATCATTTCTCAGCACCCAACTTTTCTAAAATACATGCATTCCAATGTTATGACTTACTGTGCGATTTCAAATAATTCAAAGTTGTATTTTCCTGCTGTTTCCCTCACTTTTTTTCCATTGTTCCAATTTATCATAATTACCCTCAAATTGGTCACTGACCCCAAATTACTAATTCACCAATCACCATCACAACAGCTGGACGGTATATCCTTACAATCAACTGTCATGCAATACACTTATTTCAAAAGCAGGCAATATCAAAATACACACATCTTAACCATCACAAGTTCAATGAGCCCCTTAACTTTTTACTTAGTCCAAGAAGTTTCCAGACACCTAAGCTCACTAATCCACTATAAAGTGTGTAAACAATTTAATTTCCAAGCTTCATATTACTCCAAAGGCGTCGTACTAGTGACACCAACAATCAGCCAACTATGTGCAGAGATTTTTTTCTCTGAATTTTACGTCATGTTTTCACCTAGAGGACCAACATTTGTACATGAACCTCCAAGCAACCAAACCTTAGCCCACATAAGCAATGGCACTAACAAATTCATAAAAGTAAAAGAACTTTATCCTAGTACATACTTGTAGCATTCAGGCCGAGGGAAAATACAGCTAAAAGAAGTGTAATTCAAATGGCTCACCAACTCGGCTTGATAATTTTGCAAGTTCTGCTTTAACAAGCTGAGCCCTTTTGCCAGCATACTCTCTTTTCTCAACCTCCTCCAAACACCACTATATGCAGAGAAACAAGAAGTGAGGGATTCAGAAAGCCTTTTTATTTTTTACCATAAATTTCATCATGTATCTAGTTACAAGATCAAGGCTGTATAGTGTTTAGCAGGTTTGACAAACTTCTGGTGTTTATCTGAATGGCTAGCATGCTAGTAAAACCTATCTCTTTGCTATGGACGATAGTTGATGCTTCTACATAAACATACCAGAGATTTGAAATTACCTCTTGTTCATCCCGCTGAGATGCACAAATGAACACATCTTCCAAAGCAATGATAATTGGTTGGCCCAGTCCCAGCTTTTTCCATGATACTTTGATGCTTAACCTGCCAACCCGACCTAATAAATGAATACAAACAAAAATCAACTTCAGAGCTGAGTAAGTGATGAATGGCCTTGTACGGCCATTGAAGTTAGCACATCAAAAACTTCAATTGATACCGTATTTTAAAGCCAATGGCAGCCGAAGATAGTCAAACGCTTCAGGAATAAGTTCTACATTCTCCAACAACACTTCTTCTGCAAAAACCAAAATTTAAGACCGACAGTAAGATTGGAGTAAAATTAACATAAGATCCAAGAAAGGAAACAATAAGCATCAAGAGATTGTAAAAACAAGTCGAGATTGCCACAAGTACCATTCCAGAGACTAAGCTTCAGTTGGTCTTTCTGTAAGTTTTTGCAAAAACGGCCAAGATATCCGACCACCACCCGGTGAACCAATGCTTCAAACATTCCTTCACTTGTACAGCTTTACACGTCCCAGGCACCACTTCTCAATCTCTCATTCTCAGAATTCCTATCCATAACCATCGTCATTGGCCAAGTTCAGACCAAACAATGGAAAACAAACTCTAACTCGACGCAATACTTGATCGTACTTCCAGCACTTGTGATCAGTCAATAATGAAGTTGAAAAACAAACAAAAGACAATGGAATTTCCACAGCGCCCCTTGTGTCTGGTTTGGAGTAGAGGGAATCTCCACTACAAGTGAAACAGCACAGCGAAATCGCCGATGAAATTGAGGGTAGTCGATGCTTCCGACTTCTGTCTACAGTGAGAAGCCGAATCTCCGCCAGATGAGTAATGTAATAGGAAGGCTACAACTCTGGGAGATGGAAATGGACAATAGTGGACATAAGATGTTTGCAGAGAGGAAGAGGGATTTCGGGAGTGGCGACGGTTGCTTGAATTTGGGAGTTCCAGAAGTCTCTGCGTAACGGTTGTGGGATGCGAACACTGAGAGGGCTTCAACAGTGAGAAGAAGAACGGAGACGACGATTGCGAAAGAAATAGCGTGGTCGGAGGAGGAAAGGGGCGGGGTTTTGTTTTGAGCAGGAAGAGTGTTTTTGGGTTGCTGACGAACAACTAAGGTTTGAGAGAGGCCATGACAGGACGAATAACTAAGGTTTGAGATTGCAGTCTTTGGAGCAGAGAACGATGTGGAGAACTGAAGCGCCAAAGCGATTGAAAGAGATTCAAGCAGCCCTCGAAGCCCTTGATTTCGAACCTAAATCAGACGGCTGGGCTATTCCAAGGAGAAGACTGGAGAGTGAATGTGCAGCAACGCTACTATTGCAGGAATAACAAAAAAAATGGCTGCAAAGGTTGCGAATAGCATGGACAGCAATACAAAAAAAAAAAAATCACGCCAGAGCATCGGAACGGAGCAGGAAAAAACTCAATTAACGAAGCTGATTGATTGATTGATGATCAAGGCAATGTTTACCTGGGCCAACTGGAGGAGAGTAGTTGTCCGTCTAACTATTTTCAGAACCTCTGCCTCAAGATTCACTGGTTAAGTCTCTATTATCACCCCTCGGATTCCAACTGAAATGAATGAACGGTTAACTCGGCCATTTACAGGAGAAGAGATAGAACGAGCCTTGTTTCAGATGGGCTCCCTAAGCCCGCTGGTGAAGACGGATTCCCGGCACTATCTTATTACCGGTAGTTTGGATGCAGGATTTTGGATCTAAATCCGGCCTAAAAACACCATAAATTTTGATTGTGGAATTTGGCCCAAATGTGAGGTTTGGAAAAAGATTTAGGTTTTTTTCAGAAGAGCCCAAATCTAAGTTTTTTCCAAAATTCAATGCTGAGGAGGATGCAGGACTATGGTTGTACGCATCTGAGTGGTGGTTCAAAAACCACCCGATACCGGAAAAGCAGAAGGCGCACCACCTGGCCTCCTTCTACTTGGAGGGAGAGGCGCTACAGTGGTGGGAGTGGATGGAAAGATCATACGCCACGACAGAGACGATCACATGGCCGATGCTCCCGGAGGAACTCCGCTACCAGTTTGGTAAGTCGAAGGGATGGGCTCCCGAGCAATTGGCCAAGCTGAAGCAGACGGACTATTGTAGATTTTCGGGCAGAGTTTCTTAAGCTAGGCAACCAATGCAGAGGGGTGCCCGAGGACACGCTAGTGGGGCTGTGTATGGCTGGGTTGAAGCCCGAGATTGTCGCTGCAGTCAGGGTCTTCGAGTCGTGGACTCCTTGAAATCTTCTTTACGTCTTGCAGGTCACAAAGAGGAGGAGCTCGCGAGCTGGAGGAGCACCATAGGCCGTTATCCACGGCCGAGCGGAGGGGGGAAGTAGTGGTGGGCCTGACGGAGGTGTGGGTGGATCGGCGGCAGGAGCTGGCACCAGTAATGGTGCAACGACCGCTACTGCGACTCCGACGGCCAGAGTCGGGCCGAGACCACCGCCCAAGGGTTTCGTGCGACTGTCTCCGACGGAGATCGAGCAGAAGAGGCGGGAAGGCAAGTGTTTCAACTGCGACAGACGATTCATCATCGCCCACCAGTGTGTGAGACCTGATCTGATGATGCTCGTGGGTCGTTGGGAGGATGAGGCCAAGGAGGAGTCGGTGGACACAGAGGTCGACAAGGGGAAGAACCAGTGAGCCAAAGACAACCTTGGGGACAAGGTTGTTTTGAAGGAAGCGGGGATGATAGAAACTCGTATTATTGAAGTTTGATTATTTGGAATTACTGTCGGTTTATTGTTCTTTCGGATTATCGGGATAATTTATGGGTTAATAGTGGGGGGTTAATAATTTTGGGTAGCATAAGAAAATTATTCAGTCATATAAATATTCTTGTAAGTGGACTTTAGCCACTAAGTAAGATTAAACCTAATTATTTTTCCTAATCCCTACCTCTCTCTAGCCAACTGACCCCTTCTCCTCTCTTTCAAACTGCTGCAGCTTCTTCTTCCCCTTCCTTCCATCTTACTTCAATTCTCAACTCCCTTTTCCCACTTTCTATCACCAAAGGATCAATACCTAATTGATCCACTTCATTTCCAATCCCTAGATAGGAACCGGATTCCGGGGTTCTATCATAAACAACCGGGGGCTTCACCCAACAAGGTGGGTGGTTGATAACCTGTTGAGGTACACTTTTGCCTCTTCTCAACGAGGACTCCAAGATGAGGTTGTATCCTAACTATATCACAACACATAGACGAGCATAGAGAGGAGTATAGATTTGTTTCGTGGGATAGCCTGGCGAGGGAAAGACCAATTCATTGACAACCAGCTTACACCTTTGGAGTAGACAGGGTGACATGAAAATAAGTTTACCCATGTTTCTCTAAGTGGAAGGAGGCCAAAGACCATAATTGCACCTAGAGAGGATACATGAACATGGATATGGAGCTGGAGCTGGTCACCCACCACCACCACCACCTCAACATGGAGACTATAGAGTCCAACTGGCAGAGTTGAGAGCAGCCATGGAGAGGCAGGAGTAGACAGGGCGACAATCAAGGTAACTCGTTCCAAACTTACCACAACTCACTATGTTTAGTCCATTGAGGAAAATGTTCATTTTTAAGTGTGGGGTGGGAATGGTTAATATGCATTGCTTGATATGCTTATTACTCACTACATGATTCGTCGTTCAAAATTAAAAAAAACATCAATGCTAAAATGGTTATCATATGTGCTTAAACGTTTTTGAAAATGATAAAAATGTTTTCCATTCAATGACTTTTTAGTCATCTCCGTCAAACATGATCACTTCATTGAATCAATTATTCTAGTAATCATCCTTTGATCTATGGAGGATAGTGTAGTGGCAATGTCTCTCATTCACCAACCTACTCTGTTCATGGCTGTGGTGGCTGTCCTTTGGCGGATATTATTAGAGAAAAAGAATAAAATTCTTATCCTATTTTTTAATTCTCCACTATTGTATAACCACTTTCCCACTTCCTGTAACCTCTCCTAGAAACTATGAACCACTTCTCTACATCCCCTGTAAACGTGTATAAAGAGAACAGAAGAATCTCAATGCAAATCACTTTTGATTGCTATCAATCTCCTTTGTTAAGAATACTTTATTCCAACATGGTATCAGAGCTAGCAACGATCAGCTAGTATCGATCCAATTTTCACCTCCTTGATTTTTTCTTTTCCCTGTTCTCTCCGATCCAAATAATCCTCTGTTTTCTGTTCACCTCTGTTTTCTTTCATCAGCCCTCTGTTTGCGTCCAATCCTCTGTTCTTAGTCATCATGTCTGGCGATTCCACTGTCCACGACTCAGCCACCTCTGCTGCAATTCCAGTCATTGTCACGTTCAATCCTGCAGCTCAGCTTCCTCTAAAGCTCACTCCCACTAATTTTGCTTCCTGGCGATCTCAGTTTGAAACTCTGCTTATGGGGCTTGATCTGTTTGGATTCATTGATGGCTCCACCATTGCTCCTTCTCGTACAATCACCATGGAGGCCGCTACGCAAGCCAATCCTGCCTACCAGTATTGGTTTCGACAAGATAAGCTAATTCTACATGCCCTCAGATGTTCGATTTCAGAATCTATTTATTCCTTTGTCTCTGCGGCGTCGACGTCCCGCGAGGCGTGGCTCATCCTTGAAAAACTATACGCGAGTAGTGCTCAATCTCGTGTGATTCACTTGAAAACTAAATTGGCCAAGACGGTCAAAGGGGATAATGATGTTCTGACGTTTGTGAATGACCTGAAGAGTCTTGCCGCCGAGCTCGCCCTTGTGAATGCGGCGGTTGCTGAAATGGATTTGGTGGTTCTTTGTCTTCGCGGCTTGGGCGACGAATATGCTGCCTTCTCTGCTGCTGTTCGTGCTCGAGGTCCGGGTCTCACCTTGGAGGATCTCGTGGACTCCCTTGTCGAATATGAGTCCGATCTGAAGGCGCAGGCGCGCCACTCTGTTCCCACGGCGTTTTACACTCACCCGCAGCAGCAGAGACAGGGCGGCGGCGGCGCGTCTCGTTCCCAGCAGCATCGGGGATTTGGGACTTCTCCTCGTTTCCCTAGCCCACAATCCAGGCCGGCTTCTCCGCGTGCAGTGGGCTCCTTGCGGCTGATCCTTCTAGGGCCCAAAGCCCATTTCGACCCCCTGGGTTTAATGGCCCATCTGCTGCTGAATCTACCCACCACCGCCGGCAGCCCATTATTTGTCAGTACTGTGACAGGTCGGGCCACACGGTCCACCAGTGCTTCAAACTTTTTCCACAGGCTCGGCAGGCTTACCAGGCCCGTCAGGCCCAAGCCCATCACACTGTTGATGGTCCCGCTCCTTCTACTGGCCCTTGGTTACTTGATTCAGCGGCTTCTCATCATGTCACGCCCGATTTAGGGAATTTATCACTCTATTCTGATTACAATGGTCCGGACGAGATTCTTGTTGGTGATGGCACAGGTTTGCAAATCACACATATTGGGTCTACTAAATTGTGTTCATCGTCATCTTCCTTACATTTGCAAGATGTTTTATGTGCCCCTGCCATCCAGCGCCGACTTATTTCTGTTGATAAACTTTGTCGCACTAATCCCATTTCAGTGGAATTTTTTGCTGATTATTTTGTTGTGAAGGATCTTCGCACGGGGGCGCCGCTGCTGAAAGGGGCAAATAATTGGGATGTCTATGAGCTGCCCGGTGATGTGGATAATGTTCGTCTTGCGCTTGTCGCCACTCGCACCACCTCCGCCTCCTGGCATGCTCGTCTTGGCCATCCGTCTAGTCATTCTCTCACCAGTCTTCTTCGCTCCCAGTCCTTGCCAGTAACTTCCTCCATCGTCAGTAGTCATTGCAATTCCTGTCTTTCGAATAAAAGTCACAAACTTCCCTTTGCCATGTCCTCTTTGCAGAGCTCTAGGCCCTTTGATTTATTGTATACTGATGTTTGGGGACCAGCTCCGGTTACCTCTCTTGATGGTTTTCGTTATTACTTAATAATCGTTGATCATTTCTCCCGTTATACGTGGTATTACCCCTTGAAAAATAAATCTGATGTGCTCTCTGTGTTTCTTGCTTTTCGCATGATGGTCGAGAATTATTTTTCCACCACCATTCGTCGTTTATATTCCGATGGTGGCGGTGAGTTTCAGAAATTGTGTTCTACTCTCTCACATCATGGCATCACTCATCTTCTCACACCACCTCATACTCCTGAGCATAATGGACTGGCTGAGCGAAAGCATCGTCATCTTGTCGAAACGGGTATCACTCTCATGCATCATGCTAACCTTCCTACCCTGTTTTGGTCTTTTGCCTTTTCCACTGCTGCCTATTTGATTAATCGTCTCCCGTCCTCTGCATTACGTGGTCACAATCCTTACACTATCCTGTTCAACCTTGCTCCTAATTATCATAAATTACGTGTGTTTGGGTGTCTCTGTTACCCTTGGTTGCGTCCCTATTCTGCTCACAAATTGGACCCTCGATCTCGTCCTTGCATTTTTATTGGTTATTGTCCTCAACGTAGTGCCTATAGGTGTCTTGATCCGGTCTCTCATCGCATTTTTCTCTCTCGGCATGTCCACTTTGTTGAGAATTCCTTCCCCGGTTTTTTAGCTAACCCAAATGCAGCTACTCCCACCGTGGACTCCTGGTTGTATGACATGGGCCCGAACTTTGTCCACATCCCCGTCTCTGGGCCTGCTCCAGCATCGGCCGCTGCTCCTTCCTCGGCTCATGGTCCCCGCTGCGCTGCTCCCTCCACAACATCACTGGGCCTCTCATCTGGGCCTGCTGGGCCTCCGCCGTCTTCCACTTCCGCGCCTGGACCGGCCCTCTCCCCGGCCCCGCTGCCTTCCATCCCCTCCGCGCGTGGGCCTGATGGGCCCTCTTCCTCAGGGCTTGAGCACTCCTCGCCCCGGCCCACCACAGCCCAGCCTGTTGTGCCCCCCCCCCCCAATTCAGCGCCCGCACCGGATGCAGACACGGGCCCAGACGGGTATTTATCGGCCCAAGCGGCTGTTTCCAGCTCTCCACGACCTCCTTGCTCCCTCCTGTTCCTCTTGAGCCTCGTTCAGTTGCCTAGGCTATGCGTTTTCCAGAATGGGATGCTGCCCTTCACAAAGAACATGATGCCCTGCTTCAGAATCATACGTGGGGATCTCGTTCCTCGTCAACCTCATTTTAATGTCCTTGGCAACCGCTGGGTCTATCGCATCAAGCATCACCCTGATGGTTCCATTCGTCTCTATAAGACTCGCCTTGTGGCCAAAGGCTTTCACCAGCGCCCCGGTGTTGATTTTCAGGATACGTTCAGTCCCGTCGTCAAACCGGTCACCGTCCGTACGGTGTTCACCATTGCTCTCTCTCAGGGTTGGCCGATCAAGCAGTTTGATGTCAACAATGCCTTTCTCCAAGGCCCTCTTACTGACGAGGTATATATGGCTCAACCCCCTGGGTTTGTGGACCCTCAGCGTCCTACGCATGTTTGTCAACTCCGAAAAGCCATCTATGGTCTTCGTCAAGCTCCACGTGCCTGGTACACTGCTCTCAGCTCCTTCTTGCTTGAGTTTGGTTTTTAGAAGACCCAGTCCGATGCTTCATTATTTGTCTATCACCACTCTGGCTTTCTTCTCTATTTTCTCGTGTATGTGGATGATCTTCTGCTCACTGGTAATGATTCCACGGCGCTATCCACATTTCAGCATGCCCTTGCACGCAGGTTCTCCTTAAAGGAACTAGGTGATGTTGATTACTTCTTAGGCATCGAGGTTATTCCCACGACCTCAGGCTATGTTTTGTCCCAGCACAAATATATGGTTGATATCCTCACCAGGTTTCATATGCTCGATGCTGCTCCAGCCTCTACTCCTCTCGCTTCTTCTGCCACCTTGTCTCTTCGTGATGGAACGTCTCCCACTGATGCCACTCGCTATCGTCAAGTGTTAGGGGCATTACAGTATCTTGTGTACACTCGTCCCGACATTGCCTTCTCGGTAAATAAGCTCTCTCAGTATATGCACTCCCCCAGCACCTATCACTGGCAGTGTCTCAAGCGTCTTCTACGCTATGTCTGTGGAACTATCTCCTATGGTCTTGCTATTCGCCGCACACCTGCTCCATTACGTCTCACCTCCTTTGCTGACTCTGACTGGGCGGGTAATTTGGATGATCGCACCTCCACCTCTGCATATCTTCTCTATTTGGGCTCCACCCTCATCTCTTGGCGGTCTAAAAAACAACGCACTGTTGCTCGCTCCAGTACTGAGGCTGAATATCGGGCTATCGCCCATGCTGCTGCCGAGTTAGAGTGGGTACAAAATCTCTTGACCGAGCTCCGTCAACCATTATCTGCCTCCCCTACGCTATACTCCGATAATCTTGGGGCAACAAGTTTTAGTTCCAACCCGGTATTTCATTCCAGGATGAAGCATTTAGCTCTCGATTATCACTTCGTTCGCCAACTGGTCCAGGATGGTCGTCTCCTCATTCTTTACATCCCCACTGCTCAGCAACTCGCTGATGTGCTCACCAAACCGCTGGCTGCGACTCGTTTCCTTCTACTTCGGTCCAAGATTGGAGTCGTGGACACGACCTCCATCTTGCGGGGGCGTATTAGAGAAAAAGAATAAAATTCTTATTCTATTTTTTAATTCTCCACTATTCTATAACCACTTTCCCACTTCCTGTAACCTCTCCTAGAAACTCTGAACCACTTCCCTACATCCCCTGTAAACGTGTATAAAGAGAACAGAAGAATCTCAATGCAAATCACTTTTGATTGCTATCAATCTCCTTTGTTAAGAATACTTTATTCCAACAGATATGACGTTCGCGAAATTGGGTTGTCTTTGAAGGCAAACAGTTTGGGTTTCCTGCCTTGATGCGTAAGTTCAATCAGCAGTATGAGGAATGGGTCCGATTGCCGTTGGGTAGGATCCCCATGGCTGTACCCACTGTGGTTGATACTCCTGGGGCACCTCCACTAGGTGTGGATGGGGAGGGCAGTGTTGTTTGCATGTGGGATGGGGCGGTGAGAAGGGGTTCGCATTCGGCTGGCGGGATGGTTCTCCTGACTCCAGCGAGAGATGTTTGGCTGGTAAGAGGAGTTCAATTTCCTTGCATGGATGACCCTATGGTGGTGGAGCTACTTTCCCTCAGGGAGGCTGTTTTGTGGTGCTTGTCGGTTGGCCTTTCGGAAGTCAAGTTTGAAGGCGACTAAGGTTCTCATTGATAAAATCAATAAGGCGGATGCCAGGGATAACCGAGTTGGAGCTGTTCTGGAGGAACTTCTGCAATATTTTAACAGCTATACTGGGTTTAGTGTTCGATTTGTAGGTCGACGTAGTAATAGGGTAGCCCATATGGTGGCTCGTAAAGCCCTCTCGTTGTACCCGACTATGAGTCGTTTCTTTAATTTTTAGCCCTGACTGAATTCCAGGATGTAGCTACCTATTTTTTGGATCAATATCAATTATCTTTTGTAAAAAAAAAGTTATAACCCTATATTATATTGATAGATTTTTTTTCCCCAAGCAAGTAAGATATTGATAGATTTTTTAGGACTCCACATGCCAATTCCCTTTCCCGGAGCCTCCATTCTCTAAAGTCTAATATACTCTCTACCTACCCACCCTTTGTTTTCTTTTTGCATACCTACCATGAGCCCATCACCGATAAGCTCGTCCAATTACACAAATGTGAAATGCCTGTTTTAATTTCTGGACTTGCTTTGCTTGTATAACGTAGTCGTCATCATCACCACTGGAGACCATCAATTTCAATTCAATTCAATACTCGAGTAAAACTATTTCTTTATCCCACTCTTCTCTCTGAAACTTCTGGCGACCTCACAAACTCGCAGCAAGCAAGCTGCGCAATCGGAATCTCAGTCTCCAGACCGTTCATGCATTTTTGATTCAGCTGTTGCAACTTGCAAGTGTGTCGCAGCGAGCGAAGGTTTTGGAGAACCAAAGGCAACCCATGGCTTCCGACCCTGAGCAGCCTTCCTTCTCTTCAATCGGAAGGGTAGCCACCGTTTGTTTGTTTGTTTTTTTTTTTTTTGCTTCTGCTCTTTTGCTTTCTGCATTTTAGCTTCCGGCGGGTCTATTCTAGTTCGTTTTTCTTCTTCCTGCTGTTTGCATGCCGAGAAAGAAGCAGGAACCGAGTACCGTACAACTGTAGACTTCGATTGAGGAATGAGAACGACAAGATTTGGGAGAGTGTATTGAACTCTATTGTGTTAACTTACCTTTCAAACGGTTTGGAGATCTGAACATTCCAGCGGCTAGATGATTTAGGGTCTGATTTGTGAGCGGACTTTCTTTGGGTTAAGACTCAAGCTTGTGTGGCTCGGAGTAGTTGAATTTGATTCCGAGAGTTTAGTGTACTCATCTTGAGAGAATTGGGACCGAATCGACGTTCACTTGTGTTTTTTCAGGTCGGGAAGTCTTCCGGCGAGATTGATGGTGCTGGTGTGGATGAGCCTTTGCTGAATGCCGGTCAGCATCATAGCTCCGAGAGTTATTCTGTGCTGGCTGCAATTTTCCCGTAAGTTCATATTTTGCCGAAAGAGAGGACAGAAGTCGTTGAACTGATGTTCTCCTGCGCTTATAACTTTTCTTTGGATTTCAGGTTTCTGTTTCCTGCTTTGGGAGGACTGTTATATGGTTATGATATTGGTTCCACCTCGAGTGCTACGATATCTATTCAGGTGTGATTCTAAAGACAAGAGAGTGTGTATGTGAGATCACTGCATCTGGAATTTCACATACCCTGTTTTGCTGACATGTCTATCTCTGTTCTTCTCTTGCAGTCAGCTAGCTTTAGTGGAATTTCATGGTACAACTTAAGTTCTGTGGAAGTTGGGCTCATCGTAAGTTTGTTACTCGTAGGGGGCATACTGTTGTCTAGTTTTCGGCTAGACGCCTGCTTCTTAATGATGTATTTATCTGGCCAAGTATTCATGCAAACTGTAACACATGTGACTGTTGGTTCTCGCAGACAAGTGGCTCATTGTATGGCGCGCTCATTGGATCCATATTGGCCTTCAATATTGCAGACTTTCTTGGTTCTTGTTCCGACTCAACTCCATGACATTATGATAGTTCTTTTCGTGATGACAAAAATTATGCTTTTTCTTCCCCTTTCCAATTAAGAAGGAGATTTTAACCAATGCTGTAATGCATTTTGAATTGAAGGAAGAAGAAAGGAGTTGATTCTGTCTGCTGTCTTGTATCTTGTCGGGGCACTCATAACAGCAGTAGCACCTAATCTGGCCATTTTGATCATTGGGCGTGTTTTATTTGGTACTGGAATAGGATTGGTACGATGCACCTCTTGTTCTTGTAGCTCCTGAACCAATGGATGATTTTTGTGTCAAAGCACTGCTTATATGATTTTTTCTGCTGCCTTTTAGGCAATGCATGCTGCTCCTATGTACATTGCTGAGACAGCTCCAAGCCAGATCCGTGGCCTACTAATATCTCTGAAAGAGTTTTTTATTGTCCTCGGGATGGTGGTAAGTGCTTCAATTGCTTCTGGTCTGTGTGTGTATTTACCTCATGGCCACGTGTGGCTGTAATTGGTTGCATCTCTGATCTCTCTGATTGACATGGATGCATTATAGGCTGGCTATGTCGTTGGTAGTCTTCTAGTTGAGACTGTAGCTGGCTGGCGCTATATGTATGGAGTCAGTACCCCTTTGGCAGTGATCATGGGGATTGGGATGTGGTGGCTAGCTGAATCACCTAGATGGCTCCTGCTGCGTGCAATACAGGGTAAAGGTGATGCACGAGATTTGAAAGAAACGGCAATAAATTGTCTGTGCCGCCTTAGGGGTGAAGCTTTTGGAGATACTGCTCCTGCACAAGTGGAAGAGATCCTCAATGAGCTTGCTTTTGTTGGAGAGGAGAAGGAAGTTACATTTGGGGAAGTATTCCAAGGAAAATGCTTGAAGGCCTTGACGATTGGCTGTGGACTAGTGCTGTTTCAACAGGTATCTTCATTACTGGGAAAGAAGGCGCCTTCCATGTGAACTTCTAACATTTTTCACTCTGTGCCAATTTGTGCAGATCACAGGGCAACCAAGTGTATTATATTATGCTGCATCCATTCTTCAGGTGCCCTTTTTTCCATATATTATGTTGCTGTTGTGACTTGCATTAATTTCAGTTTGCTAGTTATGTTTCCTAGGTTGTAATTACAAGACTTTACACCTGTGCCAATCCCACGTTATTTTACAGAGTGCAGGATTTTCAGCAGCTTCTGATGCCACCCGTGTCTCAATTTTGCTTGGTTTATTGAAGGTACATTCTCGTTTTTAATGTATGATTTTATCTTAACAATGTAATGAGATGTGGTATTAAAGTTCGTGTCTTGATTGATTTCTACATACTGTAAATTGTTTGCAAACTTGAATTATAATTTAATGCTAGCATGAGAAACCTATATAAAATCAGAATGGTATCCCGATTTCTCATTTTCAGTAAGCTCACTTTTGCTTAATTTAGAATGCACTTTTCGTAATCTCCCGTAAGTTTTATCTTTGCACTCCATTCTTGCATTATAACTTTTCTCTTTTCTTTTACCTATGGGCGTAGTAGAACTTGTCTTCCCCCTATATACCCTTCTGCTAAATGTGTCTTTTTAATGCAAACTTAGGTAATTTTCAACTTATTTTCATGTCTAGCTTAGTTGGATCTTCGTGTATGCACTTGTAAACTGAACTTTATGAAGTTTCTCAGGTGTTACGTTGACCTCCTCTTTTCAATTGATTCGTGGTTTGCACTTCTCTTATTTTATCATATTGTGCCATTCATCTCTCTGACGCTCAATGGCTTGTGTTGCAGTTAATTATGACTGGGGTAGCAGTTCTTGCAGTTGATAAACTTGGAAGGAGACCGTTGCTACTTGGTGGTGTTTCTGGAATTGTAAGTTCCTTTCTGTGACGTTCTTATATAAGCATCATCTTCTGTATTGCTTTGAGATGGCGAACTACACCTGCAATAAGATGGCAACTGGTTGGTAAAGAAACGTTAAGTTTAGGGAGCTTTATTGTTTAACCAAAAACACTCGCAAATGTCTCTTTTTTATTTGTATTTGCAGGCTGTCTCTTTATTCCTATTGGGATCATATTACATTTTCCTCAATGATGCACCCCTCATGGCAGTAGGTGCTTTGCTGGTGTATGTGGGATGCTATCAGGTAATCAAAGCTTGTCTTGTCCTTGAATGCATACTCTCATGATTTCCTAACTCGTGAGAATCTATCATCCAAGAAACCAACATGAATAGTTCCCATTCGGAAACATGTTTTTTTTGTTCCTGCAGCTATCCTTCGGGCCTATTGGCTGGTTGATGATATCAGAGATTTTCCCTCTCCGCTTGAGAGGTCGAGGACTAGGAGTGGCTGTACTGGTGAATTTCGGTGCAAACGCCTTGGTGACTTTTGCCTTCTCCCCATTGGAGGTAAAACCATATTTACATTATCATATCTTGTCATTCATCAACGTTCCATCCGCATTTCCGCCTTAAGAAATAAATCTTGAATTCATTCACTTAGGCCGTGTTTGTTTTGGGTAAAAAGAAGTGGAGCTAAAACAAATACAGTTTTTCATCTAACTTATTATATCTCAATGATAGATAACACACCCTTAATCCTGTTTCCCTGAAGTTGGAACTCTTTTAGTAACTAGTCTCGTTTCAATCTCAAATCTTCCCGTGACAGGCATGGCTCGGGGCTGGAACTTTGTTCTATCTATTCGGAGTGATAGGTCTCGTGTCGCTCCTCTTCATATTCTTCGTCGTGCCGGAGACAAAGGGACTCACCCTCGAGGAGATTGAGGCCAAATGCTTGTAAGCTGTTCCATTTGCATGTTGTGCTATCTAATAGGCTGAGTAAGGCATAGCTGGTTCTTCCTTGTCTCCAAGGTGAGATGTAATATATATGTAATATTGTTGTTGACTGGAATCCAAGACACCACACTACTTTACCCTTTCCCGCACGTTGTCTTTCAAGGTGGGAAAAGAAGAGAAAATGTAATAGTTAGCAGTAAGGCCTCCCTGTTGTAGGACACTGGACATTTCCTTATAAACCTTCGATCATCTAGGATGCAATTCCAAAAGTAATCGAGAATGAATAATTGGTATTATGAGGTTTCCACTATTTGAGTTGATTGATCCATACAATTACTGGATTAGCACCCGACTTTCGATTCGCGACGAACGCGAGATGTGACCAGAATTGGGTTGAAAAGGGTTAACATTGCATTAGGTTCATCGTCCAACCCAAACCAACTTGTCTATCGCAAATCCGATTTGAGACCCGTGGGCAAACCAACGAAAGCTAGATTTTGACTAGTATTCGGTTCAAAAGAATGATGGTTCAGGTAGCCAGTCAGATGTGGCGAGTGTATGTAAAAACTTTTGGATTTGGGACTAAACTAGTTCTGTACTGTCAGAGGATAATCAGAGCTGAACTCAGTCTTCTTTTTCTTCTCATTATACTAGAGCTGGTCCAGATGCGATCGATCTAGGAAGCTCGGGAGCTCTCGCCTCTTGGTGTTGTGCGACGTCGAGATGGACGAGAAGATGGGGTAGCCAGCGAGAGGTTGGGGGAGAACGGGTAGCGGGAGGATGGGGGAGATGGTGGAAGGCGAGCTGCCGATTTCGAGTGAGAATTTACTTTAGCGGTTTGCGATTTTGAACCGCAATCGCGTGGTTTCGAATTAACAACACCGCGAACCGCAAACCGCTAGAAATTCAGACTGCGAAATTAACGGTGCGGTTTGGCTCGACCGCAACAGCAGGTTGGTGTGATTTGAAGCGGGTTGACCGCTCCAATGCCCACCCGGCCTCTGTTGTAACAAGAAGCTTTTGCAAGTCAAGCCAAGGAAGAAGGTTGGCGAGGACACGTTGAAGGAATTAGAGTAGTTTTCTCAAATTTATTAGTTACCAAATACCACAGATAAATACCCCATCTATTTGCCCCGTGCCCAAAAAACAAGACAAACTTGCAATCAAATTTCAGAATACCACAAGGCCAATAAGTGAGTTGTTTCACAAGATCCATCTAAGTGGCGTTTGCTTGTAGGATTTTTAAAAATGAAGTATTCAGGTAAAATTCTGAATTTTATGGTTCAAGGATTACGTGGGATTTTGTCATTTTAGATTTGTGTTGAATTTTAAAAATACTTTTTTGTTTGTTGGATTTCATATTGAATTTGTATCGATAGGATTTATTAATTATAGGCTGAATTTACATTTGTATCCTTAATGATTTGTGTCTTTGAGGTTCAATATGAGATTTATAAACCATGCACCCCACGAATTTTGACATGAAAGTAATCTCATATGCATGAGGCCCACACATCATAATCTAACACCACTTTAATATAAAAAATGGACTTTGTGCATAATTCTATAGGTGTGAGATTTTAATCCAAAATCCATGATAAAAATCCTTGAAGCAAACTACAAGTCATATGTAACATGTGGGGTAATTAGCACAAAATGTCACAAACCTATTCGCTTTGTACACAAAGGTCACAAACCTTACATTTTGTACGTTTCAGTAACATATATTTGAGCGAATGACGAAAAGGTCTTTCCGTCCATCCACATCCAAAAAATCATTATTTTCGTCCAGTCACCATGCCACGTCACTTAAAATATTAATAAAAAAATATAATTGACCTAAGCCATGAACAAACCAACCGAAAACCAGACTTTGTTAGCTCAAAACCTTCCATGCGTAGCTAGCTAGCTACTTTTCGACTTGCGAAGTACCGTGGGCGTGATGGTATGAGGCTTAAGCCCAACTGTACAACCAATCAAGCCCAAAGAGGTAATGAGAATAATTTAAGCAGACAGGCCCATAATAAACCCGCGCATGGTTTTGGAACATCAACCAAAAGAGGAGGGTACATAACCCAAAATGCCGGCACGGTCTCGTCTAGGGTTTTATTGCTGTCTGGAGAAAATCGACGAGCAGAGGCAATGGCGAAGTTCAACGAAGTGCAGAAGAGGAAGAGGGCAGCCATAGCTGAAAGAAAGAGGCTGGCTCACGGAGACCCCGTCACTGCAAAGCTCAAGGCGAAACAACAGACTATACCCGTCTCCGGCAAACGCAAGCGCAAGCTCTTGAAGAAATGGCGCAGAGTAAGTTAGCTTCTTCCTTCTCTTTATCGCACTTACCCCCGCAGTCGGCTCCGTTGTTTTCGACATCGGGAAGCTATACCGTGATCAGACAAATTATCTCTCGACTTTTGCCTGAATGTTTTGTCCATTGGTCAATTTACAGGACCAGAAAGAAGTTGTGGAGAAGGGCCTCGTCACTATGGAAGACGTTGAGATGGCGATTGCTGATGGTACTATTCACTTTTCTTGGATGATTACTTCGTAACCCTCAATGGCTTAGATGCTTTTAACCTTTTGCGAAGCAAATTAACCAGCTTTATAATGGCTCCGGGTTTCCGGAAGGACTTGGAATTTAAAGTTTGGCATAGAAAAATTGATGCATTTCTAATGAAGATGAGGTGGGAGTGATGTTCCTTCTGCAGGGAGTTAGTCATGTTAGTGTTTGTGTTCATCTCTTCCATCTCTTTTGTAGTCATCTATTGGCGGCAGAAAATGGTATCTAACTGGAATATGATATATAAGATCTTGGCTTAGTGGATTGTCCATGCTGAAATAATTCCCTAACTTGCTCCCAAGCTGGTCTCAGTTTTTTCTTTGATGCGTTCCCTCTTTTGCTTTTCAAAAAGGCTTGATGTTTGAGGGACATTGTTCTTTTTAGGTGAAGGCACATTGAAAGTTAACAGTAAAACATCAACGAAGTTTAATGTCAAGAAGGGGCTGAAGCTTAAGCAGTTGAAGCGTGGCAACCGTAAGTTTCCCCTTTCTCGTTGTTGTTTACGCGACATGTAAGTAAGACCAGTGTTTGATCGGCAAAAGTTTTTATTGACATTTTACTTGCTGCTCAGCAGGTAAAAACAAAAGTAAGTCTAAGCCAGCATCTGCGGCTTCAGTTGATGTGATGGTCGAATGAAATGGCGCAAACAATGGTTCTCAACATGCTGATTCATTGTGGGGTTTCAAATCTGAGGACGGGTATAGATAGTAGCTATGGACTTGTCTGTGTTCAATTGTTGCATTCTTATTCTCAATTTAGTACCTTCTGTGATCTCCTTCGGTCTTTTTGGGCTTCTTCTCCGGTTGTTAGTAAGTTAGTAACTACGCACTGCCCTGCTAATTGCAATAGGGGGAAATCTATATGTCAAATATGCCTGGGAAGTAGCAAGATCTCTTTTTGATATAGCAAGTCAAGTGTAATTTCGAATCATGTTTTGTTTCTGTGGAGCAATGAAATGAATTACGGATTTTTGATAACTTGACAGCCAAGTGATAGTTTTGGACCTTGTGCTTCTTACATAGAATGGCCGCAGTTTATGAGTTCTTTCTTTGTCAACATCAGCATTACCTCTGGTCTGAATTTGGAAAGACTTCTTGGTTCCTTTTGACTCTCTGATGCCTACTAGAATGAATCGGGTAATATGTTCTGGTGATATATTATGAGGATACACTAATAAGATTGATCCTATCCCTCAATTTGTAGATTGTTCCTTGTCCTCTTTGCAGATGTGTTTGTTTTGTTTAGGGATCGTTTAGACGTTGGATTTGAAAAGTAATGAACTACACTAAATACATTAATGCGGAAAGTTATGGATTGTGATACTTATTTAGTGATGGCAATGGGCGGGGTGGGTACCTCAATACCTATGTCTTGTTGGCCGCCTCCTCAATACCTATGTCTTGTTGGCCGCCTCGTGCGGGTACAGGGCAGGGCGGGTAATACCTATGCGGGTACGGGGCGGGTCAACTCATTCTGACATGTTATTTGATAAAAATATACGTAAAATTTTACTTTTTATGATAAAACGAAGGGGAAAACACTTTATGAGGAAGACTAGTGATAATAGAATGTGTACTTCACTCTAACTATTTGAAAGATTAATCCTAATTACTATTAGTTGAAATATGAATAGATACGGTAAGAAATTGAGATAAAATGTGGCAAGAACAGAGCGGGGCAAGCTGAGTCCGAAGTAGATATCCATGCCCACACACTACTGCAGGTCGAGTAATACCTGGCCCATTATGGATCGGGACGGGTCCAAATTGTCATCCCACTCATGAACTCAAATGTTTAGGTCCTGTTTAGTATTATTGTGTGTTTTTGTTTCCTGTTGTGATTTTAAAAATTGTAGAAACCAAGAAAAGAAAACATGTTTAGTTGGATTTTTTATTTTTGTTGTGGACTTTAGTGCAACAGGTTTTAACAACCAAGCCCAAATCAGCAAAACAATAAAAGATGGCTTCGTGACTGTTTTATCTCATGGTTGCGTACGAGATTTTCTTTTCACTTAAGTCATTTCTTTTTTCATTAATATTTTTCTCTTTCTCCGTCACTTTCCTCATTCCCCCACACTCATCCCTGTCTCTGTAACTTCCCCCAAAATCATCTCCTGCTCTCCATCTTCTTCTCTCGTTCTCCATCTGCTTCTCCAGGCGGACAGGGAAGCGGCAGCGTCGAGCTATTGGGACAGGAGCGGGGTCGGGAGGAAACTTTCCTTTCCTTTTCTTATCTTCTTCTCTGGGAAGTGGCGTTGCGCAAACTTGTAGGGTAGTGAGTCGATTAAGCTGGAATAGTACTCAACATCGTTCTAAAGGAAAAAACTAGGGGATTCAACCCAAGAAAGCTCCCAAACTTGTAATTAACTAGGGTAGTATAGTTGGTTTAGTTTTTCTAATCACTACTCTAGGTTGGCTAGATAATGAAACCTAAACCTAAACTAGGGTAAGCTTAGATCCCCGTGGTTCGATATATTGTATTGCTTGCTTGCCCTATGCTACACCCTGTCGTCCGTTCTACTTGGTCGTCGAGTGGGAATGTTGTAGTCGGTGTGAACCACTTTCTCGTTAAGAAAACAAGATGCTGTTTGAGTACAATGATGGCCGGAGAGCATGTACGATGGTGATTCTGCAAGTTTGGATGAATCTGGAGCAGCCAATTATGTATGGAAACCCGGCTGGAGGTTTCACGGAAACATTCATGTTGATTTGAGTTTTTAAACTCATGATTTGGACTGCATGTTTAATCGGCTATTTGAGCTCTTGATTCCTTAGGAATTACAGTTTGATCGTATGTTCTGGATGTTGATTTTGTTGGTAATTTTGTATAGAAGCCAGGCTGGAAAAGATTGCTTAAGGAAGTTGCGAAACAGAAGCAAACAAGAGTGTGGAAGCTTGCTTGGGTGAATTGCTTGGTTCACAAGATTGATGTTAGGGTACAATCCAAGTACCACATCGGAAAAATTGTAATGGGACAATTCAAGTACCTCATCGGTTATACAAGGGAAGGAACCTTTGTATATTAGTGTCCACCAAGCTCATTAGTATGAGGCCTTTTGGAGAGGACACCCAAGAGTAAAACCGTGCGGGCTTGGCCCAAAGCGGACAATATCGTACTAATCGGCTGCCAAATTATGACAAGTGGTATCAGAGCTTGGTTGAGCAGATCCGGGGCGGTGGACGTCAATTCGGTGGACCCTCGTTCTGTAGCCTCGGGATTTGAGATTTGCATTTGTCTGGCGGGTCAAAGGTGATTCGCGTATGTTTGGTGGATCCACGAGAGATCCACGTTTGGGCTACACCTGGTTTGGCGGATCAAGGGAGGTCCGCTTCTTTCTGGTGGATTTAGGAGAGATCCACGTCTGTTTGGCGGATCAAAGATACTTCCGCGTATGGGAAAATCCTTGTACCGAGAAGCCCATCGATACAAGGTGTCTGGCGGATCAAGATAATCGCTGAGGTGAGGACACGATGTTCGTGGTCTTTGGCTTGAGGGGAGGATTGTTATGGGACAATCCAAGTACCACATTGGTTATACAAGGGAAGGAACCTTTGTATATTAGTGTCCACCAATCTCATTAGTACGAGGCCTTTTGAGGAGGACACCCAAAAGTAAAACCATGCGGGCTTGGCCCAAAGCGGACGATATCGTACTAATGGGCTGTCCAGTTATGACAATTGATGTCTTAGTTGAGTTCGAAATTGGAAGTGTATTCTCTTGTTTTTCACTTGTTTTGAGGACAAACCTTCTCTAACGAAGAGGGACCGATGCAAATCCGTTGGCAATGTGCATTGTGGAGAAGAGATCAAGAGCCATGTTCATTAATTCATTTTGAGCTTGTTCACTTCAAGCACAAGTTAGTTCATTTGATGGCTTGTGAAGTGAAGGTTCTAGATGCAATTGTCAAGTTCGTTGAAGGTAGACTCAAGGAGGGAATTGGCAAGAAGATTAAGAACCATTGTGGCAATATTTTGGAGGACAATTTCGGGTTTGGGATGGCCTAACTGGCGAATGAGTTGGGGATTGCTATTCGTTGCCCTAAAACTCTTTATTTGTCGCCCTAACATTCATTAAAATGACTTAAATATCCTTAGCCCATATCATGACAGGAAGAGAGCTAATTGCCCAAAGGTAAACACGAAAATTAATGCATAATAAAGCATACTGGCCATTCTTCATATACAATTATATATGCTTTAATTTCATTAGTGATTCTGGTGTCCATACAGAATCAACTGAGGAAGCAGGCTTCGGATGGTAATTAGCAGTGGGAATCCTTATATGAAAATGCAACGCAGAAGCAGAAATGAATCCTGTTTTGGAAGCCATGCAGAAGCAGAAAATGGTCGGCGACCTGCATACGAGCTCTCCGACGACGGGCTGGTGGGATTCTTTCTCAGTAATGATAGGAGGACGACGAGGTGGGGGAATGGGAGCGGCGACGGATTGGGAGAACGGCAGCGGTGGTCGTACGAGGAGTGGCGGCGGGTTGGGGGAACGGCAGCAGTGGTCCAAGTTAGGGATTACAAATTGAATTTTGGTACAAGGATATAATTGTCAATATAGTATGATTTAGGGCGAGATAATTTAAATTTTAGGGCGACAAATAGCAATTCAGAAAAAATAGGGTAAATTCCAATTTTAGTCACTAGGTTTACTAAAATGTGTAATGTTTAGTAACTAGAAAAAATTAATATCAATAATGATCACTGAGTTTAGTAAAACACGTCATGTGTGGTCACTCTCTATTAGTCTCCGTCCAACTCCGTTAATGACGTCTGTTAAGTGCTGAGATGACAAACGAAATCGCCTAATCAACCAATTTAACTCAAAAAAATAAAACTCGACCCATCAAGTCATTAAAACTAACCAAATTCATTCCGTTAGTATTTGATTATCAATTATACCACTAACATGATAACAGTTAAAATCCTATCTAGGAAGTTAGCTCTTACTCGTCCCTCACAGTACGCAACCGTTTCCTATCTCAGCAGGAAGCAGCGCTCTCTTCCTCTCCCTCTTGTGGTGAGAGAGAGGTACACAACCCCCAACTCCAATGGCCGCCTTGCTCCGCCACCACCCTCTGCCTCCGGCCGTCCCTTCTCTCTCCCGCCACCGCTTCCTCCCTCCTTCTCATCCTCCTCTTGTGTTATCCTTCCGCCGCCGTGTAGCCGTGGTCCGGGCTTCTGGCAACAACGACTTCGACAGGTTCGCCAGAAAAGCCTGGCGCAGCGCAAATGATGGCTTTGAGCTCTTCCTTTTCGAGGCGAAGAAGACGGTGGAACGCATTGACCGGAAGTACTCGGTCGGCCGGCGTCTCAATGTTGCCACGCAGTCTGCCGTTGATAGAGCGCGCTTGATCGATAGGGATTTGAACATCACCGTTCGTTGGCGCGCCTTCACCATGGATTTCTCCCGAAACTGGCCTAGGGTTTGACTCCTTTTATCACTTCTACTACTGATATTTTCCGTTTCATTCCGCTTATGGTAGCTTTTGACGCTTTCTTCCAATTTCTCATTTCGACTTTTGGTTTTGGATATTTAGTTTTCATTTGTCTTTGCTGATTTTCACATTTTTGAAATGGCTTCATTGCAGTACAGGAAGCAGCTCAATGATCTCATGGATACTCCATTAGGAAGATTTTCTTATGTGAGTCCTGCTTCTCATAATTCGCAATTGGCGTTCACAGCAAGATGAATCTTCTTTCTTGGTGTTTGGACTTTTTTCGTGTATTTATTGTTAGCAAGAATGGTTGGTATTTATACATGCTATGCATACAATATGGTGGAAGCTGCTTGTGACCCGTCTGTTTACTTTAGAACCTGGTAGATAGAGTTTTTCTAATGTACATTACAGGGTTGTTGATCAATGGAAACTGTGATTATCCCCCTTGTCGATGATCGGCTACTCTACAGTATCTGATGGGAGGAATCAGTAGCAAATCAGTTTCCTTGAACTTGTGATTGGTCACCAACTTTGTCTTCAATCTGTGGAATAAAAGTTTTTGGATGAATCTGAATTGGGCTTCGGAAAAGTTGAGTGCATTAGATGTTTTCGCTCAATCTTAAAATAGGTTCTTCAGTAATTTAGATAGATGGATGCCAAAGGGAATCAGTTGCATACTGTAACAACTTAGTGGAACTTCTGTGTGAGTTTTATTTTTAAAGTTGCTTTTCAATTTCTATTCACTGTAGTATGCAGCCGCATACTATGTGGTCCTATGACTATTCAAGTTGTTGGCAACACGTACTCGGAGTCGCCTGCGGAAAAAAAAAGTGTTAACCTTTGTCTGTAAAGGACTTTGGACATAGACAGTAAACTTGATCGCACAAAACATTTCAATGCCTTATAATGTGGCAAATTAAGTTATCCTTGTTCTTTGAAGCACTCTGTTTTTGTGACAGTTGCTTTGTTACATGATGGTTGGGACCCTGTCTTGCCCATCATCAAGATATTGAATAACCATTTTTTGACTTCTTAACGACCAATGTGTGCATTATCATTCTGAATTTGGTACCTATCACGAGAATTTTGATTGTTTTAGGCATTATCATTTTCGTAGGATGATGAAGCAGATTTTTACAGTTATTTCGCTTTTGTTCTAGGTAGATTAACATTCAAGATTTTCTCTTTCTTGAGCTGATTGTTCATTGAGTATTCTGATTGTTACGGAGGACTTCTCTTCCGAAAATGCTTGACCATTTGTCCTTGCTGTTTGTTATCTTATCAGTTAGTAGCTTCCCTTATGGGCTTGTGTAACACTTCCCTTACTTTTTGTTTCTCTTTTCCAGGCTATGTTCTTCGTCTGGTTTGCTCTATCAGGGTGGCTGTTTCGGTTCATAATATATGGTTCATGGATTCTGCCGCTTGCTGTGCCTCTTATAATAGCAGCTATTGGGAATAATCTTGTCATCAAGGTACTAATGGTCAATGATTTTTGGTTCCTGTTACTGTGTACATTTATGGTTTGTCCAACTATATATGTTCTACTTGCTTGCGGATGTTAGCAGCTATTGGGAATAATCTTATCATCTGAGTACTGAGTTGAGGGGAAACAATACTTCCTTGTTCTCTTTATTACTCTTGCCAACCATTTGGTTCAGTAGTAAAGTCAGTTTCCTGTTTGATAATGCATTTTCCCCCCGTTTCATCTAGCCACATGACCAAAATATTTGAAGCATATGTTTGTATATGGCTTAAAAGTCTGAATGGTTTTTGCAGCTCTACCAACAGTTTCATTGTTTGTCTGGTTGCTTTCCATTCCTAATTAAAAAAAAAAAAACGTGACGAAGTTACTTGCTTCTCAGTAGGCAGGATGATTGATGGTCCAAGAAGTGTATTGTTTCATGTTATACATGTTGATCTATATCCTTCCATCATGGTTCTATGTTTGATATGCCTATATCCCTTTTCATGTCAGCAGTAAGTAGTATCCTTCCCATGGTCAGTGCTACCATGCTGCAATGACCAGTAAATGTCTTATCAAACAGCTGTGTTTAGTCGTGCTGTTGAAACGAAAGCCGATGTATGACTTGGCCTATTTTGTATTGTATATATCATTTGCAGGGGTCGTGTCCAGCTTGTAGGCAGGATTTCATGGGTATCAAGAACCGGGCAATCCGCTGTGCAGGGTGTGGTAACATTGTGTGGTACCCTGAAGACGACGTATTTTCAAGAGGCGGAGGTGCCGGTGGTAAGAAAGGAACAAAACCTTCAAAGTCAGATCCTAATGTAATCGACGTGGAATTTGAAGAGAAATAATGTGGCGTCGTGGGGATGGTGATCTGAATAACATAAGGATATTTCAAGCCTTTTCCAGGTACTGTGAACTCTTAGACACACCAGAAGGATGGAAATTAGAATTGTTGTAGGGATCGGAAGCGGAAAAGAGGAAAGGGAATTATAGCTTCTCCAGTTTTGCATTTGTCTGTGGTTCTATATATTTGTATTTCAGCCTGACTGCAGGAGCATGTCAATTGGAATAGTTTTAAGGGAGTCTCAGTATAAGAAGAAAAATGCTTTGTACAGAACGCAGCCTATTCGTATTATTATTTTTTTCCATGTAATAGTACAGCAGTTGCTACAGGAGCTATAAATAATTTCATGTGTTCAAGGGGTGAAAATTGGAGGTGATAGCAAGGATTTCAATAAGTTTTACTTCCTCGAGTTATGTACGACATTTTCCGCTTTTTATTGCCCCGTCTTTAAATCTCCTCTTTAATCAACCCTGATATGAGTCTAAGCCCCGTGAAAGTCTAGGTTCTTGTGATCAAAGGCACGCAGTAATAACTAAATGTTGGATAGCTCGAATTGAGCTTCAAAGTTCAAACTAGCATAAAATTATAGGAATACGTGGAGAAACCAATCAAACAACCTTGCACCGGGAAGGAGGGTTAATTGGTATTGATAGATACTTGCCGCAATCTAGTATGATTGCTTGATTGAAAGAGTCTTACAAAACCTATTTTGGAATCTTCAATAGAATGGTTTAAATAAGAATCTTCAATAACTATGGAATCCACCAATAGCTAAGACAATTAATCATAAGCACGCACGCACGATCCATTGGAAAAACACCATGGTGTAAAATTGGTATTCAGCAAAGTATGATCGTAACTCACGGTTTACATGATACTTAAATAGAAAACTAATAACTAAAACACACGACTAACTAACTAACTAACTAACTAACTAGAAAAACAATTAAAAGAACGAGCTAACTGTGACTCTAACTAAGGAAACACAATCCGCCTCCTACAAGGTAACTCATTCGCAGTTAGGCCTTCCCAACCCGAAATTGTTCGGGGATTGCTATTCGTCGCCCTAACTCTTTATTTGCCGCCCTAACATTCATTAAAATGACTTAAATATCCTTAGCCCATATCATGACAGGAAGCGAGCTAATTGCCCAAAGGTAAACACGAAAACTAATGCATAATAAAGCATACTGGCCATTCTTCATGCACAATTATATATGCTTTAATTTCATTAGTGATTCTGGTTTCCATACGGAATCAACTGAGGAAGCAGGCATCGATGGTAATTAGTAGTGGGAATCCTTATCTGAAAATGCAATGCAGAAGCAGAAATGAATCCTGTTTTGGAAGCCATGCAGAAGCAGAAAATGGTCGGCGACCTGCCTATGAGCTCTCCGGCGAGGTGGGGGAATGGGAGCGGCGGCGGATTGGGAGAACGGCAGCAGTGGTCGTACGAGGAGTGGCGGCGGGTTGGGGGAACGACAACAGTGGTCCAAGTTAGGGATTACCGATTGAATTTGGGTAAAAGGATATAATTGTCAATATAGTATGATTTAGTGCGAAATAATTTAAATTTTAGGGCGACAAATAGCAATTCAGAATTGTCCTCCAAAATATTGCCACAATGGTTCTTAATCTTCTTGCCAATTCCCTCCTTGAGTCTACCTTCAACGAACTTGACAATTGCATCTAGAACCTTCACTTCACAAGCCATCAAATGAACTAACTTGTGCTTGAAGTGAACAAGCTCAAAATGAATTAATGAACATGGCTCTTGATCTCTTCTCCACAATGCACATTGCCAACGGATTTGCATCGGTCCCTCTTCGTTAGAGAAGGTTTGTCCTCAAAACAAGTGAAAAACAAGAGAATACACTTCCAATTTCGAACTCAACTAAGACATCAATTGTCATAACTGGACAGCCCATTAGTACGAAATTGTCCGCTTTGGGCCAAGCCCGCATGGTTTTACTTTTGAGTGTCCTCCTCAAAAGGTCTCGTACTAATGAGATTGGCGGACACTAATATACAAGGGTTTCTTCCCTTGTATAACCGATGTGGTACTTAGATTGTCCCATAACAATCCTCCCCTCAAGCCAAGGAGGCAAGGACCACGAACATCGTGTCCTCACCTCAGCGATTATCTTGATCCGCCAGACACCTTGTATCGATGGGCTTCTCGGTACAAGGATTTTCCCAGTCGCGGAAGTATCTTTGATCCGCCAAACAGACGTGGATCTCTCCTAGATCCACCAGAAAGAAGCAGACCTCCCTTGATCCGCCAAACCAGATGTAGCCCAAACGTGGATCTCTCGTGGATCCACCAAACAGACGCGAATCACCTTTGACCCGCCAGACAAACGCAAATCTCAAATCCCGAGGCTACCGAACGAGGGTCCACCGAACAGACGTCCACCGGCCCGGATCTGCTGAACCAAGCTCTGATGCCACTTGTCATACCTGGGCAGCCCATTAGTACGATATTGTCCGCTTTGGGCCAAGCCCGCACGGTTTTACTCTTGGGTGTCCTCCCCAAAAGGCCTCATACTAATGAGCTTGGTGGACACTAATATACAAGGGTTCCTTCCCTTGTATAACCGATGTGGTACTTGGATTGTCCCATAACAATTTTTCCGATGTGGTACTTGGATTGTGCCCTGACATCAATCTTGTGAACCAAGCAATTCACCCAAGCAAGCTTCCACACTCTTGTTTGCTTCTGTTACGCAACTTCCTTAAGCAATCTTTTCCAGCCTGACTTCTATACAAAATTACCAACAAAATCAACATCCAGAACATACGATCAAACTGTAATTCCCAAGGAATCAAGAGCTCAAACAACCGATTAAACATGCAGTCCAAATCATGAGTTTCAAAACTCAAATCAACATGAATGTTTCCGTGAAACCTCCCGCCGGGTTTCCATACATAATTGGCTGCTCCAGATTCATCCAAACTTGCAGAATCACCATCCTACATGCTCTCCATCATTGTACGCAAACAACATCTTGTTTTCTTAACGAGAAAGTGGTTCACACCGACTACAACATTCCCACTCGACGACCAAGTAGAACGGACGACATGGTGTAGCATAGGGCAAGCAAGCAATACAATATATCGAACCACGGGGATCTAGGCTTACCCTAGTTTAGGTTTAGGTTTCATTATCTAGCCAACCTAGAGTAGTGATTAGAAAAACTAAACCAACTATACTACCCTAGTTAATTACAAGTTTGGGAGCTTTCTTGGGTTGAATCCCCTAGTTTTGTCCTTTAGAACGATGTTGAGTACTATTCCAGCTTAATCGACTCACTACCCTACCGTTAGGAGATAGGCTCGTTCGGGAATGACCCGAGACGGCGATGTGATGGATGGGTAAGTCCTTTATTCAATATAGGGATTCATATATTGCTAGGAGACAGATGGAATCAACTCTCTCGAGGATTACCCGGACAATATACGATAGGATGACCCGAAGATACCAATTATAGACTCTAGGGGGATTATCTTCCTCCTAGGTCAAAAGCATTGACAAGTAGAACTCATGGAATTCATGAAACCATCCATCACTTAGATAAATTCATCAATTCAACATGGAATCTGTCACATACATCAACATCAAACCCAAAATCTAGACCTAGGGTTCATCAACATAAGAGAAAGAGGTATAGTTCATAGAGAAGAGGAGAGAGAATACAAAATTTTCCAAGATCTTCATCTTCTTCATATTCTAGGTTTGAATCCTCAACTTCAAGATCAATCCAAACATTCAATTAAAATCAAAATCATGCCCATACCCGTTCGGGTTTCGGGTATTCACGGATAATAATTTCTTTTTGTAAATCCAACCAATATGTTAACATTCACACTTATTCTAACATTACATAAGTAGAAAAGTATGACAATATTTCACTAGAATGAAAAAAATTAATTAAAAACAACACAATTTATGAAAATATTATATTTATATGATAAATATAAAATATGTTAGAGAAAATTAATGATTATTTCTAGACAAAAAAATACATATGCATGTGTATAATCGGGCTGGTTCGGGTTGGATAGTGAGAAAATTATATCGACCCATTATCCGCAATATTCGGGTTCGGGTTTTACCCGTACCCACTAAACTCTTTCGGGTTCGAGTTTTACCCTACCATATTAGATCGGATTTGAACGAATATCCACGATTACAGATACTTTTGCTATCGACGGCGCTAGGGAGGTTCCACTAGTGAATGGTGGTCGGATTGGTGGATGCGCCGCTGCGGGATTGTGATAGTATGTTTTGGAAGAAAAATGAATAAGGAGAGACTTTTCATTAGGGATGGCAATGGGGCGGGTTTGCCTAAACCATCCCCATCCCCATTACCAAATACCCAAACCCATACTCGCCCCATACCTATGCGGAGTGAGGTTTTGCAAACCCATCCCCATACCTATGGGTTTCGTATACCCATGGGTAATACTCGCATCGTATAAACAATATTATTATATCTAAAGTTCTAACATGTATGTATTCAATTAAAACACAAAACATACATAATAAATAGCGGAAATCAATATAGTTATAGTATTTCTTAATAGGAATAAGCATTCAATTCTAAATATTGATTAATCAATAAAACAAAATGAAAATATAATATTATATCAAAACATTCATCTTCGAATCTAACACATTTATATAGTAAATAGTTAACATAAACTTGTAAACTAGACAAAACCTATTACTATCTCATCAACAATTTTGGTAAGGTGGTCGTCTGACTCGTCTCCAAGATGATTCAGGAGTCAGGAGAGGAAAGGCGGCGACATTGAGGAATTGAGAAAGTAAACTGTAGCCGGCTGAGAGGATAAAAAATTTCAAGGGTTCTGATAAACATAATTACATTTTAATTATATTTTCTTATTTAATTACCTTCATGCTATAATAATTTCTAAAAAATATATTTATAGCTTTTTACGCATAGCAAAATACCTTCATGGGGCGGATTTGGGTATGGGTATGAGGCGGGGATGCTAAAACCATACCCGGCTCATACTCATCAAGTTGTTTGCGGGTTTTACCCATACTCGTCCCATACCCGGTCAATGCGGGGATTCCCCGCGTTAACTGGGTCGAAGATGGCGGATACCCACGACCATGGGTTCGATTGTCATCCCTACTTTTTATTTAATTTGTTTTTAAGGGAGGAAAATTAAGTAAATTTATATTTTAAGTTAGGGCGAAAATAGAAAATCTAGAGAAATGTGAGCCATCCCGTTAAAAAGACAACACATGTATTTTGAAATCCTACCTCCGCCGTGATCGGGAGTGTGGCAGAAATTCATCATCGCCTCAAAACGTGATGGAAAAATGGCGAGTAATTCTCAATAGTATAATTCTATTTCGATATCCAATATGGTCCTAGAAAAGATATAGTCCGTAGTAACACAGTGAGAGGTGGAAATCTTAATCCAGAGAAAATGCCACTGTCGACTTCTGAATCAAGGAGTGGTGGGATTTTGATCTTACAAGCGAGTTGAATATCTCCTAACTCGTCTAATTTACACAGCAAACTGCTAAAAATGAAATCTAAAATATGATTCACGCGCTTTTCCTTGCCTATATAGAACTCCCAGCTCAATCCTAAGCTGTAACTATTGGAAACAGAAGCCACTGCAATTCGTACCAAGCTGTAGAGAATAGGTTCCATAGAGTTTACACAAGAACTCACCTGACGTAGTTCTAAGATCACTCTGAGTCCTCAAAATCAATGGTTGGTATTCTCCGAGGAATAGCGAGATATGAGAAGTTTGTCATCTTCTTTATGGCCAACACCGGAGATCGGCTCCTCCGGACTGAGAATCCTTTCCCCTTTAGTGCATCAAACAGAGCTCCCATGTCCATCTCCTTGTCGAGAGCATTCTCATTCTCTTCCTCAAAACTGGAGAAACGAAAAAGCAGAACTTGCAATGAGTGAGATGTAGAATCAGGAATCAAGCTTATTAAAATCGATGCATCTATAAAATACAGTTACAGGATAGGAGGTGATGTTGAATGGACGGGGTCCGGATCGGGTCAGTAACTGATGGGTCAGTAACCCCTTCCGCGGTCCCCACGTGTCAGTCACTTTTTTATTTAAATTAAATGTGGAAAGGGCAGCACGGTAAAATTGCACTTTCTCCTATTTATTGCCAAGGCTGACTTTTGACCGTACCAAATCAGCGCCTCCTTCTCTCTCCTTGCAAAACATTTAATTTTCCTTCCTTTAATCTTTAACAGACGATTTCTCACTCGTTTTAAGTCGAAATTTAATTTTTTTTCACAGTTAGATCAGATTAATTGTGCTCTTCAAAATGATATCCACTTTGATATTTTTTGGACACAAAAAAATTTGTCAGTTATTACCAGTCTATACCATATGGTATTGACTGGTATTAAATAAGAGCATACCATATGATATGAAAATTTTTGCCACATGAATATATATTTCGTTACTACCATATGGTATAGTGTGGTAATATCAATATATATTTCGTTACCACCCAATACCATATGTTATAGTGTGGTAATATCAATATATATTTCGTTACCACCCAATATCATATGGTATAGAGTGGTAATACCAATATATATTTCGTTACCACCCAATACCATATGGTATAGTGTGGTAATATCAATATATATTTCGTTACCACCCAATACCATATGGTATAGTGTGGTAATATCAATATATATTTCGTTACCACCCAATACCATATGGTATAGAGTGGTATTACCATATGGTATAGAGTGGTAATACCAATATATATTTCGTTACCATCCAATACCATATGGTATAGTGTGGTAATATTAATATATATTTCGTTACCACCCAATACCATATGGTATAGAGTGGTAATACCATATGGTATAGAGTGGTAATACCAATATATATTTCGTTACCACCCAATACCATATGGTATAGTGTGGTAATATCAATATATATTTCGTTACCACCCAATACCATATGGTATAGAGTGGTAATACCATATGATATAGAATGGTAATACCAATATATATTTCGTTACTACATAATACCTTATGGTATAGTGTGGTAATACCAATATATATTACCCAAAAGAAAGGGAAAAAAAAACAAAAAGAGAGAGAGAAAAAAAACTTGTCTTCTGTCTCATCTCATTTCATCCGCAACCAAAGAACACCAAACGCCAAAAAAAAAAAAAGAGAAAGATCGAAATTAAAGTCAACGAGTTGATGAAGAGAAGAAACGCAATTAAAGAGGGTGACTTTAATTTTTATTCGTCGATTGCTAGAAAAAAAAATGAAGATGTAAGAGAACAGATCTAGATTTGAAATGGAGATTGTGAGAGAAAAAGTAATAGAGAAGAAATAGAGAAAGAGAAAGGATCTGGAAAGATATTGGAAAAAGGAAGAGAGAAGGAATAAAGTAACGTTGCAGAGAAAAAGTTATTCTATCTCTTTCATTGAAAAGTCAACCATAAAGGGAAACTCATTAATTCAAATAACGGACAAAAATGTCCCTAACAATTCCGCTTCAATGACAGCCACACGATCCGTCCGCCCCAGATCAACGGTTCCTAGGTGGTTACTGACGGGTGAGTAACAAACGGTTACTCACCCTATCCCAAGCCGAATGGACGGTTATTTCACAACGGTTTCTGACTGAAGTATGCACACTAATTGACACAGAGCAGGTGCACACTCGATACAAAGGCAATGAATGCATTCATATAGTTTGTTTCATGAAACGAATGACACATTAGCAAAATCTGTTGCGAATGCAGGTAAGTGAACAAAAGGCCCGAAGAGAAAAGAAGTGATACCGTTGGCGAATAATTCTGAAAGCTTCAATCGTTGCATAAGGTTGCCCTGTCTTTGGATCCCGGTACCTGGGAGAAATAGGTCGAAAACCACATGTAACAGCTGCTCAGAGAATTGTGATTGTAGCCATAATCAAGCGAAATGAGCAAGTTTTTCAAAGGGAAAACATCTCTTTGGCCAGGAAAACCAAACCATGGAAACAAGGTCTTACTTGGCAGGCAATCCTGTTACAACACAGGCAGCCTTCTCTGGATCTACAATCAACAAGAAATAAAAACAAGATTCAGAATAGAAATTCAACACCTGAAATTCCAGAAAGCAAACCATGCTGAAGAATAGCAACTATTACTACGAACTCTTGATAGTTTTAATTAGCATACAAGTAAGGTCCCTCTTCATTTGACGTGAGAGAAATAGTTGGTCCCCTTTATCAGTAAGTTCTTCAAGTAAGTCATGTTAGATGGTTAGCCTCCTCCATAACATACTTTCTCTACAGAATCCCTACAACTAGCTAATGCAGAAAAACAAAAAGCATATGGCAACGCCATGAACATACATTGTATAGGAGCTGTTGTCAGTTGGGAATGAAATGAGAGTCCTCTGAATTCAAGATACGAACACCCTACACATGTGGAAGAAGAAACAGAATGCTTCAGATAACATTCACAAGCCAAAACTCATTCATTTCTTAACAGACGATGGTGCAGCTTAACGTATGTATTCTTGCCATTTTTGGAAGAAAAGCGAATCTGTGGGCCACTATATACTGCTTTGTGCACAACAGCCCTTTTCTTAACTTCTTCCTCCCTTGCTAAAACACGCTCTAAGTTCCTCAAATTCATGATCTCTGATTAATGCACAGTGCAAGTTAGAATCCACAGGAAGTGTAGGAAACAACATATGGTTTCAAAGCTGCATGAACAAGCACAATGTAATCTTAACCTGTTTGGGCTGCTTCAAGAAGCATTTCTTCTTGTGACATTTTTTTCTCTTCCCCTTCCTTTTTTCGTTTTATTGGCTGTTTAAAGGATCACAAAACAAGTACCACATGAGATTCACCACACCAGCTTTTGAATCCTAGTCCCTTTACATGATTTGAAAAGCCATAGAAGAACGCCAGCAACAGCAGCAAATCATAAAAAAAAAAAAAACGCTAGTATGGTGGAGTAGATGAAGAAATCAAGTGATCTCATCAGAGACTTCCACAAAAAAGCCCCTGGCAAATGGACTTCATAGATTGCAAGCAGTATCACCCTCCTTTGCACCACATGACAGAACGACAACTTACATAAACAAGGACCAACCTTCATAGTTGCCTCCAAAGCAGCACGTATTGCATCTCTCTCGGCTTGTCTAACAATAACTGAGGTTCTCGTTGACTTCCTAACAACCCTCTCGCCTTCAACCTCGTCAGGTACATCATGTTGCTCGGGCGTGGTAGACTGCTCAGGTGGTTTTTCATCCTGGTCAGCCTCGTCATCCAGCTTTGAGAGATCTTTCTTCTTCTTTTTCTTCTTTGGCAGAGTCTTCCCAGGAAATATAAGTCGCTTCTTTGGTGGCCTCCTATTGAGGGAAATAACTCAACATCAAGTTCAAAAGGTTAAGAAGACCAGAACCAGAGTTACAAAGATGATAACAGACCTTTCCATTGCCTCGTTTTCTGCTTCATCGTCCGGCTCAGACTCCTAGCACCAGCACCAGCAAGGTTGATTAGAGAACAACAACAATTCATGGCACCCATGACCAATGGAGTAAAATCAAAGGGAAAATGATCTTATCAGAGTATTAGAGAGAAGGGGGAGTTTGGAGTGTTAAGGAACTACAAACATCGTCATCAAAATCACTATCAAACTCATCCGGAGCCTCTGCCTCTTGTTGATAATTGTCATCATTTTCATCCTACAACATTCATTGAAGAAGGGAAGGAAAACAGAAACAATAAATCAACACCAAAAAGGTAACAGATTTTGAAATAGGAACACAAGAGTGGCTTTGGGGGAGAACAGTACCTCTTTGAGAGCGTCCTGGTTCCAGAACAATTCGTCTTCTTCCGCTTCATCGTCAAGTAGTTTCGTCATCCTGCAACAATGCAACAAATGAAGCAAGAGCAAGATAACAGAACGGGAGAAAGAATTGCGCAGCAGCGCGTACCTCTTGCCTCTGGTAGCTCGAGCAGTTCTGTCGAGAAACACAACCGGCGCATCGCCGTCTTTGGAGGTCTCCATCTCCATCCTTGGAACTAGAATGGAAACCCAAATGCGGGAACTGAAATAGAGCACTGAGCGGATGAACCAGAAGTCCGGAAGAGGTTCAGAATTGGAACCCTAATCGAGAAGAAGGAAGGTAATGGGTAGTGAGAATCGTAGGAGCCTATGAGGGGAAGAGCTTGGTTCCTGGAGCTGGGAGCACCGAAGCGGGACTAGTTTTGTCGGGGGCGATTGCCCGTTTTGGGCTCCGAAGGCATGGCAATTTTGCGAGGAGAGGATACGATGAAATCCATGGTTGTACTTGTGGAGGTGTCAAGAACCCGATTTGAGTAGTCCGCGTGATCAACCCGATTTGCAACTCGATTGTAATTTGAATTGATTAAAATTTAAAATTAATGTGTTTATGTCTAGCTCGTAATCTGATTGACGTTCAACCTGATTAATCCGCAACTTAACTGATCAGTAATATAATTTATTCGAGCATGATTGACCCGCAACTCAACTAAACTCGTAACGGATTGACCTGAACAATTACTATATTATATTATATAATTATAGTCTTTCAAAATTAACTTTTTTGTTTTAAAGTAAGGTAAATTCATTTTTCTTTTTTTAAAGGAAGTTCAAGATATGAAATTCACTTAAAAATATGTATTTTTAATAAAATTGAAAATATGAAAACATTAAGTTCAATTGGAAAAAAATTAATAAAATTTAAAAATAAATATAAAATATATAATCAGCATAATAACAATATTAATAATGAGTAATACGTATTTTTAACACAAAAAAATTCAGTTGAGAATATGTATTTTTAATAAAATTGCAAATATGAAAACATTGAGTTCACTTGAACAAAAAGTTCTTTAACAAAATTTAAAAATAAATATAAAATATAAAAACAGCATAATGACAATATTAATAATGAATATTTAACACAGAAAACCATGTATAACATTTATATTGTATATATACATTAAAATTCTTGTTAATTTAACTATTCAACATAGTTAGCAATAAATTATAGTAAATGTATATGATAAATTGATTATTTTAAAAGGAGGAAGATTGTGTTTTCAACTTTTTGAGAAGAAACAAGAAAAGATGTAATTTTTAATTTCATATTTTTGGAAACGAAAGGAGGAAAATTTTGTGCTTTTGATTTATGAGAAGTGAAAAAGGCAGAAAATTTTGTTGCTTTTTTTATGAAGAGAGAAATAATTAGAGAAATTTTTGGGTTTTCAACTTTTTGGAGAGTAAAGAATGGGGAAATTATATGCTTTTAATTTTTTGGGGAGAAAGAAAATGAAAACTTAAGTGCTTCTAATTTATCAAGAATTATGAACATTTTGGTGTTTTCAATTTTTTGTCAAAAGAAAGAAGAAAAAATGGGCTCGTAGAAAACGAAATTTTGTGTCCGGCTTGCGAAATGATAATGGAGAATGGATCACTGAGAAAAGAGGGAAGGCTGTCATTGCCATTGATTTTTATCAAACTCTCTTCACTTCAGAAAACCAATGTTCCCGAGAACCTTAATATGTTTGCTTCGAGCAAACTAACTCATTCAGAGAGTTTCATATCGATATCATTTGTCAAGCATGCTTAATAAGTGCGTTGTAACATATTCCATTAGATGCTTAACTTTTATATACTGCTAAAAGTCATATCCACCATATAAGGGTCTTCTCGCATTCAATGCCATGCGAAGACCTTTATGACAATCCGAGCATGATATCTCTTAATTTCTCCCCCTTTGTCATGTCTTTGTAAAACATCATTTTGAGTTTTATTAGCATTGCTTCTGTATAGCCCTTATGACTTTTTACTATAGGTGTCAAAACATAGCTCGCCCCGATTAACCCGCCCGATGGGTCCACCCGCAACCCGACCGCAACTCGAATTGATTAAAAGTCAACAACCCATAACCCGCCCGACCCGCAACCCGATTGACCCGCAACCCAACTAACCCGCAACCCGATTGACCCACAACCCGATTGACCCGCAACCCGACTAACCCGCAACCCGATTGACCCGAACCCGACTAACCCGTAACCCGACCAACTCAACCCGAATTTCATCTAATCCACTTGAATAATTATAAAAATATACAATACATAGTTTTTCAAAATAAAGTTTTTCATTCTAAACTTAAGTAAAATTATTTTTTCATTTCGTATAAGAAATTTTAAAAATATGAAACTCACTTGATATTACGTATTTTAAGAAAATTACAAAAATTGAAACATGAAGGTCACTTGAGATCATGACAATATTAATATAATATATAAATTAAAATTTTGGTTAATTTAACTATTCAATAAAATTATCAATTAAATATAAATAAAGTAAAGTAATGTATTTAGTAATTTGATGTTTTTAAAAGAAGAGGGGAATTTTGGTGTATTCAAGTTTTTGGGAAGAGAAAGAAGAGGGAAATTTGGTTCTTTGAATTTTTTAGAAAAGAAACAAGTGGGAATTTTGGTGGTTTTGATATGTGGGAAGAGAAAGAAGTGGGAAAGTTTGATTCTTTTGATTATGAAAGAGGAATAAGGAGGGAAACTTTTGACTTTTCAACTTTTTGTAGAAAGAAAGAAGAGGGTAATTTGGTTCTTTCAATTTTATGGAAGAGAAAGAGGAGAAAAAAATTGAGTTTTTCTAAACCGAATTATAATTCGGTTCGGTTCGGTTTTTCACACAAAAGCGAATTTGTTAAAATACTTGTATCTTCTCACTTTTAAATTATTTTTACCCCTAATATAAACAATAAATATGTAATTATATGCATCATCAATGATCAAATCAATCTTTTGAACACATAAGTCATAAAACTATTCAAATATTTAAGTCTAAAAACAAATACAAACATAAAAATCCACCATTTGGAGCTTGCAATTATAGTATTTCGGTTTTTCGGTCGGAAATTCGGTTCGGTTGAGAGAATCCTGGTTTCCGAACTATCCATATTTTCCTTCCGAATTCCGAACCGAATAGCATTAATTCGGTTTCGGTTCGGTTTAATTTGGTTTTGATTCGGTTCGGATCGGGTTTACCAAACCGGTTGCCCACCCCTAGCCTGGAATGATCCCAAATGGTCAATTTTACAAGTTTTTTATTACATGCCAAAGAAGCTGTCAAAGTTGGTAAGAAAAGAGGCCGAATTTGGCTAGTGTCAAAACAGTTTCTTGGTGCTTACTTTGCAGGTTTATTTTACACAAATTATTTAGACCTTTTCTGATCCAATTAGTTTCATTGTTCTTTTAGGATTGTAATTAGGGTTTCTTGGCTATAACTAGCCTTTTCTTTGCGTTGTAAAGTTAGAGAGAATTTTGACGTATTGAATTGAGCCTTTTGGTTTGTGCAAGTTTGCGTATTTGTGAGGGTTTGGTGGATTCCAAACTTGCTGAGCTTTGTATCGATTGAATAGTCCCTTCGATTGTGGTCGAACAACTACCCTTTAACCCAATCGAGCTATCCTCAGGTGTGGATTTGTCCTTTTGGTTTCGTTGGGATTTATCCCAGAACACCCAAGAACAATTTTTGTTTTTGGTTCGATGTTCTGTTTAATGAATCAATAGCTGCGTACTTTGATCAAAACCACCCCCTAAGGTTGCGTTACCCCCTACACCCAACACGGTAAAAAATGTAACAAACCAAACCGTTATCTAAATTAACCAAACCAAATTATCCAAATACTACCGATTAAAATATTAATAAATATCGGTAAATCAAATTCACAAATATCTATTGAATAAAAACTAGTTTTTTACCCGGCCAGTTGGCCGATGAAGTTCATTTTATTATTTATATTAGTTAACTTATCTACATGTTTGAACTTTTTGAATCTTTTATACATTTTCTGCTCTCGCTTCATAAGTGAATATGTGGTGTGCCTATATCGAAAATTCTTAATATTTAATAGTTAGCACACTCGCTTGTGATGTTTTTATTCTCTGATCATTAATCATGTCGTGAAGGTTTATCACGTCCCATTTAGGATCGTATATATCAAAATTTTCACCAAGACGCTCAAATTTATTATCTTATACAACATATATCAATTCATGATTCTCGAGTTTGTACGCACTCCCAGCCAATTAATCAGACTTCAAATTATTGGAAAAAGATACTTGATTACTGGATAAATTATGTTTATCCCAATTGAAATTTGACACACATCGTATCCCTTATAATGATTAAATTCTCTAAACCTCACTCATTTTTATTGTTGATGTTCATGAAGTCTTTGTATAGCATCTTATGACCATTTTTCTATCAAGATACAAATTATTATTGTCTTACAATATGTATCAATTGCTAATATTTTAATTTGGACTAACCCTCAACCCATGTCTTTTGTCTAAATGTTCGTTTAGAGTCTGAATCCAAAGCATCCATATACACTATCGAAGGTTCTCATCTTAAGATGTTCCTTCAATGTATAAATTTTCAACTATTTGAATGTCCATTCGCTGAATTTCTTTACATTTGGTGTTTGTTCTAAAACAAAATTTTCATTACTTATATTAATAATTGGTAAAGTGTGTATACGACATACATATATTTCAGGTGCATTCAAAATTATGTATTCCTTGAATAATTAACTTTTAATTTTTTAACAAAATATTTTGTAGCAAAATTTAAAAGTTCATACAAACATTGTGGCTTTTCACATGTATTTGAATGATTGGATGTATTGTAGATACATCTATTGTTAATATCTAAACATATATATACATAGAGTTTATTTTACTTTCAACACTAATTAATACTTTTGAACTCAGCTCCTTGAGTGGAATATGATGTCAATTTCTTTTATTATTGCCAAAATTTGGTATGAATCACAGGCTCACAACTATATAGACTTGTTACAATTTTCATACTAAACGCATATTTACAATATTCTTCTTTTGACCCAATAGCTCGGTTTACACTATTGTAACTATAAATGTTTTTTTTTGTTATATATGTGAAGTAAAACATTAATGTTTATTTATTACCTTAATCGTCGAATTTAGATTATTCTTAGCTTGAAATGTGATGTTTAATGTGATGTTTAACGTAGCTTGCTCAATCAACATGACCTAGAGAAAATATTAGTAATGCGAACTTAAGATACATTATAAATAGTTAAATACTGCACATACGATTTATATGTTTTCACTTGATGATAATGAATAAGAAGTTTTTTAATAAATAACTATTATTTCTTTGTCAAGTTTCTTTCAGACCTTATCGACAAAATATTATTATTTTTGTATGTTTGTTTAAATTATTCATTAAAATGTAAATTATTATTAAGTTTTCGTAAAAAATGAGCAGAAATTTACATAAGAATCTTTAATCATATATTTTTTTTGTTTGAAAAGTGTAATATATATGTCACTCTACGAACATTAGTACACTGTTGCGTATATCGATATAATGCAAAAACAAAATCTTATATATGTCACTCTCCATCATGATTGTCACGTCGGTCGGCTTGCCATCGGTTGAACCATTCAACCGACACCGGTAATGAAATCGACATGACACCATTGGTATGACCGGTATGATCGTTTTACAAATTTCTAAGTAAATACGTAGTTTTAGTGAATTTAAGTATGCATACATGTAATTTTATTTGAAATATCATATTTTATTCAAATATCAATATGAATTGTACGTAAATTGTCTTCAAATATGGTTTATATATGATTATATTCATTTGATATTTCTACATATTTTATTAACCGACATAAACCGACACAAATCGGTTGTACCACTGGTAAAACCATTTCACTTGCTAAACCGGTTTGATAACCTTTCTGTCCATATATTATTTATAGATATAATGAAAAAACAAAAGAAAAATAATTATAGGATAAAAAGAGAATTAATATTAAATGAAGAGAGAGGGACAACTTCATAAATAGGTCAATAAATATTTTTTTGGTAAAAAAATTGTCCACCTTAACAACTTGAGATCTCTCCAAGTGCTTATGTGGCAAAAAAATAAATTTTGAATTGCCATAATATTATGTATAGATAGATACATTGCCCGTAGGGGGTGGGCAAATGGTTCGGTAAACCCGAACCGAACCGAAACCGAATTAATGCTATTCGGTTCGGAATTCGGAAGGAAAATATGGATAGTTCGGAAATCAGGGTTCTTTCAACCGAACCGAATTTCCGAATTTCCGACCGAAAAACCGAAATACTATAATTGCAAGCTCCAAATGGTGGATTTTTATGTTTGTAATTGTTTTTAGACTTAAATATTTGAAATGTTTTATGACTTATGTGTTGAAAAGTTTGGTTTTATCATTGATGATGCATATAATTGATATTTATTGTTTATATTAGGGGTGAAAAATAATTTAAAAGTGATAAAATACAAGTAGCTTCACAAATTCGGTTTTGTGTGAAAACCGAACCGAACCGATTATAGTTCGGTTTAAACCGACCGAACCGAATTATAATTCGATTCGAATTCGGTTTGAGGTTTGAGAGAATTCGAGGACTCGGTATTCATAATTTCGGTTCGGTCGAAACCGAACCGACCGAATGCCCACCCCTAACTGCCCGGGTGCCCCAAGGGCAGGGTTTAACCATAAAAAAGGGCAGGGCAGGGTTTAAGCTGGTTAAAATAAAAGAGAGATATGGCTAGTAACCGGTCCGTTCTCCCAGCCGGAGCACTGGGAAAGTAAAACCTAGTTGTCGCTAGACGCTGAAGATATACAAGCGACCGGTTCTCTCTGGTTAACGGTTTTTTCTTCTTCTTCTTCTTCCTCCTCTTCTTCTTCCTCCTCTTCCTCCTGTTTGCTCGAAAGATAACCTACCCTAAGGAGCACGCTGCTGGAGCATACGAGCAGTAATAGACAGCAAATGCTCGGCCGCTGCCGGCTATAGGTTATTGTTTTTGTTACTTTTGTTGCGAGACTAGCCACCATGGGAATACCGTCTTTCTACCGCTGGCTGGTTGAAAGGTACCCGCGCTCGGTGGCCGACGTGGTGGAAGAAACTCCGTTGATCGAGAGCGACCGTCCCGTTCCCGTCGATGTCTCCCTCCCTAACCCTAACGGTTACGAGTTCGACAATCTCTACCTAGACATGAATGGAATAATCCACCCTTGCTTCCATCCCGAAGGACTGGTACAGTTCTGCTTTCGATTACTTCGTTTTTTTTGGGTGTTATTTTCCCAATTTTTCAGTGGTATCGCGTTTTTTTTGTTGTTGCTGAGCTTGTTACCGTTGCTGCGTCAGCCGCCTCCGAGCGATTACGATGAAGTCTTCCAGGCGGTGTTTATGTACATTGATAGAGTCTTTAGTATAGTTCGTCCTCGCCAGCTTCTTTACTTGGCCATTGGTAAGTTTCCTCAACAAACTCCTCTTCTTCAGCTTTCCTTTAACTTCAGTTTGAGTCGAAGCGAATGAACTGAACTGCGCATATGGCCTCTCTCTGGTTAGCTTTTGCTGTTCCGAATGAAATCGTTCTTTTTTTCCTAATTGTTTTGGTTAGATGGTGTTGCTCCACGTGCCAAGATGAATCAGCAACGGTCCAGGAGGTTTAAGACTGCTAAGGAAGTGGAAGATGAAGTGAGTTTCTCCAGATCCTTGTCGTCTAATATAAGCTCGGCCTATGATTTTAACCACTTTGGTGTGCTTGCGTTCTTTGGATTGCTTAGTAAGAGTCTTTTCCTGTTTCAATTTTGACAATATTCAGGCCTCTCTCAAGGCTGAGAGTCATGAATTAGGGGAAAACGAATTGCCGGTCGAAGGGCAATCAAAGAAGTTGGATTCGAATGTAATCACTCCAGGAACTGAGTTTATGGAATTATTGTCTTCAGCCCTCCGTTATTATATTAACTTGCGCATGAATGAGGAAGAAGGGTGGAAAGGAATAAAGGTAACTACCGAATGTTTTAAATTACATACATCTGTTTTCTTTTTCCTTACTTTCCTGAACGTACATATATGTCAATTGGTCTTTCTAGGTCATTCTTTCTGATGCCAGTGTTCCTGGTGAAGGGGAGCATAAGATAATGTCATACATACGCTTGCAAAGAAATCTCCCTGGCTTCAATCCAAACACACGGCATTGTTTGTATGGTTTGGTAAATGTCTTTGTCTATAAATGGGACTACTAGAGATGCCATTTACCAAGTATGTTTTATGTTGCTGATTTCTTTTCTGTTATTTTTTCCTTATTAGGATGCAGATCTAATCATGCTTGCCTTGGCCAGTCACGAAATTCATTTTTCAGTCCTGAGAGAGGTTTGTGCCTGCAGTAGCCTTCTGTTCTTATACTCAATAGCATTCTGAAATTGTGCATCTAGTCTTCATCTTTATTCTTTTTCTTTGTGTCACAGGAAGTACGTAAGATTACCTCTAGAGACAATGGTACAAAAAGTGGTCATGACTTGGGAAGTTTTCTGACAAAATCAGGAATTTCTCAGCAATCGCCAGCTTTCTTGGACAATTTAGCACACTTCATTTCTGAGAGAAAATTTCAGGTAACGTATCTCTTTTGTTTTCTATAGGCTATTTGGGAACTTAAACGCTTTTGGTAGATCATGCAACAGTTGGCTTGAAGTAGAGAAATATAACTTTCTCCAATTGTGGTGTAAATGGAAGCAGGATGTTCTATTATATTTCAATTTTGGTTGCTATATTTCACATACTTAATGCAGTACAACATGGTTCAGCATTCTGAAGTAGTGACCCCTTGTTTCCTAGATATTTCTTCTCCCAATTAACTTTGAAATTCTGAAGTTCATAGCTGAATCCACCATTTGATGTTGATACTTCCGTTGTTCTATAGCACGGTGCAGTTTTGAGCCTACTGATTTTCTTCCTTTTCTTATCTGGCAGTTCCTCCATGTTTGGATTCTGAGAGAATATCTAATGTACGATTTAAGAATCCCGGACTCAACATCTGACACAGATCTGGAGCGTTTGATTGATGACTTTGTTTTCATGTGTTTGCTTGTCGGAAATGATTTTCTGCCACACATACCATCATTGGCAATCTCTGAGGTGGGAATTTGAGATCCTTATTTTTTTTTGTCTTCATTTTTTTGTGTAGTCATATAATGCTTTCATGCAAAGCTACATGCACTGATATGGGGCTTATGATGTGAATTTTAAAATTTTTAAAATCTTTAATCCAGTAAATCTGGGGGGGGTCTTAACTTTTCACGCTTCATTAGAAGAAGTGTGTGATTCTGGTGTTGGAGCTTTGCAATTAATCTAATTATCCTGGTGGTGCTCCATCTCAATCATGGCTCTCTAGTAATTTTGACACTGAAAACTGAATTTTCTGGCTATTTGGTAGTGCCAGTAAGCTCAACTTTTTGGCATAGCCGATGTTGGAAAATCATACATTACATTGTATTGCACTTTCAAGAATTCTCTTGTTTGCACATATTATCAGTCATTTTTTTTGTATTTAACCATGGATATTCCTTCAGGAAGCTATACCTTTTTGTAGTTTGTCCTCATTTATGTTGTTTTTCTGTTTATGTTGTTTACAGGGGGCTATTGATTTGCTTTTGATGCTTTACAAAAAGGAGTTCGTCCGGATGGGTGGTTACCTGACTGATTCTTTTAAGGTGAACATCTAGGATTCCAGATGTTGTATGCTTAGTATAAAGTCTTCACCTCTTCTGTTTGTTAGGCTAACAGACTACTTTATTGGTTCTTAGTTGTGTTTATGAGGTTTGACATCAATCATTTTTTTTGTGAAGTAGCCAGCGTCACATTCTTCTTCCGTCTCTCTGGTGCCTGGGCTAAATGCCTGGCACTTTTAACTATGACTTCTCCTTGACTATTCCCCCACCCTCTCTCCCCCCCCTTTAAAGCAAAATACTTGCCCTTGTATAATCGCCCAGTAGTTTGTACGTTGAGACGTGTTTGAAATATGAAGCATATCTGTTTCTGACCTGATCATGGTTCGCATCCAGGATGTTCTGTATGATCCTTGCGTATTTTTGTATTGCAGATAAATTTCAAACGCATGGAGCACTTCATCCAGGCTGTGGGATCTTACGAGAGTGTAATTTTCAGGAAACGTATTAAGGTAGTCATTGTAACGACCCGATGCTTTTATTTATGCAAAAGAGAAGAAGAAAATGCTCGCTTCAATGACCAATTTTCATCGCTGCCCTTCATTAGTTTTGCTCTGTTTTATCCTGTTCTCCTTTTCTTTTGATTTGCTTCTGTTGTACTCCTTTCTCTGACTCTTTGTCTTTTCTTGTTCCTTTCTTCTCACACCTTTTGGTGGGACCTTAAGATAAAGTTTCCATCACTTTATAAAATATTATCAAATCATTCAATGTATGAACCTCAAGCACACAGAATCAAAATAATCATGAAGCTCCTGTCACATTATGGTCAATGGTTTTGTCTTCATGAAAAATATCAAATCCTTCGATGTATGTACCTCAGGCACACAGAATCAAAATAATCGTGAAGCTCCTGTTACATTATGGTCAATGGTTTTGTCTTTATGTAGTATGTCTTTAGTGATGATTCCTTTTCTCAGATGAAGAAAGCAAGTGAATGGGGCGGTTCGCAGCGCAGACATGATACCAAACACATGTCGGAGCCGCAGAATGTGAGTAGTAAGCATATCCAATGTTATGTGGTGCTGTTCTTTCTAATTGGAGAACTCATGCTAATATCTCTCGTGATCACAGAAGGGTGGTAGTGTAGCCGCTCAAGGATCAGCTAATGGCCTTAAAATTGACCCTGCTGCTGAGGTGGACAAGGTATATTTATATTGGTCTAGATAATAGTTGCTATGCTTTGGTGTTTTTAAAAATTTGGGATATGATTGTCATTGTAAGGTTAAACTTGGAGAAGATGGTTGGAAAGAGAGATACTATGTGCATAACTTTCAGCTTAACTCGGAAAATGAATGTGAGAGGATTCAGCGACAAGTGGTGAGAATTTTTTATTTTTCTTCATTGATTCTACTTTGGTGCATTACGTTTTTTGATTCCTTGCATAATTTTTCTAAATGACTTAGTCGCTGCTTTCTTTCTTCATTTGACAAGGATTTTGGCCCATTGTAATTGTTGTCCAGTTTCTTAATTTCTTTCCTTAACTCTCCCTAAAAGTTCTCTAATTTATACTGGATTCATTCCGTTGGACAACTATGTTGATTGGTCGTTTTCTAATTTACATAGGTAGAGAAATATATAGAAGGACTATCCTGGGTTATGCACTACTACTACGAAGGGGTATGCTCTTGGCAATGGTAAGTGTTTTTTCTGTTTGAATATCGTCATTTCCCTGCATGAGTCTCTATTCTTCTCTTACAACTCCATCTTGAAGATGCCCTGAGTAGAACCACAGATGCTGTGAGGCGTCTGGCCGTTTTTGCTTCTGAATGCTGGATCCGGATTGTGGCAAATCACCGCAATTTCTACCTGTTCCTTAGTTATGCAAGAAGATTTTGGCCCAAACCTCTCTGGCTTTATTCTTAACCAATAACATGAATTCTGAGTAGTTTAACTGGGCTACTAGGCTGCTACTTCATTTTTCTTGTCAATTGATATGCGTTGATGTCGTAAAATGCCCTTCTTAAGAATTGTATCTCTCTCTGTCTCTGTCGTGTGAAGTAACAAACTTACCGAAGCAAATTTCTGCATGCAGGTTTTATCCTTTCTATTATGCACCGTTAGCTTCAGATTTTCATGGTTTTGATAATCTAGAAATCAAATTCACACTTGGGAAACCTTTCAAGCCTTTCGATCAGTTAATGGGGGTACTTCCAGCTGCAAGGTCTGTTAAGCTTGACATTTCTTGTTGTCCTTGAGTTCTTTCATGATGAAGTTTAATCCATACATGGTGCTTGCAGTGCACATTCTCTTCCTTTGTCCTATGGGAAATTGATGAAGGATGGCTTATCACCTATAGCTGACTTTTATCCTGCGAGTATGTAATGTGGATTTACCGTGTAACTATCTAATTGATCTTCTCTCCCCCATTCTTCTTGGTGATATCTGATTGCTTTAAAATTTCTGGCAGATTTTGAAATTGATATGAATGGCAAGCGGTTTTCTTGGCAGGTACTGGCCTTAACACATCCATGTGAAGCTTGCATCAACCCCTTTGTTATGTTATTGTAATCAATTGGTCATGATTATTTTTAAGGCTTAAGTATTTCTGTACTGGTTTCTTGCAAGTTTTGACATTATCTGATGCTTCTTTTCTTCTGCCAATTGTCAGGGTATTTGTAAATTGCCATTCATTGATGAGGCACGGCTTCTTTCAGAAATTGCCAAACTGGAGCACACATTAACGGTAATACTGCTTTACTCTTGTACAAGTCTTGTGTTGTATAATTCAAAATCTTGTACTTTCTAGACTTTAATTGTAACTGGTACTGAGTTGATGACAACCAACGTGAGCCCTGACATATTTGCTTCTTTGTTCTTTCGAGTTGGCATACTTGAGGCCTTATGTACCCATGTTCACAAACATCGTGCAATGTTTGGGTGTATGTCATTGTGAATTTGTGATAAATATGCAACGATCCATAACGCTGTTGTTTTGATCAGCGAAATTAAAATACGAGTACTGGTTAGATGTAAGTGACAACCTCTGGCCATATTGTCAGAGATGTTTCAGGCTAACTAACCTCATTGGTATATGAGATGGGACAAAGGAAATATAATGAGAGTTTAAAATGCCAGATATTTACCCATCAACTTGAATAGATGAAGCAGAGAATCAAGGAAGTTGGACCACACTGAATAAACTAAGGGACTCAACTAACTAGTGTAATAATCATATTCGCCAAGTAGAGGAAGCTGACTTATGTGTGCCACGCTGAATCAGAAAATCCGTCCATCTAGATTGCAGCCCAGTAGTGTACTAATCAAATTAGCAACTTATTGTTTAAAAATGGGACACCTGGACTGGATCTCTTTTCTCTGATTTGTTGACTCTTGCATAACCTAGACCCAAGTAGAAAAGTACTCTTGGAAAATAAGTCTTAAATATATGGTTGAATCTACGTGTTTGCTTGATCTATACTAGCCTGAATCTCTAATGATAGTGCTTCAAAATTGGATTCTGTTAGTCAATATTAGTTGGAGTTTTTTGTTTGTTTGTTTGTTTGGATATGTAAAATCTTTTGATGTGTCGTATCTGTGCTTCTTTACTCCTCTAGTTGCTCATGACATCTTCCATCATCAGGATGACGAGAAAAGGAGAAACAGCTTGGGTTGGGACATCTTGTTTGTTCATAAATCGAATCCTCTGGCAATCGTAATTGTATCATTCTCAGATAAGAGTTCTCAGTTGGAATTGCTGGATGTGAAGGCAGAACTGGAAATCGACCCAAAAACCAGGTATGCAGCCGGTCTCAATTTAATGTTACTGTTGGTCCCATTGCTGGGCTCTGCTTATAAGAAAAGGTTGTTAGAAGTTATGCTATTGTATTTGCGTGTCTTAATGATTTGTGTACGGTTGCCACTCTGTCCTACGCCGATGAAGATACATTTAACGGAATCTGACTGGGTTGGAAATGACAGCTGTTATGTTTTGGCTTGTAATTGAAATAGAAGTTACCGTCTCTCTGTGTTCTGTGTCTTGTTGATGCACATTTCATCTAGCAATCACTTCCATATATGTATGGTTCTTAAGTTTCTCGATGTAAAGTGTTCCCTGACTTATTCTCACAATTTCCAGTGGTGGGATGAATGGATACATTTGCATCGACCAAAATCCTGTCTGGCCTAGGGAAATTTGTTCACCAATTAATTGCTGGCCGGCACTTGCAAATATTGGAGTCATGTAAGTTTCTGGATCTGATGAACTGGTATTTTTCTGTACATATTACATAACTATTGTTTGATTCTCCTCTGACACTTGTAACAGAACTGTCTTCTACAAGTATCCTCCATCTCATCGTCACATTTCTAACCTACCAGAAGGGGTGATCTTGCCTGACAAGGTGTGTAGTGTGGAGGACATTTAATGTCTTGTCTTTCTTTGTGTTCAGCTTAGGTTAAGTTAGATTTTGACTTGAGGTTTTCTTTGCTGTCAGTCTGTGAGCAAGAAGGATATCGTACCTCCACAAGTTTCTCTGTATGATGGAGCATCTTTCCTTCTGTGTTCTAGAAAGTAAGTAACTCAAATGTCCATTTATGCAAGTAAAAGGATAAGCTAAAGTCCATTGGAATTACTCATTTTCATTTATTACAACATCTGTTTCTGTTCCCACTTCGTATCTATTTCTAATGTGTGCATTTGAAAGCCTAATGGTAGCCAGGATTCACTTATATTAGCTCCAGTGATGGTACCCTTTGTGTTGACAACAGATAGGCCATTTGCTAATTTTTTGGTGTTTGACTGATGCTTCTGTTCTTCATATCTGTTGTGTCCATTTTGAAGCCTGATGGCTGCCAAGATTCATTTCATTCCCTGTTTTAACATTATATATGCCATTTACTAAGTTTTGGTGTTCGACTGACTAATGCTTCTTTTCTGCTTAGAAATTAGATTGAACAGATTGGTTTTGCAGTCATTGGTGCCCTCATGTCTTTACTACCAAATAAGAATGCTGCTCTGTGTGTTATTTCTGGCCGAGATCTTGTTCCTTCTATTGTTTGTTTGCTAATATTGAACTATTGTATTGTAGGTTGATGCCAAAGTCTGTTTCTGGACCTAAACTATCTAGGTTCGCACATCAACTTGTGCTATTGCACATTGCGGCTAACACCAAAGGGGACAAGAGGACCTCATCGTCTCTTTTCTCTGAAGTCGTAGATGGTAAAATTGCTTCCCCAGGGATGAGCATGGTGAGAGAAGCATATAAAATCATTGGACAGGGAGCTGAAATCACTACGGTAACACAAATTCAAAACAAGAAAAAGAAGAGGATATCCAAGGAGGAGAAACAGAATGATGTTGCTGGCGGTCACCCTCAATCTGGCCAATTATCTTTGGTATCTGTTGGTGAAATCACGACGGTAACACAAAATCGAAAGAAGAGAAAGAAGAGGAGATCCAAGGAGGAGAAGCAGAATGGTGTTGCTGGCGGTTACCCTCAATCTGGCCACTTATCTTTGGCGTCTGTTGGGTCACTTGACAGTAGAAGAAGAATGGGCGCTAGTGTTGGTGAGGTTGAAGGGGAACTGCGTCCTGAAGTCAACTCTGAACAAGGAGCAAGGATATCCCAGCAGCAGTTCAAACAGGACGAGAATAGTGATGTTAGTGCTGGTGAGAGTGGTCGGCTGCTGGCCCCTTGCACTCTCAGGGATGAATCAGTAGGTATCAATGTTGTTGCAGATGGAGGTCATGCGAAGGATGATCTTGAATATCGTGAGCATGGAAACATAGATGAAATACATAATGCAGAGCCGAGCAGCAAGAAAAGGAGAAAGAAGTCCAAGAAAAGGAGGCGTGTTGAAGAAGTCAACAATGAAGAAACTACTGAGATATCGGATATCAGTGCCATGAAAGAAGTAGAAGTAGTATGCGATTCTGAGGGTAAAGAATCTGCAGTTGTTTCACGTGTTGGCAGATCAGACAGTGGCAGAACTGTCCTGTTATGGGAAGAAATAAGTGATGCTCATGCTCATGTGAACAATAAGGCGGTGGATGTGAATGTAACACCAGGGATCATCAGCGGCAGGAAAAGGAAGAGATATCATGCACCCGGGCTGAAATGCCCTGATGCAGCAGGTAAGGCGGTGGAAGCAGTTGAACCGACAAGTGACAAAAGAAAGAGGGGACGGTCCAAGGAGAAAACTCTTTGTAGCGAAGAAACTAATATTAGCTTTGGGAAATTAGAGGAGAACAATGCCATCATGAAAGAAGCTGCTGTGGACCAACTGCTAGAAAAACGTTCAGCTGATGATATATCAGAGAGTCGCTGCAACGCGTTTACTCTTAACAAATCAGGAGCTGGCATCGCGGGGGAGAACCCAAGGGAAAGCGAAGGAGTTCATGTCGGTGATGGTGGAGTGATGGAAGCAGCAGCGGAGATGGCCCCCTACTGATAGAAAGAGGGAAAGGTCAAAGAAGGGGATTGTTGAAGTCGGCACCAACAAGAACACCACTTATATCTAGGCGAAGGAGAGCCTTATCTTCAATCGAAGGGTATGACGTGAAATATCATGGAATGCCCTAAAATTTTGTTCCGGTTAACTGGTGTATGCTTGTTGAATAGTTAAGTTGAGTTTGGACTTTGGAGGGAAGGGAAGTTCAACCTTCCAAAAGTCTGCACCAAGAGGATGGGAGAAAAGCAACCAAAGCTGAAGGATACTGTCAATAGCATTAGCACAGACAAGCACCATCCGGACGGAAGCAGCTATTGCAGCCACGGGTTACCCCCTGAGAAACCTATCGTTGGGTTATTAGAGTCTGGTGAAAAGAAAGACCAGTTGTAGTAGGTCTTCGGCTCGCATGGATATTTGCCTGAAGTTTTGTATTACGCTGAGGTAGGAATAGAATTGCGGCGAGTTTTTACCTTTCATGTTGAGCTTTGTTATGTCACTCTCCGTTTTTGGCAGTCTGGAGAAATTGTTGTAGAAACATGGACTAATTCGTTCAGAGGCGTTATCTTATAAATATCGAAACACTTGTTGCATCTATTATTCATCCATTTCGAAAAGGAAATCTCCCTTGGTTCATTTCATTTCCCCCATCTGGAGAGGATGAGCAAGCCGACTACTGTCCCGCTGGCTGCGGCCACGATGGAGGCCACAAGAGCAAACGCATACACAAGGCTGGGGAACTTGAAGTAGCTCTGTATCCTCTTCAATCCTCTGTCAATCAGTGGCGCCAGCGCCGCAGCTCCAGCGACCCGGAACGGCCTCGTGACATTGTTCCCCGTCCACATCAAGATCACAATCTGAAAGTACAAAGGTTCCGGCCAAGCAAACAAATCGTTATACGTTGTGTTCTCTTCTCAGCGGAATAACATCAAACAGTATGTGGGCAATCACAGGACAAAAGGGGGTTGCTGTACATTACCCCAAGGAGGGCCTGAAGATTGGCGGCAGGGTTCTTGCCTGTGCTCTTCTCGTACCCGAGGAACGCCAGCACGAAGAAAGTCGTGTACGTCACTCCGTCGAACAGCCCGTACGCCAGTACAGCTGCTAGCCCGAGCTTGGCAAGCTTCGAGCTCATTTCTGCGGAATTCGCCTGACGCCAATCCAAATCGCAGGCAGACATGTTTTGGACAAGACGGGGAAAAAAAGAAGAAATTCTGCTGCCTCTTTTCTTACTAACTAAACGCTGAATAGAAAGAAAAATAGTACCTTCCATTTGCTCCAGATCCCTTTGTCTTCCTCAAGCTCAACCTATCGGAAATTCAAGATATTAGCCAACTCAAAGCCCCAGCATAATGCAGCGAGCGAATGACGAGTAGGAAGAGAGGGAGAGAGGAGTAGTAGTATTTGCCTCACTGTTGGGCTGTTGGGAAATAGAAAGATCGTCGTCTGATCCTGCTCCTGCTCCCGGGTTGAGCGTACATTGGACGAGCAGTACTACTGATTTGGAGCGGAAGTGAAGATGGCTCCCGCTGGCGGAATCGATGACGCATTTGCTGCTGTTGAGGAGCATTACTTCAGGCGGCGGCGGGAGCTGAGGGCGCCATGAAAGTGGTAGGCTAATGGAAATGCTCCCGCTTCTCCACATTTTCCCCCTCTTGTTCTCTTTGTTTCCCTTCGCGGGCGGGATAATAACAGAGTTCAAGACAACTCGGGTCAGCAAAACCGCGGCCATTGTCGTTATCTTCAAACTTCAAAGCAATGTTGTTATAAACGAACTAGTGTATAAGTATAACACAAACTTTACATTATATATAGGTGGCTACTTCGGCGCCCTCACTTTTTTGGGTTAAGTGCATCCAACTCTAAAAGTGTCTATAATACATCAACTTTTGAACTTTAATTAGTACTCTCAATCTAATATGATGATATGACATAGAATCATAACAAATCAATCTATTACCCTAACCCCTTAACCTTCAATTTTGATTCCCAACCCAAAATCCCAAATTGTAAACCTAAATCCTAACCCTAAATCCCAAATCCTTCGAATTAAAGTAAATTTTGAATGATTTTATTTTCAAATTCATGTGCTTATTGTTCATAATATCATAAACAACAATTGATACCGTTTTGACACGAATCGCATGCTCAGAATGATAATTATGAGGCGGGTGCACCGCATACGCCACTATATATATATATATATATATATAGTGGCGTACACGGTGCACTCACTTTTTTGGTTGCATTCAGTGCACTCGTTTCATAACTGTCATTTTAAACATGCGATTTATGTCAAAATGATGTCAATCATCACTTATGATGTGATGAACAATAACGCACATGAATTTGCAACAAAACCATTAAATATTTACTTTAAATTGAATAATTAAGAGTTTAGAGATTTAGAGTTAGGGTTTCCAATTTGGGGGTTAGGGATAAAACTCAAAATTGGAGGTCAAGGGCTTAGGATAATCCGCTAATTAGTTGTTATCATATGTTATATCATCATATTACACTCATTCATGTGAGTGCACCGAAGTAGTCACTCAAAATCCGACACCTTAATACTAGTTTTTGAGTTGCACGCACTCATTCATATGAGTGCATCGAGGTAGTCACTCATTCATGCGTATCGCGGCGGGGTGGAGACCATGGTCGACGTAGGGGCTACGCGCGCCTAAGAGCCAAGGGTTCCATCGGGCCGGATGGTGGGGCGGTCTTGGTAGCCACACCCATGGCCCAAGTAGGAATGGCAACAAAACCCGAACCCACGGGTACTCGCCCACACACATATTCACTGGGTCGGGTTTGGGTTTAGGTAAACCCGCCCCATGGATACTCGCACACACACATATAATTACTTTCCCGATATATTTAATATTCTAAATAATATATCTTTCTTAAACAACTAATATTCTTTATGTTTGTGGAGACATGTATAATTTGTTCTTTATAATTGTTTAGAATGAAGTTGATATTATGAAGTGGAGAGTGAAGAAATTTAGTTGACGAGGAAGAAACTTTTAATTAATCTTATTGTTTATAGATGTTTATCTTTAATTTTGAACAATTTGTATTGATCATTTGCGGTTTGCTTGTATGCTCTACATTGGTGCTTTTTGTATGAATAATTTGTATGAGAAAATTGATGTTAAACTTTTATTTTGAAAGGAACTTGTTATTGTAAATTTTTTACCACAAAAACCCACGGGTACCCATGAACCCGCGGATACCCAGCGGGTTGGGTTGGGTTTGAGTTATTCAAACCCAACGGGATTTATCCCAAATTTTTTTGACGAATAAACCCATGAATTTGGGTTTGGGTTTGACAAAACCCGCCACAACCCGACTCATTGCCATCTCTGGTCCCAAGAGATCGTTGCAACTCGTGGAAAGGGAAAGCTGACGGGATACGAGTCCGTGAGTTGTGGGGGAGGGCCATATCCACCACGCGACCGAGGAGTTCGCGGGTGAGAAGCGGAAAGAGAGTTGGGCCATTTGGGCCCAGACAATGGACGGGAAGAAGAGGAAATAAGCCTAGCGGGCCACAGAGGCAAGTGGGCCAACCCAGGTCCTCCGGGTGCTGGATTGGGCTAGGTCGCCGACCCAACCCCAGCTGGGTGGAAGGAGGCAGACTGCCCTGGTCAATCGAGAACCGATCTTTGCTATAATCGTTTAGGTCATCCAAACTTGAAGCAGTTACATAGGAATGAGTGAATGACCATTATTTTTTTCAATATATTTTATATTTAGCATAAAAATATAATATTTCCATGAAATTTGTAGTGTTGAGATTAATTTTTTTTCATTCTAGTGAATTACTATCATACTTTTCCGCTTATGCAATGTGAGTATAGTATAAACGTTAACATGTTGGTTGAAGTTTTGAAGATGAATTATTACTCGTGGATACCTGAACCCGAACAGTAATAGGCATAGTTTTGATTTTCTATCCGATCCTTAAGTGGGTATGAGTGAGGATAAAACCTAAACTACTATGGACATGATAACGGATATGCACTATCTGCCCCCGACCTGTTGTCATCCCTAATTTTAAAGGTAAAAAATTACAGTTCAGTGCCACATAGGACAAACTTAAAGAAAATGAACGGTCAATGACCAAAAATGAAAAGGTAATTATAGTGGGGACCATAATGAAGAACTTTTTTAACTAAAAACATAATATATTAAAATGCTTTCAGAAATAAGCCTGTCCACGTAAGCCTTGAAGGCTCCCAGTTAGTTTCGGTATTTGCCATATTTTTATTATTTTTTTAACTTTCCACGGCTGCTGCGTCGGTTAGTTTGGGAAAATTTAGCCTTTTTAATTAGGGTAAATACAATTTAATATCCAAACCTTTCATTTTAAACAATATAATAGCCAAACTTTTTCGAAAACAATATAATATCCAAATTGTCAACTTTCCGTCCGTTTGACCGTTGGTTGACACTTCAAAAAAGCTTTGTTTAGGGGAAATTGTCACAATACAACTTTGTTTTCTTGTTTTGGCATTGCAGATGACTGAATATTTAGATATTCTATAGCATCATGGTGGAGTCATGGACTTCTCGGGTTTGGAACCACGATATGTTGGTGGTTTTTCAGAGAAGATATCGACGGATATTGATGAAGCGTCGTACTTCGAACTTTTTTGAAGTGTCAACTAACGGTCAAACGAATTGAAAGTTGACGATTTGGATATTAGATTGTTTTCGAAAAGGTTTGACTATTATATTGTTTAAAATGAAAGGTTTTGATATTAAATTGTATTTACCTTTTAATTATTATTTTTAACTTAGGCGGTTGCGTCCCAAATCCCAACTCCTTTTCAAAACTCTTTTATGGTTAAGATCAAATTTGAAAACATCATTTGTGACATGTGACCGTAGATTAATAACTACGTTTTTTTTGGTGAAGTAAAGTAAAAATTCTTAAGAAGCCATTTTTAAGTGAGTGGACCGGTTACAAAATTTCGACATGCAAAAGTTGATCGTATTATTGTATATCGATATCTTGATATGATGATACGACGTATAATCGTGTTGTCTCATCGTATCACACATGTTATGGTACGATTGGGCTTTGCATGGTTTTGCAGGTCAGGGTTTTGTAGTGGAACCAAATCATTTTTTATCCGGGATGTTAAAAATGCTCTTTTTATAAAATATTTAGATATTTACTAATAATCAATACTTACAATATACATCATACCGTTTTATTTTCATAAACATATAATAGATTCCGTGATGCGTAATGAATGTAATAATTTTCACCTTTATATGATATTTCCGTGATGCATAAAAGTATTGTTAGAATATGACTTGAATTTGATTTGGGTTTGTTTTGTGTTTGGGCCTATTTTGTTTTGATTTGTGTTTGGGCTTTGTTTGACCTTTTCCTTGTATGTTTGGGAAAATGTGGTTGGTTTTCTGTTTGGGATTAGGAGAAGAGTTCTATAAATACTCTTCATCACCCTAGTCTGTAGTAAGGTCAGTCAGGTTAGTTTGTTTGGTTTGTCCGTTTGGAATTTGGTTTGTAACCTGTACTCTCCTCAAATCAGTGAAATTTGTCCCCCCTGCCCGTGGATTAGCTAGCACACATTGTGTAAGTGAACCACGTTAAATTTGTGTTCGTTCGTGTTGGTTTGGATTATCGATTGCCGCGCTTCTGTTCTGACAAGTGGTATCAAAGCCTTTGGTTGCGGTTTTGGGAATTTGTCGTTGGACTGAAGTTTTGCTTTGTGGCAGTGGATCTTCAGATTTGGATTTATTGGTTGCTTTTGAGTTGAAGTTTGGTTTAAGGAAAGTTTGTGAATGGTTGTCACCGAGCTGCGGTGAGGTGGTTGGTTAGGGTTTGGAGATAATTCTGTTTGTTATCCTTCGGTGGTGATTAGGGTTTCCGATCATCAAGGATGTTTGTTTTGAATTTGAAGATCGACAACACAATTGGGAGCTGCAGGTTCGGAGTTGGAGGTAAATTTGATATCGGTGTTATGAACGAAAATAACACCAAACTGGTTCTGCAAGGCAAGTCCCAACATGAGTTGGACTTGCTGCATGTTTTGATTTGTTAACCGCCCTTAGGGCATATGGAGGCAGGGGAGATTCTGGTACAGCTGATTTGGAGGAGTTAGTATGTCTGACAATTATGATTGCATCTGAGTTTGGCGATTTGCATCGCGTTTGGTCTGGCGATATGAATCGCATTTGGATATGTCTGGCAATCTTGATTGCGTTTGAGTTTGGCGGTTTCGATCGCATTTGGATACGTCTGGCGATATGTATCGTGTCTGGGTACATCTGGCAACTTTGGTTGCGTCTGGTACATCTGGTATTTGAGAGAGAATTCAAGTCAAGGTGGAGATTGTTAGAATATGACTTGAATTTGATTTGGGTTTGTTTTGTGTTTGGGCCTATTTTGTTTTGGTTTGTGTTTGGGCTTTGTTTGACCTTTTCCTTGTATGTTTGGGAAAATGTGGTTGGTTTTCTGTTTGGTATTAGGAGAAGAGTTCTATAAATACTCTTCATCACCCTAGTCTGTAGTAAGGTCAGTCAGGTTAGTTTGTTTGGTTTGTCTGTTTGTAACCTGTACTCTCCTCAAATCAGTGAAATTTGTTCCCCCTGCCCGTGGATTAGCTAGCACACATTGTGTTAGTGAACCACGTTAAATTTGGGTTTGATTTGGATTATCGATTGCCACGCTTCTGTTCTGACAAGTATTGTGAACGTTGTCTCCTTCAATTCAGTTGAATAGTTTGTGAGAACATTTTCACTAAAGTAATATTATAATCGATAACAAATTGATTATATAGATGATGCCACATATATTCATAAGTTACGGAAATGAAAATTAAAATACTACTTGCCCAAAGGGTAGGATGTAAGCTAGTTTTTTTTATAAACTGAGTGACCAAACTTGTAATTTAGATAGTAAATTTTCCATGGCCAGTCACTCTCGCAATGCGCCATGCATTGGATTTCTAATAACTTTTTTTTTTGTTGCGTAAATTGGATTTCTAATAATTATTGTTATATATTATGCACGCATATATGAATTATGAAGTGGATGTAGTACACTGGTTACTGGTACAACAGCCATTCGTTCCTCCATGGCCAATTATCTAGTCTTCGCTTCTTCTCTTCCAAACACAAACCCTGCCGCCGGTAGCTCTTCCTCTCCGTCGCCACAAACCAGAACCACCGGCCTCCCCGCCACTCCCCAGAACCCAATTAAACCCAAAGCTCCTCTAATCCTCCCAGCAACAACTTCCAGCAAGACTAACCTCAAGAAGAGTAATAATGCAAACAGCAAACTTCTCCGGCAGCAATTCAAAGTTCTGAGGGTCGAGCGCGCGATTGGCGCCGGAAGCTACCGCGACGCCGAGCCTCCCGGCGCTGCGGAGGGCCGCGGGTCCGGGATTGCCGAGTTGTGGTTGGAATCAGAGGACGGCAGCAACCGCAGTAACAACCCGTTCGAAGGCCCGGTGGAGAAGAAGATCAGGGAGACCGGCGAATGGCTCGCATATAAAACAGAGAACGACTTTCGAATTTCAGGTTCGAATTTCAGTTCTCGTTTCTTCTTTGCAGCTGAATCAATCAATATCGTCAACACAGCAAATACTCTATTATCTATTATCTATTGCAGATATCGAATTGGGTTGATTGATTGTTTTTTGGGTGTTTGATTTGGGGGTGTTGGTGTAGAGAAACAGAGCCTGACGTTGTTGTACAAATGGGCTCTCCCAATCTCACTACTGGCGATGATGGTGGCTGTGGGAGTCGTCAAGCTTCCATTTTTGTCTCCCTTGCTTGATGATTTCATCATGTAATGTTCTGCTGCAAACCCGGAGCTGGAGTGGGTTCTCATTAAATTATTGATCCCTGATTTAGGTTGGCGGAAACCGGAAAGAAATTTCGCTGACAGCAGCAATTAAGGCCAGTTATCCCTTTCGTTTTCCTTCCTGATCTTTATCTAATATAGAATTGTATGTGAAGTTGTGAGCTCCGTGTATCAAACATGATATTTTATTGATAAAAAGGAGGTTAAACGCTAAACGTTTGATTACTGTATTTACGGTTGGGATTTTGATGTTGTGAATGAGAATAAAATGGGAAGGAGACAAGAGAAACACTTGAAATACCATATTAGTGATATATGAGAAGGAATTTCAATTGGTTTCCAAATTGAACCAAGTGAAACTGAATCAAACAAAATGATGTGACGGTTGGAATAACCCAACATGTTCAACTACCATGGCTGAACCGATGCAATGGTTGAGTTTTTTTTAGTGAATTATTGTAATGGTTGGAGTGTGACCACCCACCCGAAAGGTCACATCCCTTCACTCATACTCCTTCATTTTATATAATTACACCTACCCCTGTGTTTTGACATACACAAGATTACACAAGAGATTTTCGACCAAAAGAAAGACAAAAGAGGTTTTCTTCGTCATTGTATTTCCTCTCTACAAACACATATAAGAAACAGAGTCGTGTGACTTCTCGCTGTTCGTTGATCTCGTTAGTTTCTGGGGTTCCAAGTACCGCACACTAGAAAAGATACGTCTGTTTTATCCTAGAAGGAATAGTTCCATGACCTTGAATATTATGTTGCGTATCAGAGTCTGGTTGCGAGGAACCGAGCTCGGCGAGGCTTGCATACAGGGACCGTGATTACGAGGAGACCTTTCTCGTCGCATCAATGGTTACCCTAGCTATTGGACACTGTCCATCCGCCATTGACAACCTATCCATCATCGCATCACCCGCCTCTGTATTATCGACCATATTCCGTTCAAGATCGGTCACTGTACTATTGTCGGGATGGGAGGTGTTGGACTGGAGAGATCAGTGGAATCACGCAACCCGAAACCACGCAGAAGGGTGTGCTGCCGAAGCTCAATCTTAGGAAGCGTCAGCTGAGACGACTAAGGAAGCTCAATTTTATTACGCATGGATGTACCATCAAGACTTGGGAGAATTTGGTAAGGTTTGCTGAAGTTGTCAACCAGGACTGGATCCGTGCCAATGGTGGCAAAGAAGAGGCACTACAAGATCTCCATCAACATCAGGGGACGAATGTGAGAATCCTTGACGAATCTTACCACCAAGGCAAGCGGGATATTAAGAAGTCCGCAGAAGTCCAAGGTTTGCTCGTGGGACAGCTACAAGGAGAGGGTCAAGGCTTGCAAGATGCACTGGAGACAGCACAACGTGACCAAGGGATCCAGCTGGCTGGCCAAGCTCGGCTTGTAGTTGGGTTGGGGAAGTTGGAAAGCGAACTCAGTTCTCTCGCAGAAGCTCGCCCATACCATACTATATACATGTGTAAAAAGATGCCAACAGGTAGAGGTGGCAATTGGATCGGATTCGTGGATTGGATTGGTGGATCCATGGATCAAATGGATTGGATCCAATGGATTGATCCATGAATCCAAATGACATCTAAGGCTTGGACCAAAATGTAAATTTTGAAAAGTTTAGGTACTAAAATGTCTTAATGAAAATTTTTAGGTATCAAAATGTAATTTTCCAATGATATTTTTTGTATACAAATATAAATTTTAGGTACCAAACTGTAAATATAAAAAATATAGGTACTAAATCGTAATTTGTCTTTTGGATCCATGGATTGATCCATGAATCCACCAATCCAATTGGATTTGGATGAAATGGATTGGATTTAAATGGATTGGATTAAGTGGATCATTTGGTGGATAGATTGTATTGGATTCATAGATTTGGATCCTAATTGCCACCTCTACCAACAGGACTTCTCACCTAGGCCTGTTGGTCGGTGCGGTTTCGGTTTAACCGAACCGCACCATCGGTTAGCCGAGACCGCAGATACCCCACCATCGCCAACCGAAGCCGAGACCGACAAGACCATCGATGAACCGCTAACCGCAGACGGCGGTTTCGGTTTGGAGTTGCGGTTAGCCGAGACCGCAAGTCCCCTCTCCATTTTTTATCTCTCCAGCTCTCTCTCTCTCTCTCACACTCCTATCGGCTGCCATCAATCCCATCGACCATAGACGACTCCCTTCCAATCCTCTCCACTTCGACTTTTTCCAATTGACTCCTCCGCTCTTTTTCAGCCGACAATTTTTGAATCGGCCAGATTCTGCCGGAAATAGAACATGCATGGAGGTGTTGTTGTTGGATTTTTCGATCGGAGCCAGAGGAATAAGGGAAAGAGTTGTTAGAGGCAGAGGTGGCGGGCCTGGATCTGAACCCGCCGCGTAGGAGCTACTTCGCCAAAGGCTGCCGCTTCGACACCCTCTACTTCTCTTCCTCCAAGCAAAGTCGTGGCTAGATCTCGCCAAGGTCGGGATTGGGGAGATAGGGTCGGCGTCGCTTATCAGGTTGGGGCGCTAGGTTAGAAGGATGAGAATCGAGAAGAAGTTGGTGTTCTTCCATCTCTGGATTGGCAAAAATTGAGATAAGGAGGTTGAATTGGGATTTAGCTATTTAGGAATTAGGGATTTATGAGGGCAACAGTGGAGAAAGGTGGGAATTTGGAAAGGAAGGAAGAGGAGAGGGAGTGATTTGCATGGCCGGCATATTGGTCTTCCACTCTTCCTCTTCTTCGTCATTCTCATCGGCGTGCCCAGTGGAGAGGTCCGACGGTTAGCAGCGGTGCATCGAGTTTTTCTCGGTTAGCAACCGGCATCCGTCGGTTACAGATATTCTCCGAAAAATGGCAACCGACGCCGACACCGAACCTATTATAGTCGGGTCCGACATCTCGATTCGGTTGTCGGTTAAACCGAATAATCAAGAACGGATTATCACCCCCTAATCTCACCCCCTTTCATATCATGATGGAGTAATAACCCATCAAATATCGACCTCATGCCCATTCACTAAACACGTAGGAAGTTAGTTGTCTTCTTTTTTTGGGTAGGTGGAAGGTTTATCCTCCAAAAAATACAATATAATTATCATGATTTTCATTCCCTCTGTTACACGTGGGATAGTATTTTAAGTTAAATAATGACATTGGTTTCTTCACCTAATTGAACACCCAAAAAATTCAACTTCCTCTTCCACGTTGACCAAGAGTGGGACGTGGCAAGCTAGCATTTCTCATCAAAGGAACCCAACTACGTACACATCAGCCATGCAATGCTCATTACATGCATGAGGTGGGTGTTTTTAGAAATTATTTTTCCTCATAATTATATCAAACAACTACTCTCAATAGCCAACTCACTCACACGTGGACAAGCAAAGTAAACTTGTTTGTCCTATCAATTGATTGGTTAGTGGTTCCTTTTATTTCACCCAAACGACCATAATCCTTTTTTCTCATATCAATACACGGTGGAAAAGGAGGTTGGCAGAATGAGGAAATGGTTGTGTTTCTTTTGCCATCACACAACTTCCCACCACTTTTATACATTGCCTAGCGGAATATATATATATATGTTACTTGAGTTTCTTTCTTTCTTGCATAATATATTACTAAATTGTTTATGTGTGTTTGTTGGCCACCTCATGATAAAAATATTGAAGAAGAAAGGCTTGATAGAAGCCATCATCGTCCAAATGAGTCTCAACCACATGTGGCGCAAGCAGAAGTTGAAATTACTCTAAATCCGTGTTTCATATTTCTATTATTTCAATTTTATTTGCAGACATTATTTGTTATTTAGTTTTGATTGAATGAAAATAAATGTTCTCTATTTAAGTTTCCTTTTGGGTTGTACAAAATAATCTTCACGAAAAATGAAGGACGAGAGGAGTTTGTAGTACATCACAATAACCAAATCTAACTCACAATCAACCCTCCAACAAATCCCTCCCTTTTTTCTGGAAAATAAAAAACTCAACCATAACCAAGTTGTGCAAGACATCCCTTTAAGAATGTCAGTTGATCTTTTTTGAGAGGGAGAAAAAAGAGAGGGTTGTAAATGGTTATTTTGGTGAGAAACCGTGGTTAAAAAGAATCCTTACCGCCCCTAACATTTTTCTAAAAAGAGTAAATAGAGAGAAGTCTCTTCCAAAAAAATCTTATTTGCTAAAAAGAAGAAGAAAAGGAGCATTCCATCTTTCCCAAATACTTCTGTCTTTCTTTCGCCTTGATTTCCCATTACTCGCGGGGTCTCAAGAGACCCTGCCCTCTTCTCCCCCATCATTCTCATCCTTTCCAATTCTCTCTCTTCCTCTCTAATCTTCTTTCTCTCTCTTCCATTTCTTCACACCTTGTTTTTTTTTTTCATTCTGTTCTTTGGTGTGGTTGGTTTGTAGCAGAGCCCTCCTATGCTTTTGGCCAATGTAAACTTCATAAGGGAAAGAAAGAAATTGACAAACAAATATTTTTGTTGTGTTTGTGGGTCCTGGTCGGAGACAATCACCCGCCTCTATTTACATAATAATAATAATAACAATAACTATTATTATTGAGTATTATAACCAAGAGGAGCCTCAAAAGATTGGTGTTTCCCTTTGATCATAAAGGGCATCATAATCAGATGATGAATTGTTTCCCTTGTTTCCAGTCTCAGAAGAGTAGGAAATCTGCAAGCAAAAGGGACATTGCCTCGCCTCCTTCAGAACCTGTTGAGGCTGGTAAGGCCATTTCCTCGCATTTATTTTTTTTCTTTTACTCATTCATTGAATTTCAATAAGAATGAAAAAATGATTTCTTAAAACATACTAGTGCGTCATTGTTTGATTCCCTCTTCCCCTATATATTGTGTAGAGCCAAAGAAACAAAAACCCGGAGATGAGGAAGGACCACCCAATGGTGGTGTGGCACAAACATTCACCTTCCGCGAGCTTGCCACCGCCACTAAGAACTTTCGACAAGAATGCCTCTTGGGCGAAGGTGGGTTCGGACGAGTTTATAAGGGCACACTTGCTTCCAATGGCCAGGTTTGAAAAACAAATTTTCTTCCTTATAATCTTGCTTACATGTCCTCATAATAAAGTATTGATATGATATGCTATGCTATGAATGAATAAATGCTAGGTGGTTGCTGTGAAGCAACTTGACAAGCATTCTCAAGGAAGCAAAGACTTTGTGACGGAGGTGAACACCATTAGTGTCCTGAAGCATCAGAACCTAGTTCAATTGATAGGATATTGCGCCGATGGAGATCAAAGGCTCTTGGTGTTTGAATATATACCTAATGGCTCCCTTGAAACTCACCTCCTTGGTATATATATGTAACCTTTCAATTCTCTTCTGCCAACTTCATTTACTATAATCGAACATCAAAAGTTTTGACTCTCTGTTTGGCATTGAATGTTGTTAATTAAGAGATGACGCCAGAGAAAAAGCCAATGGATTGGATTACAAGACTAAAGATAGCATATGGAACTGCAGAAGGTCTATCCTACTTGCATCTCCAAGCGAATCCTCCTGTTATCTATAGAGACTTGAAGCCTTCCAACATTTTGTTGGATGATGATTTCAACCCTAAACTCTCAGATTTTGCATCGGTGAGCTTTGGCCCTGATGGAGATAGTAAGTTCCCAATTCAATCCAGGGCAATGGGCACCTATGGCTATTCTGCTCCTGAATACTCTGGGGTCGGCCAACTCACCTCCAAATCTGATGTCTATAGCTTTGGAGTCATTCTGTTAGAGCTCATCACTGGGCGTAGAGCCATTGATACCACCAGATCAAATGACGAGCAAAACCTTGTTCAATGGGTAATCATGCAATCAACAAAATTGCTAACTTTTTTATTTTAATTTGTTTCCTATTAATATTCATCATAGTAAAAATTAATTAAGGGATACAAACTAGTTTCAGGGGCATGTACTACCATACTGTATCCCTTGACTCAATCATCACCATAATTCATTTGATGATCCTGATGGCTTTTATTTAGGGGTCGTTTGGAAGTTGCGATTGTTTTGTTGAGATTGTCATTATACATGTATTTTGTTTTGTTTTTTTAGCATAAACAATACATGGATTGTTTCTATCATGTGACAGAAACTATCACTCATTTTGAGTGATTGTTATATCTCAACTTTTAGTTGTGATTGTTGAGATAGTTGAGTTGAGATTGTTTTGTCTCAGCTTTTAGCTGATGCGACATACACAATCACACATACCAAACGTTGTATTCTACAATGCATCAAATTCGACAATACATGTATAATATTATACATGCATTCTCAACAATACATCTATTTAACAATTACAACTTCCAAACGACTCCTTAGAAAATGTGTGGTTGAAGAAGAGTACCTAACCTGACTTCCATGTATATTTTGCAGGCCCAACCGATATTTAGAGACCCAAAGAGATTTCCGGACATGGCAGACCCGTTGTTGAGGAAGCAATTCCCAGAGAAAGATTTGAACCAAGCCGTCGCAATTGCAGCCATGTGCCTCCAGGAGGAGCCTGGAGCGCGTCCTCTGATGAGCGATGTGGTTATGACTCTAAGTTTCCTTTCCACAAATCCATCAGACATTCCTCCACCATCGACTCCTCCTCCTCCTCCAGTGGAAGAGAAATCGAGCAGGGAAAGCTCCGACGACGACGACAGCGGAAGCGATTACGACGATGATGAGTACCACCAAGGCTCGAAAAGACACAGCGGACGAGATGAATCCGAGGAAGATGACGAAGAAGAGGAATACAGGAGTTCCGATTTTAGCGACGCTAGCAGTTACGATGACGAGGAAGGAGATCAACATGTCGTCGGCTCGACCGATGGGGATGGGGAAGGTACGGAGATTGACGGCGGGTCTTTGGATGGCGGCGGGTTTTCACGGCGGAAGTATAGTAAAAAAATTAAGGACAAAGGGTCGGTGAGCAGCCGAAAAGGCGGTAAAAAAGTGAAAGGGAAACACAAAGGGTCGGCGAGCGGTCGAGGCGGTGAAAATTCTTGATTGACCCATCAAGCAACACTAGCTCAAATAACCAACATAGAATCAGCATGAGATCAAAGAGAGAGCGGAAAGCATCAGAGGACAAGAGAGCCCCAATGCAATTGTCATAACGTGGAAGGGGGGGATATATGATTTATTTGATCAATTAAGTTAGGTTTTAACTTAATTAATTATTTTCAAAACCAAACAACCATCTTTAGCGTCTCTTCTCTCTCTACTGGAGAAATGAAGAAAGTAAAAAAAATGATATTTATGTTGATAAGATGATTTGTTGGATTGGGTGAAGAGGGGAAAAATGAGGGAAAAACTGAATATGAGAATGAAGGAGAAAAAGAAAAATGGCCGGTAGGGGAAGCATAAAATGGAATGGAAGGCTTTCGTATTAAATTTTTATGTAGTTTAAATTTCCATTTCCTTGTACTATCCACAATTTTCTTTGATCATGCCCACTTAACCTTGTTCGATTTCATTTCTTCCAAAATTTTATTTCAAATTCGAACCTGTTTAAGTAAAGACGATAAAAGCCAAGTTATTCCTCGTAACTTAATTTTAGTCGGCGTGTGTTGGTTTGAATTTTTAGTTAATTGATTAAGCACTATAACTTTTCGAATGACTACAGTACCTCGGTATAGCTCAAACCTTTTCAGAGAAAATTCTAACCAAAGAGTAGTTGATGTTTTTCTTAGAGAATCTCTATTAAGTTACACTATATTATGGAGATTGTGTGTGACCTCCGTATACTACAACTACTTTAACACTTATGGACAATACTTTATGGAAAGAGAGCTCCAAATAATAAATACATAAACAAAGTGTAGAACTTGAAAATGTGTCATCATTTAGGTGATTGTACCATCTCCACAAGTTGACTAAGGTTCAACCTGGCAAGTGCCAACAAATACATAAGGTCGAGAACTTGGGTATGAAAACTTGAGCCAGATGAGGATATCATCCTAATCAACGAGGAACTCTTTTTCAATCCGTTTTGGAAACTTTGGAATTGAAGGTGATAAGTTTTAGGCATAATACACTTATATAACCAAAACTTTCACGTTTTTGCCAATAGTAGCCAATTTTGAGAAATACCACTTATAGCCACTTTCGTCAAATTCTTTAACGGTGTCAGCTAACAAGCTGACTGGACTAATGACTTTGCTTATTTGGCGACATTTCATCAACAACATTGCCACATAGATTAATAAAAAAATAAAAAATAAAAATAAATTCAATGAAAATAAAAAATAATTAAAAACCATTAAATAAAAAGCTCCACTTGAACCAAAAACAAAAAAAAAAACCCAATCTCTCCACCTACCCTATGCTCCATCATCGTCCCCATTCTCCACTGCTCCAAGAACCCCCAAACCTTCTCCCCTTCAAAGCCAAAAACCCAATAAATCTCTCCACCTACCCTCTGCTCCATCATCGAGCCCATTCTCCACTGCTCCAAGAACCCCAAACCCTTCTCCCTTTCAAAGCCAAGAACCCCAAGTCCCTGCACCTACCCTCCTTTGCCGAGATTATCTAAACCCCTAAAAAATCCCCATCCAATACTCTCCCACCCGCCACTGCTCTATACGTTGACGAAAAACCAATTGTCGACCCTCTGCAAATCATCATCCTCAATCACCACGTCATCAATAACAGTCAAGAAGCGTAGATGGAGAAGCAAGTGCTGTCGGGTCCAAATCGTCGTGCCCCCATCCTCTTCTTCAACCCCTACTTGAAATCCATGTTCAATCATCGTCGCCTACTCTCACCCCTTCCGCCGCGCCGTCCAGATATGCTTTCCAAGATGAAGAACTCGTCCAAGTGTTTCGATTCGGCGAGATTGCAGTGTAGACGCCATAGTCGGCAAGAACTTCATTCTATAATTTCATATTTTGAATACGATGGTGGTGAGAAACAGGGGCGTTTCGAAATAGAGAGTGGTCGAAGACTGGACTTCCTTGCTGGGGTTCTCTAGCTGGGATCCTTGACTGAAACAGGGGCAAAATTGCATCTACTGGCAGCCCGGTTCAGGGGCAATAGATTCAGGGGCAAAGGCGGTGGAGGATTTGGGTATGTGGGTTTAAGAATCTGGGTGGGGTATTCATTATTGAGAGCTCGTAGAGAGGGTTTTGGGAGGATGAAGAACTGGCTGAGGGGGACTTAGGGGCGGCAGTCGGATTTTCAGGGCGATAGGAAGGTTTGTGACGATGGGAAGAACAAGATGAAGGGGGCAGATCACTCTTCTTTTTTTATTTTTTATTTTTTGTCTTGGAAGGAGAAGGATATGGAGAAGAGATCTTTAAATTAAATGGAATGACATAATTTGTTTTTTACTTTAAATTGTGACTTGGCTACCATATGGCATGGTAAGATCTATGTGGACATGATGTGTCGTTTAGGTGGCATCAACATCAGCTTAACGTCTATTTCACTGACGGAATATTTGACGGTGTTAAAGTATTTGACAAAAATGGCTAAATTAGTCCAATAAGTTTTAAAAATGTGGTTATAAGTGGCATTTCTCCAAATTTGGCTATTATTAGCACAACATGAAAGTTTTGACTATACAAGTGTATTTTGCCTAAGTTTTAACTTGTTAGAATAAGAGAGAGCAATCTTTGCACATATCATCTAAGCACTTAATATATTGGTCGAGAAAGAAAAAAAATGTTTATCGTGACTGTTGTGCTAGGCAGGGTGAAGCAACTCATTTTTCAAAGTTATGAACTTATTTGGACCCCTTTAGCAAGCTCATTTAAGCCTAAATGGACATATCCCTTCCATACCAAATTGTGCCTAATTTGGAGTCTTTCTAACTCGATAAAGCCGCCCACAAAGGCACAAACCACTAACTTAGGTCCTTCCTCTCCCAAGCTCGGGATAACTAATCCCTAGCCCCCTAGTTCTTCAAGGAAACAAAATATCGCTTGTATTCCGTTTTATTGGGGTTTGATAGTCTGGAGAAGAATGCAGTGCTAATCACGAACTTCTGATCCCTAAAGCCAATGATTGAGTCCTAGAAGGTAAGTGTTTAGAATTTAAATTTATTGTGTACCACATTGATGAGTTACAAGGTAATTAATAATCTTGTAAGGTCATTTTTTATATGATTTAAAATGGGTCTCATGTTACTTGATTTTGAAGCCCAAGCGACTGAGTCCTCGAGATGACCACACTGGTTGCGAGAAATGACCACATTGGTCAAGAGACACAACCATAATGGTCGCGAGGCGTGGCCGAGAGGAGGCAAGCACCAAGACTTTAATCTCGTCAAGAAAGAGACGCCTATACGCAGTTGAGGGAGCAATTGGCACTCATCTCACTTTTGAAGACACGTCTAAGAAAGGAGGGAGGAGTAGTTTTTGGAAGTTATTAAGCAAGAAGTTCTCAGAGGCGGTTACCACTCCATGCCAATAAATAAGAGGAGGAGTCGACAGTAACATGGGTTTCCAAAACCACACAATTGACACCTACATCAAGTTTCATCATTTCTCTGCAAATGTAGCGATAGTCGTAGTTTGGAGCTCTAGTCGAACCTCTACAGGAGTAAGAGAAATTTAATTTAGTTTAATTCCAAAAAGCATCAATCAAACACCTCTGATCAAGTGACCAACTTCTAAGTTGGTCGAATGGATGTAGTTTCCGAAACAATGGCGGGATGAGGGCTCTTCTGACACTGACTACAAGTCTGGATGAAGCAGTGGCCATCACATCACTCCGTCAATTCATGGAGGAGTGTGTGTTTGAATCCCAACAGGCAAACCTATGTTTAAATTCTCACCTGAAAATGCCACATTTCTCTTATTAAACATTGTGATTCTCTCATTGAACGCCATGATTCTCTCGTTTCTTAGATATATACATGTCTATATAATTGGTTTGGAAACTTGAGCAAGACTTAGATAAATTTAATGAGTATATAGATGTCTCAAACACATTTGTGGTTCAATTAAGGACTTTGTAAATAAATAGCAAAGATTCACCACTAAACAGTGTTTACGAAGTAAGAATTTTTCTTCCATTGGTTGTCAAAATGGTCTAACATGGCAAGGAACCTTACCGACATTGGGGACAAGCCAAATGTCATCTCAACATGGGAGCTGTGGCCAAAATTTGGCCCCTACCTTCAAGATCCACGATGGGGACTTGTTTGTACATGGCGGAGTTCAACCGCCCATTCTAGATATAAAACCATCTCAGACACATGTCGGTGACTTTGGTGGTGGTGATTCATTCAAACTGGATCAAGTACCATCGTCTCCTCTCCCACCCCCAATGACACCCCTAGTGAGAAGACAATGAGAGGATTCTGGTGGACTCAAACCACCTAGAGCTCAACAAGGGGGAATAAAAAGTCTAATACCAACAAGCTGAAGTCGAGATGTCCATTTGGGGGCATGTGGTATCCAAGAGGCCACAAAATCACAAGCCACGCATGTTTGTGAAAAACATTCTAATATGGTTAAGTCTGGACAGGGGGCACGCCACCAACCGCTTGAAGTCGAGATGCCCATTTGGGGGCATGTGTTGTCCAAGAGGCCGCAAAAATCACAAGGCACACATGTCTGTGAAAAGCCCACTAGTATGGCTAAATCTGGACAGGGTGCACGCCATCAACCACATATAGTGGATGTGGAGGCATATCCAACAAGTCACGACATGAGAAAGCCACAAAAAATTACTGCAGATCTAAAAGTTTAGCTAACTATGGAAAAACTATGTCTAAGAGGCCACATGATTTCCAAGCCACACATGCATGTGACAAGCATGCTAGTTTGGCTAAGTTTGGACATGGGGGCATGCCACCCACCATGAAGTATGGAGTAGGGGCATGTTCGGGAAGAAACAACAGGTACAATCCACCCATGGCTTTTGTAAGTGTGAAAATAAGGTTAGCTACTAAGTAAAGACAGGAGATTAGATATCATAGAGTTCAATTCCCGTTCTCAACCCATGAATAATATAGTCTGGAAAAAGGGCAAGTACATGTCACCAACCATGAGGGGTAGACAAGAGGATATGTATAGGGAGTCACAATACACACCAATGAAATATGATTGCACAAAGAGTTAAGGATGATTGTGCTCTAAGTATAGGGGTCAACAAAACTTAGTTGTTGAAACACATAATTAAATGGACCACATGTGTGGCAGTCGACTTGGCAAACCTAGGCATGGTCTCCCACAACATGAGGAGAGTAAGCATGTCTCAATTGGGAGACAACCAATGCAAAGAAACACTCATGGTTATATTGACACGTCAAGTAAAGTGACCACGGTAGAGGAGTATGGGAACTCATGCAAGACATGTCGATCAGGTACCGTCCACAAGTAAGCTGAAAAGTTCAAAACCAATGTGTGAAGAGTCATCTCCCGTGAAGGAAATGAGTCATGTGGTTTATGGATGGCTTGCCTGGTTTAATCCATGGACTTGGCCGTGGGTGTACACCTTTGACACATTAGTTGTTACCAAAGACCATAGAGAGTAGTGGTGTGTGTAACCCCTTGCTTTATTGTGGGAGAGCCACTAATGTCACCTCTGAGAGAGACGGCGTTTGCCCGGCGGGAGGAGTACTGGTTAACTTTGATGGGTCGTGAAAGAAAGAAGTGGGAGGCGACATTGGCTTTACTGGTTTTTTCGCATCGGGTGAGCTTCTCTTTGCTATTGGAAAACACTATTCTGGTATAACCGATCCGTTTCTAATGGAAGTGCTAGCTTTACGTGATGCGATTACTTGGTGTCTTACGCATGGGTTCTTGGTTGTGAATTTTTGTGGAGATTCTCAATTATTGACTCGGAGGGTGCGGGAGAAAGATGTAGCCCATGCTGCCGGAGGAGCTCTGCTGGAAGCAATTTGTAACTCCTCTGCATCTTTTTCTTTTTTCTCTTATACTTTTACTCCTAGGGTGTTCAATAGGGCTGCCCACTTAGTGGCTTCTAATGCCCTCTCATCGCTAGTTCGGCTAGCGACCCACTGCCGCGTCTGGCTATTAAATATTTTGTAATATCTATTATATACCCTATCTATGCAAAAAAAAAAACCTTGCTTTATTAAATAACTAAATTATATATTTTTATAAATTAAAAAAAGCCATATCATGGCTGAAAAAGATAGAGAAAACTACCAAAGTGGCAAGTTTAGATCCGAGTATTAGATTTAGATATCAGGACCTTGCCACCAAGTCATCGAGATGGCTTGACATACCGAGCTTGGCTTGGTTATTGGGCATGCCACGCCACCTCGCCTAGGTAGACACAGATTTCTTATGTTAGCCATGGTGTGAGGGCAGGTTTGTTTGGATATGAGTGGTGGCTAAAGAGCAATGTGGGAAAGTGTGTTTGACACAATCCACTAGTAAGTAAGGGATAGCCATAACTTATTAGCTGAAGTTGAGGCCAACAAGGAAAGATAAGAGGCTAGTTTGTTGTGATGGATTGTCAAGTGACATCTAGCCAAAGTATGTAAAAGTAAAATAAAAAAAAATATTCTCATGGCTCGCATGATTAAGATAAGTGGCATGCTAGCCACCTGAGAGAAGGAGGCCCATTAGAATGTATAGAAAAAATTCTAAGTATTTTTTACCTCATCGTAGCCATGAAGGATAAAAAAGCTGAAAGAGGAGGCGAAGCGACTTGTGTGGATAGGTTAAATAGGGTGGGGTGCTGATTTAATAAAAAAAATCTTTTATGGGAACACTTGGACAGTTTATTGGAGGCTGAGGTAGACATTTGAATCTCAATTAAAGCATACAAGACCCTCTTGAATAGACTGCATAGAGAGAGATTATCCTCAACCAAGACAGAATTCCCAGGCAATTCATGTAACATACCGAACCTTTTCTTGATGAATATATTGTCCGCTTTGGGCACAGACCCTCACGGTTTTTGCCTTGGGGTGCAATTCAAGGTGACATCCCATAAGGTCACCCATCCTTGTTGTACTCCACACTGAGCACGTTTAACTTCGGAGTTCTCACAAGAACTCCTCTATTTCACCCCAAAATGCTTCTTGTCAGGTAAGGTTGGTTTCTTACTTATGAACCATGGATCTTTCCAGTGCTTTGTTGATGTGGGATTTGCCTAAGGTGTTACATACACCCCCTTAGGACTGAATGCCCTCATTAAGGTTTGCCCCACCATCATTCAAGATGGATGCAAAGAGGCTCTGATACCACTTGTAACATCCCGAACCTTTTCTCGACAAAGATATTGTTCACTTTGGGCTTAGACCCTCACGGTTTTTTCCTTGGGGTTCAATTCAAGGTGACTTCCCATAATGTCACACATCCTTGTTTTACTCGACATTGAGCACCTTTAACTTCGGAGTTCTCACAAGAACTCCATTTCACCCCAAAACGTGTCTTGTTAGGTAAGGCCAGTTTCTTACCGATGAACAATGGATCTCTTCCGTGCTTTGTTGATGTGGGATTTGCCTAAGGTGTTACAATTCATAACTATAATCCCTCTATTGGGTATGACTATCACCTTGTACAAGGCAATGAATCGACTCACTCTTGCAAAATTGATCCCCTACTTCCAATTAGTGATGCTCTATCAACGTAATTAGATATTCTCTCTCATAGATCATGTTAGAAATCAATAAGCTCGATTAAAGCAGAATTTATCCATAAAACAAGCATAGTTTGGATATGGTCTCAAGTTTAAAAAGTACGAATACTCATACAATCATCAAATCATACAAAACATGAGTAGTGAATCATCAAACCATACAAAACATGAGTAGTGAAGAAAAGTTACTCTAGTGAAAGAGAAGGAAATACATATGAGAATAAGAAAAACTGTATTGTAGTGGTGAGATTCTTCTTCCAATAGGTTATCTCCACTCCTAAGCTTAATTATCGGGCTCCAATGGCGAATTAATCCTCTAAAATAGCTCCAAGAATGTTCACAAGTCTCTTCTCTCTCTAATGTTTGTCCCTTGGGTTTTTGGGATCCAAAACCTCATCTCTCCCCTTCTAAATTAGCAAAAACCCTCTTTATACTCGCAAGACAGGAAATGTCACGACCTAATGTCACGGCCATAACATTTTAACTCCAGGCTGTAACATGGGGAGCTGATTCTTCCTTTTTCATCAATCTCATGGCCTGGGAGAGGATGTCATCCTTGGGTTGTGAAATTTAAGCTCAGTCTGTGACATTGAGACTGCAACCCTTTTGTGTCACATTCTAACCTCCAAATATTGTAAAACTCGCCCCTAAGCTTCCTTCAAGTGCTATGATATGAAATATGGCAAAAGAGCACAACCTAATGTAAAATGGGCATATGAAAGAATTTCTCATACCAAATGAACAAGAAACTCTCAAGATAGAAGGGATAAAACATTTATGATTAAGCTTGTATCAAACTCCCCCACATTTAACCATTTGCTTATCCCCAAGCAAACCAAGTAGAACAAAAGATTCGCTAAAGGAAATTGTTTGGAAACCAGTTTGGATGAAACAATAGGGGCACATGAAAATAGTGAATCACAAGTAGTCATCCACATTGGTACATGAAGTAACAAAACATAGACCTTAACAACAACCACAAACTACATTGAAATATAACCAGTTCATGTTAATGAACACTCCTCATCATACTTATAAAACCGCTCTCGAATATGATTAATCAAGTGAAATCCCCAAAAATTATAATATGAAAATGGGTCACTCTAGCCTCGACTAGTGGGATCACGACCACAGTTTATGCAAAAGATGTGCATGTTTAAGTTCTATCATCTCTCTACCATGAACTGATTTTTACATACTTTCAAATGAAATTGATTCTCCAAAATTGAGTCACCATTAAATTGTCAGGAGCGCATTTAATTGGGTTGGGACTTTGTTAAGGTCGTGGACATAGGTACATGTCTGTCTTTATGGTAATGGAAAAACAATTGATTCTCAAGGTTCCACAAATTTCTTCAAAGCATATATAACTCAATGTGCTCTCTGCTATACTGCTTTGATGGACTTAAAGTATAAAAGTAAAGGAGGTAACTTTTGAACTTTAAGAGCTCATAGCTTTTGGGCTAGAAAATTATTCCTTAGATGAGCAAGACTGTCACCCAATAAGAGCAATGAATTGAATCACTCTCGCATAATCGACCCCCTACTTTCAATCTAAGGTGCTCTATGGAACTAATCAGATATTCCCTCTCTTGAATCAAACTTAAATCAATAATCTCGATTAAAGCAGAACTAAATCCTAAAACGTGCAGAAATCAGTTTTGATCTTCAAACTTCACTGCCAAACATGTTTCTCAAACTCCAATGGAGAAGAAATCATCCAATTTCGCTCCTAGGTCACTCTCGCTCTCTAGGATTCATACCTTGGGTGTTTGGGATCCAAAAACCCAGCCCTCCCCGTTAAAACTTACAAAATGTCTCTTTTATACCCGACAGTGGCAAAAGCACAGCCATAAATCACGGTTGTGCTTTTTAGGTTTTTGCCCATGCATCATCATTTCACTTATGATCTTCAGGAAAAAAGTACTGGCAAAAAGTGACCTATGATTTTGCCTTGCCAGTCAGTGATGTTTCCAAAGAAGCACTGGCAAAGCACCCCCCCCCCCCCGGTACTTTTGCCTTGTCAGCCCCTTATTTTTGGCAGAACCTCTAGAATGGTTGAACAGGCTGAGTCTTGATTCTCATGGTTGTGATTTTAATTCTCATAGCCGTGAGAAACATTGTGGACCTTCATTTGCTCCATTTTCACCTCTAAATGCCCTGAAACTCACTCCTAAGACTTCACCTCGCTCTAGGACATGAAATATGAATTAAGAACACAACCTAGCATAAAATTGGCAAAGGATAGGGAATATCAAAGGTAAATGGTCAAAAAAAATTAAGAGATTATGGGTAAAACATGTATAAATGAGCTCGTGTCAGAAGGCTTATCCACCATGTGATTTCCTGATCCTTGGGTGAAAGGTATGTTAGTCGAGGACATCAACTTTATCTAGAGTATGTTGGATCACGATCCCTTCACATAAGAGTCTCGATTCTCGCCATACTTACAAGGCACATCACTGACAAGAGGCTTTGAGCATTGATTGTCGATGTTTACATCACAAGACTCGCCAAGTACCTCAATATCAACCTCGACAATGTGGTTAGCTAGCTCGACACCAGGACTCATCCCCTCACATTCTTGTCTCTCATGTCTTACATCAAAACACCTGAGAATAATATGAATGTAGTTTGGGTAGTCCAAGTTCTAACTTTCCCCAGACACCAACAGTATCATGGTGGAAGGTGTAGAGTTCTCTCTCTTGGTCACTCTATCGAGGAGAGTTGCTCTATTGGTAAAGGAAGAAGAATAATAAGAAGATGAGGATCAAGCTACCAACCTCAAGGATGATACTTCCACACTTATTAGCTGCCGCCACAATGAGTGAGTTCCTTGGGTCATATATCGACCACTTGCAAGAGCTCGCATCATAGTCGTGGAGAGAGGCCAAACTATCATCAACAAGAGGCTTCAGAAGGAAGCTGAGGTAAGGCATCACGTGATTGCATGCCATCATGCAACAATGAGGCATCTAGGGATCTGAGTGGAGGACATTCAAATAGGTCATGTGGCGACCCAACCTTACAACATTGAAGAAAATCTATATTAAAAAGTTATGGGGAAAGTGTTAAAAAGAAACTCAACAATCGTTCTGCAGTTCTGCTATCATACACCTAGATTTAATGTTTGCACTTATCTTCTTTCACCTAATGACATTCCTTTCAGGATTTTCGAAGTGAGTAAGCATGGTCATGAAAGGTTGATACGTCTCTAGTCACTTGTGATCCGAATATGATGATTCACATTGAAGGGCGAGGTTAGGGGCTTTGACTTACACGTTTTAATCTCATGTTTTTTTGGACCAAGCAAACGCGAAAGTGTGAAAGGATTTTCTATTACCTAAATTGAGTGTTATAAGCCTTCTAATGTAGGTGTTTCCATGTCTTAGTTTAGTGAGTGAGTCATAAACCTTGTGTTATAGCATATACATTTCCTATCTTTTTCATTTGGACGTGGTTAGGCGAAGATGCATTGATTTTAAGTAATTATGGAAGTAATTATGGCATCCATTGTAGGTTAAATAAATAAGAAAGTTTGCCCTCATGGGGGAGTTGATAACACTCAAAATGGTGTTATTTACCCCTCATATTCAGGTTCGTTTTAAGTCATTTCATGGTCACATTGGTTGAAATGTCATCAAATACACCCATAATTCTTTTCTCAAAGAAAATATAATCATATTGGGGTATTTTAGGTGATACAAACCTTTTAGGTACGAAAAAGGGTCACAAGTGTAGAAAAGAGGCCCAAAATGGAGTTTGCAGCTAAAGGAGGGAAGATTACGGTCGTGATCATTGAGACTGCGAAGTCTAGAGGGAATATCGCGACATAGAGCCAACTTTCATGCGCGCAATCTTTCGGGATGCAACCACGAACTCAGAGAAGCTATCGTCAATGGAAGACAAACAATCTCGACAGTCGATTCACAGAACTTCAGGATTGCGACTGTGAAGTCCTGCCGAGAACTCTCACACCAGCAGATCCAGAACTGTGTCATCTCAAGATCGCGACCTCTTACAAAGATCACGTCTGCAATCTCCTACCCTGTGCCCATGAACTTTGCTGCATTTTCAGAACTATATAAATAGGGGACTCCTCCCCTTGAGTAGAGGGATTTTGGCAGATTTCTTGTTCTAGAGTAAGGTTAGAGAGATAAGTAGAAGCTTGAAGAAGAAGAGTAGAAGAAGTGGAGGAGGATTTCTAGCACTTGAAGACCCTTCCTCATGATTTCTTCCCATCTTTACATGTCTCTTCTTCCCCCCCCCCCCCCCCCCCCCCCCCTTTATGGGATAGTCCCTCAAGATACTTTGGGGCTTAGTCCCCCAAACCCTAACTTAGAGTTTGATATGTAATAAGATGTTTTAGGCTAGATTTTTTAATGATTATGAGCTTATTTTCCTATGTCTATTTGATGATTATCTTTCTTTACATCAATTATGTGGGATTGTCTGTATCCCATTTGATCTAGTTGCAACTTAGGTTGTAGGTGATGATTCATTCTCTTTCTTGTGATATATGGATGAATTGAATTTTCCTAGCATTTTATGCTTCATATATGATTAATTATGTTAGGGCTTGACTCTCCAATTCTTTACTACTTAGGAGCGCATCAGACCTAGAGTAGATGACCATTCATCTAGGTCAAGTCGGGGCTTACATAATTGATGCAAATTTGAATGATTACATGACCATTGAATTATTTGAATTGTGTACTTATTGGTTAAACCCATTTAAAGAGGATAGGTTATCTCACTACCTATGGTGGTAAATTACATGAACATTGAGTTGATTTGCCTAGCTAGGATGGAAATTGAGTGCATGACCATTTATTCAATTGCTTTATTAGTGAACCTCGCATCTTGAATCACAACCATTACATGTCCACGGCAAGGAAATTGTCAATGTGCTAGGGGAGGGGATTGATCCCTCAATATTTTTTTCTTTTCTCTTGAGCTTGTTTTGGTTTAGTTTATACTGAGTAATTACGAATAGCTAAATTTTCTGCGAGATACAAAACAATAATTCGAGTAGCAATAGACATTCATGCCCAGGGATATGGCCTCGATCATCCACTATACTATGCTCCCTAATTAGGTTATAAATTATAATGGTATAGCTAGGTGTGATAGTAAGCATAGAACCAAGTCTTTAAGACTTGACCCCGTTTAGAGACCACTAACCTATAGCTCTGGCGGCGCTTGTTGCAAGCACAGCCAATGAGAAAACCATATTCGGCCTGGGCTCGTGATGCACGAAATTAGGGTGACAGATGCCACAATCGTTGAAGGAGGTGAACAGAAGAAACGACAGTTCATGGTGGTGAAATATAAAAAAAGGAAGGAATATTTGGGTTGATGCATTTGTTGCTAGTGCTGGCTATGGCGATCGGAGGAGGAGGCGGCGGTGGTAAAAGAGGAAGAGGTTGTGGTAGGAGAAGGGGAAATGAGGTGGAGACACTAACGATTAGAGGTGGCAAATGGATTGAAATTTATGGATTGGTGGATTCATGGATCAAATGGATTATTGGATTCATGGATTTGGTCAATTGGATTGGTGGATCATCGATGAATCCAAATGATATCCTCAACCTTTAGAGGTGGCAATTTTCAATCCAATCCACCAATTCATCCACTAAAATATCCAACAAATCCAATCCATTTGATCCAAGTCCAATTGGATTGGTGGATTCATGGATTGATTTATGGATCCAAATGGCAAATTATGCTTTGGTACCTATACTTTTTATTTTTTACATTTTGGTACCTAAAATCCAATTTTTACGTAAAAATATCATTTGAAAATTACGTTTTGGTACCTGATATTTTTTGTCATGACATTTTAGTAAACAAACTTTTCAAATTTGCATATTGGTCCAAGACTTGGATGTCATTTGGATTCATGGATCAATCCACCAATCCACTTGATCCATTCCATGAATCCATGAATCTATTTGATCCAATCCACTTGATCCATGGATACACCAATCCAATCCACCAATCCATGGATCCAATTCAATTGCCACCTCTATCAATCTTGGACCAAAATGTATAATGTTAAAAGTTTAGGTACTACAAAGTCATAATGAAAATTTTTATGTACCAAAATGCAATTTTCCAATGATATTTTTGTATACAAATTAAATTTTAATTATGAAAATGTAAAAAATAAAAATTATAGGTACTAAATTGGAATTTGCCAATGATAGATGAATCCACCAATTCAATTGGATTTGAATAAAATGGATTGGATTAGTTGAATACTTTTACTGGATTGGTGGATTGGATTGGTATATTAGATTGAGAATTGCCACCACTACTGATGTTCGAAGAGGCAGAAGAAGGAGTGGGGCTAGGTTTAGAGAGATTAAAAATTAAATATAATATAAAAACAACCGCATATTAATCTCAATCGTTGGATTAGAAATTACACTTTAAGAAAGAAAAATAAAATTAATGGAGTGTGATTAAGAGGGTCAGAATGGTGTTAACCTTCGTAATGGGTAGCCATAGGGAGGGCGCTTGAGCGGTTAATCTACATATTGATATCAATTTATTGGCAAATTATTCAAACCGTAGTGGGTGGATTGTGGTTTGCTAAATATCCTACTCATACTTATTTGGCTGGATGGTGGATGGATTGTGGTTCACCCGAATGACCCGCTCCATATTTTCAAATGAAAAAAGTTGTTTCTAGTTTATACTATCAAATAGTTATCACGTTTTCTAACCGCATTACACAGTGACCATCAACTTCTAAAGAAGGAGAATAAAGAATATTTTGAACTAGCATTATTGGTTACTATGTTTTGTAATGCCCATCAGCTATTAAAATGCTAATTATAAATTATGAATTGAATGCATTAATATTCTCTCCACTATTGGTTGATGGAATAATGAAAATTTTATGCAAATACTACAATGGTTCATGGGAAAGTAAATGGGAAGTTTCTAAATTGCTACAGTCATGCTAATTGTAAGAAACTCATAATAAATGTTAGTCAACTTACTTAATGGCTAGTCGAGGAATTACTTTTGTAGATTAACCCACAACCCAACCATGTCATTATCACCCAATTAAACACAAAAAAGACTCCTCACTCATGACAATCTTAAGAAGCGGGGATTTCAACTACCAAGCAGATGTGCCCTTTGCGAAAAGGAGGAGGAGAACCCGAATCATCTGTTCATCAATTGCAGCTTCTCAAAGGAAATTTGGTGGAGGATGCAGTCATTCGTCAGGATGGAAAGCAGTACCATTGATAATGACGATATTTCAACAAGGATCAAGCGGTGGTATCGTGGAAAGCCATCCAGCCCTTGGCAATGGTGCACTAAGATTTTCATCCACGCCTTCTCCTGGACATTATGGCTGGAAAGGAACTCCAGAATCTTCAAGGGGGAAGCAGCTTCCCCTAAGGTCACAGCTTTCCGCATTGGTTGCCTAATCGCAAGCTGGGTGTCCGCAGCAGAGAAAGTTGATAAGCATGTGGCAGAAGCTTGGGTGTCGACTCTCAAAAGTAGGTTGATTTCCAGTACTAGGAGAACCCCCTGCTAGGCGTTTGAAGTAGCTGTTTTGCTGATGTAGTCTTCGGTTTTGTTTTGCCCTAGTGCCTTTTGTATCTTTTGCAGATTTTACTAATATATATCATCCTTAACAAAAAAAAAAGAATGTATGTGGATACGGATCACAACTATACTAACTTAGTAATAAGTAAATGGATCAATTTGAAATCAAAAAAATCCACCCAAAAACCCACTCATTGTCCACCTCGGCATGGTAACACATGCTATGATGCATACCCTTTCTAACTAACTGGTGTAACTAATTTCGATCTTGAAAGCCGAGGAGATCAGTGGCGGACCCAGGAATTTTACATAATGGGTGTCCTCTTTTAAAAAATAAAGTAAAATAAAAATTAAATAATTAATAATTAATAAAAATTATATTATTCTTTAGTAAGAAAATACCCAACTCGTACAAGTTAAAAAAAAGTAAATGATGTATTTCCATATTCTAAAAAATTATAAAAAAATACTTGGTGTCTACACTGCTCAACAAATTTGTCTTGGTATATCCTACTAGACAATCATTCAGAAACTGACGCATATTTGATTTCTAAATTTGTTCATGATGTAACTCAAAGCTGAAAAAACACTTTCAACACTTTTCGTACAACCATAAAATCAATGCAAATTGAGGGTAGATTGTAATTAGATTAATTGTTAGGTTTTGAAAATAATTAAAGATAGAGAATAGGGTTTTGAAAATAATTACATAGTGTTTAGAATATAACAACAAAAAAGTTGTAGCCTAATGGAAATTATATTTATTAGTAATAGTAGTGTCCCGGGTTTGAATTACCCAAACTACCACTTATATTCTCATACGCAAACTACAAACGAGAGTAGTATAATCGTTTTCAAATTTTAGGGTGTCTCAGACTATTAATTATAATTTTTTTGTCTATACGTAAATTTCCACCGGGGTTGGATAATCGATCTTTCAAAATTTAGGAGTGTCCCCGGACACTCTAAATGCCCCTGGGTCCGCCCCTTGAGGAGATGATTAATTATCCATCTGACGTATGTAAGCATATAGCTAATCATGATTAGTTGAAAGCTGTTAGTCACTGCCACCAAAATCCAACCAGTTTTCTCCCATAATATCGCGAAATGCCGCGTTAATTTTACAGCTATGATGTGCATCACAACATATGCATACTCGGCCCATCATTTCTGTATGTTCATTGAGATACCGTTTAAATGCGTTAAAATTTTCTTTAAAGTCAGCTTTGAGCTATTCTTTCGCTCGTATTGCCATAAGAAATTATCAGAACATCTATAGTAGAAATATATAATTATATATGGTTTATGTATGTTCAAAGTCGTATGCTCCCAGAATATAGTAAATTTAAGGTATTACTAGTAAGATATATTTATTTTGATTAGGAATTAAATCGAGTTTCGGGCATTTGATATTATACCCTAATCTATAATGGATAAATATTAGACCTCTGATTCTCTAACTCTGACTCAAAGTTTAATTTTAGAGAAAACAACAATGGATCGTTGACATTGGTTGGAACTCATCGAAGTACATCTAACGGCCACATCATCTGAAGCATACTATGCTCAAAGAGCATACGAGTAGTCTCTATATATAAATATGGTAATGACTGGTATACTCGAGGAGTGTAGTATACTCCATGTGATGATGTGAACTAGCCGTTAGATGTACTTCCATGAGATCCAACCAATCTCAACGATCAATTTATATTTTCCATTTAATTGAACTTTGGGGTTGGGTTTAGAGAATCGCGGCTAGCATATGCCAGACGTACGGTTACCTTACTGTACGCCTGTCGAGTTTGTTATCTGGACCATGAATTAATCGGAGTTTGGGGCATGATACTATACCATAACCTTTAATGGATAAACCCTAGTCCTCAATTTTCTGGCCCAAACCTTAAGATTCATTTAATCTTAAAATGAAAATAAAAAATTCTGATTCGTCGAAATTATGAAAGTACAATTAATTGGTGTGAATGCAAGCGTATAGCGTAACCAGACGTATGCTAGCCTTTACTATATACGAGACAATATTATAATTTAGGGTAAATACAATTTAATATCCAAAAATTTTATTTTAAACAATATAATAGCCAAACTTTTTCGAAAACAATCTAATATCCAAATCATCAACTTCCGTCTGTTTGACTGTTAGTTGACACTTCAAAAAGCTTTGTTTAGGGGAAATTGTCACAATACAACTTTGTTTTCTTGTTTTGGCATAGCAGATGACTGAATATTTAGATATTCTATATCATCATGGTGGAGTCATGGATTTCTCGGGTTTGGAACCACGATATATTGGTGGTTTTTCAGAGAAGGTATCGATGAATATTGTTAAAGTGTCGTACTTCGAACTTGATGAAGTGTCAGCTAATGGTCAAACGGACGAAAAATTGACGATTTGGATATTAAATTGTTTTCGAAAAGGTTTGACTATTATATTGTTTAAAATGAAAGGTTTGGATATTAAATTGTATTTACCCTATAATTTATATGTGATGGAAGAATGTTGTGTAGACTCATTCAACAACCATGGTTCATTTACACAATACACTTTTCATGATGTCTATATCAAATTTATTGAAAACAAGCCCATCCCATGCTGTTTTATTTACTATTGACAAAACATGTCTGTATCAAATTTATTGAAAACAAATCCATGCACTGCTATTTAATTGACTATTCCCTCCAATGACCAATCAGTCACTCAGTCTTCCTGTTAGCATGGTAGCGTTTGGATTAAAATAAAAAAAATAAAAAAAATCCGTAATGTTATGTTATATATGTCTAAATTAAGATACTGCCAATCGATACTATTAATAAGGTGACAACTGACAATACAGAATGTATCAAACTTGACCATTGTTGTAAAAAAAAAAAAAAAAAAAAAAAAAAAAAAAAAAAAACTTGACCAACTATTCAAAGCAAAAGGTTCATAACAATAATATACTTGGTATATTTAGATTGGGGTTAATTGCAAAGTTGGTCACTGGAATTACAAAAACATTTATGTTTAGTCACTACAAATATTTAATTCCATTCGTGGTCACTATAATTAATTAAACCGTCCAAGTTTGGTCACTCTCCGTTACCTTCCTTTAGTTTCCGTTAATGCCGTCAGTTTTTTGCTGACGTGGCTAACAGAAGTGCCTAATCAGCTAATTTTAAAGAAGAAAAAAACAAAAATCCACATGCCACGCCATTTTAGTTAATCAAACATAAGTTACCCAACCCAATCCAACCCGACCCTTCCTCTTCTTTCTCTAATTGACCCAGCTGGAATAAATCCCTAATCGGCAGATTCCCAAACCGCAAATCAGATTTCCACGCGACGCCACCTCTCCAACTGTGGCTTCTTCTTCTTCCTTGCCTTGAACGACCTCTGTCCCACCAGACCCACTTCATTTCTTCTCCACCTTCTGGTGTCGCTGAATGAAATCGACAGAAGGAGCTACAACCCGCGGAGGTAACAAGGGATGGCAGAGCGAGAGTTGCGTTGTTGTTTCCTCTACCCCCGTAGTGATTCAAAAATTGGATTTTGCACGAGGAGAAAGGGGATGGAGGGACTGCGGTTGCTCTGTTATAGGAAGGGGAGGAAGGTTAATTGCAGTAGGAGAACGCGGCCATGAGTTCGGCGAAAATGGATCTGACTTCGTGCTTCGCGCGCCGCCGTTGGCGAGGATTAGAGCGTGGAAGTCGAATTTGGAGCATATTTTGGTGACCATGTGGAGATGGGAATCGTCTTCGTAGTCGGCGTGGAGCTAGACGAGGTGAGGATTTGGGGAAACGAGGCGCGGGAGCTTGGGGTCGGTCGAGAGTGAGAGTGTGGGTCAATTGTTGTGGGAGCCTGCGATGAAGGAGATGCACTTGAAGACGACGTAGAAGTGTCCCCGGTCGATCTCCTCGCAAATTTGGTAGTCTCTTTTCAAGGCTTCACTCATCACTTTCATTCTACTTGCTAGCGATCAACAACAATGGCAGATTGGAGGTCGCCGCAAGAACCCTCCTCGCGAGATGATGAAGAGACGACCGGAGCTAGCTTCCTTCCCGCAGGGAGGGGTCTGTTGGTAAAAATTATGCCGAGTTTTGAGTTGGGTCAATAGTGGGGTTGGGCGGGTTCGATTATCTGATGTGGCTGCTTACTGACGTGGAGGTTTGTTTTTTGTTTTTTTCTTCTTTAAAATTAGCTGATTAGGCACTTCTGTTAGCCACGTCAGCAAAAACTAACGGCATTAACGGAAACTAACGAAAGGTAACGGAGAGCGACCAAACTTGGAAGGTTTAATTAATTATAGTGATCACGAATAGAATTAAATATTTGTAGTGACTAAACATGAACGTTTTTTGTAATTCCAGTGACCAACCATGCAATTAACCCATTTAGATTGGGCTAGAGTGTGGATCCCGTGACTAGGGGGTTCTTAGTCACTTGACTAAGACCCTCGTAGTTATTAGATCTGGACACTTCAATCCAACAGTTAAAAAGTAGGAAGTGATTTTTAATTAGTGGGAGGTGTAATTTGAGTATTATGAAAAATTACGAAGTATGAAAATCGGACTTACAAACAGTACAAATAATACAAACATACAAACAATACAAACTTGAACGACAAAACATACAAACATATTTACAAACAATACAAACATATGGACTGTAAAAACAATACAAACTACACCGACAAACAATACAAATCATACAAAAAGAAAAAATAACTGGGTTGACTTTGGAGGCTCCATCCCTATATAGAGGGACTCCCTCCCAAAGTCAACCCGAGTTTTTTTAGACATACAAACATTACGAAAATGGTGGACAAAATTGACAAACTAGACCGACAAAACATACAAACTAGAAAAACACCTGGGTTGACTTTGGAGGCTTCATCCGTATATAGAGGAGTTTCATCCAAAAGTCAACCCAGTTGTTTTTTAGACATAAAAAACATTACAAACATGATTGACAAAAATGATAAAAATGGTGCACAAAAATAACAAAGTTTACAATCATTACAAAAGAAACCGACAAACATTACAAAATAACAAAGCTTACAAACATTACACAATAAACCGATAAACAATACAAAACATAATAATCGTACAAAATGCACTAAAAATTTGACAAACAATAATGATAAAAAATACAAATCGAATCGATACGAACATTACAAAATAGGTCAACAAACATCACAAATCCAACACTATCGCCGGAAGATCCTTCTCCGTCGGTGGTCACCGGAAAGTTACCTCCGGTTAGCGAAAATCTCTCTCTCTCTCTCTCTCTCTCTCTCTCTCTCTCTTACCAGCTGGGGAAAAATTCCCAGGAAAGGAAGAATGGCCTTCTCTCTCTTGTACCTGCAGGGATTCCCCGGGAAAGGAAGAATGGCCGCTAGAAGGCCACGAGAGGTCGCCGGCAAAAAAAATCCCAGCGAGGGGAGGGAGATATCCCGCGGGCTGCTACAATTTTTTTATTTTAATTTTTAAATAAATTAAATATGTAATTACCATCTTATCCTTCATTAAACTGGATAAATTAGGACCATTAGATTTTAATGAGGTTGAATGGCTGAGATTGGCTTAGTCATGTGACTAAGGGACCCCCTTAATCACTTGATCTTAGCCCATTGGGTTAAATGATTTTTTAGAATTTTATAACAAAAAAAAAGTATTGGATCTGATACAAAACCCATGGTTTTGTAGTCCTACAAATCTAATCTAATGGTTGTAATTTGGAAGAAAATATTTAGGTCATTTGGATGAGTAATTGTAACGGATCAAATTAACTTAATTGTCTTATTTTGAGGGGTTTTTTGGGTGGATCAATTGAAAACGAAACAATTCGACAAATTCTCTCATTTTACAAAATGAGTCCATTCGAATTGTCTGCCCCACCCTGACAATTGTAATTGTCTCAAAACGAGTCAATTTTAAATTCCTCAGTCAAAATTGCTTCATCTAAATTTTGTGTTGCCAAACAAATCAGTTTGGCCAATTGTCTCAAAACGAAATTGGGTCAAATTGATCCGTTAGAATTCCTCTTCCATACGACCCTGAGACAATTGGACCAAATTGGCCTGTTTGCCAGCATAAAATTTAGATGGATCAATTTGCCTGGGGAATTTCGAATTGACCCGTTTTGAGTCAATTGTCTGAGGCAGGGGCAGGTAATTCGAATTGTAACTTTTAATTGGCTCGTTTCATAAAATGAGACAATTCATCAAATTGTCTCGTCTTCGAATTGATCCATCCAAACGACCCATAATTGTTCATATCATAGAAGGATAAGGAGAGAAATAAGGGGTTTTAGGGTAGCTGACCAGAATTTTGGGTGCAGCTGAGCGGATTTGGGTGGGTAAGTGCGGATTCCTATGTGGCTTCGAAGCCACTTTTCAAATCTTCTCTGAAAATTCAACGGACCGTAACTCATTCGTTTAACATCGGATTTCTAAAAATTTGCACAGAAATATCAGATATTTTGTGTTTGCTTTACAAGATGATATCAATTTTGATATTTTTAGAAATTTTTTTACTTCATCTTATTGATGTCATATCATGATATTATCACTAACAGTGGTATGATAACATAGTGACATGATGTTGATATCATAGTGGTATAGTGTTAATATGAAATTATGATGTTGGTACGAGCTCTTTTGTCAAAATAATTTGATGACATTGTGAGTGTCATATCATGATATTATCATTATGTTATAATGATATGACACTGATATGATATTTTATGTTTGGTAAAACATAATAAAATAGATATCATTATATATATTTTCATTAATATGTTCTTTCTAAACAATGTTGATCAAAGTATGTGTCAAAAGGGAGGAGATGGATCATCATACCACTGTAATATCATGATGATACCAAAGATTATGATAATGATAAATAGTGTACATGGGTCGGGTGGTCCGGGTTTAGATATTTTAATCACCCGACCCATACACAATGGTTTGGGAAATAATAAACCCAAACCCACCCAAAAAAATTAAACCCTACGAGTTGTTTCTAATTGGATTGGGTCGGGTTGGCGATATTTTTAAGTAAAAACCCAACCCAACACAAAATATGTAATTATTCTACACCATAAAAATATTTTATAACTAATTAAATTCAAACGAATAAAACCGAGGTGAAATGTATCAAAATTCACAAATGTTGTTTGAATTTTAATAAAATTTGATTTACTTCAACTTATGTCTAGTTTTTTTTCACGATATTTTTTGAAATAGGCTAAAAAGGTTATAAATGAACGCATCCATAATATGTTATTCTATTAAAATTTTACACAAGAAAAAGGATTACGTGAATCATAACTATATTAAATTTATGTCTAAACTTTAAGTCGAAGAATGCATTAGATTAGTGAGACCATGAGAGAAAAACATGGCGAAATATCTTAATTTTCTCATAAGTATGACTATATACGACATAAATATTTTTTTGGATACGAACTCATACCAGTAATTGGAACACGGGTTGAGTCGGGTTCTACGGGTTGTGTAACCCAAAATCCAAACCCAACCCAAAAGAGGTGGGTTGTACAAAACAAAACCATCACCCAATCTAAAACCTTTGTTTTAGTGATAAATACGGGTGGATTGGGTCGGGTTGGATAGGTGGGTCGGTTTGCGGGTGTGTTTGTTCACCCCTAGATAATACTACAACCGACACGTATTTTGAAGAGGTAATTTTTTCTTTGCTCAAAATATAACAAAGTGGATATCATTGTGTATATCATAATTAATGCATTCTTTCTATACAATTTTTTTTAATTCAAAGTTAAAACAAATATTATAGAATCCAATTAAAAAATAGGAGATTAGAAAAAGTATATTCTCTCTTCTGTATCCGTGTCAAATTGTTAGGGAAAAAAAGAGGGTAAGGGTGAGGAAATACCAGTTTGCCCCTCTGGGTTTTTTTGTTGTTGTTGAAAATTAATTTGATTCCCTATATGGAGAATGAGATGGAGGCTAGAGGATGGGATTTTTAGGGTTCGTTTGGATGGAACTTTCTTACGGAGCAATTGAGTCCAATTGACTCAAAATGGAACAATTGAGGCAGATTACTCCGTTTGGAAACAAAAAATCTGAATGAGGCAATTGGGCATGGGGAAATTGACATTTTCTCATTATGGACCAATTCTAAATACCTGGGGTGGGGTAGGAAATGTACATTGCCCCATTTATTCCGTCGCTTTATCCTATTTGACCCCCTTTTTGTCTTCTTCTTTCCCTTGCTTTTTTATTTCTCGTTTTTTCCATCTCTCTCACCTTTACTCTTTCCTCTTATCTTTCCCCCCTCTCTTAGGGAAGGAAGCTATGGAAAATTGCAGCTCATCAATGGTGAGAAATATTCTCTAGCGAGAAGCATAATCGAGGGTTCTCAAAGCGGCAATATGAAACTTGGTTCGTTGCTCGATCTGTGGCTTTTCGACTGTTTGCATGTGGGATTCTGGGAGACCAATCATCCGCTCCATTGAAGGCTTCTGTGCAACAAGCAGTGGCGTTTCTCACGCCCAGGACCTTCACCACAGCTTCCGCTCAAGTCAACAGAAGAGTTCAAAGCGCCGACTAGTAGAGTTTTCTATTCTCTCTGACTCTCTCTGCGGCGAGACAAAGACGGTCTCTTCTTCTTACCTTGATTTCTTCCTCCTGTTTTATGAAATCCTACTTGTACAAAGAATCAAACCCTATAAAATAGAAGCTCGTCGGAGAAATTCGCAAAAGACAGAGATGAAAGGCCGCTTGTTTTTCGCTTTCGTCGCCCCTCAATCTCTTTAGGTCAATAGAGAAACTTATTGCATGTATGTGGACATGGCAAAATCGAGTAGTTTATAATTTTGTAGATGGTGAACTCGAAGGAAATGTGTGAGATCTACCAAGAAAGAAAACCCAGAAATAGTCCCTATAAACTTGCAGGAAAACAGGGGTGAGAAATTTGTAGAAAACAGGGGTAAGTTCGTATTTACCCAAAATGACTCACTTACATTCTCCCATCTCACAACCCATTCCAAACGAGACATTCTGGGCAAATTTCCTCAATCAATTGACTCATTCTCTAAAATGAGTCTTTTGTTTCAAATTGTCTCGTTTTGAGAATGATCCATCCTAGTGGTTTTGTAGGATAGGGTTTTGTACCCTAGCATGACGGTTAGATTACTCGTTTGTTTGTTGGATTTGAAAATGAAGGTTTTTAGTTTTGAAAACCTTTGGATTTATGATGGATTTGTTTCATTTGGTATTTGAAAGATAACATTGTTTGTTTAGTTGATTTTGATCATGGATTTAAAGATTTTTGTATCATGGGTCTCAACTCCTTGCCTTCAATGACCAAATACCAAATGAAATGTGGTATTTGCAAATACGTGGGGTCCACGGATTTGGGGCTAAAAAAATTGTCCAAATCCATGGGTCCCACGGATTTGGATTTGTATGCCTCAACAAACAATGTTTTTATATCAAATACGTAATGCTTTGTATTTGGATGACAAATACATCACCCAAATCCCACAAGCAAACGACACCTAATGTATGATAGTGGAAAGATTATACAAGTACAGTGCTAAAATGACAAAATATAGCAAAATGGTTACCTTTAAGTAGATCATAATTAATATTTTATTTCTAAGCACAAAATTATAAATATCAAATTAAAAAGAATGAGGTATGATCCAATTAAGAAAAATGAATTATTACGAAAACATACTTTTATTGGTCCAAAATCTTTTCTAGAATCGATGTATAGAAGGAGAGCGTAATGAGGCACAAATATAGCGAGATCTTGATTTTTCTTTATATTCATTTTTTCTTTAAGAGGCGACTATGATGGGCATGCACCAATAATTATCCTAGTACATCCGACATTATCGTTTGTGGACCACAACATAGAAGTAGGAAAATAGAAGAACACAATTGAAAGAAATTGGAGGCAAATGCTCACACATGCACAAAAGGAGCTACCACCTCACACTTTAGAACATACAATTAGTCGGTATGTTGGATCAAATATGGTTGGGAACATTGATATCTTAGATTGCCTTAATATGGTATCAACTATGAGTGGAGATCTAGAATTTAGAGCATTCCTTAGAATTGCTAATTCGTTTGAATATTAAGTGGTACGATAACCTCTTTCTTTATTTTCTCTAGAGTTTTTTTCATTTGATGTTGTATTTTTGGGTTAGGAGGAGATTGTATGGTGTCATTTTTGTTGTTTTACAAATCAAGGGAAAAAAATTCAATCATGATGAGTTCAACACTTAATTGTTGTATAGCTGTATCCTTAAGGGAGAAAAAAAAATTCGTCACGAACTCCGCATGTGGTGCTTGATTATATAAAATACTTTGAAGACAAATTATATGATGAGGAGTTGAAAAGCTCCAATAAACAAGCCAAAAACATTCCTTTCAGTGTCACTCCAGTTCATCAACAAACATACACAACCAAAAGAACACTTCAAAACTGTCCCAAAATCCCCCCAGATTTACTCTTAAATTAATCTCAACCCAATCTTAACTATTGCCCAGTGGCGCCTTCTCCATCATTTTCACTTGGACACTTTCGTTTCCACTCCCCTGCCATCTCCTTCCCCTGTTTTTTCCCCTGTTTTCTTCCCCACCCGAACCTAACATTTAATATATAATCATGGTCATATTACCATAAACAATGAATCAAATTATTCAGCAAGGCCGTCTACTTCTTGTCCCTATACCATTCCCTAATCCTTAATATATTAGTTCTTGCTCCTGATTACTGTCGACGACTCTGTTTTGGGGGAACAGGAGCAATGAAAACTGGAGGGGAAGTGATAATAGTTGCAGTCGACGCCGGGAAAGAGATCAACGACTATGCAATCGACTGGGCACTTAGAAATGTTAGCAGAGCCTTGGATTCTCTTGTCCTTCTGGCTCTCCTGCCTTCCCACGGCAGCGAGGCGGCCGCCTCCCCTGCCTCTATCAGAGGACAGCAGTCCTTGCACGGTAAAATCAATTCGTCACAATAATTCGAGTTGTTGAATAGGGGATTCTGAGTCTCAGTGGTTTCAACATGGTTTTGATAATCTTTGCAGGATTGGTGAAGAAATGGGTAATGAAGAAATGGTACAGAGAGGAGAACCCAGGTATGCAGGATTCGCTGATGCAGGCAGTTCAGCAGGACGAGGCTCGCAGGATCAACAAGGTCTGCCTCGATATGATCCGCCATCTCTGTCGCGTTCACAAGAAGCAGGTAACGATCAGTGACGTAATTTTAATTCCGACTCCACATATCTGTGAAATTTGTTTTTTCTAATGCGTACCTTTTTCAGCTTCAAATCCAAGTGAAAGTTATAGCCGATGCACAGTTCGGCTCGGTAGCTTCTTCTGCCAGGGAGCTTGAGGCAACCTGGGTAGTTCTCGATAGGTCTGTTTCTTCCCTTTGATTGAGTTCATTTTCGCCTTTCGGTTTCTCCCACTAGGAATTAATCGTTCAAGTTCTTCTTGACTGTGGGACGGAATATTGATTGCCTTGCTCTCAGGCGGCTGAAGAAAGAAGGGGATTGTTGCATGAGGCAGCTGAAGTGCAACATCGTGGTGATGGAGCATTCGGTTCCAAAAGTTATGAGAACCGCGGTGAATCCTAATCGGACAAGGAGAAGGCACAGCATGTGCGGTGACCAAATTGATCCAGCCGCCTGCAACAACATGATAATGGGATTGCCCTGCGGCGGGTGCAATCTTACTGCTAGCACCAGCACTGCAACTACACTAACTAGCTTTGGAAGGGATAGTGATGCATTTACTTCTGTGGGTTCACTAGAAAGTCCAGAAGAACCGTTTGCGGGGAAGAAGAAGCCATCCGAATCACATGGCGCTTTGCTCCATTTGAATTCGGAGCTTGTCCAAAAGGACGTTGAAGTTCAGGTTACACTCTCCAAGTCACCTCAAAAGGACAAGCCACAGGAGTTATGCAGTTCAGATGTTCTCTCTTCCAAGCTGCGAGCTTCCAATGGCAAGATCAAGAGCCATAGTGGACTTTTGAATCCGCAGAAAGGTACAGTAGAACTGTACAGATGTATAATTCATGTTATCGTTTAAAGCTCTTTCATGGCTTGGCTGGGATGTTGATGAAGTATCGTTTTATCCGTGTTCAATGATTCAGTTCTGGAGAAGGTTGAGAGCATTGACGGGGCTCGAAGAGTTAAGGCACCGATGAGAAGGTCATTCGATGGACCGGTCATAGTGAGGTATCCCGAGAGCTTGAAGCCAATAAAGCAAGGAATCACCAGGAGGAACTCATTGACAAACAGCATCAGAGGGGAAGAGATGCAACAACACCCCGAAGTACGTGTTGATGGTCCTTCCAACATTGAGGAGAGAACCTCCAGCATCCGGAGGGCCATATCTATCACCATCAAACCACCGCCGATTCCACCTCCATTGTGCTCCACATGCAAGCACAAGGCCCCGATATTCGGGAAGGCCCCCAAGAAATTCACCTACGAGGACATTCGAGCAGCCACTGATGGGTTCTCGAGTGACAACATAGTTGCACAAGGTGATCATGGCTCGGTCTACACAGGGAAGCTACCGGACGGGCAGGCAGTCGCGGTGAAGCAGTACAAGGCGCTCACCGCACAGAGCGCCTCAGAGTTCTGCTCCGAGGTCGAAGTGCTGAGCTGTGCTCAACACCGCAACCTCGTGATGCTGCTTGGGTACTGCATCGAGACGGAGTGGCTTCTGGTCTATGAGTTGGCTTGCAACGGCTCGCTGGACCATCATTTGTATGGGAAAGAAGAGATGGAGGATGAAGATGTGATGGCTTGGGAGCATAGGATGAAGGTTGCTATAGGAGCAGCTAGAGGGCTGAGATACCTCCATGAGGATTGCAGAGTTGGCTGCATTGTTCATAGAGACTTCAGGCCTCAGAATATCCTCCTTACACATGATTATGAGCCCATGGTAAGCTGTCAATATTTCAACACAAGTCATATCTTGCTCATGAGTTGTGGTTTCAGATAGAGACTGACAAACTTTTGGGCATATGTAGGTGGGTGATTTTGGACTGGCGAGATGGCAATCAGATGGACAGAAAGCTGAGGAAACCAGAGTTATAGGCGCAATTGGGTACTTCTCTGAAAAGCCAACATTTGAAAGTTCCAAACTTTACTATCATGGCATCTCAACTGTGTGTGTATGTGCAGGTATTTGGCTCCGGAGTACACCCAAGCTGGACTCATAACAGAGAAAGCTGATGTCTACGCGTTTGGGATGGTGCTTTTGGAGCTTCTGTGTGGGGTAAAAGCCCCAGAATTCTCAAGAAACATGGGACAACAGTTCCTGCTCGAACTGGTAAACACCTTATGAGATTCTTCTTTCACATTCATCCTTGTGTGGGCAAAATTTCGAGCTTCTCAAGGCTTTATGTTGCATCATCAGCTTTCATCTTTATCACAGGGGCGTTGGCTGCTAGACAGAGAAGTAGTGAGCGAGATTCTGGACCCTCGGCTGAATGACAGCTACGTGGAGAAGGAAGTGAGGAGCATGATCTATGCTTCCAGCCTGTGCCTATCACCAAACCCTGAAAAGAGACCCAGAATGTCCAAGGTAAATTGTGCACTCCAAAACCCTAATTTTGATACAGACAGACATTACAGTATTCACCATATGAACTCAAATTTTGCCCTTATAGGTTCTGAAGATCCTGGAAGGAGACATACCTTCACATCCAGAGCCAGTGAACGTCATTGTGCAACCGCCAACAGTGTATCCAAACCAATTCGTCAACATGATCTACGGTTCAGAGACACCAGTATTCTCTAGGGCACTGAATCAAGCATCGTCCTTCAAGAAGGGACCACACTGGCGGCGACACTCGACTATCGCCGGCAATGAGAACCAGGGTTGGCTTGGAACTCCGTCGGCGGGCAGAGCAGAGGATTTCCGGCAAGCTGAGATGGATTTCAGCGGCGAGTATCGGGCGCATTTAGAAGGGTCGCTGGCCAAATTCTTCGAGGGATTGAACAGGCATGGGAAAACTACTTCGGATGAGCCTGCTGTCGTGTAGATTCAACTATTCAAGGAAGTTGAGGGGAGATGGGGGCGGCGAAATTTCGGTTTGTTGCAATCGATTTTTTGGCTTTAATTTCTTCTTTGTGGAATCAGGAATGTAGTTTGTTGTGACCAAGGTTCTAAAAGCGCTAGGCGTAAGGCAGGCGCTCGGCTCCTGACTTGCGCCTTGTCCGATTAGGCGTAGCTTAGGCGCGTCTAGGCGTTCAGAGCATAAATGGAAAAATTCTCAAATATTTCCTGTTTTCTGGATAATTCATATAATCCAAGTGCATATAAAATTAGTAATGCCTAGTTCTTAACAGTAAACACTTAACATAACAAATTACAAGCAAATAGTGACCAATCATCTGCTAATAGGTGCTTATAGAGGCAAAAAGCTTGTGCTACGTAACGAGGAGAAGGAAGGAGCAACAATTGGCGAGTTTCGACTTTATTTCCCACTATAGCAGCGGAGCGGTGTGAAGGCAAGAAGAGTGATCGATGACTTTCTCCTGCAGCGGCAGAGAGCAGCAAATGGGGCGAGGGCTAGGGCGGCAGGCGGTAGTAGATGGGGCGGGAGCTAGGGCGGCAGGCGGCAGCAGATGTTACTTCCCGTGTTTCTGATTTTCTAGGGCAAGAGGCAACTTTCTGATTTTCTAGGACAAAACGAAGAGTATTGGGTTTAACCGCCTAAACTCGCCCAAGAACGCCCATGCACGCCTTCTCTCCACTAGGCGCAAACTAAGCGCTATTCTTACCTACTAAGCGCTACCAGCACCTTTTACTACGCCTATGGCCAAGTCAAGGCGATCTTCTACCGCCTAGCGCCTAATTGAGCCTAGGCGTGCGCCTAGGCGCGCCTTCTTGAACCCTGGTTGTGACTACTTACCCATTGATAAATAGGAGTGGGGTTGGTGTGTATACACTTCCAAACAATTGGCAAAAAAATTTCAGTAAAAAAAATTTGGCAAAATACAGCTGTATATCCATAATTATCACGTTTGTAACAAATGTATCCACAACTATCGAAATACACGAAATATTCAAAAATCGGAAGGTTGTATGACAAATCTATCCACTTCCGTCTGAAACTATAACGGTGTTAGTGACGCTATTAATTATTGTGACGGAATGCTGACTAGGATCCAAATCACCGTCCATGTCAGCAACAAATCAGCATAATATTAGAGTTAAATGACACGTCAGAAATTAATTAATAAAAAATTTAAAATTAAACTTTTTTCGGCGATCAACCCCATATTTCCGGCCACGCTATCCCGACGCCGAGCTTCGTTACCAAACGGCCAAATCCCAACGGCGAGCTTTGTTTCCTCCTCTAGCTTCCTCTCACGCTCCCGTCGCCTACATCGATCTTGGTCTTTTGCTTTCCCAATCGACGATCTGGGCTTGTCCACTTGCTCAATCGACTTTCTGTTTCTTTCTCAGACGGAAACCAATCCCACCGCCGATGTGAAACCCCCAAATCGAAGCAATAATAGGATTGGAAAACCCTCAAAATCGCATCAAGCAGAGGATGAGAACCCCCCCCCCCCCCCCCCCCCATCGACCGCGGATGGAAGACGACCTGGCGGCGTCCTCACTCAGCCGGCTCAATTCACAGTGAACTCGCCGAGATGCCCAACCTCGACGCCTTCCCAGAGTCCTTCGGCGGCTGCTTGAAAGGGAAGTTCCTGTCTCAATATCTCTCCTAGCGACGTCGAGCTCCTCAACGACCGGTTGACCACTAAAGATGAGGCTAGTGAAGATCGACTGAGGGCAAGGACAGCCGCTGCGGCGGATTCAGCTTCACCACAGAAACCCAAATTCGACCTCCGAGCCTAAGAGTTCGATTTGAACGAATCGGCGTCGAGCTTCAGCCTTCAACTACGATTCAACCTCCGAGCTCAGTGAGAAACCCAGATTCGAGCTCCGAGTCTCCAAGTTTGATTCGAATGGAATCATTTCCAACTTCGATTGACCTCTGAGATTCAACCCAAAAACCCAGATTCAATAGAGGTGTTTGTGTTGGTACTTGGAGGCGATTACGTACGTGAACGACATGGTGAAAGGGGTGGGATAAGTGAGATGCGCCGCCGAAAATCCAACTTCTTCTGCATCATCTGACACATCGAGGGCAATAGAGAGAGATCAAAGATAGGGCTTTGAGGAAGAAAAGGAGAGAGGTGGGAAGAATGGGAAGAGGAAAAGAAGGATTTTATCTTTTTATTTTATTTTTTTCATTATCCATGTGTAATGGTGGGACCAAATATCGCCGACTCAGCCCATTCCGCCAATCCAGTCAGACTGTTAATTGACGCCGTTAGAGCATTAGACAGTATTGAATATTTCGTGTATTTCGATAGTTGTGAATATATTTGTCACAAACGTGATAGTTGTGGATATACAACTGTATTTTGCCAAAAAAATTATAAACTGAGTTTGGATTTCATTTTTTTAATCAATATAGGTAGAATTATGCGTATCACTAAATCAAAATGATATATAAAAAGAATGGTTGTACTATCATGTTATAATGTTGTCAAACTTATTTATACTGTTATATCGGTTTGACAATTGATATGGTCTGATTCCGATCAACGGTACAATCGATTTATGTCAGTTCATATCAGTTATAGCAAAACATGTAGGAAGTGGGAAATCTACTTATATATAACATAGTTAGGCATATATAACATATTTGAATACAATCTCTCTAAAATCTACATTCATATTTAAATTAAATACAACATTACAAACAAAAAGAAAATCGACATATTTAAATACAATATTTAACGCCAACATTCAAAAGTTTATGCTTAAATATTCAAAAAATAATATCAAAATCTAAACATTCATACTTGAATCCAACAAATAACATTGACATTTAACTTTCAAATTCAATAAAAAAAGTATAAAAAATATTGTTGTTAATTAATTTAACGGAATAGATCGTCATTTTGTTTAAAAATCGAAAATCAGACATGTCGGGAGCATTTGAATTGGTTTTGTAATGGGTACCAGTTCAAACGAGTACTACCGACCGATAATCAACCTATTATATTAATTAGATAGAAATAGGCCCATTACAGTCTTGTGCTAAGGTGGAATAGAGAAAAACAGGAGGTCTCGTGACCCAAGTCTCATGAGCTTCTCAATTACACATAGTATGGGCCGCAACGTTGGCCTGTCTTTTTGCAAAAGCCCAACGAAAGTTCTCTATTCATGCTCCAGCTGCTATCGCTTCTATCTCCTCCACAATCGATTCCACCTCTGTCATCTTTCTCTCATCATTTCCGATCTGCTTGACCAGAGCTTGGCAATCCGACTCGATGATTACAGGAAGGAGTTGGTGTTGAATTGTAGATCTCAGCCCGTATAGCATCGCTCTAGCCTGCGCCAGCTCTGGTTCCCATTGGGAACGTTCACTCGCCACAATAGCCATTAGGAAAGATCCTGCCGCATTTCTCACCACCATGCCCAGGTCTATACCTTCCTTCTTCAACACAGCGGCATCGACATTCACTTTGTTCCATCCTTCCGGCAGCGGCGACCAGGTAGTTCTTCCTTCCCTCGTTGTTTCCGAGTCCCTTTTTTCTGTGCGATTGAAACTCTTCCAGTAGGTCTAGAGCTTTACCCACAATTTCCCAGTCTTCAAATTTGTGGTTATTGAACATATGATTGTTCCTTTCACTCCATAGCTTCCATAAAATCATTCCCAGACTGTTGAGCACTTCATTGTCCACTCGTTCCATGATTTCACAGAGCCAACTTCCACTAGATATATTTTCCCTTGATTCGCATAGAGGCATGTACTCCATTGATCTCCAAATTTTGGTTGCCCAGGAATATTCTCGAAAGATATGAGTTTGTGTCTCAATTTGGTTGCAATATGGGCACTCAATTGGAGCATCATTTTTCCTCCCTTCAATGTTTTTTCCCGTCGATAGAATATCATGAACAAATCGCCACTGAAAGGTTTTAACATTTGGGGGAATGCTCAAAGCCCATAGTCTCTTCCAATTCATCGGGTCATATACTTCCCCCCACCTTCTTCATTCAGTTCCCCTCCCTCTTTAGTGTTTCCTGTGGTGCACCAGAATTTGTAAGCTGATCGAATCGAGTAATTATCCAATTTCTCTCAGCTCCATATCCTCTTATCAACTGATGGTGCCTAGGAATAGGTATCCCTTCGATGCGAGCTCGATCAATAATATTAAAATAGTGTTGCAGTAATGAGCTCTTCCAGGTTCTGGTGCCATAGTCAATGAGGTCACCCACCTGATTACCCTCTCCCTCTTTAGTGTTTCCTGTGGTGCACCAGAATTTGTAAGCTGATCGAATCGAGTAATTATCCATTTTCTCTCAGCTCCATATCCTCTTATCAACTGATGGTGCCTAGGAATAGGTATCCTTCGATGCGAGCTCGATCAATAATATTAAAATAGTGTAGCAGTAATGAGCTCTTCCATTTATCTTCCCGGATATTGATATGCGAGCTGTTCCTAGCTTCCATCTTAAACCTTGCTTAACCAACTCATGTGCTGCAATCAGACTTCTCCAAGTATAGCTTGGGTTGTTGCCAATAGATGCGCCTAGGATGTCAGTATGTGGAAAGTATTTGGCTTTCAACACTCGAGCTACCAGAGTCTTTGGATTCTCCATTAAGTTCCAGATTTGCTTCCCTAGTAAGCCCAAGTTGAAAGTACCAAAATCTCTGAACCCCATACCTCCTTCCTCTTTTGGTTTACATAACTTCTTCCAAGCTTTCCATGGAATCCTTTTTCTTCCCCCCTGTTGTCCCCACCAGAAGGCCGAAATCACCCTTCGGATTTCATCCAGCTCATAAAACCTGCAAAATTTCCTTTATTTTCCTACACTCCGGGGGTGTAGCTCTGGCAAACAGAATGCTATCGTTTGCAAAGAGCATATGTTAGATAGTTGGCCCCCCCTACAAGACACCTTTAACCCGTGGATAGTGCCCCTGCTAACCTCCTGATTTATTTTAGCCGACAGCCCTTCCACGCATAGTAGGAACATGTAAGGTGAGAGTGGATCACCTTGTCTAAGCCCTCAATCCGGCTTGAATTCCATAGATCATTGTCCATTTACCAGAATGGAGTAGGTGACTGTTCTCATACAATTCATAATCAAATGTACCCACCTTTCATTGAAACCTAGCTTAAGCATCATTGCCTCTAGGAAATGTCATTCCACCCTGTCATAAGCTTTGGAGATGTCAAGCTTTGCTGCCATCACTCCTGTTTTTGCCTTCTTTTTGTTCTTGATTGCATGAAAATATTCAAAAGCAATCAGAACATTGTATGTGATGTTTCTCTTAGGTAAAAAAGCGCTCTGATTTTCTCCCACCACTCTGTTCAAAATTCTCTTCAGCCTGTTGGCCAGAACCTTTGCCATGATCTTATAAAGAACTTGGCAGAGGCTAATGGGACAAAATTCCATAGGTTTCTCCGACTTTTTTGTCTTCGGAATTAAGGCAATCAAGGTATAGTTCGGTTGTGAGGGAAAGCTCCCCATCTCTAAGGAAAGAAAGCGCCCCGACCCCTCATCAGCTTCGTTGTTGCCTGGTTTTCCCTCACCCAACATCGTGCAAGGACTCCATCTTTCCGTTCTATTACGGCTGCCTCTGTCTTCCTTCGTCTTTTGCCTTCTCCTTTTCTGGTCAAATCACATAAAAACCAATCATCTTTGGGTGAATTATTCACAGGCAAATCACAAGCAACGTGGTTGCTCCTTCCACTAGGTGGGGTTATTATTTCATCGCCGTCGTGTGAGTCGTCATAATTAGCTTCATTGGTTCCCTTGAGCTGATTGTTGCGTGTGCTACATAGAAATCCTGATGGCGATCGGTTACCCGCCCTCGTTTCCTGGTGATGTGCATGTGGTGATCATATCGCATATAGTACAAGCTAAGTATCAAACCCAATATCCCTAATAACTTCCCTAGCATTGTCACCACTAGTACGAGGCTCCACAATAATAGCCATGTGAGGCCTATGTTTTCTCCTTTACTCATTAAAGACATGAAGAAACCTTCTAATACCCGCTCGCCTACAATTCCAAACAAATTTTTTGTAATTCATTGCAAATAAGAGAGTAAAAGAAGACTCCCTTTGATGAAAACTCAGGATGAGGCGGTCTCATCCCTACTCTGGGCAGCAAAAGGATTTACTGGCATGCCTTGATTGGTTGCCATCAATTGTCAACACTAACGTCGAATTTTGATGGCTTCCTTGCATCGCGGTGATGAGAGTTTTGTTGTTCACGTCTAGTTGCATTGCCGACTATGACATCAATTGGTGTGTCTGTATCTCCCTGGTGTCCATTAGAACACCCTCTGCTTGCTGATGCTGACTCAGAACCTTTTCATATTCAAGCTAGAGGTCGGTGAATCAGAAGAGTGATCCTTTTTCACCGTCGGGCTTGTAGTAGTAGTACTCTTGTGGCTAGTTGTAGGAATAGTCTGTCATTTGTCTTCTTTGATTCTTTTTGCTTCTAACAGCACGGTTAATTTGCACAGTTGAATTCTACTTTTCATTTGCCGCTATTGCAGCCTTATTGATGGATTTCACTACCTTGTCACTTTCCCTAGAATGCTCGGGGTGGAAAGTGGGAAGTTTCCTCTCTCGCCTCCTCATCAGCCAAGGCATGGAAACGTCATCCCAAATGTACACCCCTAAGCCCTTGAGTGGTTTTAGTCTCATTCTACCAAGTCTGGAAGCCATTATCTTTACGGGTCGGTCGCAGTGTACGCTTAGCAATCATCCACTCCCCGTATACATTTGGTGTTCCCAGTCTCCATGGTATCATTAGGTGTCACACAGAAATTATAGACCTTCTCAAAGTATTTACCACATTCGAGACAAATTTTCTCAAGTTCCTCGTACTAAATAAAATACTATATCATGCTAGTCTTGACTTGTGAAAGTAGTGGTTTAGTGAGGTCAATATGAACACATACTCTAGCATAGTCAATTCTATCATCTGTACTAGTCGCTTGATCAACACGAAGTGGCTTCCCAATACGTTTCCCAATCTTCATCGTTGTGTTTGTATGAAAGTATTGAGCTCGAATATCTAGCAGTCTTGTCTAGACAAGAGTTTACGTGACCTCGTGAAAGTAAGGGTTAAAGTGCTTATCCCATGCGTGAATTGTTAAACTGTGGTCTCCCACCATCCATTGCCTATCGTTACTGCTCTTTTATAGTCAATTCCACTAGTTAAACTTACGAGGAAGTACCCATCCTTGGCTTAGGTGACTTGGATGCTCCTTGCTTGTGCCCACATCGCATTCAGTCTGCGAAAAATCTTTGTGTAGGACGAAGATCACCTGAGCACTTTCACGACTAGGGTGGATCGGAGCTCTCTACAGAACCTACGTTCTTTTGCTGCCGTAAAGAGGATTGAAGGGGCATAAGTGTTCATCATCTCCCTCGTCCCTTGCTTCCATGCCTTTTTCCTTGATTGTGACCGCCACATCCTCTGCATCAAAGTTGGCGATCTACCAAGCATCGGTTTTCAATCGGTCATTGAACATACGACGCTCATATTTCGGAGGTCCATGCTGATTGCTTCGGGCTTCCCTAGCTGAGACGTTTCTCCTCAATCGTCGGAGCATTCTCCAAAATCACGTTCAGCTTGCTTTCAGCATGGGTGGTTGGTATTGTTAGTTTTGTTATTTTCTTACTTTGTTGTACTTCTCGGTCACCCTTTAGGTCAGGGGAAAGAGGATGCTGCTAGTAGCCTACATTGCCCCGTCGTAGTGTCCATTGTGGTGGAGGCATTGATGCCCACCTCTGCCGACAGTGATGTCAAGGCGGTGGAAAAAACCCTAGCACGATGTGGCCTTCTCTCGGCTCTCCTAACTTTTCAAAGCACTTAATCCTGCCAATTATTATCTCTTTAAAATATACATTCATATTTAAATAAAATATAATATTCCAAACAAAATGAAAATACTTATATTTAAAAACAAGTGTGAATTAAAAAAAAAAACAAGATTGAAGTCCAACCTCCAAACGTTTATATTTGAATCCAACAAATAACATAAAAAGCAATGTTGTCATAACCGAACCGGAGCATGACCCGGTAATGCGAACGGCTCGCACTTTAGTGGTCCAACCGGCATTAGACCGTTTAAAAACCATTAGAAAACCGATACCTAATATACGTTATCAGTATAAATAGTGAACATTTATTAATCAGAGCTCATCTCTTTCCTTCGAAATTGTGAAATGGAAATAAGGATTCAATTTGCGAGCCCTACGTTTTTTTGTTTATTTCAATTTTCAATTTTCTGCAATTTTTTAATTAAATTTAGTGGCTGAATGGCAAAAACCGGACCAGTGGCTCAATCAGCTCGAACGGTTAACCGCCTCGACCGCTCGCCAACCGCTACATAAAACCGGAGTGGCTTTTAGACTGTTTCGAGCCGGTTTTATGACCGGGTGGCGGTTTTACCGGTCGGGCCGAGTGGCTCGGCTCGGCTTTAATAACACTGATAAAAAGTCATACTTGAACTCAACAAATAATATCAACATTTAACTTTAATAATTCCAATTATTTTTTTTAATTAAGTTTACCAAAATCACGCCGTTTTGATTAGAGGTAAAAAAAAAAAATCTATCATAGTGAAGACATTTCAGTTAATTTTATAATCACAATCGTTAAACTTGAATGTATCGGCCAACATGTTACGGGCTTGACTACTATGGTACCAACTAGTTGTGTAAAATGTTTTTCGGAAAACGTGGAAGATGCATTTTGAGAAAGGCGGCAAGCAATTACGATTAACGAAGCAAAAAAAGAAAGAGAGAAAAGTAGGCCGCCGAACCCCAACCAACTGCGCTGCGCACCTTCTCTTCCTTGTGTGCTGAGTAGCGGCTGGCCGGCTCTGATACCTTTCCCTCGACTCCCTCTCTCTCTCAAGTCTCAACCCTCCCCCTTTTTGTGCCGATCAAGCTTCTACTTCTCCATTTCCATCAAGTCACAGAATCAGAATCCCACTTTCTCTTCTTCTGGAGGACAAGGCAGGCGAGAAGGTCAAGTAAGGTATGGCGCACAACAACGCGCCGGCCGAGGATCACAATCGCATTCCCGTACATCGACACGACGACAGCAGCGGAGGCGGCGGCGATGATGATGACGATGATCACAGCGCCACCGACCTCAACAGTTCCTCCGGCGATTCCGTCGTCCTCGATGTTGATATCTCCACCGAGAATGCCGCTTCCTCCGTCTCTGATTCACCTGGTATGTTCCTTTCGCTTTGCCACCTGCATTGCGGTTTTTTTCACTTTTGCTAACTCCTTGTGATTGCATCTGCTCCGTTCCTCTTTTGTTCCTTGGTGCTTGGATGTTTTGATATTTGTTTGTCAGTGCACGGCGGAAGGTCAATTCGGTGTCTGTTGCTATAAATTTTAGTAGTGGGGGGAGGGGTGGTTTGTGTGGAGAAGTGATCGATGAGCGATGATGTAGGTTCCCGCTGTTGCATTTGTTTGTCGTAGCTTGGAGGAGTTGAATTATTGCTGTTGACAATTGTAGTGATTTCTTGGAGCTGGTCGCCGGAATAGTGTTCTTCACCGTGCCTGTTTAGGTTATCAATCGTTTCTGACTGTCTTGTCAGTTCTCAATATTTTAGCTGCTTGGGAGTATGATTACTATGATTCTTCTTGGATTTAAAGGCACTTTTCTCAATAGGAAAAATGGATGTGAGGTATAAATTAACTTGTAAAAGTTTGTGTTGCAAGTCAGTTGGGTGGGAGCAGAATGAGAGGTTCACCTCGGTGTGTCTCTGTTCTTGAGAAAATGCTTTTTTACATCTGAACTAACAGTTGACAACCCGATGCCTTTCTGTTGCTTCGACATTCCTCATTGTTGTTATGCTTCTGATTTCTTGCTCGGAGTTCCATTCACATCATCACTAAACAGAATGTTACAGGAGAAGCATCAAGTCCTGGGAAATTGAGGTCACGTTCCAGTCTTCGTCAGAAAGCTAAAGCATTCAAAGATAATCACAGGTTAGGGATGGTGGTTGCCAAGCTTTTTGATGAAAAGATTCCTCTCAAGAAGAAGGTTGGTTTTCCTTGCTCATATTGCGCTATATATATGTACATTTATGCACTATAGTTTTCTGAAAAGACTAGCCGCCACATTGGCTTCAATGAGGAACCTATGCTATATGTACCTGAAGCAGAATGTTCCTAGTGGGGTGTTTTGGACGTGTTGAGAATTCGCATATCTGAAATGTGTCCATAGTTGAGTATTATCTTATTCATATGAATCCACAAACCTTTTATCCTAGTTAGATGAATATTTTCATATTATTAGCTGTGTAATTCATGAATGGCAGCGTGGTTCCGATAGCTGTCAATTTCAAATAGTGTGAAGGTGAGTTGCAATTGTGTCCCCCCCCCCCCCCCCCCCTCCTCCCTCTCTCTCTCTCTCTCTCTCTCTCTCTCTCTCTCTCTCTCTCTCTCTCTCTCTCTCTCTCTTACTGGGAACATTCCTTAGTGTCTCAATTTTATTGTTATCTTATGTTTTTCCAAGATTGATTTAAGAGCATCATAAATTATGTTTCATGTATTTTCTTTATCCTTGTAGTATATTTACTCCACCATACTTCCCTCTATTGACCATTTCTCCTAGTCATAATTTCTTAGTCTTAACAAGGGTCTCTTGTTGTCAAAATATATATGCAGCTGAAATTGGTTAATCGGCTTGCGAGCGTTAAAGAGGATGGAACCGTTCAGTTTGATGTTCCTGGGGATATAAAACCCCAGAGCCTTGATTTTGGAACTGGGGTTGTCTATCATGAAGCTGCTGGTGAAGAATGTGCTGACATGGCCGCCGTTAAAGAAATTCCTCCCCTACAAATAGTAATGCTCATAGTTGGAACCCGAGGAGATGTGCAGCCATTTGTTGCAATTGCAAAGCGTTTGCAGGTACCACCGGCCCATTTTAGGAATAATTATTCTCTGCTTCTCTTTGGTCACATGCACTTGTTTTCCCAGTGTGTCTACCACTTTGCTGGCCGCACATCTCTTGAAAATGGTTTAAAATCATGTTTCTTAGAGCATTACCTATTACTGCAATGAGAACCAGAAAAGGAGACCCAGAAGATCAGTTTAACGGGCCAATCTTATTAATCTACGAACTGCTTATAGCTTAGGAAGTTTTAAATCTGTGCTATAAGTCTTTCACAAGTTTTTGACCGATAATAACCATATGGTTATCATCCAAAGTTCTTTGAAGTCTTTGTAGTACTTCAGGGAAATTCAGGAGCTTTTACTCGTTGAAGTCATTTGTACATGGTGTACTTGGCTGTCAACATCTTTGAAATAGCGGTCTTGGGAAACTTGGAAACTTTGTTCACTTATTTCTCAGCTCGACATCTGCCTGTTCCTCTGTCATCAGATCTATGCTTCTGCTGGTGGGGCACATGTAACATTATGCTCTGTGCTGTGCCAGTTTTCAACTTAATCAGCGTTTGTTTTTGGTGTCTTATGCTGGAGGGTTGACATTACCACAGCTAGTGGGTCTGTCAGATGCTAAGAAGTTCACGCAATGCTGATTACCCCACATTGAAAGACTGCCTGTTATCCTATCACTTCATGGACTTGATGCTCCTTTCTGTTCATCATCGGCTTTCAATTCTGTAAATATGTGGAATTTAGGCATATTCAAGTGATGAAGGGTTTTTGCAGGAAGACGGCCACAGGGTAAGACTGGCGACCCATGCCAATTTTAAAGACTTCGTATTGACTGCTGGTCTTGAGTTTTTCCCTCTAGGCGGAGATCCAAAGGTCCTTGCCGGTTGTACGTTCCCATCCCGCTAATTTAATTTCTCTTTTCCCAAGTACCCTTTTCTTTCCCAATCTCTTTGGAATAAGTAATCTGTGATCAGTTATAGGACCATTGAGTTTGGTACAAAAACAGTTGTGGTTCTGTTACTAAAGTGCTTCGTTGGCTTAGCATTGTACTGCTGTTTGTTTTCCGTTCCATTTTAGTTGATGATAGATTGCCTGTGTATCTGCAAACCGTTTTGTTCTCCTTGGGTTAATGTTTGATCTCCATATTATGAGGAGAGTGGTCATTGGTGTTGGACATCTGAGTGTCAGGATTTGGGGTTTGCTATTTTAACTCTACTATATTGTTCCTTGTTTTATTGTATCTGAATGTCTTGTTTTATATTCTGCTAAATTTCTTGTCTCTCGTTCGTTGCGAGGATCCTAATTGGAATTATTGCCCACTAGATTTGGACCAAATGCACTTAGGTGTGGCCAATGTCTTTTACAACCTGTTCCAGAAGTCGAAATGTTATTTCTTCCAAAATCATCTCTGATATTTCGTTTCTTTTTCCTTACACCCCTTCTCCTGCATTCATTGGTGTGTTTTAGTTTGACGTCAGCTATTGATGCTTCCAAATGTTGAAATAGCAAGGAACTTGGAGCTAAATCCTACTCTTCACTGTTTTTTTTTTTTTTTTCTCTGTTTTTTCCTTTCAAGAAAGTACTTGTTTTCTTTAATTATCACCACGTGCAAATTATGGGGATTTTGTAGAGTTTATGGTTGTACTTTTGGCCGGGCAAGTAGCTTCTTTCATTTTTCCTTCAACTGCATCTTTCCTAGTTATGCTGTTTTTTTTTTTCAGTAGAAGCTGCTGCTGTATATTAATCTAAATCTTTTCAAATTGTCTTCTGCAGATATGGTTAAGAATAAAGGTTTTTTCCCATCCGGACCTTCAGAAATTCCTGTCCAGAGGCAGCAAATGAGAGAAATTATATTTTCTTTACTTCCTGCATGCACAGACCCTGATCCCGAAACAAATATTCCATTCAGAGCAGAAGCAATCATCGCCAACCCCCCAGCATATGGTAGTTGCATGCTCTTCCCTCTTTTCCGCTCTTGGGTTTTTTGCTCCTCTTAGAAATAGTCCATATCAATGCTCTGACTAAGGATTGTAGTTCAATATTGTTTTTAATGACAATTTCATACTGCACTACTATCATAGTGCTTTCCACACTTACCCGATACTTTTTATATAGGTCATACGCACATAGCGGAGGCACTAAAGGTACCACTACATGTGATCTTCACAATGCCTTGGACGTAAGTTTTCTTATCAATTCTTGTCATGCGTCATCATTTTTCTTGCTTCCTTCTAGTTTGACTTAAATCGTATGGTGATACTTTTTCCCATTTGTCAGGCCTACTAGTGAATTCCCACATCCTATGTCCCGTGTTAAACAACCAGTGGCAAATAAAGTGAGTTCTCTTTTTTGTCTTCTAATTTGATTGAGGCTTGAACTAACTCTATATTTGGTGAGTTCTTGTTCCAAAATAACTGGAAAACTTTTGCAGTTGTCTTATCAAATTGTCGATGCGTTCATTTGGCTGGGAATACGAGATTTGATTAATGAGTTTAGGAAGAAGCAGCTAAAGCTTAGAAGAGTCACATACTTAAGTGGCAACTATAGCTCACCTCCTGAATTGCCTTATGGGTATATATGGAGTCCTCACCTTCTCCCCAAACCAAAAGGTCATATTTTGAACTTGTTTGCTGGCTATTTTGCAACAATTCTAGGAATTCAGAGAATCACAACTGATGCTATTGGATTGATAATTGAGATTCCTGATAATGTTTTGTATGCTCCATATTCATGCTTCCTTGTACCCTTGCTTGAAGGTGGTGTGTCTATCATGGGTTTGGATTCATGAATCTCATCTAGCGTTCTTGTTTACCCTTGATCAGATTGGGGTCCCAAGATCGATGTTGTTGGCTTCTGCTTCCTTGACCTTGCATCGGGTTATGTACCTCCGGATGATCTTGTACAGTGGCTAGAAGGTGGTGATCCACCTGTCTATGTTGGGTTTGGTAGCCTGGTGAGTTTCCTTTTCGCAGTTATACTCTACAAAAAACTTATCATACATGTCATTTACCAACTCATAACAAGTTTGAAACAGCCTGTTCAAGAACCAGAGAAGATGACACAGATGATTGTCCAGGCTTTAGAACTGACTGGTCAAAGAGGCATCATTAACAAGGGCTGGGGAGGGCTGGGGAATTGTAAGTCCTTCCCCCACTTTCTTAACTGATGTCTTTTATCAAGCAAATGTTCTAATTACATGTTCAAATGGATATCCTGCTTGTTCTTTCGCAGTGGCACAACCAAAGGACTCGATTTACTTACTGGACAATTGCCCTCATGACTGGCTGTTCTTAAGATGCAAGGCTGTGGTAAGGCTTCCATTTTTTACCTGCTCTAATCCCGAACACCATATCATAGAAAATACAAAAGTGGCTTTTGCATGCTTACTGCTTCCCGAAACTTAGAATTCTGGTAGGAAAAAAACAAAAACAAAATATCCTCCATGGAGATTAGACTAGGTTCATGATTCATTTATTGTTTTGGTTAGGCTTCTGCTGTGGATAAGAAACTTGTAAAGAAACTGCGCAGATAACGCGGCATGTTTTGGGTCATCATATCAATTTATTATTACATGTGTTCTTTAACCCTTGTGTATTAACTCTGAACTCAAAAGGCACATAGGAGGTCATGGTGCTTATCTGTGATCATCAAGTGGTTAGGCTTTTGTTCTTTTTTGCTTTAATCTTCTAATCCAGTAATCCTTGTGAAGACACAAACCTTTATTAGAAGACAGTCCTCTTTTTCATCATTCCTTCCAAAATATTACAATGGGAATCACTGGAAAGTGAAATCAGATGTTATTTGCTCTCTCTAACATTTCCAGTACCATCTGTAAGTTTCGTTCTCTTTTTTGTCACCTAACACCATGCTGCGTTGAAAAGGGAAATGAATTTGCTTGATAAAGAAGTTGCCATACCTGATGTTCGCTGTTAACTCTAGATCAAGAGTGTAGATGGCCTTCCTGCTAATATTTTTTAGTATTAGTGTACTCACTGGGCCTGGGTCCTTCGGTTGTGGATATGTCTCAGGTGCATCATGGAGGTGCTGGAACAACTGCTGCTGGTCTTAAAGCTGCGGTAGGACTACTATACCTTGCTTCGCAAGCTTCCATACCTTGATAGAAGGAACTGAACCATTCTTATTAACTTACTTTGCTTGCACATTACATGGTATGTATGCAGTGTCCTACAACCATTGTGCCTTTCTTTGGCGACCAACCCTTCTGGGGTGATCGGGTCCATGCTAGAGGAGTAGGCCCTGCACCGATTCCAGTTGATGAGTTTACGACTGAAAAGTTGGTTGACGCTATCAAATTCATGCTAGATCCTAATGTAAGCAAGCAACTTGGTTATGTATTCCGCTTTATAGAATCGTCAATTCCAGGATGGGGATCCTCCGACTAATGCCCACCATTATCCAACTGCAGGTGAAACAGCAGGCAGTTGAAATTGCAAAGGCCATGGAGAATGAAGACGGGGTGACAGGTGCTGTGAAAGCCTTCTACAAGCATTTCCCTGGAAAGAAGACCGAGGACGACGAAGATGACCACATAGGACACGGGCATGGACTTGGTCATCCTCATTCGAAGCTTTCCATCCGCGGGTGTTTCGGCATTCACTGACTATTGCTTCAACTGTGTTTCTGAGGCATTTTAACTTCACCATCAAGCGAATCTCGTCAATGCTAATCTCGACCATGTAGAGTGTGTTGTGCTAAGTTTTACTAATCCCGACGATGTTTGGAGTGTGTGTTGCTTCTTGTCTTCTCTGTTTTCCTGTAATAGCTTTACTTTGAGGAAACGTCCTTGTTGTACAACGGCTTCCAGTGCAGTGTGAACGCTTTCTATAGCCAGGGAAATGTAGCAGCTGCTGTTGGTCTTCAACCTTTCTTCCCTTCTTCCTCGTTGGAATGCTTAATCCTAATAATTTGTTCTCCTCCTTCTTGGATAGGTGATTTACGTGCATTGAAAACATGATCATATGTCTTAAGTTCCTCCTAGAATGCCGACGAACCAAAATAAGAATTGATTAATTGATGAAAAAATCTCAACCGTAATATTTCCATGACAGAATTCGGCTGTAGCAACATACCTTACCCATTTTTTGGTTAAAGTCATTAGTATCGGGCCAAGATCAGATTCAGATGACAAAGAAGAGTGGCTTACTGGCTTAGTCAATTGGCTAAATCGTTCATTTGAAATATGATATGATAGTTGAATATAATCTCACTTAATGAGAACTAAATGGGTGATTAGAAGATTGTCTTTCTTTTCGATTAAATCAATTAAATTTTTTGTTTCTTTTCTCAACAAGGTGATTGTCATTTGTGGCTCCAAGAAAAATAAAAACATGAAGAGTTCACGGAATAAGTTACCATGCAAACCACCAAGGGGGTTTGCAATGTAAGAACCAAGTAATCCACCATTCATTTCCTCCTTTTTCTCCATTTTTCAAACTGATAGCCGAGGAACACCATTTACCTTAATCTTGCCCATAAATTCAAGAATCTATTGATGTGATATCTTGGAGCATCGTGGTTGAGACCGCTGAACTGTATATTGATGTGATCTCTTGGAGCACCCGTCCCATTGCCATCTAGTCTAGGGATGGCGATTTGAACCCATCCTATCGTGTATTCCTCGACCTGACCCGCAATGGAGCGAATATTACCCGACCCGTATAGTGTGGAATGTGGCATGACCGCATGAGTATGTACTTTCCACTCAACCTCTGCCATTATTGGCCTATTCTATTTCAATTTTGTATAATATCTATTCATATTTCTCTTCTTTTCTTCAACAAGTTAGACATCATCTTTCAATTGGTTAGACTCAATTACCCATTATATTATCACTATTTTCATTTATAAAGTGTTCTTCTCTTCAATTTATCGTAAAAAAGTAAACTTTTGAGTGTATTTTTTCAAATAACATGTAAAAGTGGGTCGACCCGTCCCGTATCCGAGCGTGTATTCCCCGCCCTGGCCCAAGGTAGTGTGGGGCGGGGCATGAGTATTGAGGTACCCGCCCCATTGCCATCACTACCTAGTCTAGTGGTTGGGATTTAGTCATTTTAATCACCCGACCCATACAATACGGTTTTGAAAATATTAAATCCAAACCCACCAAATTTATTATTTTCAAACCCTATGGCTTGTTTATAATTGGGTTGGGTCGGGTCGTCGATACTTTTAAGTAAAAATCCAACCTAACACACAAATAAATTATTCTACACCACTATATTATTATTTAATCAATAAAATTTCAAACAAATAAACCAAGGAAAAAAGTATCAAAATGCATAGATGTTGTTTGGATTTTAATGAAATGCAATTTGTTTCAAAATATGTCTAATTTTTTCGCAAACAGTTGTCGAAATAAGCTAAATAGGTTATAAGCAAACACATTCATATTATGTTATTATTTTAAAATTGTACACGAGAAAAAAAAATATTACGTGAATCATAGTCAATATTAAATCTACATCTTAATTTTAAGTCGACGAATGTATTAGGTTAGGGAGACCACGAGAGAAAAATATAACAAAATATCTTAAATTTCTCACAGATATGCGCTTATATACGACACAAATATGGTATGGATACAAACACTTATCTCATAGTTTGAACAAGGGTTGAGTTGGTTCTACGGGTTGTGTAGCCCAAAACCCACACTCAACCTAAAAGATGCGAGTTGTACAAAAGAATACCCTTATCCAATTTTAAACTTTAATGTTAGAGGTAAATACTAAATAGGAGTGAGATGGATCGGATTGGACGGATGAGCCGATTTGCAGGTATTTTTGCTCATGCTAGGTTCTTAAATCTTCAGCAACCAATTTAGGGGTCGTTTGAAAGTTGTGATTTCAAATAGTGTATTGAGCTAATTCATGTATTTGTGAGATTAAGTCGTTTTTGGCTTATATTGAACTAGAATACAAGTATTTACTTTTTGGAGGCCCCACCACAATCACTCAAAATTGAGAGATTATCAATCTCTACTTTTTGTTGAGATTCTCCACAATCACTCAAAATTAACTTTTGTAGCGTTGTAGCAAAAACACAATCTAAATCTCCAAACAAGATATTTGGCTAATACATCAATTGATTCAATACATCAAATGATAATATGTCTCAATACATCAATTTGAAGAATCACAACTTCCAAACAACCCTTCTCTCATAGACAATGTTGACCTAGTACGGATTACATATCAGGAGTCCAACCTTAATCAGTAACCGAGTTTACATCTCTCAATGTGAAAACATGCTCCTCTGTCTGTTGTTCTTAGGGGTGTTCAAACGGTTTGGTTACCGTGGTAACCGTTTTAACTGGTACTATTTGGATAATTTGGTTTGGTTAATTTGGATAATTGGTTTGGTTTGGTTAAAGTTTTTAGCTTGTTTGGTTTAGGTGGTTTGGTTTGGTTTCAGACACTCTTAATCAGTCAAACCAAATTAACCAGTTAAGTAATTAGTCATATATCTAACATATATTATATACACATACTTAATACTTTGCATAACCACTCAAGAGTTAACGTTCATCTCTATTAGACTCATAAAATATAAAGGTCAATATTGCTCATATAGTGTATATTTGTATACGTAAAGTGTAGACCACAACATATGGACGCCTAATTTAGATAAATTCATACATTATGATGGATGAAACTTGAAAGGAATGTCATTTCCAGCCTATGATAATTGCTAAGAGACTAATTAAGGGGTCGTTTGGATGGATCAATTGTAAAACGAGACAATTTGACCAATTGTTTCATTTTACAAAACGAGTCATTTAAAACGAGTCAATTCAGATTACCTGCCCCCACCCCAAACAATTGTAATTGGCTCAAAATGAGTCAATTCAGAATTCCCCAGTCCAAATTGCTTCATCCAAATTTTCTGCTGCCAAACGGATCAATGTAGCACAATTGACTCAAAACGAGACAATTGTGTCAGATTGATCCATTAGAATTCCTCATCCAAACGACCCCTTAAGTCAATTTACACAAACACAACAATTCATTAACCCATACCATTGTCATAATTTTTTTGTTAGGTGAATACTTCCATACTAATCGTAAGATAATTGTATTAGTTGCATGTATTTTTGTTAAGGGTCAACTATAACTAGGTGTTGATTGTTATGTTTTATTCATTATATAAATTGCGAATTGTTGCATTACCGGAAAATTTTCATCGTCAATGATAATGTGATTTTATATTGGTTAATCTGGTTAACCAATTAACCAAACCAATTAAACTTTAGTTTGATTAATTTGATTGTTGTATTAGTTTGAACGGTTTGGTTATGATATTGTATTCCATAGTTATTGGAATTTAGCCTTATTTTGTTTGGTTATAAACTTATAATCATGGTAACCATTTTAACACCCCTAGTCGTTATTATCTGCAAAGAAAGTAAGTAATTAGAATATGCAGAAGAAGAACAACACACGGATGCTTCACCCGATTCGACTTTCCCGCCTTAATTAAACTCCACGCCGCAGCTCGGCTGCCGCATCCGGATGTTCCGATCCCACAGTTCATCACATTGTGAAGTTATGAACAAAGCGGCAATCGATTTCCGATCCGCCCAGTTTGTCCCTTTCAGCTGTGCTGTCTCGTTTTTGTCTGTACCAAGAGTTGGAGCCGCGTCGAACTCGAGCGAAAGACAACGGCCAGTTTTCCTCCTTCCAAAATATGAGCATCCTGAGGTCCGGATTCTATATTTACTCATTCTCGGACCAACTTATCCGTGAGCTCCGATAACAGTTCGGGGTTTTGTCTGGTCGAGGTTCCTTTTCTAGGGTTTTCTCTCACACTTCCAGGGGGAAAATGCTGAAATTTGGAGGGAGATTTGAGGGGTTGGGGGATATATACTGCCAACAATGCCTGGACTCTGCCCGGATTGTATTCTGTGAAGAGGAAGAAGAAGAAGAAGAAGAAGAAGAAGAAGACGAGGCTCGTTACGAAAGGGAGGGTGAGAAATGGAGGAAAATCAAAGCCTCATAGCTCGGCAGCAACGTGACCGTGGTCATCCGGCCAACTCTAATTACAATGAGGAAGCTGAGATTCTGTGGCGTTCTCTTGCCCCAAATGCTGAAGTCGCCACCCCCAAAAATGCAACTTCCTCAAACTCCTCTGGTTCCTTTCTTGTTCCTCATTCTTCCTCAATGTTATTATCTTTCTTTTTTTTGCTGCTCATGTGAAGTCATTTTTTGAAAACTTTTAATGGGTTTGACCTTCAAAACTCTAAAGGGAACAGATTGGTAGGTGTTTATTGTGTGTTTAGACTTTAGAGAGCAAGTGAAAAGGAGAGAAGATGGGGGGAAGAAGCACCAGAATATCGTATGCATTTGTTAGTTTTCAGATTTTAGAAAATCTTTCTCTATCCATTGACATGCTCTTTGCTTTGCAAGACAACATCTGGCAACATAAATTCTTGCTTGACATAATTTGCTTCTGTTATATTTGTCTGCATTGTTTGTCAGTATCAGTCTAAATGTTTTGTATCAGGGGTTTGGCGAAATCCTGGGATATCTGAGTCAGGCTCCCTTCTTCAGCCAAAAGATGATGAATGTGGAGAATTTGATACATTAGATACACTGGCAGCAGAACTATTTAATGATAAGATCTCCATTCAGAAGAAGGTTTGTTTTATAAGAGTCAGGCTTGGCTTATCCCCCCATCCCCCACCCCCCCTTCAATTTGGTTTTGCTAACCTTTATTTTACAAAACAATTTGCAGCTAAAATTGTTTAATCGTCTTGCTACCATTAAAGAAGATGGAACTGTTCAATTTGAAGTTCCTGGACATATAGAACCACGTAGCCTTGAACTTGAACCACAAGTTTTTCCTGAAGCTACGGACGATGAATCTGTTGATACAGATGATATGAAAGACATACCACCCTTGCAAATTGTGATGCTTATAGTTGGAACTCGAGGTGATGTGCAACCATTTGTTGCCATTGGAAAACGTTTTCAGGTACTGTGAGTACTTCTGGTGTTTCAAGAAGCCCTTTGACAATGTCTATTGTAATCATGCATGGAATTTATGTTGCCATGTAATTTTCCTTTCCAGGAAGTTATTTGTGGGTAGTGGAGTTAATTATGTTAAGTGTAGCAGGTTCTTGTACAGATGCTGGTGGTCTGAATTTGCTTCTAGCGGAAATCCCTTTTTTTATTTTTATTAGAGCTGTTAACTATAGCAGGTACTTATATACAGTTTTACACAGATGCCATGCTACTGGATTGAATTTGCTTCTTGTGGAAATTCATGATATTTTTTACTTTGCTAGAACCAGTGAAGAACAAACTTTCTTTTCATCTTCCCTGGTCCTTCTTTACTTGTTGGAATATATTTTTCTGACTCCAGCTAGTTTAAAGCTCTATAAATTTGGTTTATGAGGTGTCATCTTCAGTTGATCACATGAGAGTTTCATGCAGGAAGATGGCCACAGAGTTAGACTGGCGACACACTCAAATTTTAAAGACTTTGTATTAGATGCTGGTTTGGAGTTTTTCCCTTTGGGGGGAGATGCCAAACTGCTTGCAAGCTGTAAGTGTGCTTCTTAACCATTATGAACTTCTTGTTTGTTGGCTGCTGATTATATGTAATGGTTAGCTGAAGTACAGAAAACCCAGCATCTCACCAGTTTGATTGGTGAAACTCCAATGCTTTGCCTGCTTGGAATTGTTTAGATCAAACAAGGTTCTTTGAAACTGTGTAATTGTTGGATTCATTGGTGCTATTCAACACGAAATTGCTGACTGCTATTTGTTGTTACATCTCTTTTGTCCTTAATTTTCTGTTTGTACTCAGATAGTGAGATCTGTCATCCAATAAGAAAATGCAAACTAGTTGAGAATGACCTATGCTTTTTGTGCAGAGTCTTCTCTGATTCTACTTCCTTTCAAATGCTCTCTCTCTCTCTCTCTCTCTCTCTCTCTCTCTCAAGCTAATTGTGTTACCTGTTATTGTGGTTTTAAAAGGTTTCTTAATCTGTTTTCTACAGATATGGTCAAGAACAAAGGATTTTTTCCATCTGAACACTCAGAAATTATGGTACAGAGGCAGCAAATGCGAGAAATTATATTCTCTTTGTATGCGGCATGCAAAGATCCAGACCCTCAAACAAGTGTTCGATTCAAAGCAGACGCTATAATTGCCAACCCCCCAGCATATGGTTACACATCCTTGTCTTTCTTTCTGCTTTGAGGTTTCATCTTGCTTTTTGGTCTTGAAATTAGCCACAACTTTTAATCTTCTGAATATCTGTCCAGGGCACACACACGTTGCAGAGCTGCTGAAAGTGCCATTACATATGATCTTCACAATTCCATGGACGTAGGTATTCTTAGTCCTGGAATTTGGTGCAAAGTAGATCTATTTGTCATTAGGGTTACAGTTTATTTGCTTACTATTGAGTGTGGTGTAGAGAGAAACCATTATTTTAACTGTCTAGCAACAACAAATGGATCCATATGTTGACGATTCCTCAATTTATCAGGGCCACTAGTGAGTTCCCACATCCTTTCACTCGTGTCAAGCAACCAGCTGCTTATAGAGTAAGGATGTCTTGGCCAATTGCACTCTTCAGTGAACCTTGATGTGTCATTCCAAAATTATTTTAGTTAACCCTTGAAATCTTACTGCAGTTATCATATCACATAATTGACACACTTGTTTGGCTTGGAATACGGGACCTGATAAATGAGTACAGGAAGAAGCATCTGAAGCTCAGACCAGTCACATATTTAAGTGGATCCCAGAGTTCACGCATGAAGGTGCCTTTTGGATATATATGGAGCCCTCACCTTGTTCCCAAACCAAAGGGTAAATCTTTCCCCCTTTTCCTCTTATAGTAAAAAACAGGAAAGGTATAGGGGACTTTTGCAACCTGTTAATTCTTCAACTAGATCAGTAGGAATTCCTTGGCCAAAGAGTAATGTTGAAGGTGTCGGCTAATGTTAATTCTTTTATTATTCTTTGAGCAGACTGGGGGCCTAAACTGGATGTTGTTGGCTTTTGCTTTCTTGACCTTGCGACAAATTACGAACCTCCTACTGCTCTTCTGGACTGGCTTAGAAGCGGTGATGCACCTATCTATATTGGTTTTGGGAGCCTTGTGAGTTTCTTTGCCTAATCCTTTTATAAGTACTACTTGTTTGAATCAGGTGCTACCCTTCTAGTATAAGTTGTATAACTGCTCACAAGCTTGCCGCTTAGTAAGTGAGTTCCCATCACAATAGTGCTATCCGTACAAGTTTTTGTACTCTTCATTGCTGACTGAGTAAAACATCGGGATCATTCTAAAAGCTGGTTAGGAATTGAATTGAATTTCTTTTCCTATATGTTGGTATGAAATCCAACGATGAATTCCTTACTCGAGATGCATTAGTTAGTTTTATGGATAGGATAAATTTTCTCTTTGGTTCGCAATGTGGATGATTCAAATAGACCGGGGCCATGGTTATCATTTTATCCTTGATCTAGAAGCATCACTCCTACAAAACCATTTACTGGTAAATAGGATTAGGTCATAAAACAACAAATGGTACTGGCTGGATCAAGTTACTTTGTTTGTCCAAAATGAGAACAGCTTCAGAACATTGATATTGTGTTTTTTATGATTAGCTAAGTAATGTCAATTAATTTTCATCAGCCTGTTGAAGAACCAGAGAAGATGACCGAGGTGATTGTCAGGGCCCTGGAATTAACTGGCCAAAGGGGCATCATAAACAAAGGCTGGGGTGGATTGGGGAATCGTAAGTTACTGTGTGCTAACATGTCGTAACTCAAAATTATGTTGAATTGCTTAAGCGTTTGTGGACCTCTTGATCATTGATATCCGCATGTAAATGCCTTGTTAATCTTGCAGTGGCGGAACCCAAGAAGTATGTGTACTCATTGGATTCTTGTCCTCATGACTGGTTGTTCTTGAGATGCAAGGCTGTGGTAAGACTCTTATCCTGATCCCAAAAAGAACCAATTCAAGAGAATAAGCCATTTATAAATCAACAGGCAACTTCTGGTGGAGGTTCAAGTGGTTTAACTTAACGATTATATATCTTACTAAATGGTGGCAATCATTTTATCATTGAACTTAAGACTCTATTTCAAAATCAAGGTCAAAGGCAAAGCTTACAGGTAGCAATATATGAAGCTGCACAACTAAAGATGACATGAACCCAAAAATAGGATTCTCCCCATGATCATGTTTGGATGACTGGCGGTTGACAGTTGGACAATGTAGGAACAGAATAGTGATTGTGATTAGTATGCTTAATGTTGTAGTTCTTGTATCTCATCATCTTACTCTGAAAGCCCAGATAGAATGATAACACGGGTTGACCCTTCTTCAAATTTTGCTCATTCCTTTTTGTTAGGTGCACCATGGAGGTGCTGGAACAACAGCTGCCGGTCTCAAAGCTGCGGTAAGACTCCGGCAACTATGTATAATATATGGGTATACATGTGCGTGCATGTGTGTGTTTCCTTTTCAGTGAAAAGTATGCAGCATTTTGATGGTGTGTGTATTGATCCTTTCAACCAGTGTCCTACAACGATAGTGCCCTTCTTCGGGGACCAATACTTTTGGGGTGAACAGGTCCATGGCCGAGGAGTAGGTCCAGCACCTATTCCAGTTGACGATTTCTCTACAGAAAAGCTCGTCTATGCCATCAAATACATGATGGATCCCAGGGTAACGACAACCCGCGAACTACAGCTTATTCTTGTTGTTCACATCTTTTTTTGCTGCAGGAAAAATGAAAACCTGCAGTGGCTGAATCCGAAAATACTGTGTTCCTTCCGCAGGTGAAACTGCGTGCAGTGGAATTAGCAAAGGCCATGGAGAACGAGGATGGAGTCACAGGTGCGGTGAAAGCCTTCTATAAACATTTCCCCATGAAAAAGATAGAGTCCGCAAGTCAACCGGAGCCCCATAATACCAAGAATCACTCGAGATTTTCGATTCGCAAATGTTTCCGGAAGTCATAGGTCCGCCGCAATTTACATTTTTGTAAAAAAAAAATTCTTCCAGATTGAGTGCTAAAAAATTGTCTGTATCAATATATGGATTCCCTTAGTGATGGCAATTTCAACTCGCCCCGCCGGTATTATCCGACCTGACCTGCGTTGGACCGGGTATTACCCGACCTGCAGTAGTGTGGGGCGGGGCATGTGTATCTACTTCCGACCCGCTCTGTCCCGCCCCGCCCCTTTCTAGACTCATTTTATCTCAATTTCTTACAATATTTATACATATTTCTCTTATTTTGATTTTTCTTCAACTAGTTAGAGTCGATCTTTCAACTTGTTAGACTCAATTATCCATTCTATTATCAATATTTTTCATTCTTAAAGTGTTTTTCCCTACGCTGCATTGTAAAAAGTAAAATTTACTTGTATTTTTTTTGAACATGTAAGAGTGGGTTGACCCGCCCGCCTCGTACCCGTGCGGGTTTTTCCTGCCCCGGCCCGTAGTAGCGTAGGACGGGGCATGGGAATTGAGGTACCCGTCCCGCCCCGCCCCATTGACATCACTAGATTCCCTCCCAGATATGCAATTCAACACCCCTAAAGAGGATGAAATATTCACAGTTCACCACGTTTCGATTTTGCTTGTGCAACCTAGACTGAATCAAGACTACAGATTTTGTCCTCCGACTAGGGATGGCAAATTACCCACCCATGGGTAATTATACCCAAACCCAAGTAGACCCATTGATAATGGGTTGGGTATGGGTGAAGTACATATGAATTTGGGGGTTTATAGAAGGGTTTGGGTTTGGGGCTTCCATAATCTAAATGGGTATGGGTTGGATATGGATATCCATTTACTTGAGGGTGTTTTAACTACACATGCAAAAATTGGACCTATTTGCAAAACTTGAAAAGTTTAGGTACCAAAATGTAAGGCCAAAAAAATTTAGGTACCAAAACGTAATTTTTCATCGATATTTTGAGGACTTATATGCAAAAAAAATTAAATTTAGGTACTAAATATGCATGTCTATTAAGTTTGGGTACCAAACTGTAATTTGTATTTGGGCATGGGTACAAACCCAAATCCATTTGATATAAACCCAACTCAACCCAAAATAAATGGGTATGGGTACAAACCCATCAAACTTTACCCATATCCATCTATTTGGATTTCATACCCAACCCAATTGGGTTGGATAGTAAGAAACCCATGGGTATGGGCAAAGTTGCCATCCCTACCTTCGACTAAGGTTCTTCTGATTCCTCGTTGAACAAATGTCAAATTTAATTGAGTTGCTAAGTCTCCTAACATATAGGAGAAATGTATCCATTGAGGGGGACAATCGGATCAATCCCACCAGAGATCTGCCTAACCAAAACAGTTGGTATTTGACTCTTTCTGACCTAGCCAACGAGATAAATCCCCATATTGGAAAAATCTGTAAAGAAAATAATAGGGATGGGTAAGGGTGAGTTTTGGTATTTGAGAAATACGATTGTATCAGATTTACCATTATTTGGTATTATCGAATGATTTTTTAGGGATTGGGTTGGTTTTGAGGTGTTATTAGGCATTTGGAATTACATGATTGAGATCTGTATATACCGAATCGAGAATTTATAATTAATTAGATATAGCTCGAAGCGGTTAAAAGCAAGGTTGTCGACCCGAGGTTCAACCCGTTGTTTAGCCCTTTTTAACCCTGACACAGTGAGAAAAACGATCCACGGGTGGTTCCACTACAAGGTTTCTGAATTGGAGGTCACACGACTTAGTTTTTTTCCTTTGCTTAGCGAAACACGCTTCTTTTATGTTCTTCCTCTTCGCCTAACCTTATCTTTGGAATTGTAAGTTGAACATTTGACTATTGATGTTATATAAGTGTGTGTGAATTTTTACTATATATGTTGGATTCAAGTACAATATGTTATTTTGGTGTAATGTTATTAGTCATATAACTATTTAATATAATTTATAAATGTATGAATTAATGGCTTTTTCAATATGACAGGGTAAACAAGAATAAAGCGATCAAACCATTAACCCTCAATCCACTTTTTCGACCGGGCTAACGAAACTAAACCGGTTTACAACCTTGGTTAAAAGAACCACATTAAAAAACCAACGCTAGCAACTAGCAAGGAGCCGCATTTCCCCCTTCTCTTAGGTCGCAAGTCTCTTCCTCAGCAGACGCCAGACGAAGCCCTAACACAAAGTCTCGTAACAGTAAGCCCATGAAACTTGAAAACCCCAGAAAAACCCTAGAGAAACAAAACGTTGAAATTTCTTCTAATCATTCTCAATATCTCTTCTTTCTACGTAGAGCCAAAAGGCAGGAAGCCGAAAGCTTTTCAAGACGGCAAAAATGGAGGCGGATACAGTAGTCAACAACGTCATCTGCCAATTCACTGACCCTGAAGGGAACTCTCTTGGACCTCCTCTGTACCTGCCACAGAACGCTGGCCCTCCTCAGCTTCAACAAATCGTTAACGAGCTTCTAAAGAATGTAAATTTTCCAATCCAATCCTAGTCTAGTCGAGTCAGGTCGTTCTTCTTACACGTTTCAATGGTTTTTTGAAAGACCTGATGGGATTTAGAGGTAAAGCTGGAATTTTTATGTGTTTGGTTCAGGAAGAGAAGCTCCCATATGCTTTTTACATATCAAACCAGGAGCTTGTGGTGGCTCTTGAAACCTACTTAGAAAAAAACAAAGGTAGGTGGACGGAAAATGGGAAACAACGATAAGAGAATTGAGATTCTAGTTTTACTTTGTCATTGGTTTTATAGTTTTCTGATTTTGATGGCCCTTTTCTCGGTTGGTTCCCAGTTTCTGTGGAGAAGGTACTGCCCATAGTTTACCAGCCGCAAGCTGTCTTCAGAATTCGTCCAGTTAATCGTTGTTCGGCTACCATTGCTGGTACTGTAATGGCTTACTTTTACATTGTCATTGCTTCAGAAGATCACATGAACTTGTTTGTTATATGACTTTTATTATAATCTATATCTATATATTCTATTAATGGGTGGGAGATGTGAATGGTAACTGCAATCCTTATTATATATATGCTCATTCATGTATGTCGAATGTCAGTTTTGAAATTTGTCATCATTTACCCCCCATTTTTTGAGACATGCTTCTCGTCTGCACGGTCTTGATTACTGGAGGGCTATTATCATGCAGGCCACTCTGAAGCTGTACTTTCAGTCGCCTTCAGTCCCGATGGACGGTATTTGGCTAGTGGCTCTGGAGATACCACTGTCCGCCTTTGGGATCTTAATACTCAGACCCCTATGTTTACTTGCACAGGTTCAAACTTTGTTCAGTAATTTTATATTTGTTTATAGAAGAAAATCCCTTTCAAGTTATACAACCAGAACATTATACTAAAAGCCGGACCTTGTTATCTGTAATATTTGAATTATTAATCTGTTATTCGGTTTAGGACACAAGAACTGGGTTCTCTGCATTGCATGGTCACCTGATGGTAAGCATCTTGTAAGTGGGAGCAAGGCTGGAGAGCTTCAGTGTTGGGATCCTCGAACAGGAAAGCCATCAGGCAATCCACTTTCGGTAAAGTCTTTCATGATGATTGCCTCTCCTTGTTAATTCTTGTAGATTGAGTTACTAACCTAGTTATTTTATTTGATGAATTTGCTCCTAAGCTATTTACATGGCTTCTTTTTTGTATACATATCTATGTTTGGTTGTTTATAAAGTAGTGCTATACTAGACCTCCCTTACATTAATCTGTTGCTTTTCCCCCTTTATTTTAGGGCCACAAGAAATGGATTACTGGCATCTCCTGGGAACCATTGCACTTGAACTCTCCATGCTCTCGGTTTGTTACTGCTAGCAAAGATGGTGATGCACGGATATGGGATACAACATTGCATAGAAGTGTTATCTGTCTTAGTGGACACAAGCTTGCTGTGACTTGCGTAAAGTGGGGTGGAGATGGAATAATTTATACTGGGTATGTATGTTGTTTTTTCTTTGTAAGAAAACTACATGTTATCGCCTTTCCAAGATGGCCTCTTTCTCATTAGAAAGTGGCAGTCCCGGCTGCCCTTGTTGTTCAAGAATTTATCTGAATTAATGGGCAGACTATATGATCATGGAACTTGAACTCTTCTTTCAGACATCTTCTTAGCGTGTTGAGTGTATATCTGCTAGCTTGTTTATAAAGTAATTGTGATAACTGCAACATATGACCAACATCGCTTATAAAAGCTACTGGTTCACTTACAAACTTGAACTTGAATCAAGTGTTGCAATTTAGTTTAGGCCAAGCTATATGAAGCACTCATTTGCATCTTTCACTGATTCCAGCTCCCAGGACTGTACTATCAAAATGTGGGAAACTACCCAAGGGAAGCTAATTCGCGAGCTGAAGGTAACATCACTCTTTGCTGATACGGATGCTATGTCGGATAGAGGAATGCCATCACTCTTTGCTGATTACGTTCTTGCAATGGTCAATTTATTTACACTTCTCATTAGGGGTTGTTATTAGTCATACCTAACATATGAATGGATGGCTTATGGTTTATTTCCTCAGAGCTCCATTTATGACACCATTATAATCTTCCTGCTCAAAGCTCAATTTATTATTTTGTATTTCTCTAATCTATTTGACCTGCTCTGTAAATTTTCTCATATGATACTTTTCCAGGGTCATGGCCATTGGGTTAACTCACTTGCATTGAGTACCGAATATGTGCTTCGAACAGGAGCTTATGATCATACTGGGAGAACATACTCGTCACCCGAGGAAATGAAAAAGGTACCTTAAATTACTACTTCCTGGTTAGCTTTTACTATTCTCTAGTTTTGAGCCCCATGTATCTCTCAGCAAGCATCATCCGTGCATGTATGAATATTCTGCTCGAACTATCCTTGTCTTAGGTTCAGATACATCATTATTTTGTTGTTGCAGAAATCTCCTGTGCTCATCTTTAGCATGAATTGTTCCTCGCGCAAAATGTTAAATATACCTCCGTAAGCGCTAAGTACCGTTCATATGCTTGTAGGTTGCTTTAGAAAGATACAACAAAATGAAAGGCAGCGCCTCTGAAAGGCTCGTCTCAGGTTCTGATGATTTCACCATGTTCCTCTGGGAACCTGCTACTAGCAAACACCCTAAAACTCGTATGACAGGTCATCAACAGGTATTATGGCATTGCTGCTACAATTCTGATAGCAGTTCTTGTTGGTCTTTTTGAAGGGATGGTATCTGGTAGTGCTTTATCTTTGATGGTCTGTCCACCTGTTGATGGTTTCATGTCCTAACACGCTTTCCCCCCTTTCTTTCTTTCCCTATGGCATTTTATGTAGCTAGTCATTTTTTTTTTTTTTGTTTCCTTCCAGCATCACAAATGACCTTGTAAGGAGGCAGATTGTTTCTAAGAAAGTTTTTAGCCACTTGTTCTTGTGCTTACATTGATTTACTTTGCGGCATATATATAGCTTTTTATGGGTAATGAGGGCAATTGTAGAATTCATAGGTGTTCTACATCTTTCGCATATTAAATGGAGAACCTGTTGCATGCTGCAGCTTGTAAATCATGTTTATTTTTCACCTGATGGCCAATGGGTGGCTAGTGCATCTTTCGACAAGTCTGTTAAGTTGTGGAACGGCATCACCGGGCAATTTGTTGCGTCTTTTAGAGGCCATGTTGGTCCTGTTTATCAAATCAGGTTAGCGAGACACTTAATTGTTTTTTTTGGCCGTTCGTGTTCTTTAATCTTGTCTAGTTACTAATTTGACCTTTCTGTAGCTGGTCTGCTGACAGTAGGCTTCTACTGAGCGGGAGCAAGGACTCGACGCTGAAGGTAAATTATGTTAATTTTTTCCTCCGTGTTCTATTTATCTTCTCTGAACATCATGTTTTCCTCAAATTCTTATGCTTTTGGATAAGAGCTTCAAATTTTTTTTTTTTTTTCTACATGTTTCTAGATATGGGATATACGCACCCGGAAGTTGAAGCAAGATCTTCCAGGCCACGAGGATGAGGTGCGCACTTGCTTGCTCAACTGATCCATTATGGGTCACTAACTGTGAATTTATTGATAATAATGGTGACTAATAATGCTCAACTAATGCTTTCTGATCTTTTACTGGGAGTTAGGTCTTTGCTGTTGATTGGAGTCCCGATGGTGAGAAAGTAGCTTCGGGAGGTAAGGACCGCGTACTGAAATTATGGATGGGCTAGCAATCGGAACACCCAAAACAAGCAAAAAGGCTGCAAACTTGACGTGGTTGAACGTTGAAGATAGAGAAGTTATAGTGATCCCGCCTTTCAGTGGCTAGCAATTTTGGGGGTCAGTGCAAGTTATTGCCTTCAGCTAATAGCTCGCGAACAAGCAATCTCCGAAAACCACGAGTGGTGAGAGCTCTTTTCTCACTGGTGCTGCAGTAAAGCCAGTAGTGCAGCCATTGCAGTGATTTGCTGATGTGTGAAATCGTGTTTCTGGTATTACTGTGTCAAGTGTCGTGTTTTTGGAGGCAAGTCACCTGACCTGAGTTCCCTCTTGCATTAAGATGAACAAGGCGAGATGGAAAACCTGTTGATACTTTTGTCTTTCGAGTTTGATCTGTAGATAAGAAAGGTGATTGTGTATCTGGATCGCATGATTTTGCTTTTATTTCCTCAAGCACAATGTGAGTTATTTGATTACTAGTACATCTGAACTATGTTTTAGGGAATACATTGCATGCAAAATTGATTGTATGTGATTGAGACATTATATGTTCATTGAATAATTTCAATTGAAAAATGAACACAGTAAATGTAATCCATAATACCGAATAACAATTGAAATTGAATCACAATCCCAATCCCAAGAAATAATACATGTATTCGGTAATACCAAATATAGACAATTCGATACGGTATTCGGTACATACCAAATACCGATACCAAACTTCCAGCACTATTCACACCCACGTAGGCACATCCAAGCCTTCCTCTACAACACCAATGAGATCAAAATGGTTGGGATACCTCAAGAAACTATCAAAGATTGTTCTCCTTTTCTTTGAATGTAATAGCTAATACTCTGTTTCCCGATAGATAACAGTTAAACATTAGCATGGGAGTTAATTAATTAAATCAAGCTGACAGGCTATGCAATTTACTTAATGTCAACCTTGTCTACTACAACAATAGCAGCAATGGCTTTGTATTCAGAAACAAAACCACACAAAAGAAATCCCTGCATCCTAAAAGCCTCTCGCTCATTCCACGAATACCAAACCCTAAAATGTGGAATCCACTCTCTACTGGATACACGCACCTTTTGGGTCTGCATTCTTGATTATCCATGGATGATCCATAAGCTTCTTAAGAGAGAGACGCTTAGCAGAATCCTTCACAAGGAGCTGCAAAGACATTTACAGGACTCCATTACCACAAGGCTACCCGATATGCAGGGCAATACTTTCACCAATACATGCTGATGCTCAAAATGAGAAGAGTTCAGATGCACAAAAACTTACTCTGCTAATTAAGTCTTTGGCTTCTTTCGACACCGGAGGATTAAACGGGAAGTTAAGATCAACCTTCATGATCCTGAAATTGCAGGATTCGCTTGGCAGTAAACGACTGTGCCAATGCATTCAAATCAACAAAAAGGGTTGGATCCACGTTTTTACCTTTTGAAGGTATCATTCTGCCTCGCAGCTTCGAAGGGAGGTGCACCATAGAGGAACTCATAGCAAAGTACACCCAATGTCCAGTTGTCTACTGTATAATCATGAGCCTTGTTTTCCACCAGCTCCGGAGCTAGATAATCCAAAGTTCCACACATGGTATGCCTCTTGCTTCTCGATTGTACCGACCACCCAAAATCTCCAATCTTCAAACGACCCTGTAACAATGGTGGGAAAATATATTAAATTGAAGACTAACGATAAACTGTTCGCCATAGGAGAACTACGGTGCCCTTAGGGGCCATAAGGCACCACAAAGAAACTGCAGAGTTTTATACTCTACAAAAGAAATCAACTTTAGAAACGGAAACAAACTTAACAACAAAGCTCAAAAATTCCTTTGGAAATATAGATTACAAGCTGCAGCTCACTTCGGAAAGACCAAATGCCTAGTTTCTTCTGGTATATGCAAAAATCAAGGCATTCAAACTCTGCCTCAACTTTTAGCAGTCGCAACAACGAAAACCCAATTGGAAATAGCTCAATAAATGGCTCAACTTTTAGCAGAAAGAGCTCCATTTCTGCAACTTAAGCTCAATTTGGGGGAAAAAACCCAGATGCTCATTTCTTCTGGTAAGCGAAATCCAGGCATACACTCAAAATTGTGTACCTCATGATCCAGCAAGAGATTCTCCGGCTTAATGTCTCTGTGAATCACATCCTTCGAATGGCAATAAGCCAAGGCGTTCGCAAGACTGGCAATATACTGAAATACAATAACAATGGCCGAGACACAAAGGTTAGAAACCCTAACGAGCTCCGATAACCAAAATGCAAAAGCAGATAAAAATAAAAATTGGAATTGGAATGTGTTGGATCATCACCGTGGCAGATTCTCTCTCCGTCAAGTGGCCGCGCTCCCTCAGCACACCATAGAGCTCACCGCCATGAGCGTACTCGAGTATAAGGTAAATTCTGTCGTCGTCGTCGAACCAGCCATAGAGGCGCAGCACGTTGGGATGGTTGAGGGTGGACTGGATCTCCATCTCTCTCCGCAACTGGTGATGGATACGGTACTTCTCAATTTGTTCCTTGAAGAGCACCTTCAACGCCACAATGTACTTGCTCTAGAAATTCAACCAGGTGGTGAAAAATCTCCACTGTAAGTGATTACTCTCTGTGTTCCTGAGGGATGATCCGTGGAAACAAGGCGCGAGAATGCCTAATCGAAAGAGGAAAGGGTACCTTGACTTCTCGAGCGACATAGACTCTGCCGAATTTCCCTCTTCCCAGTGGTCTCCCGATTTCGAAGTTGTTCAACGACCACTGCCCGTATGCGGCGGCATTTTTCTCCGATTGATTGCGAGCTTCCTCCTCGGTTGCCGACGAAGACGCCTCCGGTTGATTGTGAGCTTGGTCGGTCATCTCTGGCTCCCGTCGCTCGCCGGTACCAAAATGCCCGTTGGGGGAGAGAAAATGGGTTGAGACTTTAGAGAGATGGAAACCAAGGAGCCGTTTTTGAAATCACACCCGCCCCGCTCTTTCCGTCTGCACTTTGTATTTTCCTTTTTTTCATTTTTAAATAGGGGGAATATTATTTTTTAGTCAAAAATATTAATCAAACCTTTGACAATATGAAATATTAGCCAAATCTGATTTGGTATTGATTGGATGGATCAATCTAAAAATGAGTCAATTTGATCAATTGTCTCGTTTTATAAACGAGGCAATTAAAATGAGTCAATTCGAATTACCTGCCTCCACCCCAGGTAATTGAAATTGACTCAAAACGGATCAATTCAAAATACCTCAGGCAGATTGATCCATCCAATTTTTTTGCTGGCAAACGAGGCAATTTGGTACAATTATCTCAAAACGAGACAATTGTGTCAAATTGATCCGTTACAATTCCTCATCCAAACGTATGATCTGTATACAAAATTATAGCCATTTTGCATTTAAGTTAGTCTTAACAGAATTACACGCAAATTAATCATTATTTCATGCGTTTGACACGTCAGTACCATATCAATTATTAAAATAAATTGATTTTATACTTAAAAGGAGGGTTATAGTTATCGTCTCCATCGCCAATTTCGCTCTTCCTTTGTCGTTGTTCCTTCGTTCTTCCTCAGATCCTCACCGACGTGGAGACTGGTTTCCCGTCGTTAGCGGCTGCTCCTCTCTTTACTCAACAGTAACGACATCCGCGAGTAGTCTCAGTCGAGAAGCATGGGTGTGCGGCAAGCAGATCCAAAACACCTTTCTTGACTGTGTGACAACAACATTGGAAGAGGAAATAGAAATCGCCTACTAAATCAGAGTTTATCATGGAAGATGAAATTATGTTAAGTGGACTATAGTGAACAACATACATGTTTTATGAGACTTTTTGTAATATTATTTATGATTAATCAACAAAAAATAATATATCAACCATATAAACTCACTAGCGCCCTAATCGCCAATCACTCTCTTTCTTGAGTTTTTCTCTAGAATTGAGTTTGGTCATTTAATTGTTCAAAAAATGAGTTCCTTGTGTAATAATAAACATCTAAAAAAGATTCATGACCAAAATGGCATTTACACTCATCCAATTCCAAATCACCTCTCTTATCTCTGGAATCAGCGAGTCTCTTCCTCTTCTCATCGTCTGGCCGTCGCAAGTAAAAAAATGTCGGCCTCCGTACATCTCACTACACATAACCTCGCCGCCTTGAAATCCACCGCGGGGACGACCCGACGGAACTCCCAGCGAGTCCCAATCGGCTCAGCCCGGTGCTCTGTCTCAACAGCTGAGACTGAGGATTCATCCAGAAGAACGGCCGAGGCGGAGGCCCGACGAGTGACGCTGAAGAACGGCGGCGATTCGCTGGATATAAGCCGAGTCCTTAACGGCATGTGGCAGACGAGCGGAGGCTGGGGAGCAATCGACCGGAACGGCGCCGTTGAAGCCATGCTCCGGTACGCCGACGCCGGGCTTTCCACTTTCGACATGGCCGACCACTGTAAGCTCCGTTCCTCTTCGACCTACGTGTCATCAGCTAATTGGACTGAGGTCTATCTTTTTTTCTTACAAAGACATCCCTGTAGATTTACTATTTCCTCACGTGACCCCCTATAAAATGCGTAGTTGATCAATTAAGGACATTTTTCCATATTTGGCATCGTGGCATTTTTATTAACACAAGAATTTCAACCGATGGTGGAAGCTGAGAGCAGTGCAGATAAGATGCAACCCGTTTTCTTCTGGAGAGAAATCTCGCTCTTTTGGATAGTGGAGAGAGTTAGTTTAAGCTGGAAATATGGCAGGGTTATTGCTACAGCATCCACTGGGACATTTAGCTCTTAGTCCTGCACAAGCTGTTAGGAATGGAGTAGTAGCTAAAACTAGAAGCTGCAGTTGGAGGCAAATAACACAATGTGTGTCAAGTAAACAAGAGGGGAGAACTGTGGTGAAGAATGGAAAGGATTCGTTAGATATTTGCCGGATAGTGAATGGGATGTGGCAGACTAGTGGCGGGTGGGGCAAGATCGAACGTGACAATGCAGTTGATGCCATGATCAAACATGTTGATTCTGGGCTCAATACGTTTGACATGGCCGATATATGTACACTTCCCTCGAGTTTTAGGCTTTCTGTGTTAAGTTAAACCATCTGGTGTAGATTGATGAGCTAATTTCAACTGTCAATTGCAGATGGTCCTGCTGAGGATCTGTATGGTATGTTTATCAACAGAGTTCGCAGAGAGCGTCCGCCAGAGTTGTTGGAGCAAATTCGAGGGTAAGTTGCAAGCTTAGCATCTGTTGATAATACTTAATGCATTCCACATTAACTTTTGGCCTGAAATTAATTTTTGTTGGAGTTAAAGAGGATGGGACCTCATGTCAAGGCTTTGTTTTGTATCGTAATTCTTTTATTCTGCTTTCTGCAGGCTTACTAAGTGGGTGCCTCCACCTGTTAAGATGACCAGCAATTACGTGAGGGAGAACATCAACCTTTCCCGCAAACGAATGGATGTGTCGTCCTTGGACATGCTTCAGTTCCATTGGTAAATATTTCCCTTTCTTTTGTTCTCTAGAGTTGAAGTTCTAGTGCTCCGCCTTTACATTTGTGTTGAATCTAGTGGTTACTTCTAGGAGATTGCTTGCCCTAAACTCTGTGAATGTCGAATCGTATACAGGTGGGATTACTCCAATTCAGGTTACCTTGACGCCCTTAAACACCTAACAGACCTGAAAGAGGAAGGTTGGTCATCTTTTTCTCTTCCAGTTATTTCTGCCTACCAGGAGAATCTCTATTAACTTTATTTGATGGAAATTCATTTATCAAGTTGTGTGCAGGTAAAATCAAGACTGTGGCATTGACAAATTTCGATACAGAGCGGCTGCAAATCATTTTGGAGAACGGAATCCCAATAGTCAGCAACCAGGTGCTTTAGGAAAACTAACAAAATTTCGATACTGAGCGGCTGCAAATCATTCTTGAGGTGCGCTTTTTTATTGATTGAACACTGAGGATTGCTTTCTGGATCCCCTTAGGTACAACATTCGATTGTTGACATGCGACCTCAGCAGAAAATGGCAGAGCTATGTGAAGCCACTGGAGTTAAACTTATAACGTGTGATCCTTTCTCCTTTTGCTTGCTTCTTAATGTCCATCAATATCTGAAAATTATTATTACTATTAATATGGTCATCCATTTGTGGATCCAGGTATGGAACTGTAATGGGAGGGCTGTTATCTGAGAAGTTCTTAGATACCAACTTATCCATACCTTTTGCCGGTCCTCCTCTGAACACTCCTTCGCTTCAGAAGTACAAAAGGGTAAAAACCTGATCACACCTTTAAATCCTTTTAGTAAGCCTCTGCTGTCAAAATCTACACAAGCTTCAACACTATAATCTTGTTGTCCAGATGGTAGATGCATGGGGAGGATGGGGTCAATTCCAAGTTCTGCTGAAGACCCTTAAGAAAGTAGCCTCCAAACATGGCGTCTCCATTCCCACCGTTGCCGTGAAGTACATACTAGATCAGGTAAACTAAACTATGCCCCAATACGATAATCCATCACATTGTTCTCTTCTACCCTTTTTTTTGTTGATTTCCCCCCTGATACAACGGATATTGGGACCAAAACATTGCAGCCAGCAGTGGCTGGGTCGATGGTAGGCGTTCGACTTGGTTTATCAGAACATGTCAACGACTCGAATGCCGTGTTTGCTTTAGAACTGGATGAAGAAGACGTGAACAGCATACTGGAAGTGAGCAAGAAAGGGAGGGATCTAATGGAAGTGATCGGTGATTGTGGCGATGAATACAGGCGTTAAATGAGAAATTGGATACTTTGGAGCTGTTTGTGTGCATTTATTTGTAATCGAACTTTAACGAAATTACGTGAGGTGCATTTGTAAAACGTATGTATATGTAAAACCATGCTGCTATAGGTAGAAATACTTGAAACTTGAAAGAAGTGAAATGGCTATAGTTCACTGTTTCTGGGGTTCACAGCTTCGTCGAGCACTGATTCATGCCTGCCTTTGCAAATTGCAACTTTCCTTCAGCCTTTATTTTGCAGTCCGCCAACTGCCATGAACAGTATGATAGTGGAGTTCGAAAAGATCAAGAGAGTTCTAGTTCCAGTAATCCTCAACCTTTCTTCTTTAGTAATAGGAGCACGCTTGTTACGGAATCACAATATAAGGGCACCAAGTGCTATTAACCATTTGTGCTTTAACCAACAAACATGTGTGAGAGTGCCCTAGGAGGAACCATGAATGGAGAACTTGGATTCACAGAACTGCAAGTTATACATCCAAATCTCCTTCAGATATCCGACTCCGCGTAATTCCTCAATAATGTGAATACCTCAAGAACTTCCCTTCATTTCTGCTTTTCCTTTAAATCATATCCGACTCTGCAGTCTTATAAATCATCTGAATAATATTCTATATACTACGGCGTGTAATAGTTGGAACCTCATGAATGGACAGGATGAACTTTCCACCATTTTCTTTAGAGTTTATTTAGCCCCCAGAAACATAAACAGATGATGATGATGACGACGAAGATGGAGATGATGGTAATGAGTCCACTTCTGATAATTGCGTTTCCAAAGTGGGCATTATTGGGGGCACAATTCTTCTTGTCACTGTCATCTTCAAACCTTGTGTCGTGTGGATCGTAGCCCCTGTCGTCATCTCCACCTGCGTTGTAATCAAACATCACGAGTCAGCCATACAGATTTCTCGTGATTGCTTTCTTGGAAATAGATTTCATCTGTTCATAAGTTGAACGAGCTTCAAAAGCTGCCATCGTTTCATGGAAGTGAAACATATTGAAAAAAGTAAAAGGTACTCACTGGAGGTGCTCCGAGTGCCATTTGGAAGTTAAATCTTCTAACCAGCATAGCAACAGCAACTACTGTCTGTAACAATGACCACCATATTGCACGTTTCAGTATCTAAAACAGCGAGTAAAAAAGGGGACAGAGAGCTGAAAAGATTTATACCTCAAAAGTAGCAAACATGTCTCCTACACATTTCCTTGGCCCTCCACCAAATGGCAAGTAACTGCAATACAGTTTTTGTGTGGATAGACGTCATTTACTAGTCAAATTATGTAAAGCATTCATGAGACCCCAAGCTGAACATAATGAATACCTGAAATTCTGGTTCGTTTCATTTGGATTTGGTCCATCCAGAGGCCATCTTTCGGGATTGAACTTATCTGCATCCTCCCAATGATGAGGACTCCGATGGAGATTCCATACTGAGATGAATATATCTTCACCACTGTCCAAGAAACAGTAACCATCACATGTCAAAAAAGGTCAAAAAGGTTTAAGCAGTCAACTTTGCTAATGGAAATGCAACAGCAACAAAATGCACATCAACTAGGTAAAAGGATCAGCATGAACACAGAGCAAGCAGGGAGTAAAACCTTTTTATAGGGTACTTTCCGAGTGTATCGTTCCCAAGAGATCGACGAATCAAGACTGGGGGTTGTGGATAGAGCCGAAGAGACTAAAGAACGCGCCATGGAAAAACAAGTTCTTTTGTGAAGTAGATAGATATACTGGATGAGTTTACTTTCAACTGTGATTTTCAACATTCATACCTCATTGATTACTCGAGTTGTGTACTTGAGTTTCTTCATATCTTCTATGGTAGGGTACCGATCACCTAGAACAGCATCAACCTGATAAAGAAAGTGAACAGAAAAGGAACGGTTATATTCTGGTAATCTGTATGCACATGAAATTAGAACAAACTTTATTATCCAAGTCTAAGCTTACCTCATTCTGCAATTTTGATAAAGCACTTGGCTCCTACAGTCATTGGAAGACAGAATATAAGTCAGGAGAGTACTAACCATTGTGTAGAACAGGAAGTAGTTAGAGTTAATACGTACCTTGGATAAGAGATAAAATGTCCAAGTCAAAACTGCAGCAGACGTTTCATGTCCGGCTATAAGCATCGTCATCAGGTCGTCCCGGAGTTGCTTGCTAGTAACCTGCCAAAAAAATGGTAACCTTCATATTTGTCTGATCCAGCACCAAATTCATTAGCTGCTGCCAGAAAGCACATACATCATCCCCTGAAGCCAACAAGAAATGAAGAATGCTGGGGTCTCGTTCATTCATGTATTCTTCGTGAAACTGTAGCTCTTCTTCATCCACCATCCTCTGCAGAAAAGCATCAATAAAAGGCTTAGATCAATACTCTCATTGAAATTATAAATAAATTCAGGACGCTTTCATGGAGTCGTATCATAAAGAGTGATCTTAGTAACAAATACCAGTAAATAATGGTAATTAAGTAGCAGCATACAGATTACAGGTGATCAAACCCAAAAGAAACAGTGATTACAGAATTGGGCAAAAATATGAGCAAATAAACTTATTTGTATTAATATGTTACTGCATACGACATGTACATTCTTTATTCTACTTTTACTGTGACCCAGGTTGTTACCTTGCATATGGCAATCAGTTCATTAAGTGTCCCATTGATCAATTTGAGGGCTGCATTAACTTTCTTTTGCCGAGGTGAGATGTCCTTCCAAATAGGGATCTCCCACACAGGAATCGGCGAAACACTTCGATCCTCTGCCTCTCTTAAAACTGTGTAAACAGCCTGATGGAACAGCCAAAAGATACACAAATAAGCATGTGAAGCATTCAAAATATATGCCTTCTGATTGAAGAACACTACAAAACAAGAACCACAAAATTTGAGGAAAGAACATCATTTGCAGAGAAGCCAAAGGCATTACCTCTACTATACCAGTGTCATTAGTCAATGAATCAAAATCATAATTAAAAACAGCTTTCCCAATGATATCTAATGTCAAACGCGAGAAAAGTGACTCCATCTCCACATCTTCCCCATCTGATGCCGCTGTGTCTAGCTTCTTGCAAAGCCTGTCTGTTGCTTGTCCAAATAAGCCAATCATAGCTGCTACATACTATAGAAAAGAAGAAAACCATAAAATTACATTACATGTAAATATAGTCAAATTGCGAAAGTTCAACTAGCTTTCTAAAGTCAACTGAAATAAGAAGAAAAGGAAGATACCTTCTGATGCAATGCAGGGACAATAGTTCGTCTTCTAACACGCCATATCTCCCCATCAGCCGGAATCAATCCTTTACCCATGACAAAGTCCAAAATTTCTGCCAAAATACCCTGGCATATTGATGCGAAAGACCAGCTCAACAGGCAAATTGCTAGCATAAATAAATGAAAGGAAGGAGAGGCATTGCAACTAGTTACCTTAGAATACGACTTTGAGTTATCCTTTAGGATGTGCTTTGCTATGGAAGGATCAGAAACAATAAGGAATGACTGCAAAAGTGAGGAAAAGTTTTGAGATTCAATAAGCACAAGATAGAACCTCAAAAAAGCACAAGATAGGCGAAACTGAAAGAGGGGGGAAATGAAGAGACAAACAAACCTTTGGACCAAAAGTCAACCTAAAAATTCCGCCATATGTGAGGAACAGCTCATACAAGGGTATGAAGAAGGCCTCACTCCTGATGGCACTAATGGCGCCTTTAGCTTCTGGGATCTTTGGATAATCCTGTTTGGCATCAGCCCATTTGAACATCACCTCCAAAACCCCATCTGGAACTCCCAATTTCGACAATCCATTCTTTACTATGGATGGAAAACTTAGGACCAAATTGAAAACGAAAAAAATAAAGTATCAAAATCATCCACACAGGTATACACCATAAGTATCAAACAATCCCATCTGAAATTCCCAACAAAATTTTCAGGTGGGAGTAGAATCGTACCCAGATTCCTCGACAGTGAATGCTCCAGAGGCAATTCGAGCCGACAATTCGGCGCGCCGTTTCTCTTCAAGAATCTTCTTCTCACTCTTCGACCCACCGTCTGCCGACTCCGGTTTCCTACCATTCGAAGCAGCACAGGAGATAACGCTGAAAGACCTCGACTTCCCTGCAACCCAGAAAAAAAAAACACACGAATCAGCGGAAATTCCCCCCACATATGGACATTGGGAAAGACGGCAACTTTTCAAACAGTAAGCACCAGTGTGAACAGTGGGAAATGCGGGTTTGTAGGCGTTGAAGTGGACGCTGGGCTTGGAGGAAGAGTGAGAGGCCCCAACGGCAACGGATGAAGAAGGGAATTGAAAGGAGTGAAAATTGGCAGCAGCTACAGCTGCCATGGCCGTACGGTGGACCTTGAGAGTGACAGAGGATTCCGCAGGGGCGGAAGCGAGGTGTCTGCTTTCTGTACAGACACAAAAAAAATCTTGTTGACGATAAAACGGGAAGGAGTGAGGGAGTTTTGTAAAGGAAGGAAAGAAACGAGGGAGACGAAAGGTCTCTGCCACTTCTTCGCTACGAGCTAAGAGCGCGCTACGGTACACGAAAACAAAATGGGAATCTTTGCATTTTTTCCACCTACAGGCTACAACCAATTTCTCCGCCTGCTTCCGATTCTCTGAGTCTTGTCCTCGTCTACCCACTTTTTTTAATTACACCACAAAAATGGATTGAGGCCGGCCACAACTGGACAAACCGTTCGGCAATCGGCATTTCCAAACCGCATGTATTAAAAAAGTTATCGCTTGATTCTTCCTTCCACCCCTGCGATCCTTTCAAACTAGTTTATACCGTTGTCCCGATTTAACAAGTGGAAAAGTTCAATCACTTGCATAATCGATTTTGTGCCGACACATGCTGGTTTAATAATATATGTAGAAATGTAAAAACCTATTAACATAAATGAATTTAATCATATATAAAACATATTTGAAAACAATTTACTTACGATCCATATTTATATAGCCTTCTCTCTTCTCTTATCTCTCTCGGTAGAAGTAACCCTAACCGAATTGGGGGTAATGGCCGCTCCGACCAATCCATCGCAGGCGAATTGGACTCAACTTTTTGGAGTTGGCGTGGGCAATCGCCTGAGGAATGTTCCTCCAACTGTTGTTGATGCTGATCTGGTTATTCCTCAAGCCGTTGATCGCCTTTTTCTAAGTGCGACTACTTAAGGCAAGTGTACCTTTCATAGAGGCAATACAGTGACAAGCAAAGCAATGTCGTATTCCACAGAGACTATGAATTACTACTACTGAGTTGTGTTTCTTATTATTTAACCGATCTCTCTTCAGTTATTTCAATTAACTAGACAATGAAATTCAACAAAGAAAAAATGTGACTACGATGTAAACTTATATAGAGAATGTGTTATTGAGACTTCGAATCTCCCTATCTAATCATAAATTTTCAATTGAACATGCATAGACTCGATGTTATACTCTTTGACCGTAGGATTCTAGAATTGGTATAAAATCGATCTTTGATAACTCAATATTTGCACACGTTTCTACCCACCATTCTTATATTGTTTGAAGCTCGTTTCTCCCGTTTTAAGCCGATTTCACGCTAGGTTGTTCATGTTGGTGATGTTTCAGGTCCTAGTACTTGAATGGAGGTTTGGACACGAATTCGGGGTCGATTGGACGAAGTTAGGATGATCGAGGAGAAGCTGAAGGATTTACACGGCCGTGCAGTGTGGCCGTGTGATTGGGTTTACACGACCAGGTGTTGTACGGGCCATGCAAGGACGCCTCTGGTCGTGGGTGATTTCCAGAGATCCGCACGGGCAAGTGGTCGTTTTACACGGCCGTGCGCTAGCCATGTAGAGTCTGCGGAGAACTAATTGGAACGCGACGTTTTGGTTTACACGGGCAGACCAGGGTTTTACATGGCCGTGTGTTCTGGTCATGTAATCGAGCAGTGCTGGGTTTTAAACCCAATTTCGGGTTTGGAGAGGAGAACCGAGTTTGAGAGCTGAAAACAGAGACCTAGAGAGAGAAAGTGACGACCAACCATCTCAAGGTGACCTAAATCGAGGTTCAACATCATTGGAGCTCGATTGAAGCCTGGATAAGCATCGATTGATAACCAGAAGTTGATTTCCATCCTCCACAAGATGATTTCTGCATCTGAATCTAATTTCTCTTCTCTCTCTATGGAGTAAACTCTCTCTCTCACCTGGGTATGAAGAACCCTGGATTTGTATGTTAGGTTTGGTTGTATGAACCCCAGTACATGATCTTTTGAAATTGGCTATATTCAATTGATGCATGATTTTCTGAATTGCTTAATCCTGATCAAATTCTGGTAGTTCCTGCTTTAACCTAGAAAGAGAATATCTGCCTAGGTTGATAGAGCACCCTTAATTGGAGGTGGTGAATTGACTACTTTATTCGAGGAGTCAATTCACTGCTTTGTACGGGATTTACTCCAGTAGAGGAGGTTTTGCACGTTAGGGCGTTAGTTGGTTTACTCCGGTGGAGGTTAGTCGCCCGCCAGGTATTCAGATTGAGAGGGTCTGGAGACCTTTAGTCGAGACTTCAGACTGAATAAGAACCTTCCTTAGTATAACTGTCATTGAATTTGGACTTGGAGAATTATAACCAAACTTAACTGCAATCTAGGGGGGGACCATATCTGGGTGACTTCTCTCAAACTTGAACCACAACCTTTACTGTTTTGTGTTTGTTTAGCTTAGTTAATACTTCACTACAGTTAAACCACTAAATAATAAGAACTTCACGGAGTAGTCATCACATCTAGGACCCGGGTTAACAATTAAAGTTAAACCCGCTATACTACGCATTAGTAGGTGGTTACACTTATCCACTTTCTAGTGTGACAGTACAGGCGAGTCAATCTTCTCATGTATTGACACCCTATTAGTCGATTTAACCTAGATATGATATTCTCTTTGGCTTAGATTGGATCTTCTAAAGATTATCGCTCTATAAATCCCCCTATTAGGTCTGACCCTAATCTAGAAGTCCCTCTCCCTCCATCTTCTAGTAGTTTGAAGTCCTTTTTATCTATGAGTATTCTATCGCAACTATGGGGATCTTCTCCTCAACATACATATGAAACATGCAAGCTTACAATAGGTGCACTTCTATTGCATACCCGAATATCATTAATAGACAAATCAAAGATCATAAACATGAATATCCATGCAATATCAATCAAATCAGTATCATATACTAGGGTTCATCTCATTCAAACAACAAGAAAAGATTAGTTCATGACTAATGGGAAAATGAACAAAGGAAGAGAAGAAGAACTGATTTCCATCGTAGAAGACTTGATCGGATGCAAGGTGCCTCCTTTGGGTAAAATGGATGGAAAACCCTATTCTTTTGCTCCCCCCCCCCCCCCCTCATTTATGATCATATTAGGGTTTATGTTGCCAAACTCCCTTCTCAATTAGGCTTAATGATGCTTAAATAGTTAACGCATAATGACTTTCACGGGTACAGTCACTGCCATCAGGCCACCCGTGACTCACATCCTTGCATAATATACTAAATGGTTTGATGTCACTTTGGTGGACCTTCAGTTACAAATCACGACCCGTGGGGTGTTCATGGCTCGAGTCACAACCATGGCACTAGCTGTGAATCACTCGGGATTGAGTTCTTCTTTGGCAATTGAGGATATTTAGGCTAATTTTCACGGTCTGACCCATGGCTGTGAGGCTTGCCGTGAGGCTTGCTGTGGGAAACTCAAGAAAAACCCTCTAAGAGCATTCCAAATGCTTTAAGGCTCCAATATTTGTGTCTTTGTGTGTTTCTCGTCCAAATATCATTGAAATCACTCGTCATGACCTAAAACACACTATTACCATAAAACAAATGCAAAACTGGCAAAAGCATAGAATCGTTTCGAAATGACCAATCAAAAAGGCTTGAAAGGTATATAAAAACATGTATAATTTACACGTTATCAAATACCCTTGGTCGAATCATAGGTACAAGGTGAAACCACTTAAGCCTTTGCTTGCTCTAAAAAAAAGCACCAAAACACAAGTTTTGCCATTAGAAACGTTCAAGGCACATGCTTGGTCAGATCATAGGAACAAGGTGAAACGACGAATCATTTATTGTCATTACCTTGATATCTCATAAAGTAGAGTATGGATCATACCAATAATCATGCAGGCACACGGTATGAGGGTTAAGAATGGTGCTTCGTATGTGTTATCGAAATTCTTCCACACTTGAGCTTTGTGTTATCCCCATGCATACCAAAACTCTTAATCATACATCTCACTAGCCTCCCCCGATATCACGTGACTTTTGATCATAGGTAGTGTCATATCAAACTTATAAGGTTAACCCTCTCAGTTAGAGAACTATGACCTTTGCAATGACGCGTGAAGCGTATTCAAAAGGACAAATTAATTTTCCTCATGCGATTCTAAGTACTTTCCTCAATCCGAGTCTTACGATAAATTTGGGCCAAAGCACATGTAGCTTCCACTAACCTTTTATGTTCATCTCTGCCTTCACGAGAATCTTGATTTATGCATGCTTCGCATTTTATGCCTCAATTGGGGTTCTTTTGCTTTAGCAGCCAGATTGAGTAAGAGCATTTTCGACACTTTAGCACTCGCATAAGGGTATACGTTTAATTTCTTTTCCTCGATCGTGCATAGGGTAAATGAAATCAAGGGTTGTCGGAAGATTTACCTATGCACGTAAAAACACATCCTCAAGTTGGCGGTCCTCTATAAGGGTGGAACTTTTACTCGTGCTATAGAGAAACTAGAATCGTCTCATAGGCTTACCCCATCAAGATTCAACTAGTATCTCTTCCAAAACTCAATTTTGTGCAATGAGAGGTCGCCTCACACTTGGCTTTTACCGTTTTATTTATTATATCGGCAATATCTTGTAAGTAGACTCGTCGTGGTAGGAATTCTGTTCGTAATGGAGATGGAAGAGTTATACGCTCAATAATCTGTATAGGCGATTGAGAATCCAACTCGCATTACTCAATCATCAAGTGATTAGACTATAAGGTTCGAAATTCAACATTCGCACATGCATAAAGAATAAGCAATCGATACTCATCCCCCAACACTTAAACTGGACATTGTCCTCAATGGACACAATAAATAAGTTGGAGGGAGAGACAAATGAATAACACCTAAAATGGTGTTATTTAGAGCCCATATTTAGGTTTGTTTCGAGTAATTTCTAGTTCTTCATGGTTGACACATCGTCAATTATACTGTATATTCGTTCCTCAGAGAAATCATTAGCGTTTTAGGGTGAATTAGATGATATGAATGTTTTAGGTATCAAAAGAGGGCACAAGTGTAGATAAAGGTGCAAAAATTGAAGATCACGACAAAGGCATAGAAGATCACAGCCGGGAATAGAGGACACGAAGCTGGATAGCTAGATCGCAGCCTCTGCAACGAAGATCACGACTGCAAAGAAGGAGGCTTTAGGTGCGAACTTTTGGAGCAACCAACAAGGAAAAAACAAAAGGTTTTGATAGTCGACTCATGACTTTCTGCACCATAGTACGTGAGAAAGATCGCTGCCACGACTCACAGATCGCGACCAAGAAGTGGGGCATGATCTCCTCAGCTAGTGAAGCGCAAAACGACAAGGCCCGAGATCACGACCTTCACTTCCCAAATCTCGCCCATGAACTTTGCCAGTTCGTCCGTGAACTTGGCCGAGAACTTGGAGAGATGAAATCAATTGTAAAATTTCTAGTTTGAGAGAAGAAGTAGAGAGAGAAGCTGAAAGAAGAAGAAGAAGAGAAGAATAAGGAGGAGTCAAGAAGGAAGGGAGCTCTCCCCAATTCAAGTCTTAGGGTTTAGGGTTTATGTTGCCTAACTCCCTTCTCAATTAGGCTTAATGATGCTTAAATAGTCAAGGTAGAATGTCGTTCGTGGATATAATCACGATTAGGAATGGCAATGGGGCAGGTCTTGGGTGGGTATCTCGATACCCATACCACCCCATGGCAGGTCGGGTCTAGGTCGGGTAATTTATCAAAGGGCGCAGGTCGGGAAAGGTCGACCCAATGGGTATGTAATTTATGCAAAAAACATTAGAAATATTCGTTATTTTCATTAAAGGACCAAGAAAGAAACCATAATATGATAAAATGTAGTTAAATTATTGAAGAAATAGAGATTTTCACTTATTTACAACTTTATTATAGCTAAAATATAATATAATAAGAGGAAAATCATAAGTAATTTGACTAAGATTATATGTAATTTAGGTAAGAACGGGTCGAGAATGGGTCGGGTCAGGGCAGGTCGGGTCGATGAGAGGTACCCATGCCCGCCCTACCCCACCTACGGGGCGGGTCTGACCCACCCCAAAACAGGCCAAACAGGTCGGGTAAATCGGGTCAGGTCGAAATCGCATCCCTAATCACGATCATGAGGCCACCCTTGACTCACATCCTTGCCCGATAGCCTAAATGGTCCAACGTCGCTTGGTGGAGCTTTAGTTACTATTCATGGCATGTGAGGTGTTCAAGGCTCGAGTCACGACCATGACACTGGCCGTGAATTGCTCGACATTGATCTTCTTCTTTGGCGAATGATGGGAATTTCAAGCTAATTTTCACGGTCCAACCCACGGATGTGAGGCTAGCCGTGGGAACCTCGGTAAAACCCTCCAAGAGCATTCCAAATGCTCTAAGGCTCAAAAACTTTCGTACTTTGTGTATTTCTCGTCCAAATATCATCGACATCACTTGTCATTACCTAAAATACAGTAAAACTACAAACCAAGCGTAAAACCGACAAAAACATAAAATGATTTCGAAATGACCAAGCAAGAAGGCTTGAAAGCTATATAAAAACATGTATACTTTACACAATAATTTCCCAAATGTTATCTCCCATATGGGTACTAGATTGGAGCCAAATGAATCCATATGCATTTTTAATGGTGTTGGGTTTAGATTGATTTTGGAATGAGCCCAATTCCTTTGTTTCAGAACAAAGGAAAACAAAAGTCGTATTAAAATAGAATATTCATTTTCTTGTAGGTATCCATTATAAGTGTGCCCAAAATGATATTACCAAATCTGATTTGACCATAATGTATTGAATTTGGACTTTTTCAATAAAATTGAACTACTCCATTGTTAATGTAGTCCAACTAACTTCAGTTGGGTTACAGCCTTGCTATGAAGAGGTCAAGGCTGTTGCTGGCAACAACAACATTTGCTGTTTTCAGCAATTCCTTGCGCTCGTAGCCTTCCCATTTCACGTACATAACTACACAGAACAAATTGTTTTGACAAGTTTCTTATTGCTATCCAAATGAAAAATGTGGATAGAACAGGAACACACTGAATACTGCCCATTAGCAATGACACAGTAAATTTGACAAACTGAAAGGCTCACAGACAAATCATTTAAGACACTAAAAAGTAAAAAGCGTATAGTTTAGTGACCAACATCAGGAGCAAAGGGTGGAACTGCATCTAAACAAACTGCCCTGCGCTTCCAGACCTCGTCAACCAGCAACAAGTGTAACTTCTCTGCTACTTTGAGTTTGAACAACCCACCTCAGGAAACCATAACTACTTTACCGTCCTAGTTAAGCTTCTCTAGTTCCATGTAGACTGACTGGAAAGGCTGAAATAATGAAACTATCAGCTTTCTTACCATCTCTTACACTGGGGAAGGACCAGAACCAAACTTCTTCCACAGCTCAACCCAATCCATCATAGCTTCGGCTGCACGACCAAACCCTGGATCAGAACCTCCCAACTGTTCTTTCACCCTTTTTGCCATCTCAGCCACACAATCCTCGACCTTGGTTGCAGTTCTTGACAACACCATTGATTGGAAGAAAGGAACAACTTCCTCCATTAGCTTCACACCTTCCCACTCCTTCTTCAGGCTCTCGATGGCACTACCTCTATCATTCCTCCACACATAAGGAAGCCCACTCTTCACTCCAAGACCAAGGTGGTCGCATGCCACCTTCACACACATTCCACTCCATATGTCCTCCATTGTTTCCCATCTCAGCTTCCCTTCCCCAGCCAACCTCAGTGCTGGGCATAGAGCAGGCCCTACAGCCTCACGGTCAAAAGCAATGTTGATCCCACTGATTGGCATCATTGCTCTGGCTGGAACGGTCATCACTGCATCAACATAACGGGAGTTCCTCTTTTCCGTCTTCAGGGCTTGTGTTGGTGCATCCAAGTCTGCCAAGTTAAGCCAGAGCCCACATGACAAAGCACATGTTACCCCACTTCTTAAGCTGAATGGATACCCACGAACGAAATCTGCCCCATTACGATATGGGTCATAAAGGGTATTGAAGAAGAAAGGTGTTGCTGGAGTTGCAAGGTTTCTCACATGCTGAGCCACTGGATCTACGAGAAAACCGTCGGAGTCTTTGGCCGGCGTGCAGTCATCATCAATCGAGACAATGTATTTCTTACGAGAGACAAGGAAGCCGAAATACTTGCATGAATAACCCGAGAAAGCAATGGAGGTGGAACTGCCCACTACTTTGTCTATGTGAGATTTTGTGTAGATGTCAACCTTGAACGGAAGACCTTCTGGTATTTGTAAATCATCCTTGAGATCAGGGTCTTTGACAATAATCAAGTGATAACGAGAAAATATCGACTTCCATGCACTCATAAATGGCCTGAGGTCGGAGTGCAGTGCTCCAATCACAATGTCAATCTCACTATCTTCAATGTTGTTGACTGCAGACATCTTGGGAGACTCTAGGAACAATTAAATCTTTTCCTTCCCCTTTAACCCCCTCCTAGAAATAACTTAATCAATATGCAACCTAGCACATTCGTCTCAGAATTTCTCTGAGCATCCTATCAGGAAAACAAATATATCAGAAAACTTGTTCAAGGTTCATCAAGTTACACCTCTCAGGAAACAGAGAGAAAAAAAAAATTACTCACTGGTGGGAAGGACGGGATTCAGGATGTGTTTTATATTAAGAGTCTGAATAAGAGATAGGACTTCTTCTTTGCCTGTTGCCAAGAAAAGCTTCAGAATTTTCTCATTCAGCTTCCCAGCTCTCAAGGTTTTCTTCTTAAAACAAAACAAAAACCGGTGTCACCAAAAATGACATTAAGAATCAATCTAAGCTTTTCTAACTAAAACCATCACAATTCTTGGAATCAAGAAGACAAGAACTAAGCATCAGAAGCATTGAGGTTGATTTTCAGGTAATGTTTTAAGTACTACGAGCCGGCCATGTATCCTAACTCCAGGGCAGCTGCTACAGATCTGCTTGATTCAACTAAACTAGTCTAAATCCGAAGCAATAGATCGTCTTAAGAAAGAGCTATGCACATACAATAAAGCCTAAAGCAAATCGAGAATCAGTAATGTCCAGCATTCACAATACATTTCAAGATATACAGCAATCCAATCAAGAGAGAGAAGATAAAAACACCCACTAATTTGTCACAGCATCGTACCCAGTTTTGATGGATCATCAATAAAAGCCTACATCATAAGATATTGCAATAATCGAAATGGGGAAAATGTCCAATCTCTAGGTTTTTACTGATCTAGATCCCATAGTTCTAAACTACAGACTACTACCTTCTACCGACTGGCAGTCTCGTCGACACTATCAATCTGCGGACTCCATACAAACCCTAAGGCAGAAATCTAAAGGAAGGAACAGATGAAAGCAATTGAGATTCAGACTTGGATCACCAAACAAGCTCCAGAAACGAAAACCAAATATGCCAAAATCAACATATCAAATAGGTAAGTGCAGGAAAAGTTGGAAGAAGGAGAAGAAGGGGGGAGTACCAGGAAGAGATCGAGCAGAATGTGATCAGGGAGAGGGGAGAGATCGGGGAAGTGAGAGAGGTGAAGGACAGAAGCGTCAATGGCGAGGGAGAGCAAAGATGGTGGCTGGGTTCTCATTCATTCATATTTGGTGGTGGAAGGGAAATAAATAAGGGGAGCGAGAAATTTGAGGAAATGGATCAGCAGCGGCCGCAAGCAATAAACATTAAACCGTTTTTTTCTCTGCTCTCTTCTCTCTCTCTTCCACCGACACCGAGAATTGGAATTGGTCCAACTGTGCCCGAAGGCTGGTCAGTAACTCCACAAAATTCGCAGCGCAAAGTTTGATAATCTTGGTTAAGAATTGGTATAAAGCATTGTAAAAAAAATTGTATTTGTGTTTTTTATTGTCAATTAGGAATGGCATTTTAGACCGTGCGGGCGGGTATCCTTCCGAAATCCGACTGGACGGAGCAGTTCCTACCCGGCGTTGACGGGGAATTGACGGATTCGGGGAAATCCGTTATCCGTGGGTAAAGGATGTCGGGCGGTGACGGAGTCCATGCTATCCGCCCCGAGCCCGCCCCGATCCATAAAACGACGTCGTATTATTCCCATATATATATACATATATATCCATCAGTCGAGTTGGAGGTAAACCCTAATCCCTAATTGGAAACTCGCCGCTCTCTCAGTTTCTCTTCTCTCAATCGCCGCTCAATCCATCGATTCGATACCCCGCGAAATTCTCTCCATCTAGGCTGTGAATCATTCATTATCCTCTTCATTCAACAATCAAAGCCTAATATCCTCATCGATTTAGGCAAAGAACAACATGCAAAAGGAGAAGATGATTGTTCCAATCTCCGATTCGAGGTTATTGGGAGGATTTGTCGTCGCTTATTGTTCTGATAATCCAGAATTCGAGATAAGTACCTTCCAATTCAATTCAATTCTTATTTCTTGTTTCAGTTTCTTGCTTTAGTTTTAGGTTCGTATAAATTAACTCGATTGGTTCTTTCTAGGGCCCTTCAGTTTCATCTTCATCTACACCTGCGACTACATGCTCTGATACTCGAGGTAATCACTAATCCGATTTCCTTAGTCAGCTAGTCTTTAGTAAATAGTAATTAGTAGTTTGTTATATTGATTTTGACTCATTGGATTGTAATGTTCGTACTTTTGTTTGAGTTTTTGCAGTTTCGTATCAGGCATCAGTTCACCATCTACAACTCTGGACAATAGACCCCCTCTCTCCAGATTCGAGGTTAGTTAAGGAATTAAGGACAATTTACTTAATTTGGTTTGCATGTATTAGGCATTAGGGACTCGAGTTTTTGTTGATTGCTTGGGTCTGCTCATGAATCATGTCTTGTTTAGTATAAGTGTCTCATCTGCATTTTGCAATTGAATCTAAAAGACTATAAATTTGAACCTAGAAATCTTATAGCTAAAGCCTAAAAAGTAACCAAGCAATCCTCTGATGTTTCTATACTCCTTTATCTCAATGTCAGATGGACGGTGCACCTGAAAATGTTGTCAATGCTCCTGTTCCTCCACAACCTGCACCTGTTGATCAAAACAACCAACCTGAACAAGTTGGTAATGGTAACTGTAACTTGGCTAATGAAAATGCTGAAGTGCTTGTTGAAGAATGCAAATCGACTTCTGATGTACGGCCTCATTACACTAGGGTTAAGCTTAATGGGGTTATTAAATCTAAGTGTAAGTACTATCTAAAAAACCTTGGTGGTGATACTCGTAATGGAACCTCGCACCTTAGGAATCATGTGAAAACCTGTATCCAAAAAAAGATACATGATGGTGCTCAAAAAATTCTCTGCCCTAATTACAAAGCAACTGGAAAACCCCAATTATCTGCTACACAGTTCAACTCTGATGTGTTTAGGAAGGAGCTGAGCTCAATGATTTTGGTCCATGAGTACCCTCTTAGCATTGTTGAACATTTGGGTTTCAAGCGTTTCTGTTGTTCTTTGCAACCACAGTTTACTGTGCCTTGTAGAAATACTGTGAAGAAGGATATCTTGTCTTTGTATGGGGTTGAAAGGAGTAATTACCAAAAGGTTATTGATGGTAATTTGGATAGAATTGTTGTGACCACTGATTTGTGGACTTCCCCAAACCAGAAGAGGGGTTATATGGCAGTCACAGCTCACTTTATTGATAATACTTGGAAGCTTAGAAACTCAATGCTAAAGTTTTTGTATGTCCCTGCCCCTAATACGAGTGAGAGGCTTGCAAGAAAACTGTTTCAGTGTCTTCTGAATTGGAACATTGATGGAAACTTGTCTGCATTCACCTTGGACAACTGCTTTACTAATGATTCCATGATTGCTCACCTTAAGAATAAACTTGTTTTGAATTATTTGTTGATGGATGGTAGACTGATTCATATGAGGTGTTCTGCTCATATACTGAACCTAATTGTGAAAGATGGTTTGGATGTGATAAAGGATGGAATCCATTTGATTAGGGAGAGTGTGGTGTATTGGACTTCCACACCTAAGAGGGTCCAGACTTTCAATGAAGCTGTTAAACAGCTTAAGTTGGATGTTCGGAAAAAAAACTTTTGCTTGATTGTCCAACAAGGTGGAATTCTACCTATGATATGCTCTCTATTGCTCTTCGGTATAGATATATCTTTTTCGTTTGAGACAGATGGATAGTCAATACACATCAGTTCCTACTAATGATCACTAGGATTTTGCTGCTATTGTGATTGATAAACTGCTCATTTTTAGTGAGATGACTGCATTATTTTCTAGTACCAAGTACCCCACTGCCAATCTGTTTTTCTCTAAGGTCCGTGATCTGTGATTGAAATTGAGTGAGTGGTGTGCTGATCTTGATCCTGTTATTTCTGCCATGGCTGGAAATATGTGGTTGAAATTCACAAAGTATTGGGATGATATACATCTTGTTCTGGCAGTTTCAGTGGTTCTGGATCCTAGGTACAAAATGCATGTCATTGAGAATTATGCTGCTAAGTTTGGCAGCTCTGATACTTACTTGGTGGCTAAGGATCTAAAACAACTGATTTGTGGTTTGATTAATGATTATCAAACCAAGGCTGAAAAGAAATCTGGTTCTTCTGCCAATGAACTGATTGGAAATGCCTCTGTTTCAGCCACTGATCTTGATTTCGAGTTGTTTGTAAGTCAGAGGAAAAAGAGCAAAACAACTCTGATTACTAATGAGTTGGACCATTATCTTGCTGATGAACTTATTCCTCGTGATCCATCTGCTGAATTTGATCTCTTGATGCGGTGGAAGTTGAATGGCCTTAAGTATCCTACTTTGCAAGCAATTGCAAGGGACTTTTTGGCTATACCAATAACATCAGTTGCTTCCGAGAGTGCTTTCAGCTCTGGTGGGAGGTTGTTAGACCCCCACAGGAGCATGCTCGACTATTCTACTGTGGAGGCTATGTTGTGCAGTCGTAGCTGGGTTAGGGAAGCCTAACTAAGAGGTAACCTGCAATATACTTCAAGTTTAGTATTAATAGTAGCTTTTGATTCATTTAAACAAGTGAGTTTGATTTATTTCTGCAGAATCAGAGGTTGTTGCTGCTGTGGAGGCAATGGATGGACTGTTTACTGGGCTATCAATTCACGATTCAAGTGTAGAAGATCAGGAAAATGGGGGTAAGTTAGTTGGTTTTTAGTTTCTAGTTGGTAAGTTATGATTTATGAACTGCATAAGTAAACAAAGTTTTTTTTATATTGATTGCAGTCCATGAACTTCTGAATCTGGATTCACCATTCTCCTTTGATGACTGATTATTGGAACCTTAGAAGAGAATGTATATAATACATTCAAACTGACTTGTCTCCTTTATTGTAAGCTTGTATATGTTCCTTCATATTTTTGTTTTCTTACAGGGAATGAATGTCAATTGTCATGTGCTGCTTGACTACTTCTGTTCTTCAAATCTGGTTGCTACCTTGCTGGTGCTGGATAGTGGATGTTCGGATCAATGGATCATTAGTTATGGTTCAGTAGTTCTGTTCCAAATTTGAACAATGGCGTGTGGCTTATTTCCTTTGAGAGTTTGATTTGTTTACTTGTTTTTTCTTTGCTACTTATGACTATGAGACAGTTGATGAACAATTGAGGAACTCTTGAAAATTCAGAGTTCTGGGTGGTGGGAGGGTTGTAGCCTTATAGGCGTTATGTTAAGTTGCTTTTGATGGTGCTCAACTTTGAATTTGAACTGAATTACATGTTTTTCCAGTTACTTTCTTGTTTGAATATGTTAATTATTTAGTGTTTCTACCGGGTGACGGGGACCCGTGGTTTCCCCGAATTCGTTGCTTCACGGTGACGGGATGGGGAAGGGGAAACCCGACACTGCTCACGGATGGGGAACGGATGGTATGAATCCGTCCCCGATCTGCCCCGTTGCCAACCCTATTGTCAACTCTAATTTTTTGCAATCCACATCACATTCATTTCATTCGCCTACATCAATGCAATTAACTTGCAATTGTAAATGTAATTAAATATTATGTTTAAATAATAGAAAATTAAGTAAAAGAGAAAAGAAATAAATAAAATAAAAAATCCCCATTTTTTTAGCCTTTTTTACTTGCATATGGAATTGCATTTGTTGCAAGCTTGCAAATATGCAATTGGTAGCCACATCAATGCAATTGATTTTGCAATTGCAAACACCTATGTCATGTCATTTTGCAACTGAGAATACAATACCAATGTAGATGCTCTAATACATCCTTTGTAAATAAGATAGATATTAGAGGGTATACAAATCAGAAAAAGAGTCGATTTACAATCAAGGTTGTTAAATTGGTTTATAATATTGGGTCGTTTGGCAAATGATAATGGTTTGATCGAGATACAACCAATATAATGTCGATTCGTCTCGATTTATCAAAATATATATAAATGTGAACAACTCATTGTTGCGAAAATAGAACCGAAGCATGAATCAGTGTAGTTAGCGATTCAAACTTTATTAGTCTAATTGGTATTACCGCTAAAAGACCGTTAACAAAGTGTAACTTTATTAACAAGCATATTATATTATGAGAAGTCACCTTGAATTGCATCCCAAGGCAAAAAACCGTGAAGGTCTCATCTCGGCCCAAAGCGGACAATATCTTGAGTTCGAGATGTTACTAGTGGTATCAGAGTCTCTCTGCGTCCCTCTTGAACGATCGTGAGGCAAACCTCAACGAGGACGTTGAGTCACAGGGGGTATGTAACCCCTTAAACGAATTCCACATCGACAAAGCACGGGAGAGATCCATGGTTTATAAGTAAGAAACCAAGCTTAACTGGCAAGAGGCATTTTTCGGGTGAAATGGAGGAGTTCTTGTGAGAATTTTGAAGTTAAACGTGCTCACTCTGGGGTACAAGGATGGGTGATCTTATGGGAAGTCACCTTGAATTGCACCCCAATGCAAAAATCGTGAGGGTCTCATCTCGACCCAAGCAGACAATATCTTGGTCGGGAAAAGGTTCGAGATGTTACTACAAATCCCCAAAATGCTCTCTTTCATTCAAATCATATAATTTCAATACCATAACTGGTGTCATGATCAACAAAGAAGATAGAAATTGGAGGGGGGTATTTCATGGATATATGAACTCCATCAAATGACAATAAGTTTTATGGTGAAGATTGATTGTGTACGTATCATAGAAAACAACTCTCGTGTTTTCATTTATGGACAGTTTATACAGACAATACTTTGTTTGTAAACGTATAGGTCACTATTAAATGTATTTTGTTGTTAGTCAATTTGTCTTTCTCCTATTGTCAATATGTTCTAACTTCTAAGCATACTTAGAGTAGTTTGAGTATTTTCCTAAATAGTTCATGCCCAAATACCAAACAAAAATACATCATCAGTGTGAATGACACATACAAGTTGTATAACCATCAAACTCTCCGACCAATAGTGGGAGACTATTAGTTATTTTTATTTGTTGTGTTATAAACGCGCTGCTACGGATCGGGAAATCGCCGAAATCGATAAAGCAAGAATACGAAAGCGAGAATGGAAAAAACACAGACACACGATTTACGTGGTTCACTAACACGATGTGTGTTAGCTAGTCCACGGACGAGAGAGAGCCAGTTTCACTATATTGAGGAGATTACAGATTACAGAGGAATATGAGAAGTATTTATAGTACTTCTCCATGTGGGTCTAAACCTAATCCAATCTGGCAAAGAAAACAGATACAAACCAGGCCTAGAACCCGAACCCGACCCCACTTGCTGACCGGGCAGCGAGACCCCCGACTACCAGTCGTAGCGGCTGATAGTCCGATTCAAGTCACATCAACAAATCTCCACCTTGACTTGAATCCTCTTCCTCTGAAATCTCTGATGTACTCTGCTCCTTCTCTCTCTATCCCGCCATCAATGCCTCGCAGAGCGGAGTCACCCACTCAAGACATTCAGCAAGTCCAAGCAGTGTTGGAACTTGCCATGTGGAACCGGCTTCGTGAACATATCAGCAGGATTATCCGCGATGCCAACCTTCTTCACCTTAATCCTCTTCTCTGTTCTCAAGAAATGATACCTCACGTCGATGTGCTTAGTCTTCTCATGGTGGACTTGATCCTTGGTCAAGCATATTGCACTCAAACGGTCACAATACACCACTGCCTGATCATGATGTAGACCAAGATCACCAACCAGTCCCTTCAACCATATTCCCTCCTTAGCAGCTTTTGTCAACGCCATATACTCTGCCTGAGTAGTAGACAATGTCACCGCCGACTGCAAAGTTGCCTTCCAGCTCACTACATAACTCCCAAGAGTGAATACATAACCGGTTATCGATCTCCTCGTGTCAACATCTTCAGCATAGTCTGAGTCAGAATACCCAGACACCAAGCACTCTGTATCACTTCCGAAGCTAATCCCCACATCATGTGTACCCTTAAGGTACCGGAAGATCCTCTTCACAGCTTACCAATGTTCCTTCCCAGGTTGTATCATAAACCCGCTGAAAACACTAACAGCATGTGCAAGATCAGGTCTAGTGCATACCATAGCGTACATCAAGCTACCTACTGCACTAGCATATGGTACTCTCGACATGTACTCCTTCTAAGCCTCTGACTGCGGTGCATAAGCTGAGGATATATGAACATTTGAAGCACTAGGAGTATTTAAGGGCTTTGCTGAAGACATGCCAAACCTCGACAATATCTTCTGGATGTAGCTCTTCTGTGTCAAGAAAAGCTTCTTCTTCGACCTGTCCCTGTAAATCTCCATACCCAAGATCTTCTGAGCAGCTCCCAAATCCTTCATCTCAAACTCAGCACTGAGAAGCCCCTTTAACTTCTGGATATCAGACTTTGACCTCGCAGCTATGAGCATATCATCAACATACAAAACAAGATAGATCATCGAACCATCCTCCACCTTGTTGTGATACACACAACAATCATATGGACTTCTGTTGTAGCCCAGCTCAAGCATGTAACTGTCAAATCTCTGGTACCACTGCCTCGAAGACTGCTTAAGTACATACAAGGACTTCTTCATCTTACAAACATAGTCTTCTTTTCCCGGAACCTCGAATCCTTCTGGCTGAATCATGTAAATTTCTTCCTCCAATTCTCCATGTAGGAAAGTTGTCTTCACGTCTAGCTGCTCGAGCTCCTTCAGGAGTGGGGAGGAGTCTTATTTGCTTCTTCAGGAGAGGTGTTTTCACGTACCGACGTGGGTTTTTGAGACCTCGATGGAAGGCCATTTTTCATCAATGTGGATTGTGGAATGCGACATCCTTCTATGGTAATACAAATTAGTTATTGTGCTTTCATCATTGATGACGTCATATTCAGCGACAATTTTTTTAATGGCCGAATTAAACAAAAATTAAGTCAAAATGTTCGTCTTTCATAATTATTACTATCTATACAAAAATAATCCAAAAAACAATCTAATTAATGTTATCAAGTCTATTTTTTATATGAATATGCTATGAAATCTACTCTAAAATATGAGCCTGAAAATACAAGTCTTACTCCACTTGTTGTGGGTGTCGAAGAGCAAATTTTATATTCTTGGTCTTATGAGTGGTTATTTCGTTATCGCGGAATCCGCTCTCATATGCGCCCCGACCGCACCCAACGACCCGTCTTTTTCCGTAATTCATAGTTCATACTCCAAGCAGCTTCGCTTCCCTTTCCGATTCGGAGCGAGCAGGAGCTTTGCCGCCGTCGCGTCGTAGGAAGGCGGACAGGTAGCTGCCGGAATCACAGAAACCGTAGAAACTCCACACAAGTCGAAAACCCTACTTCCTCCTTCTCCTCCCCATCCCAATTAGTGCTGCTAAAGTTCGACCTTTTTTTCCCCCAGCGCTACCGAATCCTTCTCAAATCACTCTTCTCGCATTAACCTTAACTTCAATTCGAAACAAAAGAAATCATGAAATTCCGCTATGCAATGGTGTGTTCGTCGAATCAGAACCGGAGCATGGAAGCTCACGCTCTGCTCAAGCGCAACGGCTTCGATGTCTGCTCCTATGGAACCGGCGCTCATGTGAAGCTCCCCGGGCCCTCCATTCGAGAGCCCAATATCTATGAGTTCGGAACCCCCTACAAGCACATGTTTGAGGAGCTCAGGCGGAAGGATCCCGAGCTGTATCCTTTTCAGTTTTGCCATCGCTCTTTCTTTTTTGCTTCTGGGTTTTGTCTTCTCTTAGTAATTTCTTCGAACATCTTCGGTGCATGCTATCTATATGCTGTTTAGTGGCTTCAAATCATATGGGGATCCATTTTGTGAGGGTTGGAGGAGCTCTACCTGTTTGTTGCTTTTGCTTGTCATGTGTTTGTCAGTTGGGCGACCTTAACCTTGTTTTACCAGTTACAAGCGCAATGGTATATTGCCGATGCTTAAGAGAAACTCAGCTGTCAAGTTGGCACCTCAACGTTGGCAAGACAATGCAGCTGACGGTTCATTTGATGTAGTGTTCTCATTTGAAGAAAAGGTGTTCGATATGGTTGTGGAAGGTAAGGATGAATTTTGCTTTGAAATCTTTACTGATTCTAGACAAGCAATGGGCATTAGATGGTTGTATTTTGACTATGGTCTTTCTTCACATCACAGTACTCGCTCTTTGTGCGTTGCTGAGAAAGGTTTCACCACTGCAGATTCACTCACTTTATTAGCTTTTTCCAGGCCAGTGTTTATGTTAAATGTTTCTGGGTACTCTAGTTTTAGGAGTCTGGTCTGAGTTTCTGCCATGAATACAATAGTAATGCTAGGCCGAGAACGTTATTCGCTCATATATTAACCCAGTAGAGTTAAAGAGCAAGCAAAACTTGCCAAGAACTCGTTTCCACAGTGCATAAGAAGGGATGTCACCACCAGATCCATATTGAATGATCAACATAGTGGTAGAAAGTTGTAGTTTCTTGATCAATGAGAAAACCCACTGAGTTATCTGGTGTCGAAAATAAATCTGTTTACAGACCTCCATAACAGGGATCATGTCCTTCTAAAGACTGTTCTGGTGATCAACCTGGAAGTGAAAGACAACCACGAGGAAGCAGCAGCAGGAGCTAGACTGACTCTAGATCTGTGCCAAGCGGTAGAGATAATTTATTTTGTTTCTTCATGCTTCATACGAATCCTTATTTCTGTTCGTTCTATTTCCCACTCCATTTCTAACAGTTAAAAGTTGTTGAACCCATCGTTGCCTTTGCAGATTGAAGATGCAGCAGAGTCATGGGAGGAGTCAATTGATGAAGTGATTGCCGCATTTGAAGCAAAGCACCGACGGAAACTGTTATACAGCATATCGTTCTATTGATCCTTCCTTTCTGGCCAAGGCACCATGTTGTAATGTAGTTCTCCGTCATTCGCTATCTGCTCCTTTCTCCGTCATTCGCATTCTGCGCCTTCAGTTGTCTAAACCCGAGAAGGGAATCTGCTTTTTCGCAAAATTTCGCAGTTGCTAAACGCCTTCACTTGTCTAAACCCGAGAAGGGAATCGACACAGCTATTGCATTCCTAAGCAAGAGCTACCAACGAACGACTTTCTTGATACATGCATTTTTATTGGTAGAAATATACATGCAGTTTATTATTGTTTGGTAACATTGTTAGCATAACCCAACAGTGAGAACAAACGAGTGGACAGTGAATACAATACTATTCTACATGCTGCCTCTTCTCACTTTACTCCGACTATCAGCTTGAGACTCCTGAGCCTCCCGTTCACTTCCTCTAGGTCACAAGGGTCGTTGAATGATGCGATAGGCGGCTCGACTCCAGTGAAAACATACAGGGCCTTGAGCTCTTCCATTAACGTTGGTTGCCTGGAAGCTGTATATCCCACGATAACACGCAGCGCGTTGATCTGTTCCCATATCTTCTCGTTGTTCCAAACCTGCATTCGCACAATGACCATCAACGAACGGGAAAGCACTTTCTTTTACTTGTCAAGCAAGGTAGGTTCCCTCCCTCGCAATGCTCTATTCAGGTGAAATGTGTATGGCAAGTAAACAGAACATAGACATCCATTAAGCTCTGATCCATTCATCTAACCTAAACATCCCGGGGAAAAGACCGACACATCTCATGAAATTCGAGGTATAGCAATTCGATTATTACACAACACTACCAAAAAACTAAAACATTCTCTCCAGTAATTCAACACCCTTCTCCCCCAAGCCCAGATGGTGCAATAAGAACTTTGTATCAGGATCTAGGCAATGTGGTTCCCTTCTTAATGGCATTCTCTCTATCTTATCTTGAATTACATCCTCAATTGAGCTAGCTTCTTGGGGGTTGTTTCTTGGCAGTTTTCGGTTGCTTCCTTTTAGCCCTTCTGGAAGACTTACATCACAGCAAACACAGGCACAACAGAAAGGGAAAAGAGAAGCGTCAGACAAACCAGCAAACATAATACCAATTTTTCATCTATGTCAAATACGAGACCTAATATAACACATTGGTTCATTTACAGCAGAACAGTGGTGCAATGGAGAAGGGATGCCCAGTTGGTATACGGTTCTACTCTAAAGCATTCATGTTCAACGAGAAGGATCAACTTCGAATTCAAGCATGGATTCTGTGCATCTAAAACCTAGCACATCCAGCATCTGATCCTGGCTGTTACAAGACCAGAAAAGCTAATCCAAGTTCTCATCTTTTGGCACGGTATAAATGAAGAAGAAAATAGACAGAACCCAAGTCTCTCTCTAAGTCATGTAGCCAACTTCCCTAACGACAGATCAGAATGACACTACTTCCACAACAAGTAACGCGAAAGTATCCATGGCTGCAAGGTAAAAAAAAAAAAACCCTCAGGCTCTTATACCTCAGTGGAACCATTCTGGTTGGCATTTCCTCCGGCATTGGGCTCAGGGGCGGCCTGCGGAACCGAAGAAGCAGTGGAGGAGGCAGCAGCAGCACTATCCTGCTGCTGCTTCTCAGGTTCTGCAGATGCAGCAGCTACATGTGCTAAGAAAACAGCAAACAACCAATTAGCAGCATATAACAAACCCTAAAGACGCTCTCAAATCACATTCACAACCATCCATGTAGGCAAAATGGGGTTGAAAACCCGGACTCTCACTTACCCTCAGTCGTTTTCTCATTCACTTCAGCTGGAGACTCAGAAACACCTTCATCCCTAATGCTCTCCAACAACCCCGTTGTCCCTTTTGTAAGCTCCTCATTCTCATCAACATCATCACTTCCCTCCGAAACCTCCACAACCACAGTCCTTACCTCAATTGGGACTGCACCAGCAGCAACAGGAGTCGTAACATCGCCTTCCCCCTCTATAACCACAATACCACTAACAGCATGCATCTCAACAGCCATGTTTACTGTCTCATCATCTCTTTGTCCCTTCATATCCTCACCATCTCTATATCCATTTTGATTTTCCTCCACAATTTCGTCGTCTTCGTCCTCAATCGGCTCAAGGGTCCGCCGTCTCATGCCCTCCCCTGATGTCTTCCTGTACTTGTCCAGGTCATGGGAATCCTCGATTCCTTCAAGTTGTTCTTCAGGAGGAACATGATGATTGGTTTGGAGAGGGAGCAATCTGGTCATGAGAGACTCAGTGAAGAGATAGGTTGCTAAGAAAACGCTGGAAGGCAGAGAACAAGCGAACCCAAGAGCAGAAATGACCAGAATTGAAGGGATAACCACTGGGGCTGAAGTGACCACCAATCCAGTGACCAGAATCTTCTTCCCCAGTGTTAATCCTTGGTTCATGACCCAACCGGCTTTCCCCGAGTACTGGGTTTCGGACTCCGAACCCAACCCGGATCCGTAAATGTCAGGGTACTGCTGATCCACCTCCTCCATGCCCAAATCTTCCGCTTGCCGGAATACTAGACGGGGAAATCAACACCGCAGCAACGCAGAAGGAAAACAACGAGACCCACCAAGCACAAGTGCATAAACATGAACACAACCCAATGTTCAAGCCTCTGTTTCTCTTGTCTCTCTATATACTCGAATGGGATTTCAAAATGAAGCGAGAAGATGGAAAAAAGGGTTTAGGGTTTTTAGGGGGGAAATGACACGCGTTGGGAAGAGGAGCGAGACAGGTTAGCACTGGCGGGTGCTCGGCTGAATGCGCAGGACTGGGTTCTGGAGGATAAGAGATAAGGATTATGGAGATGGCATTGGCAGCGTGGGCGTTGTTCTGTTCTGTTGTGTGTATTTCTTTTTTGTTGAGCATTCCAAGGGGCCAACTGCTGCTGGTCTCTGCCATTTTTGGCTCCTTTGAATGCCGCGTGGGAGCTTTGCCGCTTCGACTCGATTGAGTTCCCCCCTGCCACCGCCACGTTTCAACCTTCATGCAAATGGCGTAAGGTAAGGCTTACTCCTTAGTCTTTTCCCTGCCTTTTCCCATTTTGATAACCTTCCTCTGTAGAAAGTCGAGGAAGTAAAAGGAAGAAGAGAGTAATTAGGCAATACCAGACTTGCAATAAATTTTCAGATTTCTTTTCAAGATGCTTTACTTGTATACTATAAAGTATAAACGGATTCTCTTTATCGTGATTTTTTCCCTTAAAATGCTCTACTCACTAAAAAAATTCATACAATATCACACTTACAAGTTATAAGTGTTCAAGAAGGTGCTAGGCGAAAATAAAACGATGAAATTTTGCCTGGTGTCTAAAGCGATTAGTCATTGCCTAGACGTGATTCAACGTTGAAAAAAATTATGAATATTTAAGTATAGTGGGCAAGATCGAACATAACAATTCATAAGTTCATTAATACAAGAGATGCTATTCTGCCTAAGGTAGCTAATGTATTGAAGAAGTACCATCAAAGTGTAGAAACCTCGATTCTGTTGGTAGCTAAATGAGCAAACCGGGGAATTCCACTCAATGAGCATGTAGAGTACAAGATTTGCCGAATTGAACAAAAAATCTACTGAAAAACTGCTTAAAGACAACAACTTTTTGGTGAAGTACAAATTGAGCATGGTATGGTACGTACAGAGGAAGAGCTGGAGTATGAAACGGAAGAAGAAGGGTTGCTGGAGATGCGATGGTGGCGGCCGACGAGATGAAGAGGAAGAGCTGGTGGATATGTGAGGGTGGCGATGATGACGGTCGGCGGTCGGCGACTCGAAGCCTGCGAATAGGAGGTTTTCGATTGTTGGTGGTTGCGATTAGAAATGACAATGAGGCAGGTCCGAGGCGGGTATCTCGATACCCATACCTGTCCCGTGATAGGTCGAGTAATTTATTACAGGGCACGGGTGGGGGCAGGTCAACCCAATAGTTATGTAATTTATATGGAAAGCATTAGAAATATTTGTTATTTTCGTTATAAGACCTAAGAAACAAATCATAATATGATGAAATGTAGTTAAGTTATTGGAGAAATTGAGGTTTTCACTAATTCACAACTTTATAATAGCTAAACTATTACGTAATAAAAGGAAAATTCTAAGTAATTTGACTAAGATTACATGTAATTTAGACAATAATGGGTTGAGGATGGGGCGGGTCAGGGCAGGTCGAGTCGATGAGAATACTCATGTCCGCCCGGCCCGCCTATGACCCGCTCCGAAACAGGTCAAACAGGTCAGGTAAATCGGGTCAGGCCGAAATTGTCATCCCTGGTGTGGAAATTGTTCGCGTATATTATTTCCTTGCAACACAAGCAAACACATAAGATTAAGAAAACATGCAAAGACATATGCAAGCGTCCTAGCCGATAGAATTCACTATCTCTCCTTAAAGAATCTCATTCCCCTCAACTACCCAAGGTTATGGAATGATTCCTCCCAGGATAGAAAGGACGTACCTTTTCCGGAGTAGCTGTACCTCAAACCCGGAACCATCGAACGCAGCGAACCGGCGAGAACCACACTTTACTCTATTTTCTCTTTGAAAAGAATGCAGAAAACTAGTTTTGGATTTTGGCAGAATTTTCGTATCAGAAAAAAATATATGTATCTCGTAGTTAAAACTAGAGGGGGTATGGTGTTATTTATAAAAAATGAAGGGGTGCTTACGAAGGGAGGCGACTCTTCATATGGGTGGTTACACCCCAACCAACACATTGGTTCATGTTTGAAATAATGAACCATTGCATCGGTTCGGCCCATGGTAGTTGGACCGGTTTGGTTATTCCAACCGCCACATCGGTTCGGTTCGATTTGATTCAACTCGGTTTGGTTTGGTCCGTTTGGTACACAAACCAATTTAACTGATTAACCACATATTACATCAAATCGATCGAATTCGAGGCCGTGCCCTTCCCACTAGGGGTGGATTCGGTTCGGTTCGGTTATAACCGATAATCGATTGGTCAGTTACCGGTTAACCGAACCACCATTTCCCCATACCGAACACCGACCGACGCCAATGCCTCGGTTATCGGTTAGTTGGTCGGTTAACCAAGATAACCGAAAAAATGATGGTGGTTCGGTTTTAACCGGGTAAAATTATTAGAATTTCCTAAAATAAAAGGTTCTAACTTACATTTCTACATCTAAATCACCAAATTAATGTCTCAAATTCAACAACATAAAATTATAAACTTCATAACCGGGTATTTTCACATCGTTTTGGTGATGGTGGTCGGTCGGTTATTTTCGGTTATTGTCGGTTAACCAAATAACCGGTTTTCGGTTACTCGGTTAACCGAATTACCTATTAGGAGCTCCGACCACCGACCGAAACATATAATTTTCGGTTATCGATTAACCGGTAACCGTCGGTTATCGGTTTAACCGGTCGGTTAACCGACAATCGATAACCGAACCTCCAGCCCTACTTCCCACAGCTTACCAACATGGTACTTCAAGAGACTCTCTTGAAACTTTCCCCTTTTTTTATTTCCATTCACACCACTAAAAATCCCAACAATCCCCCACATGAATGGAGTATGTTGTACTTTAAAACTATGCAAAAAATCGTGTGATTCTCGACTAAGAATTAGTTGCATCGGAATAGGTAGGTTTCCCTTTGAACCTTCCTTAGTGAACATATATCGAGTATACTCACCAATCGGTAGATGTGATATCTTTGAACCGTCGGTTTTGCTTGTATACTAAGACAACATATGTCACACAACTAACTCTTATCCGTTCACTGGTTCTCATTGTTGTGTTCGTTTTAGCCATGAACACCGCCTGGTCTCATGAGTGCTTAGAGAACTGGTCTTCTTTTATTCTCCTTGAAGCGGCTCCACTTCACACTCACATAGGTGATTTCTAAACATGTATTCCAAAAATACACTATTTGATCACATCCTGTGTCAAACTTAGAAGCCATTAAAAAACCTTCCATCTTTAGGTTTACCCTTATAGTTGGACATTGTCTCATCATGAGAATGGACTTTGAATAATTTGACAATTTCGGACCATCATTCACAACTTTATTTTCTCCTTGAACCTAGAGGTTGGGTCTGCCAATCCTGCTTAGGTAGAGTTACCGCCATGATGATTTGTCCTAGGCCACGAGTCCATTACCTTCGATGCTTTAACAAATTTCTAGGTGGGCCCCACATTTGTTATCACTTGATCTACATGATCAACTTAGATAACTTCGCTAGAAATTAACCTTAGTGTTATGTTTCCATTATCAATGACGAGATTTTTCACATAACACTTCTAGCCCTTGCAATAACAATTTTGTGCACAAGTGCGTTTTATTAACGCCAGTCTTTGCAGGCCAAACTATAGAACTTCACCGGTCTTAGAGTGGATACATAGTTTAACTTGGACGTTTTTCCAAGATACTGCTCCCCGTCAACCATAAATGCATATCCATTAATAGATTGCCTTTTGGTTAATCCGATGAGTTCCCTTTGGGTACGATACACCAAAGACTCGTCTCTTTTCAATTCACTACACATCTTGTGAGCTTGCCTTGATTTTATTTCCTTGCAATAATCTTAACACATGATCAAGGTGTTGAAGCCTATCTACTTCACTAACCTTAGATTACTTGACCTTCACAAGTATCTCTTCAAATGTAGTGACATTTATGACTTAGCTTAGGGTTTATGAAAAACTCCTAAGTATCACTTTCACTTTAGAATCACCCAAGCGACATTCCACATTACTTCTCCCCAATTTATCCCCTACATTTCAACTATTTCGCCATAGTTGTTGAAACCAACGTTTTCGGTTTGGGGAATGTTGTTCATATATATTCATGTATACAGTCAAAATAATCTCTTTGGGAAGAGTGGATCAACATCAATAAATATTCTAGCTCTCTGACATAACGTCAATATATGCTAGAGTTTACTCATAAGTTATACCCTTGGACTGGGTTAACTCCACAAGGTTTAAGGACTCTCCCTTTCTCATTGGACACCTTCATACTTTCAAGTATGACTTCGTTTACCTTTCCACTTTTGTCTTATGGATAGGTTTGCGTCCCATTGTAGGGTCTTGAGATAGTAGTCGAAACAATTGCTAGCTCTTCTCCCCCACAATTCTACCCTTTGCCAAACATCATGGAATAATCCCATTTATTTTCCATGGTTTTACTTATTGAACTTGCCAACCACTATATGTATCTAATTGTTTACCAATGGTATGATCTTACTCGATTAGCATACCACAAACAATTCAGATTTTATTAGAAATATCATCTAATTACTTACCAATGGTATTGATCAAGGCAACTTGAGATGTCATAAGCAATTCAGATGCATTCCAGTAATGGAAATCCCATCTAATTACTTACCAATGACATTTCATTTATGTAACATGATATACCACAAGTAATTCAAACGAATTTCTAATTCAATTGTCTAATTACTTTCCAATGGTATAAACTTTAAAAATATACCATAAGTAATCCAGACTTTAAGTTCAATAAGATCACCTCAATTGAGCTCTCATGCCAAATTGTTTTCCAATGATATATATCTATACATACCATAAAAAGTTCTGGCAACTAGCTCCACGTTGATAATCATAGTCAATTTGTTTTCCAATGGTATAGTGTACTTATACCATAAACAATTCTGAACTAATGCTTATCTTGATGACGACTATCATTTGACAAGCTTATTAAATCTCTATAAGGATCAATCATAGCTTCATTTTCCTTGCCCTCGTGGCATAGGAAACATCAAGTCCTAAACCACATACATAATAAACAAATTATTATGTCTTCACAAGCATCTTTAGGAATTAGAATTCCTTATCACTTATGGCTTACTCGTAATGCAAACCTTTAACGTGCATTAACCAAACTTCATCTCCAACACATTGGAGGTATACTCTTTCATAACTATGTTCAACTTACTTTGAACATAACCTATGCAAACATTCTGGCTTAGATAGACTGGACAAACAAGTCCCTACTGGCCTCTCGTCATAGGTTTCATATACCTATGATTGTTCATAGTTTCCCACTAGATAATTTATTTCTATCCAAACCACCGTTACTTAGAGTCCATGAAGGACTATCATAAGTACTTCCATCTTCTCATGCATCACCTTGAATGAAGTCCAAATTAAATTGGCACATTTATCATTCATCCATGCCACAAAAATGAAATGGACCAATGCAATAAAAGTATTAAAACTTTGTGGTTAATTTTGGAACCAAACAAACTCGTAAGGTTTTATCCAACTAATTTTCCACCTCGGAAATAAGAACATATGTAAATATATAAGTGCATCCTCATGGATTAAACTCCATGTCTTGGGAACACTTCTCATCATTGTTTCAATTCACTCGAAGATCACAAACAAATTGATTACTCAAACCAAAGTGATGTGTCTTACAAATTCTTGGAATTGAAACACATACAAATTTTGTGAAAAAATTTATTCCAAGAATTTAACGTGAATTCTTCCAAATTCAATCTTGAACCCTTCTCACAATATGATTATGAGTTCGTTCCCATGTCAAATACTACAAATAGTATTTTATATCATTGAACCAAATCGAATTGGTTTACCATTCTTTTCTTTTCACACAAATGTTGGACCATGTATATGGATCCAAACCAAGCATTACTCAACAACTCGTGCATGATGATTAGTTGAAATTAATCACCATCTTTATGCACGATCATAATTACCTACATGGCAATTATAATTCATAACAAAAATGCCAAAATAGTGGCCCATGCACGAAACGATGCAACGTAACCGGATGCAACTGCATTCATGATTAGAACATCAAAAGGACAGGGGTATGTATCCCTTCCTTTATCATTCAGACTGGTTACAAGTCAGAATCCAACAAACATCATGCAATTTCGTATAAAACCTCCAAATTACTAAAGACATACATACACGCTAATGTATATACTCACCGTGGTGGCGTGGTCCACCATTTCACAATACCAAATGATATCTTTCCAACACCCGCATGCAATTATTTAAAAATCCTTGCATGCAATGGCAATCAGTATCATAACTATTCATCCAATCCAACAAATCACATGCAATTTATCATTCAAATGCATGTATAAGAACATGATCATGCACACAAAATTGTTATGGATCATTCATTAACCAAAACAACAAACGAGAACAATGACCAATAATGTAAGATTCTTTAATATTGCTGTGGAAATTGTTCACGTATACTATTTTCTTGCAACACAAGCAAACACATAAGATTAAGAAAACATGCAAAGACATATGCAAGCGTCCTAGCCGATAGAATTCACTATCTCTCCTTAAAGAATCTTATTCCCCTCAAGTACCCAAGGTTATGGAATGATTCCTCCCGGGATAGAAAGGACGTACCTTTTCCGGCGTAGCGGTACCTCAAACCCCGGAAACCATCGAACGCAGCGAACCAGCGAGAACCACACTTTACTCTATTTTCTCTTTGAAAAGAATGCAGAAAACTAGTTTTGGATTTTGGCAGAATTTTCGTATCAGAAAAAAAAATATGTATCTCGTAGTTAAAACTAGAGGGGGTATGGTGCTATTTATAAAAAATGAAGGGGTGCTTACGAAGGGAGGCGACTCTTCATATGGGTGGTTACACCCCAACCAACACATTGGTTCATGTTTGAAATAATGAACCATTGCATTGGTTCGGCCCATGGTAGTTGGACCGGTTTTGTTATTCCAACCGCCACATCGGTTCGGTTCGATTTGGTTCAACTCGTTTGGTTTGGTCCGTTTGGTACACAAACCAATTTAACCGATTAACCACATATTACATCAAATCGATCGAATTCGAGGCCGTGCCTTCCCACATCTTACCAACATGGTAATTCAAGAGACTCTCTTTAAACTTTCCCCTTTTTTTTTATTTCCATTCACACCACTAAAAATCCCAACAATCCCTAGCTGCGATGGAAGGGAATAAAGATGTCGCAGGGAAAAGAGGGCCATGGAAGGGATTTAGGGTTAAAATCAAAACGCAACATTTCATAGAAAACTGACCTGGGCGTCGCTCGACGACGATTAACAGCGTCGGTGATCGTAGATTACTTATTTTTGGAGCTGATTAGACATTTTGAACGCCCAGACCAAATGTGGAGGCCGAGGGGAGGCATTTTCCCATCGCCCAACGATTACTCGTGCCTAGGCGGCCGCCTAATCGCGATTTCTTGAACACTAACACTTATACAAAAAAAAATCGAAAATACTCAATTTTGTGTTGGTTTGCTTTACTACCTGCGAGTTAAGAAGTGGTTCATCTAAAAATGAAGTGATTAATGTGGATCATATGACAGTGGAGCAAGCTTCACAATGGAGGCACGCGACGGACGATGATGGCAATTGATCCCGTCGCTCATAAGCGATTTGCATGGTTGTAGCTGATTTAACCATAAAGTGTAATACAAATTATTCTCAACCTTTCAGTATTGAAGGACAGGAAGCCAAGGTTTATTGACTTGTTCAGGTTAAAAAATTTGGATGACCCGGACATAACTTGGTCACCACGGTAAACGAAAGTTATTACAATAGCGGCGACCAAAAGGAGTTCAACTAACAGCTGATCAAACAGTTAAAAATTCTGCAAAACCCCATTTCACATTTTACAGAGTGCAACAACCAAGGGCCCAAACTAGACAAATCGTTCTTCTCTCCCTTTTATAGCATCTGAAGAATCGAATTACTACAATCATGAATTTGACCAACAAAGAAATACAGAGAAGCTACAATCGTACATTGCAAGAAATGACCCTGGAAATCTCTTCAGCCTGCATAAAGTTACCTTCTTTCTCATCATCTCTCAACACCTGCCACGCTTCTGGTGATTTCGCCATTTCTCTGCCTCGGGTGATTTGCCGTTTTTTTGTTTCAGACTATACTGGGAGGATCCCCAGCCCAATTACAACTGGCGCGAGCCCACCTAGTTCTGACGCAGTCCACAAGTGGGGCGTGCTGGCAAGGCTCGGGCTTGTTCACTTCCATGTCTTTAGATTCACCACTACCAGATGAAGCAGAAGCAGAAGCAGAGGACATAGCTACATCAGTCATGAACTCCTCCGGAGTCCACCTTGGTGGCACTGAAACCTTGAGCTTTGTAAGCCTAGGTCTCTGTACCGGTGCCTCACCTCCAACTGATGCATTGCTGCTACCATTCAAGTCGGATTTTGCAATGCCGTTGAAATGGTAAAGGTCAAACACTTTCTTCCCCATCGAACCACTTGAATCCTTTAGCCCACCTAAACTCTTGTCCAGATCAAGAACAGCCTGCCAGAATTCACTCCACACAATGAAACCAGTGCTGCAGAGAAGGTCGACTTTCTCTGTCGGTAGTCTGATGCTGGCATCTTGAAGGACCTGCTGGAAACCTTCCACACTGATGAATCCGCCGCCGCCACTCTGGTCTTGGGCATCAAAAGCTTTTCGAATTTCTGATTCTCTCTGCTCCAGCTCGTTCTCGTCTTGGACAGAGGTGTCAAGAGCAAATAGAACTGTGTAGTGGGACTCGCTGCCAATAACCCATATGGGCCACTCTGGGGTTTTTAGATGGTGACCAACTTTGCAGAAATTGAGGGATTCTAAAAGGGTGAGAAACCCAACTTCCACGCCACTTGATATACCTTTCAGAAACATTCCACCACCCAAATCCATCCGGCCATCAAACACGTTAGCAACTGCCTGGCCGCAAAGCAGTAAGTTGACTATTTCCTGTTTCAGAACCGAGTACTTCAAGGAATTAATTTCTAATATATTTCTTGATAAATATAACCAGGTTAAGCTAACAAATAATTGTTTACTGCATAAACAGTCAACTTTGCAAGAGAAATATCAATTACAATTTCCTGTTTCATGCATATGTATGTACCTGCGAGGCATGACCAAAAGGTGCCGTGACCAGTGGGAGACTGGGATCGTCTCTGTCCGATTGAACGTTGTCCTGAAAGTATAAGAGAAAAATCATCAAATTAAAGTAGCCAAAGCCCAAAAGCAACAGAAGATTCCAAGAGTTGATTCAATTGGTTGGCACCTGGTGGTGCCTTTAGTAGATTTTATAACCAACTTCTCCATCAACACATACTTCCAACTTCTACCTTGACATCTCATTTAAACTGATCTGGACCCCACTTTACACTACTTTTTTGATTTTTCTATATCCTCAACTGTAATACTATTGGAGAAACTAAGGAAGCATGCCTGGTGATTACATTAAAAGATACATGGTGCTTATTTCGTCAAGAAGATCTAGTGCCATTATTAGACAAGCTATATCATATTCTCGGGTATAGAAAAGCTCCTTAGAAGTACTTTATGTGAAGTAGCAACAGGCTTTAAGATCATTAAACATACCAATCCTCGAGAAAGCAGTGCAGAAATAAGGAATAGCAGCGCTCCCATCCGAGATTGGAAGATGGGAATTGTCTCCTTAAGTCTCTGCAATGCGCTTGCTTCGTTTGTGAATGTGTCGACTCTAAGAACCTTTTGCAAGTCAGAGGCTGATTCAATAGAAAGGCTTTCAAGTGCTTTTGCAATAATCTGTCAGGCAGAATGCAATATGAATAAGCAAAATAGTATCAAAATAAAATAAGAAAAAAAGTTGGCCCTTGAAGACTATCGAGTACAGGCAATAGAATGAAGAACCTGTTTCTAAGATTTCCAAAAAATCCAGCGTACCTCGTCCTTTGAGGAGCTCTCTTTACCATTGTCTGTGTTATTCAATGTGGCAATCACAGCCCTATCACCACTTCCACATAGGAACAATATTTCACTCATACTTTTGACCAAGGCTCTGCACAAGGCGGTAAAACACTAAAAGTTGGAATACGTATCACAACAGCCAATCAATGACCCTTAAGTACATTGTTTTAAAAATAAACTTATAAAAATTGTTTTTTAGATAATTAAAAGAGCTGGTGCTGGTGTCAGAGAGAATAACCTCAAGCTTCTCAGGAATAAGTCTACTGCTGGTAAAAGCAAAATGGCCGTTAAAAAGCTAACCTTGCTCTTCCATCTTCAGTAAGTCGTGAGAAATTGTTTGAAGCAACATATCTAGTCTTGGACAATCTTCCAGAACCAGGATTTTGATGCATGCTGGGCCCAGCTTTACCTACTTCATGAGGAAAGAAAAGGATGTATTTGAGAACGAATGCCTGCACAGAGACAACCTAGGATAAGCAACATGAAGCAGTATCGAACATGCAGAGAATCTACATGAACCCAAAATTAGGTCAGAACAACAAAACAGGAATGCATGATAGCCAGATCCAATAACTGAGACTAGCTTGGATAGGTAAAGGTCATTTCAGCGGAAGAACTGACATGTGGAAGTAGAAAAATAGCCCGACCAAGAAAGGAATGTCCGAACATGCTTTCCCGCAAATGCTTCCAAGTAGAGTTTGTGGCTTTAGCCAGAGAATCCAAGTGATAAGCTCGATGCACTTTTCATCACAACCGACAGTGCAGGGTCAGAAGCACTACTCATGTCCCAGAACATGATGATTGAAGATCCATGCACAATACTATAGCTGGCAAAGAAAGGAATCCCCAAACATGCATTCCCGCAAATGCTTCCAAGTAGAGTTTGTGGCTTTAGCCAGAGAATCCAAGTGATGTGCTCAATGCACTTTTCATCACAAGTGACAATGGAGTGTCAGAAGCACTACGCATATCCCAGAACATGATGATTGAAGATCCATGCACACAATACTATAACTGGCAAAGAGAACATGAAACAAAATTTAAGGAAATTACTTGTATTGTTGCTAAGACTCCGCAGGGCCCACCTTCATGCTGCACTAGGCCCATAGACGTTTCTGGATCAGAGCTAAACCTGCATAAGTTTTTGCATAAACATTAGCCAATATCGGACATGTGAACATCATCAGAGTAAACTATGTTTAGCGATCGGCCAGATTGGTAAATTTTGAGATGCAGTGAGATTGGGAGGCATAGATAGATAGCAGAATCTAAGCTCTGAAGGTATCTATATCACAAACTAGCCATAGCACCAGTAATTCACGGTAGGCAACTTGTTCACCCAAACAGCTAGAAAATAAGAAACTGGTATCAGAAACCCAAGAAAATAAGTTCCATGAGTACTACATAGGGGCAGTTCTGCCTCATTCGGAGCAAGAAAAATCTACTTCCTTTTCATAACCGTTCTTTTTCAATCAGTCCCTGGTATCTTGTTTGATAACGGCCTGGTGAAGGTGGCCATCGATAACAGTACCACCAGTTATGAACACAAGTAGATTCATGGCATTGAGCAATGTCACGAGACGGGCACGTACCTTATGCCCTGATTGCTCCACTGAGCAAGAATGCCCTTGGAAACGCCGGCGCCAAACACCATAGAGAACAATTGATTCGCCTCCTCCATCGACAATTCCCGGCCTAAATGACACTCCTTCAAGCTCCCGTCTTTCTCCTTCATAGCAGAATCAGCAGTCTTTACAGCGCTGCTGCCAGTAACAGCAGTAGCACTGGAAGTTGCAGACTTTGAGGGCGACGCAATCTTGGCAGCCTGCATACGCTTCTCAGCTGCAGCGGCCATGAGCTCTCTCTGCAGTCTCCTCGAATCATCCGGCGAGACCGAGGCCCCTCCTCCGGCTACAGCAGCAGCGTCCCTGGGCTTGCTCCGCTTGGGTTCCGGCGGGGAATTCTGCAGCTTGGGCTCTGGAGTCGAAGGGTTCTGCATACTCAACCTAAGAGCCATTCGGAGGTCATCTTCATCTTGATCCGCCATAGAGCCAAGGAAATGACAAATCCCCCCCAAGCACAGGATTGCCCCCGACAAAAGAAACAAGAAGAAGAAGAAGAAGAACCGCTTAGGCTCTGGGTAATCGGCGCGGCTTCAGCTCAGAGCGCGGGATGTTGGAATTGACTTAATTCAATTGGAGGAGTCGAATCAATGCATCCCCACGATCTGAATCGGGGAGGAAGAGATCGAATGTGGGAAGCAGGGGAAGAAAATTGTCCAAGTTACTTGGGGAACCCTGACTACGAAATTAGGGTTCTGGAAATTCGTTGGATTGGGAAATGAGAGCCGATTTATAGCTGGAAAAACCTTTCATGATTTTGTGTTACAATATGCAATTGGAAGAGGAAGATCGATGAGTGAGGACGAATAGAAGGCGAGGTCAAATCATAATTTCAGACTTCTGACAGGGGCACAATGGGGAATGAGCGACGTACGCGGAAAGGCAGTCAAGAGTGAAGAGTCAGTAAGCTGAAACGGCGTCGTGTTGGTAAAAGAGCGGCTGTTCCATTTTCCCATTATTTGTATATGAAATATAGTAAGGGCTTCACCAATTAAAATGAGAGTTACTAATTTACTGTTCCATCTAATCACAATTCTCTAAGATTGGAAGCCTAAAGACAAAATTTTTCATCCGGTGTATCTTAATCCCCAATTTCACCTTGTTCCAGCTCGAACAGAAAGGCAAAGGGTCGGGCGCTCGAAGCTCCCACGTTGTCGTCCTAGTCGGCGACAACGTTTACGCGTTCGCACCGCGCGTCCTTGTGGACAATTGGGGATATGCATTCAATTTCAAAGCTCTCACTTGGTCGGCTCCCTGAACCACCAGCGACGTCACCCTGGCGCTAGTCGGGGTCACCATTGTAGTCGTCGGCAGGACGAGGACTGACTAGGGAGAAAAAAATGGTCACGATTTTTTCTTCTTCGTCCTCAAGCGGCGCAGTGGCAGAGGTGGCCGGCGACGAGCGGAGGAGAGATCGGAATTCGTGCGAGCAGCAGACTAACTAGGGCGAAAAATTGGTGACGATTGTTTAGGGATTAGGAATAAGTTACGGACAAAATCGTTTGTTTCGGTAAGTTTAGGGCAAAAATTTTAAAAGCTAGGGCGTTAAAATATCCTATAGTCAATATCAAGAATTGTGAAACCGTATCAATAGTTCTATCGAAAAAGTAAGTGAAATCTATTTTTACTAAAAGTGTGATTTAACTATAGTTCAATTGTTTGTTACCGCAAAATCACCTATCAATTTGTGTCTGGTATCTAGTAATTCCGGTCAAACCAATCGATACAGTAAAATTTCTCAAACATTGATTCAATATCGGGCCATGATGGGCCAAAAAGTGTTTCATCGAATCTGACATCTTAGTCTCTGCCCTTCAATCCGAGTGTTTGATGATGCATATAAGTATGATGGTATTGGGTCGCTCTTTTATGTGGATCATTATTATTCGTAGCGTTTATAGTAATTATATTTTGAAAAGATATAAGAATTATTGACAATGATAAAAGAGCAAACTTGAATTTATTTTCCATTGGTGGAATGCCATACATAACAAAAAAAAAATTAAGAAATACTTCAATTTCTTTTCTTTCTTATAGGAATTATTACAAAGTTCAATTGATTGAACAATAAGATCATTGGGGTTTTGGTATTATTGGTACGCTAAGCTGTAAGCCTGGGTGTAACAAAGTAGGGGGCGACAAAAATATTGACAAATATAATTGACCGCTCCAACTTGACCTGATTGAATAAGGTAAAACTCTAATTAAATCTTTTTTTTTGGACAAAAGATAATCATAGATTGATTCAAGATAGGAAGAGTTACACCTTGGAATACAGCCAGGCCTGAAAATTAAAAGAACGACATGTAGACGGCTACAAAGAAAGGGCCTTTCTAGCCACCGCATGAGCTACCCTATTGTTACTCCGTCCTACAAAACGCAAACTATACCCAGGGTGATTATCAATACATCGCCTAATTTCAGCCAAAATCATCCCCACCCTACTATCCCTGGTCTCCGCTTGATTGATCTTGTCGATAATGACCTTGGCATCGCCTTCAAATCTCACCTCCTGGAACCCATTAGCCACGCACCAGCAGAGAGCCTCCCGGAGCACGAGAGTTTCCACCACTCGAGGGTCATCCATAGACCGATACTGGACCCCTTGCGCTAGGAGGATCTCCCTATGGGGACCAAGAAGAACCATCCCACCAGCCGAATGGGATCCCGCTCTCGTAGCTCCATCCCACATACACACCAACGAGGAAACCTCCGGCAGCCCAGGAGAATGGAGGACAGGATTCCGTCCCGGAGTCGCCCTTTCTGCAGGCAGACGTTCCCATTCCGCACACTGCTGGTGGAATTGACGCATCAAGGTAGGGAACCCAAATTGCTTTCCTTCAAAGACAACCCAATTACGGGATTTCCAAATCCTCCACAGAACAGCCACTACCGCCATGACCAAAGCGGGCTGACGAATTAGGGCAAAAAGCCTTTTTAAAAATAGGGGGAAAGTATGGTGAGGCAATCCTTGGCCGATGTATTCCAACCCCGAGTAGTCCCACAGGGCCCGCGCAACCGGACAGTCAAGAAACAAATGCTCCATGGATTCTGATTCCCCCCAGCAGACCGGGCAACGAGGAAGGACAGTGACACTCTTCTCAATGAGGCCTTCAGTAGTAGGGAGTATATGATGAAAGATCTGCCAAACTCTAATTAAATCAATTGCTTGTTGAGATGATAAAATTCGAATAATTGTATTATAGATTATTGGTGGTCATGGTTTTTCTACTATCCAACTCAAGTTCGTTCGATTAGATAAATATAATTTTTTAATAAAAATATTGACAAATATAATTAACTGCTTCAACTTGACCTAATTGAATAAGATAAAACTCTAACTAAATCAATTGTTTGTTGGTATGGATAACATTCGAACAAGAATATTATAGAAAATTGGTGGTCATGGTTTTTGAACTATCCAACCCAAGTCCTATCTATTATGGATATATACTTTTGAGTAAATACAATTTAATTCATATATATATATATATATATATATATATATATATATATATATATTGGCAGCGTATTCGGTGCACCCACTTTTTTGGATGCATTCAATGCACTTGCCTCATAATCGTTATTGTAAACATGCGATTCATGTCAAAACAGTATCAATTGTTGCTTATGATATCATGAACAAGAAGCACGTGAATTAAAAAAAATCATTCAAGATTTACATTAATTTGAAGGATTTCGGATTTAGGGTTAGGGTTTAGGTTTACAATTTGGGATTTTGGGTTGAGATTCAAAATTGAAGGTTAAAAGGTTAGGGTAATAGATTGATTTGTTGTGATTCTATGCTATATCATCATATTAGATTGAGACTACTAATTAAAATTCAAAATTTGATATATTATGAACACTTTTAGAGTTGGGTGCATTCAATGCACCGAAGTAGCCGCCTATATATATATATATATATTAATTTTTTAGCAATAATCAAAATAGAATATTTCTACAATATATTAAACCAAGCAGTAGTGGAGCTAGGTTGAAGTCAGAAGGGGCCATAGCCCTTAAACTTTGAAATATCGATAAAATTACATGTAAATTTTGCACAAATTTAAAAATTATAATAATCGATAAGCTTTTAACCCCCCTCTCCTCACCCAATTACCACAAATCAAGTCAACCTCCCTTATTTAGATTCCTGGCTCCGCCACTGAATCTAAGCACGAAGGAGTACCTATAATGCTCAAAATACTTGACTTCTGTCCCTGCTTTCTCTTTCAAGTCATTAGATTTGGAACCCATAAAATGTTACACTGATCAAAACAACATCCATGCCGCAAAGATCAATCAAGAATCACTTGATGGAAGCATATTCATGTTACTTAACTAAAGAGAAACCAAAGGGCGGAATGAGTTCATTCATTCATTCATGCTAGTCCAACTGCTCATTTGCTCCCTTTCCTTCTTGGAAATCCTCAAAACCCTTTTGTCTTCCCCAGGAACTGTAACAAAGGAAGTGAGTTAACGGCTTTTTTTTTTTTTGAACAAGTGATATATTCATTCATTCCCAGCCTATGAATAGGCAGATCATACAGCAATCAGACCATTATAGCAAATCAGATATTACATTAAGCACTGAAAGCCAATCAGGATGTAGGATGTTCAGTCTGCAATTGCGAGCGACCCAATCAGCGTTCCTGTTGTTGCGGCGACTGGTGAAAAGAACATTAATCCAGCATGAACGCTGCAGAACGACTTTGATAGAAGAAAGTAAAGCATAGCAGCGCCAAGGCCATTTTGCAGGATCATCATTGAGAGCATCCACCAGTATCTTGCTGTCGGAGAGGACTGTAGAAGGGATAGTATCATCCGCTGCCAGACGACACGCTTCATACATCGCACATGCCTCAGCCTCGATCGGGGAAGAACAAATAACCTTCCTCGCCCTCCCGTCACAAATCTGTCCAATAGAGTTAGTAATAACAACTCCGATGGCCGCCTCTTGAGATTCGTAATCAAACGAACCGTCACAGTGAAGTCTCCTGTGATGTAGATTCGGCGGTGGACATGATTGCGACGAGATTATCCGGGGACGAGAAGAGGTTGAAGGACAAGTTACATAGTGCGGCTCATTCGCATCTCTAAATGCACAAATGGAGGTCATCGTCGGGGACAAGACAACACCTCTGAAAATAAAATCATTACGAGCCTTCCAGACATTCCAAAGGCAGAAGATCTTTTTCCGGATTGACTCAGGAGAGTCATTTTCTCTTAATGCAAAGATCCACTGAGAGAGATTTTCTGGGGGGATAAAATTGGGAACCACCTTTGTCCAAGTAGCCGCTGCGTGAGGACACCTAAACAAGCAGTGAATAGATGATTCCACTTCATCATCACACAACTGGCACCTTGTGTTAGGCGAGCAGTGCCGTCGGTGCAAGTTGAGCTTAGTTGCCAAAGCATTCCTAACACACCGCCACATGAAGAAACGAATCTTAGGAGGGAGGCTGAGCGACCAAAGCCATTTCCAGCACTCATCTGAGGAAGGAACGTTGAGGTCCACTGAAGTCGGGCTTGATTGATTCCGTTCTTTAGCTTTCAGTCGTATCCCGTGGTAGGCAGAACGAACAGAGAAGGTGCCATCAGATGTAAGCTTCCATGCCCATTTGTCGGGACTTCCTTCTGGACCGATGTGAATCCTTGAAATAGCGGATGCCTCTTCGACCGTACAGTGACGATGTAAAAGGTTTAGGTTCCAACTTGTTCCATCTTCGTTCATCCAGTCTCGAACTCTTGATGGCGGGTCAACACGAGAAGAAATACGATGATGATGGAGAGAGTGGACCCAAGGATCTCCATGAAACCATGTCTCTTTTCCTGATCCAATGACCCTAATTGTGCCAATCTCCAATGCAGACTTGGCGTCACACAAACTCGCCCAAATCCATGAAGGAGAGCAGCCTTTGCGTGGCGACGAGAATGTCCCATTAGGAAAATAAAGACCTTTGAGCACCCTTGCCCATAACGAATTGGGTTCATTCAGGAGTCTCCATCCTTGTTTAGCAATAAGAGCTAAATTGAACATGTGAAAGTTCCGAAACCCAAGACCGCCTTCTGCTTTAGGATCCGTGAGCACTTCTCCTTTCCTCCAAGGAATAGATTTCTTTTTCATAGATCCCGACAAGAAAATCTATGCAAAAGAGAATCCATCTTCTTCGTGAGGCAGGCAGGCAGAAGAAAGACACTCATAATGAAGGTCGGGATGGCTTGGATGACAGCTTTGAGAAGAGTCTCCTTTCCTCCATGAGAAAGCGTGAGACTCTTCCATGAGCTAGCTCTATTCTCCATTCTCTCAATGAGGAAGGAGAAAGTTTCCTTCCTCGACCTTCCCCAATCCGTTAGAACACCCAGATACTTGTCGTGTGAAATAGCCGACGGGAAATTCAGATGGGAGGTAATAATTTGTCTCAAGTCAGCCGGGGTATTCTTACTGAAGAACACTGAGGATTTCTCTAAGTTGACCTCTTGTCCTGTTAACGATTTGTACTCATTAATGATGTGCATAATTGCTTCCGCCTCCTCTCTTGATGCTTTGCCAAAAATCACGGTATCATCTGCAAACAAACAATGGGAGAGGCGAGGGCAATTAGGCTTCATTTTAAGACCATGAATAGAGTTACGAGATAAGCCTTTTTCAATCAAGATGGACAAAGCATTAGACATAAGAATAAAAAGGAACGGAGAGAGAGGATCTCCCTGACGAATGCCCCGTGAGGGGGAGAAGAACTCTGTTCGCCCGCCGTTGAGAAGAATCGAGAAGCGCACGGTTCGGATACACTCTCTCACCCATCCGCACCACGCCTCGTTGAATCCATATGCTTTTAGAAGTTCTTCGAGACAGTTCCAATCGACCAAGTCGTAGGCCTTCCGCATATCCATTTTTAACATCATATCGAACCTACTGCCAAGTCGTCGTTTCTTGAAGTGGTGAAGAACCTCATGCACTATAACAATGTTATCCTGTATCAATCTGCCTCCCGTGAAAGCCGCTTGCATCTCCGACACCAGGGTAGGCATAAACGATTTGATCCTAGTTGACATGATCTTAGACACCACCTTATATTTGAAATTACAACAACTGATTGGCCGGAATTGGCCAACTCTCTCCGGAGCTGTTGTCTTCAGAATTAGAGCGATATGGGTATCATTCCATCCCGGAGGAAGAGATGTCGTATCAAAGAAGGAGATAACCTCCCTGCAGAAATCATCCTCAATAGTATTCCAAAACTTCCGGAAGAACGCCCCTGAGAATCCATCAGGGCCTGGGGACTTATTTGGTCCTAATGAGAAGACAGCTTGCTTTATCTCCTCCCTCGTAACTTGCCTGCATAAAACTTCATTCATATCATCTGTTACAAGGCGAGGGAAATCTTCAAGGAGATGGACATCGAGTCCTGTATCTTTTGCTGTGAACAAATCCCTATAGAACTCCTGAATATGAGAGGAAAGAAGGTCTGGCCGCTTGATCCAATTCCCATCCTCACCTTTCAAACCCAAAATCCTATTATGATGTTTCCTGTATACCGCTGAGTTATGAAAGAATTTTGTATTTCTGTCTCCTTCGGCAAGCCAATGAACTCTAGACCGTTGCCGCCACATTATTTCCTCCTCCTTCCATAGAGCATCTAGCTCATCCAACAAAATGGTTTCTTCTTCACAAACTCCTTCAGACCGAAACATCTGTGCAAGAGTCTCCAGCCTCTGTTTAATCTCCGCCTCCCTCTGATTCTGGGCTTCAATCATCCCTTTCGCCCACTGCTTGAGATCATCCGCACATCGCTTAAGTCGTTGATCATGATTCCCTTCAGCTGCCCATGCATTTAGAACCACCTGATCACATTCTTCCTTTCCCAGCCAACGATCGTCAAACCTGAAAGGTGGGCGGTTCCACGGAGCAGGAGAGTGGAATTCAAGCCTCAAGGCTCGATGATCAGATCCAACACTTCCTTCATGGAACAGAGTCCCTTCATCAAAAAATTCTCGCCAAGCTGGGGTGCATAAGGCTCTATCCAGCCGGCCTTTGATCAATCTCACCCCTCGTCTATTGTTCGTCCATGTGAACTGTGGTCCTTTAAAGCCCATGTCCATGAGGTTGTTATTGAATATGAAGGATTTGAATGGTTCGACAGATTCTCTTCTCGGCGGGTTACCTCCACACTTCTCATAGTCAAATAGCATAGCATTAAGATCCCCAATAACAACCCATGGTACACTTGAGTCACTCCTAAAACTAGATAAATGCTCCCAAAAGTCTCTCCTCTCACTAGAGATTGAGGGAGCATGTACAAACGTAATAAAAAAACCACACCCATAATTGACAAATACATCAAAGAAGTTCCGCCCACGATCCAAAATTTGGAGGGAGACTCCAGCTGCCCACCATAATGCTAATCCTTCTGCCGTTCCTACCGGTTCAACATATTCCCCAAACTGAAAGTTGTTGTTGATTCTTTGTTCTTCCATAGTTTCTCTGGTATTCTTAGTTTCCATTAGAAAAACCAGAGATGGGCGGAATTTCCTCACCATCCTTTTGAGATGGTTCTCTGTCCGGGGTTGCCCAATTCCCCGGCAGTTCCAACTCAAACAACTCATTCAGCTCCTGGTGGCTTATAGCCGGCCACCGGCGCTTCAGAAGATACAAGATGTTGTTGCTGTTCAGGGAGTTCTTCTTCCCCTGCAAATTCTTCAGCTCCTCCTTTGCTGTTATGTATCTGGGATTTGCGACTTTTCACCTTGATTCTAGCATTGCGGTTGTTACTGGTTCCTCCTCCAGTAGTGAAATAAGGCCCCTCAAAATCCAAAGGCTCCCCATGCTTCCTCTTCTTTAGTTCAGCTTGTCCATCTTCATTTCTATAAAACGGGTCTGGCTTCTCCATTTCAGCAGGCTGTTTATTGAGATCCATCTTGTAATTCAATTCCATAACCATTTGGGACACCTTTTGTTGAGTAGGCAGCCCAATGCTATTATGCAAGTCAATAAAGCTCTGGTGGGCTGGAGTAAAGTGGACTGGAACGTGGGCTTGTTTCCCATGGGCCAATAAATCCCCAAAATATTGAGGCATCGGATGTGGAAAAAGGTGGGCCCATGCAGCTGCCTCCTCCATCTCCCTTGTGAGATTTCTCGCAGCCGAAGAAGAAGTAGCCTCCTGTGAATCTTCCCGTTGGTGAGTACGGTGGAATAGTTCCCGGAGAAGTTTGTCCCGGGATCCAGAGTTGATTCTGAATGAAACCGGGCGATCTCGTGCTTGATCCAGCATCTCCCGACGACTGATGGATCACTCGTCCCCTCGGTGGCGGTGGTGGGCGGCTAGCCTTTGTGCCCGCCTTCATCCATGGGGTAAATCTCCCCTCCGGAGGTCCTGCAATACGAGCCTCCAAATCTGCTCTCCTTCTTGGGCAGTCTTGTTTGCAATGCCCATGCCTCCCGCAATAGTAGCACAACACATATAATTTTTCATACCTAAATCCCAGCCAATCTCTTACTCCCCCTGACGAGCAGTAAGATCCAGGTGGAAGCGGCCTCTTAAGATTAGTTTCGATAAAGACCCTGACGAATTCCATGTATCGATCTGGGTTTAGCCCCCTCATATCAATGTTGTGCACGGTTTTGAACATCGCCACCGCTGCTTCAATGTTGGGGATGGTCCTCTTATGATCTGGAATCCCATGGACTAGGATCCAGAAGTCAGCCAAACTGAAATCCATATTCTGGGGGCGAGTGTTCTGATCCCATTGCTTGAGTTGAAGCATATTTCCGGAAATCTGCCATGGTCTGCCTTCCCACGCTCGATCCATTTCCTCTTTCCGATTGAAGATGAAGATGAAAGTGTTGCGAGTCTTACCCACCTCTTGAATCTCCGGCTCACAGAACTGTGACCAGGCCCCATTGATCATTCCTAACATGGCTTTCCATCTGACTTCCCTTTCGGTGAACAGTTTGCCAACCAGCCTCAATTTTGGCTCACCAAGGTGTTGGGGAACTTCATCGTTGAAAACTGCCTCATATTCTTCTTCTTCCAGATTTTGCTGCAGATTCACCATAGGGTTTATCCCTGAATTTTCCATTGGACCTGTTCTGAGAAGCAGGATATTGATTTGATTGCGAGAGTTTTGTTTAAGGGTCAGATATGGTTTGAGAGGAAGAGTGGGTTTCTGGAATAGTTGGGGGTGGTGTTTAAGTAGGTGAAGTATTTGGCTCCCCAATAGGAACAACATTGAAGGGAGGTAGAAAGTAGATAAGAGTTGATTTTCTTCCCCCATTAACTCTTTTTGAGGCTCGAGGGATTTGCAGCAGGAGAAGGATTTTGGATTTGATTTCGGCGGCCTGAAGAGACTAAGATTGCTACTCCACACTTTATTCACTGACATGGTGAGAAGAATCAACAGATTTGAGGTATAATGTATTGAATCTGGGCAGAGTTAGAAGAAGAGTAGCTCTGTCTTTATGGTTGCTGCCACATTTAATCTTGATGGGATCCTTCAAAGAGGAGAGGCCCTTAGTTGAAATCTTCTCCATTAGTGATGCTAAGGAGGCTGAAAGAGCTTCTTCATCGAAGAAAGCATCTGGAAATCCAGATCTGGAAGTTGGAGAAACAGAGAGAAAAAAAGATGACAGAGAATCAAGAGAGAGATTCATTTTAACCCATGTATAGTGTGAGTTAACGGCTACTCTCCGGGAAAACACAATACACCCAATCTCTCTTCCTTCCCGTTTCGATAACAGCAAAACAATTAAAGGACGCCTTTCAAGTTTCTGTCACTTTGCCCTTACATCAGCCCGCACGATTACTGATCTACCGCGCTATATTTATATATATAAACATTGCATAAACCTTCTCCTCCATCAACACATCCCTTCTTCTTCTTTGTTAGAATATGACTTGAATTTGATTTGGATTTGTTTTGAGTTTTAGGCCTATTCTGTTTAGGTTTGGGATTGGGTTTTGTTTTGACCTTTTCCTTGTATGTTTGGGAAAAGGTGTTTGGTTTTCTGTTTGGGATTAGGAGAAGAGTTCTATAAATACTCTTCATCACCCTAGTTTGTAGTAAGGCCAGTCAGGTTAGTTTGTTTGATTTGTCCGTTTGGAATTTGGTTTGTAACCTGTACTCTCCTCAAATTAGTGAAATTTGTTCTCCCCTGCCCGTGGATTAGCTAGCACACATTGTGTTAGTTAACCACGTTAAATTTGTGTTGGTTCGTATTGGTTTGAATTATCGATTGCACGCTTCTGTTCTGACATTCTTCTCTTCCACAACAAAAAAAAAAATCCACGAAGCAAACTTCCCTGAAAAATGGCCGGTGGCAGCAAGAGCAGCAGCACCCAGAAACCACCCCGCAACAGCAAGGAAGTCGAGACCCTCGCCGTGCCAATTTCCACCCTCTCAGTAGCAGCAGTACAAAATGCCGACGACAACGACAGCAAGAACCTCGTTCCGATTGTGTCTTCCTACAACGACCGCATCCGCCCGCTGCTCGACGCCGTCGACAAGCTCCGCCACCTCAACGTCGCCGCCAAGGAAGGCATCCAGCTCCCGACCATCGTCGTAGTCGGTGACCAGTCCTCCGGTAAGTCCAGCGTCCTCGAATCCCTCGCCGGGATCAGCCTCCCCCGCGGGCAGGGGATCTGCACCAGAGTCCCGCTCATTATGCGGCTCCACCACCACTCCGCGCCGGCGCCGGAGCTCTATCTCGAGTACTCCGCAAATGGGTCGCTGAAAAAAGTCAGCACCGACGAAACCCATGTCGCCGCTGCCATCAATTTCGCCACGGAGGAGATCGCCGGGGGAGGGAAAGGGATATCCAACAATCCCCTGACTCTGGTGGTCAGAAAGAATGGAGTTCCCGATCTGACCATGGTGGATCTCCCCGGGATCACTCGTGTCCCCGTCCACGGCCAGCCGGAGGACATCTACGAGCAGGTGACCGAAACGATCATGGAGTATATCAAACCTGAAGAGAGCATCATCCTGAACGTCCTTTCGGCGACAGTCGATTTCTCGACCTGCGAGTCCATCAGGATGTCGCAGAGAGTGGATAAAACAGGGGACAGGACTCTGGCGGTGGTGACCAAGGTCGATAAGTCGCCGGAAGGCTTGCTGGAGAAGGTCGCCGCTGACGATGTCGGAATCGGGCTTGGGTATGTATGCGTCAGGAATCGGATTGGAGAAGAGAGTTATCAGGATGCCAGAGTTGCAGAGGCGCAGTTGTTTAGCACCCATCCCCTGCTTTCCAGGATAGACAAATCCATTGTTGGGGTTCCTGTTTTGGCTCAGAAACTTGTTCAGATTCAGGCCGCAATCATATCCAGGTAAAAATAGTTTTCCTCTTGTCTAATAAATTACTCTGAAAATGGTTTTAAGTAATTTTGATCAATGCTTTGTTTTGAACCATTTAGGCGCATGCCGGAGATAGTGAAGAAGATTAACGACAAATTGAGTTCCAACATCGCCGATCTGAACAAAATGCCTAAGAAAATGAACTCCGTCGGAGAAGCCGTGACAACATTCATGGGAATCTTGGGCTCGGCAAAGGAATCCCTAAGGAAACTGATCGTCAGGGGAGAGTTCGACGAGTACCCTGACGACAATCAAATGCACTGCACCGCCAGATTGTTCGAAATGCTCGAAAAATTCGCCTCGCAACTCAACTCGGCTCCAGAGAGCGACCATTTCAGCAACTTCCTGGCCGACGAGATCCGCATCCTGGAGGAAAATAAAGGAATCTGGCTTCCGGACTTCCTCCCGCAATCCGCTTTCCTGACCCGGCTGAGCTCCAAGGTGAAAGGCATCTCAGGAATTCCCGTCGGGTTCGTCGAAGAAGTGTGGAACTACATCGAGAACGTCGTCGTCACAGTCATGACCCAGCGGTGCGAGGATCACCACCAGCTACAGCTTTCGACGAGGCGAGCCTGCCACAACCTGATGGCGAGGTTGAGGGACCGGTCGATCAATTGGGTGATCGAGATCCTGCAGATGGAGGAGCTGACGGATTACACCTGCAACCCTGACTACATGACCGAGTGGCACAAGCTGATGGGTGCGAGGTCCGATTTCCTGAAATCCGCGAGGGACGGACATCAGAATTCTCCCGTAAGCTGCTCGATTCCGGAGTTCGGAACTGTTTTGGTGGAGGCAGGGGTGAGGAACTCGGCCTGTCTGGAGCAGGCGTACGATCTGAAGATGAGGATCGCGACGTACTGGAAGATCGTGCTAAGGAGGCTGGTGGATTCCATGGCACTCCACGTGCAGCTGAGCTTGAGGAACCTGGTGGAGAAGGAGCTGGAGAAGGTCGTGGTGGAGGAGCTGATGGGAAGGCACGGCGGGGCGGTTGAGAAGATGCTGGAGGAGTCGCCTTCCGTGGCTGCGAAGAGGGAGAAGCTGAACGGGAGCATCAGGCTGCTGAGGGAGTCTAAGGATGTTCTGGCTACAGTCATGGACAGGATTGCTTCTAGTTCGCTTTGAAAGAAGGATTAGTGTTTTTGTGTGTTTGAAGATTGGGGGAGGGTTGTTTGGCTTTTTATTTTGACGTTGTTTTGTTTCTGTTCGTCGGATTGAGTTCTTTGTGAGTTTTTTTTTTTGACAATAGTTCTTTGTGAGTTGATTGTGTGGAAGTTAGACTTTTGGTGGAGTGGTTCTTGGTTAATGAAATTGGAGTCGATCGTTTTGTTTTATCGGAAATGGAAGAGGGCCATTAACGGCTGATTGATTATAAAGTAGGCTACACCAAACTTAAATGAACAATAAAAAAGGTTTGATAAAAAAATAAATGAACAATAAAAACCACACAAAACAGCCTGAACATGTTTCAGGCTTCCACCAAACTTGTAAAAATAGTCTTTTGATTCAGTTGAATGATCTGCACACGAACTTGAGGTGAGATGTATACAATAGTTGCAAGGAATTCGGCTGTTTAAACCAAGGTTGATTTAGATACTAGGCGCGCGCTAGGCAGGCGATGATTATGAATGCCTAATTGTCTGCTTAGGACCTAGGCGAGATGTTTTGTCACTGCCTGGTGTCTAGGCATGTGAAATTACACCTTCTTGAAACTTAGTTTAAGCGAATGAAAAATAAAAACCATTATCTTCTGGGTCATAGCATTGATCACAACGTATTGGTGTATGCTCGTAGCATTGATTATAACGTATGGTGCTTGTTGATGCAATTGTTGTCAGGGGAAAATAGAGAAAATAATGCTCTCTATTACTCCCCCTCAAACTGATGCGTGAAGATCACGAGTTGGGATGGCTTGCGAAGTAAGTAGTGAAAGCGTTCTAACTCCAAGGCTTTTCATGAATAGGTCGACCATTTGAGCTTGTGAGCTAGCTTTAAATGGAACTAGAAAATTGATCCGCGCTTTGCAGCGGGATCATAAATGATCTTAAATTTGAGATTTATTGTTACGGTTGTGCTATTTGCTTAGTAAACGAACTTTTGTTTTTGTACGATAAGTATTATAGACACCAAATCATTCTGGGTATAAGTTATATGATTTTGTAAAATCCTAAATAGCATATAGAGTCACTTGAAAAGAGAATAATTTTTTATAATTGGATCATTTTAAGAAATTAACATGATAGACTATTATTCTTGAAAGTGGAACGGGTGAATTAGGGTTATTTGAATGGAGTAATTTGATGAGATTTGGCCCAATTATCTTATTTTGAGAAACCTGAGCTAAATTCCCACCTTTCGCTGTACAAAATGGGAATGAAACAATTGGGTCTAGAGAATTTTTCATTGTTATATTTTGAGACTAATTATCTGGGGGTATGGTCACTTTAAAAAGTTAAGTCGAAATATTATAGTTATTTATTTGTTTTTATTTAGGGTTAATATATTTTTATGGTCTGAACTTTCACATAATAAACATTTTGGTCAATCTTTTCGATCTATAACATCATGGTCTGAACTATACGTCAAAGTAAAGAAATTGGCCAAACCCGAAAATTGACATTTCATCTTGGACGGTCAAACGCGTTGACTAACGGTCAACGTGCCACGTCGCCGCTAAGTCAACACATTTCACTCAAAATTTTTTATATTTTCCACCTATTACTATTTTTTTCATTTTGAATAAAAAATTAAAAAATGAATTTCTGGACTCAAAATTCATTTTTCATTTTTTTGTTTTGATTCAAAATGAAACAAAAAAACAGTAAATGTGTTATGAGGACAATTCAAGTACCACATCAGAAATACAAGGGAAGGAACACTTGTATATTAGTGTCTACCTAACCCAATTAGTATGAGGCCTTTTGGAAGGAACCCAAGAGTAAATCCGTGCGGGCTTGGCCCAAAGCGGACAACATCGTACTAATGAGCAGTAAGGTTTCGACAAGTGGTATCAGAGCCTGGTTTCGATCCAGGGAGGTGGACGTCAGTTCGGTGGACCCTCGTTCGGTGGCCTCGGGATTTGAGGGCTACATCTGGTTTGGCGGATCGAGAGATGTCCGCGTTTGTCTGGTAGCCGGAGAGATCCACGTTTGTTTGGCACTTTTGAGAAAATCCTTGTACCGAGAAGCCCATCGATACAAGGTGTCTGGTAGATCAAGATAATCGTTGGGGTGAGTACATGAAGTTCGTGGTCCTTTGGCTTGAAGGGAGGATTGTTATGAGGACAATTCAAGTACCACATTGGAAATACAAGGGAAGGAACTCTTGTATATTAGTGTCCACCTAACCCAATTAGTACGAGGCCTTTTGGGGAGGACACCCAAGAATAAAACCGTGAGGGCTTGGCCCAAAGCGGACAATATCGTACTATTGAGCACCCCGGTTTGACAAGTGGTATCAGAGCCTGGTTCGGTTCAGTGCAGTGGACGTCAGTTTGGTGGACCCTTATTCGGTGACCTCGGGATTTGAGATATGCGTCTGTTTGGTGGATCCAGGAGAGATCCACGTTTGGGCTTGGAGGATCAAAGAGAGTTCCACATTTGGGAAGCAGATCAAAGAGAGTTATGCATCTGGGAAATTCCGTGTATCGAGAAGCCCATCGATACAAGGCGTCTGGCGGATTAAGATAATCGCTGAGGTGAGGACACGAAGTTAGTGGTCCTTGTCTTGAGGGGAGGATTGTTAAGGTACAATCCAGGTACCACATCGGTAATACAAGGGAAGGAACCCTTGTATATTAGTGTCCACCAAACTCATTAGTACGAGGCCTTTTGGGAAGGAACCCAAGAGTAAATCTGTGCTGGCTTGGCCAAATCGGACAATATCGTACTAATTGAGCACCATGGTTTGACAAGTGGTATCAGAGTCTGGTTCGGTTCGGGGCGGTGGACGTTGGTTTGGTGGAACCCTCATTCGGTGATCTCGGGATTTGAGATCTGCGTCTGGTTTGGTGGATCTACGGGAGATCCACGTTTGGGCTACATCTGGTTTGGCGGATCAAGTGAGGTCCGCGTCTGTCTGGTGGATCTAGGAGAGATCCACGTTTGTTTGGCGGATCAAAGGGAGTTTCGCGTTTGGGAAAATCTTTGTACCGAGAAGCCCATCAGTACAAGGTGTCTGGCGGATCAAGATAATCACTGAGGTGAAGACACGAAGTTCGTGGTCCTTGTCTGGAGGGGAGGATTGTTATGAGGACAATCGAAGTACCATATCGGTAATACAAGGAAGAAACCCTTATATATTAGAGTCCACCAAGCCCAATTAGTACGAGGCCTTTTGTGGAGGACACCCAAGAGTAAAACCGTGTGGGTTTGGCCCAAAGCGGACAATCGTACTAATGGCCTGCCTCATTTCGACAGCTTCCCAGTTTGCTGATGTTGGAAGGGTTTCAGACTCTATGTAGTTCCCATGCCGAGGAGGAGGAGCAAGGGAGAAGACGCACAATCCTGGGGCGCCATGGATTAACGCCGCTGGAACTGGAAAAAGGATTAGCTTGTTTTACTTCTTTCATCAACAGATGACACATCATTTGTTTGTAAGAAATTTCCTAGTCCTTTAGCCTTTAGGAACACGGCCGACGGGTGCTATTTGGCCTTCGCCTGGTCGGATTAGGATTCCAGTCCATTATGCGTCTTTCGCACTCCTCTCCATTTAAGGTTTTGGGATGCATTGCTTGAATTTATTTATTTAGTAGTACTAGCTTTTATCCGGTCCTTGGCTGGATGAGTTTCGTTGTCAACCGGAATTAGTCTGTTGGTCCGGTTGAGCAAGTGGGTTAAGAGATCGATCGCTTTAATCCGATTTAGTTAAGATATATGGTAAAAGTCATTATAATGTTCATACATTTATAAATCGTATAAAATCTCATCTAATATATTAGTAATAATATATACCATTGCACCAAAATATAATGTCGTACTTGGATCCAACAAATAGTGAAAATTCAAACACAATTAAATAACATCAATGTTCAAAACAAGGTTGTCAAATCGGTTAATACCATTGCGCCGATTTAGCAAGTAGAATGGTTCTACCAATGGTACAACCGGTTTGTGCCAATTCATGTTGGTTAATAAAATACATAGAAATGTAAAAAACCCATTAATGTCAAATGATATTAGTGACATAAAATCACATAATATCATAAATTTGACTTCTACATTTTTTTTCATTGGCCTCTCCTAAACAAATTTCTTGGGTCCGTCATGCCTGGGATGAACTCGTGGGCCGAAGTGGGTTAGCATGGCCCAATAGTCACTACCTTGACTTGACCCCTCGATATTAATCCTCGCAAGTCGCAACTGCCACGGGCGCGCCACTTTCACTGCCTTCACCGCCATTTCTTAAGGCGAAGCGCTTCTCAAACAGTGGGTCTGGGCACGGCGAGGTTGGCCGGAAAACTTCTTGCGATCACGGTAGGGTACATTCCATCTCTCTTCATGATACTTACCCATTCATCGTCGGGGAAAAGGGAGAATCAATGGAAGCATCATTGAACCATTTAGCTGGCGGCGAACCATTCGGAAGAATGCAGGGAAGCTGTTTTATATTGTATCTCTATGAATCACAAATTTGGGCGTGAAGTCTTTTCGTGAAAATGACCTGCTCTTAGGTTTCTTCTTGCTTCTGTTGTGCACAGCAAGTTGAAAAAAGATTTATTATCTCATGAAATAGGGTTTTATTAATGTTATTGTTAGGTTTTGAATTTTGATGGCTCTGTTTTGGGAAAGGATGAGATAGGTTTATGGTCTCAAGTTGTGGTCTTGCTTGGATGGATGTGTCACTCTAGCTTAGCTGCAACCTCGGTTTAGAATCAAGCTTGAGGTTTTCACTTCACCCTCTTTGTTCCCTTTCAGTAATTCGGCACAAGGCTGGATGCTACGGGTGCTACCGATTGTAATGGTCTGGCCTAGGTAATACTGCCTCAGCTCACTCATTTTTCTGAAGTTTGGGCATTACCTACCTCTTCCTGCTTACTTGTCTGTACTATTTCCATTTGGTTGGTACTGATGTGTCAAAGGGATAATGCTGAGAAGTGTTGCTCAATGGTTGTAGTTTAGCTTTGCAGCGAAGCCAAAGGACTTGAGAACTGGACTTTCTCTTTCAGCTGTAATACTTAGGTCAATGAGTTCCAAACGACTCTCTTCCGATACTACGAAGGATGCTCACGTAGTCACCAAGGACAAGAAACACAAAAAACCGAAAGTTTTGAAGGAATCAAGCACTGGTTCTCAATATGATATTGTTGCTAAGGTCAGCAAGTGTTTGATGCTTTATTGCCTTGTGATTTTTCAGGCATATTGTGATTTTTCAGGCATGTGTCATGAGGGTTTAGTTATTTGATGTTATTGAATGTTTTAGGAAACTGACCAGAAAGTGCAATCATTTGAAACTCAAAGTTTCAAGGGAGATATAGCAAAAATTGAGTCAATGACTGTTCAAGAACTCAGAACAACCTTGAGGTATCTGACTCAGCATGTGGATTATGAATTTTTTCCTTCTTCTATCAGTGTATAGTTTCCGTATTTACTTGCTGTGGTATACAATTTAGGAGCATTGGAGCTTCTGTCAAGGGCCGTAAACAAGATCTTGTATCTGCTCTGTCGGGATTTATGAAACAACAGCAAAATGGTAAACCAAAAGTAGTGTTTTATATACGATTTTCTTCACTTTGGCTTACTTGTTTAGGTGGTAAAGTGTATCTAGAGGTTTATTGCACACGCAGGTGGAAGCTCTTGTTGTGGAGAAGACACTGCACAACAAAAGGAAGAAGATGCTGTTGATGAGAGCCAAGAACAAATGCTTAGCAGCGTGTCAGAGATTTCTGTAGTTAACCAAAGTAGGAGAACTGTAAAAAAGTCCATAGTAGGGAATAAAAGAACCAAAGTTGTTGCTCAAACAACCGGTGTGGAGGAAAAGTTGTCAGTCCAAACTGGTAAGATTTCACGGATCTTTAATCCTACATAAATGCTTTCCAATGTTTCACTTTCATTATTGAACCTCCTATATTGAATGAGTTTTCATGTGTGTGAGTCTTGTGCTGGCCGTCAATTTGCAAATTGGAAAACCTGCAAGCCAATGATAAACTTAGACAGCTTTTCTTTATAACTGAATTTTGTAGATATAATTCCAGTAGCTGAACCTTGGACAGTTCTTGCCCATAAGAAGCCTCAGAAAGTGTGGATTCCATACAATCCCAGGAAATTAAGGCCTCCACCACTAGATAGAGATTCACGTTCTGTAAAATTGTTGTCATGGAATGTTAATGGATTAAGAGCCTTGTTGAAGTTGGAGGGATTCTCTGCTCTTGAGCTTGCCCAGAGAGAAGATTTTGATATCTTGTGCTTGCAAGAGACCAAGCTGCAGGTAAGATATGCTTATTGCTTAAAATTGTTGGTTGCACATATTTTGCTACTTGTCTAGTTTACTAATTTATTATTGGTACAGGATAAAGATGTTGAGTCCATCAAACAATCTCTCCTAGAAGGATATGAAAGTAGCTCCTGGACATGCAGCCTTACAAAACTAGGTTATTCTGGCACGGCAATTATCTCTCGGGTATGCCTTGCCCTCTTCAAAATTGAGTTTAATTGCATTTTTGGAGCACCTATCTGGTGCTATTTTTTGTTGAGGAAGATTATATAACGCGATGACTCTCAATGTCCCCTGAGTTCTATTCTATATATTGGTTTAAGACAACTAGATAAGAGTAATGGCTGTAACTTGTTCATTCCTATAATTCATCGGAATCCACAATAGGAGTGATGAGTTTACAAATACCTTTAGGTAAATACCCTTTTCTATTATGCTGGTTAAAATGAACGCCTTGCCTTGTCTTTTTTTTTTTTTTTTTGACTGCCTATCTACCTTAAAGAACATGGCAATGCTGAAATGCTTTATGGTGTAAATAATTACTTGAGGCCTCAATGAATAGTTAAAAGTTACCAGTGCGGTTTTTCTGCCCTTTTTCAGTAGTTGTTATTCCAGTTTCCATCCTCTTCACTAATTTTTTTTTAAGGCTTCTTCGCTAAGTTTTGGTTTGCTTATGTTACAGATAAAACCACTTTCAGTTACCTACGGTCTAGGTATACCTGATCATGATAGCGAAGGACGAATAGTAACCGCTGAGTTTGATTCGTTTTATTTAATATGTGCTTATGTTCCCAACTCTGGAGACGGGTTGAAAAGACTGGTAATTTCATTTGTCCGGTGAATATCTTTCTTTGTTCAGATTCTACTCCATATTCTTACATCTCTGGCTGAGACCTAATTTATGTGGTGCAGTCATACAGAACTACACAGTGGGACCCATCGCTTAGCGACTACATGAAAGTAAGTGAGTGTTGTCCTTGGCTAAATTCTCAGAGAGCTAGCAACGGGGAATCATCGGTTTGTTCTTTCATGCACATTGCAGGAGTTGGAGAAGACTAAACCAGTGATTTTAACGGGTGATTTGAATTGTGCTCATCAGGAAATCGACATCTTCAATCCAGCTGTGAGTTATCTCTTCTCATCAGTTGACTTCATCTTGCTGTTCAGCGTATCTTTTCCTAACCCGACAACATTAACATTAAAAAACCACCAGGGAAACAGAAGGAGTGCCGGATTCACCGATGAAGAAAGGCAGTCATTTGGGAGAAACTTCTTGGACAAAGGATTTGTGGATACCTTCAGAAACCAACACCCCAATGCTGTTGGGTACACTTACTGGGGATATAGGCACGGTGGCAGGAAGACAAACAAAGGTGTGTGGTCTTGTCTCGAGAATCGTTAGGAGTAATTTTAAATCCATCTTTCATCTACTATGTGTATGTATCATTGCAGGCTGGCGGCTCGACTACTTCCTGGTCTCGGAATCCTTGGCCGACAAGGTTCACGACTCGTACATTGTCCCTGATGTCATGGGTAGCGATCACTGTCCAATCGGCCTTATACTCCGGCGGTAGTTTGAAATGGACAAGATGGCAAAACAGAGGAAGAACAAGACCAGGTGTGGCAAATGTTTTGAAGGAACTCGTTTGGATAGGTAATATTAATGTAGGAGGGACGAGGGGTGAAGAAGAGACTCATCCACGAATTTTGACTTTCGGTTGAATGGGGATTCTAAATTCTAATCATGCAAAACAGAAACTGTCTTGTGTACTTGTCTTCTCCCCAAAAAAAAAAAAAAAAAAAAACTTGTCTTGTCTTGGAATTGAGGGGTTGGGTCTTGCTCGGAAAGGTTTGTTGTACTCTACAGTGGGTTTAAAAAGACTTCTATAGTGGGCTTAAGTTCAAGTCCTTAAACTCTTTTTTTAAGGAAGATCTTAAAACATTGTGATTAACTGATTTAATTTTAAGTAGTTAGTAGGGGATTATTAGTTCTTAAGGGTATTTAGGGAATCGTACGTATTTTTAAAGCTAAAATAATTAAACCTTCTAATCTCTAAACTCACATCTTATTCCTTCCTCCGAGCTAAACCGTTTCTCTCCTCGGAATGTTTCCGCCAAGCAAAGTTCTCCGCCCGGCGTTTCGGCTCCCGTCACGATTCTCCGCCCCTCGTTTCTGCTTTTGGTACGGTCCTCTACAGCGGCGGCGACCTACTTCTCTAAATCAGTAGTGGCGTCGGTTCCTTTGGCAGCGCTCCCTCGCTCCCGCCGTCGGCCGCAACGAACGTCAGTCTCTTGTCGACACCAACTACCTTGTTTGGGTCGAGACATCTTTCAACAACGTCTTCTTTATTTCGGACGGGCGTAGCCTACCTCCGAATTCGCTCCCGTCCAACGTAGCCTGCCTCCACAGTCGCTCCCTCCACTCCCTTCCGGCGTAGCTTACCTTCGGCGGGCCGATTCGTTTCAGAAGGCCATTTTCTTATAATATGTTGTTTTGGTACGTAGTTTAGGTTTTTCATTTGGTGTGCATGAGTTTGGGGTTTTTCTTTCACCATTATTATTATTATTATTATTATTTTTATTATTTTTAAGGTTGTTATCAATATTTTCTTACGGGCGATGTTTTAAATCAGTGGTGTGATTAACGTGTCCTATTGTTGGCTTTTTGTCATTAATATTATTATTTTCAGCGGTCATTATCAATTCTTTAAACTTGCACTATTATTAATCATTCATATCATGAACGTGTACTATTATTAGTCTGGCTTTATTATTAATGTTTTTTTGCCAATTAATAATATTTTCACCGCCATTATCAACATTTTTTACATGCACTTTTACTACCCTTGTTGAATTAACGTGTACTATTATTAATATATTATCATAGTTAACGTTTATTATTCCATTATTAATATTTCCATCGCATTATCAACAATTTTAGAGTATTCCATGAAGGGAGATTGGACAAGGTGAGGTTAACCGTGATGGCTTTTTGCTGATGAGCCACTTATTCCTGTTCCCATTGATCAAGCTTTGATGGTGCTAAGGTCGCGGACAAGCCAGAGGTACACCCTATGCCGGCCAAGACAAATCCTACGTTTGCAACACGAAACATCTTAGTATCCATTGTGATTCCATCGTGTCCTCTGTCCAAGTTGTTAACAACATCTTGGCCCTCGAAGTTTTCGTCACACGACCTTTCATTCAGATCTACATCGTTGCATATATATACTTATCAACAACATTATAATAAATTACAGTTATGCTCTTAATAATATTCAACCACCTCATCAACAAATATTATCAAACATTATTTTCGAGCACGACACTATGACAATACGTTTTTAAAAGAATAAATTTACATTTTTAATAATTTTCAGCAACCTTGTCAACCCATAATATTACACCTTTACAAAAAGATTAACTTATTCCCATGACTTATTAACATTTTTATATTATGTTATAAATACGTTATCAACCAAATTGAAAAGAGAACTCTAGTACCTATCAACAATATCAACCCATATTATTACACCTTAGTAACCGACCACGCGACTATTATTAATTATATAACGAGATTTCTTCTTTTTCAACCTAAATAATATAATGTTAATAATGATTAATAACAATTTATTAACATTTGTTGGGCAGTTATTAACATTGCGACCTAACATTATTAATGTCTATGTTGTGTATAATGAACACTATACAATCATTATTATTAGCCTTCCATACAAAGTATCATTAATGATATACACAAATATTATTAAAAACTTGTTAATAATAATGGCTAACTTACTTAAAAATAATGATAACTAACTTACAACCACAATATACGCTTAATAATGAAAGAGTGTTGTATGGGCTTAGGGTTTTGCGTGATTGTTTATCTTTATATTATATTGGTCAGTTCGTTTCATGGATGCTTAGGGGTTTTTATAAACGTTTTTCCCGCATGTGTTTAACATTTTAATGCTACATTATTAATCAATATGTGCTCGGTATTGACATTTTTTTCCAGTTATCAACGTTTCGATGTCCATTAGTAATAATTTAGAAATGGTGCCATCGTCGATTTTTTCCATTATTAATAATTTTCATCGCCATTGTCTATGTTTACGTATCCATAATTAATCCATCTTTTGGTCGTAAGGAAACACTCGTTATCAACGTTTCTGTCTCCATTAGTAATATTTCGTCGCCATTATCAACATTTCTTATCTCATTTTTCCAATATTAAGCAATTTGTGGTCGTTGTCAACGTTTCAATTTCTTTACACTGTTTCATTTTGGTATAATAACAATTAAAAATTTTCGTCGCCATCATTAATAATCAACAGTGGTCTATTATTAATAATTTCGTCGCCATTTTCAATCTTTTTACACTGTTTCATTATAATATAATTAACTTGTATTATTAATAACTCATTGGACGTTCTCAACGTTTCTGTGTCCATTAGTAATCAATCTGTGGTCTTTGTCAAGTCCATGGAGTCGGCCGGCCGGCCACGAGGATCGCTTTATCGTCGCGATGCCGGCGAAGCAGCGCAATGGTAACGACTGGCGACGCTAATGAATGGAAGTGGCCGTATGGACAGTGGCTGCGCGGAAAGGAGGCGAGACGAGATGGTTGGGTACGAGACGACGGAAACGGAGGTGAGACAGCGGCGAGTATTCAAATAACGAAAACGAAGGCGAGACAGCGACGATTGCCCTGACGGCGGCGAGTGTCGAAGCGGTTTTAGGGTTGGGAGAAGGACATGGGCTCGAAAATAAATCTCCACCCGCGTTTATTTGATTTTCGGCAGTTTCCGATTAGTAATTATTAATAATTATTTTTTTAACTCTATTCCCGTCTTACCCTTGCACGTTTCTTTTTGGTAGTTGGACAATGATTACTAATGACTCTCTCTCTCTCCTTCTCCTATTGGTTGAAAAGGGTTTAAGATCTTCCTTAAAAAAGAGGCCTTAAGGACCTGATCTAACCCGAGACAGTTCATATTGGTTTTAGTAAAATATTTTGGCAAGTGGGGATCATCAACATTTAATGAGTTTAGGTATATATATACATAACGTATTTGAAGACACTTTTTTTCTTACATCTATATTTAGATAAATAAAATATAACGTTTTAAATAAACTAAAAAATCCTCATATTTAAATACAACCTTTAATGTCAACATCCAAAATTTTATACTTTAATGACTTGATATATACACAAGTTTTTGTCCACCATTCTTGTACCGTTTGAGTCTTATTTCTCGTGTTTTAGGCCGATTTCACGCTAGGTTGTTCTTGTTTGTGATATTTCAGGTCCTAGTACATGAATGAAGGTTTGGGAACGAGTTCGGGGTCGATTGGACGAAGATTGGACGTTTGGAGAGAAGCTGAGGAAGCCACACGTACACGGCTAAAATCCCACACGGTCGTGTGACTTGGCCGTGTGGCACCATTTTGCACAGGCAAGCCACACTAGCCGTGTAGGGGACTCCTTGTGGCCGTGTGGAAAGTCCAGGGAGCTCACACGGCCATCATGGAAATCCACACGACCGTGTGTCCTTGGCCGTGCAGCATGCCTGAAAACCCACTAATCGAAACGCAGCGTTTTGACATCCACACGGTCTGACTGGGAGACCACACGGTCATGTGGCCTGGCCGTGTGGTCGGAGAATTCTGGCTTGTAACCCAATTTCGAGCCAAAAGTGAGAGAATCGACTTTTTGGAGCAAAAACAGAGCCCTAGAGAGAGAAAGTGCGAAGAACACATCCTAGAGGTGATTTTGGAGGTGGGTTTCATCAATCGAGCTTGGAGATCATCATCCCAGAGCAGATTTTCCTCATCTTTATGAGTATGACTACTCTGATTATTGTTTTCCTCTCTCTCTCTCTCTCTATGGAGTAGAACCTTCTCTCACTTGGGTATGAAGAACCCTAGTTCCATGTGTTAGGGATCTTGATTGTAATGACTTGGGATTGTTATACTGTTTGATTTTAATCGATTGATGCATGATTATTTGAGTCAATTAAAGCTTGATCACCTTTTCTTGATTTCTGCTGCAGCCCGAGATAGATAGAATCTGATTAGGTTGTTAGAGCTTCATCAATCAGTAGTGGTAGATTGATTATACGAGAGTTAATCGATTTACTGCTTTGTACTGGAATCCAATTCCAGTAGTGGAGTTCTGTGTTCATAGCCTCAACTTTCTATCCCGGTGAGGACCAGTCGTCTGCCGGGTAGTTGGACTGAAAGGGCTTGGTCAGCTTAACAGATTCCAAGCTACTGTCGGATCTTCCGCAGTTTAATCAACATTTAATCAACCCAGGGTAATTACAACTGAGACCTAACTAAGGAGCTAGGGGGACTCATTCCCGAGTGACTCTTCCTTTGCTTTAGAAAACCGAACCATTTCCTGCTTTCTTACTGCTTTTAGTTAAAATCACAATCACTCAACTTAGTTTGCTAGATAACAGATATACACGGAGTAGGCAGTAGATCTAGACCCCGGGTTGACAATTAGAGCTTGCATGTTACTGCATTTTCAGACTGCGATTACACTTGGTCGCAGTTTGGTGTTGTGTTTTAGCGTGTCATACTTGAATCAAACAAATAGCATAAACATTGCAACATTGCAACATTTCATATTTGAATTCAACAAATAATATCAATACTTGATTTTTGAATTCTAACCGATTTTTTTAACTAGTGACGGCTGCATCGACCAACATGCCACTGACATAACAATCATGCTAAGAAGTTGGAAATCTATTACTAGTGGGAATGTCAATCGACAAGTTGGTACCTGTCATAAAACAGTTGCTTCCAATAACCCGAGTTGTTAGGAGAAGGTTATGCTGGATCTTATACCACACTCTTAGTCTCTTACACACCCCCTCTAACGAAAGCCAACCCATGGGCTTGAAGTTTGCACAAGCCCACCATACCTTGTGCTTTTTAATATAAACTGTTAATATTGGGGGTCGTGGAGATTCGAACACATGACCTTTCGGTTCTAGGCTCTGATACCATGTCAAGAACCAGTTGCTCCCAATAACTCGAGTTTTTGGGAGCAACTGGTTCTTGACAGTACCAACACCTCGGTATTCATATATGCTCATACGGCCGTGAGTCGAAGTAGGTTGATCCATGCATATATGCTTTTTAAAGAAATAATATTTAATATGCTATTTTTTTCATTACAATTTTGAGAAACAAACTGATAAGTTAAGTTAAATTCGAGAACCGAAGGTTTTCATTTACTATAATTTGATTAGGCCTAAAATATAATATAATAAAAGTTAAGTTTTAGTGATTTGCTTAAAATTACATTACTAAGATAAAACGGGTCAAGAATGGGGTGGTTCATGGCTGGTCAGGTCAAAGTGAATATCCATGCTCGTATTGCCCCAGGGTGGGGGTAATCAATGCGGGTAGGCAAGGTTAAGTTGAACCATGCACATGTGGCCTTTGACAAAAACAGAGTGATAAAACGAGTTATTTTGAAATAACACGATATATACATTATTTTAAATAACTCATTTTGAGTTATCTGTAAATAACTTACTGGCCAAATAACTCATTTCACTAAAATTCTAGAAATAACTATTTAATTTAATTGCTTGGGATTTGGGACCACCTTTTAGCGTTCCATTTTCTTCCATAGAAAAAGTAAAAATCACTTCTAAAATCTTAGACAACATAGACACTATTAATGATCACTCTCTTGACTCTTCCCAAAAAAAAAACACAACTCTCTTTTTTTTTTTCACAAGAGAGGAAAGAAGGCGCGGCGCTGCAACTTGCAATTGGCAACTGGCAACGGGAAAACCAGACCAGTGTAATTAAGACACGAAAAGTAAGGACCATTCATTTGGGAAGAAAGGAAAAAACCAAAAAGGAATAATAGAAGAACCTGTCGCCATTTGCATTGTTGTTAATGTTAAGTTGAGTTGGCTAATCTAATTTTTTTGACAAAATTTCCCAGAATATTCCTTCTTTTTCCTTTCCCTCCCAGAAAAAAACTGGAGAGACCTAGACAAGGCAGAAAAGTTAGACCTGGAGAAAGGAAGCACAGAATCAGAAGCCGCCTTCCTCTGCAAGGAAACCCCAGAAAGCTCTCTTCTTTCTTCCTCTCTTTCCTCTCTCTAAACGAATTCCTTGCTTTCAAACCTCTCTTTCTTTCCTTCCTTTCCAAAGATCCCATCTTTACTTCCTGGGCATATCATAGATTTGGCCCCTCTTTCGTTCAGATTTCAGACAAAGGGGTCTACGGTCTCGTTTTTTCGGTGAAGAAAAGAGGGGAAAATCAGTTCAACAACAATTCTTCTTCCAGTCAAAGTTTCGTTTCTTACCCTGGTTCAGAAAAGAGCTCTTTTTTCTCTACTAATCTCTCTGTTTTCGTGCTCCTTCAAATGACACAATGTCCAGCGAATTCCATCAACTACAACCAAACCCTCTGCGCTTGCCCACCGGGTTACATCCTCGACCCGGCAACCCGGCGAAGCTGCTCCTTGTTCAATGCCAGCTCAGACATTCACACGGTTTCCGGCGTCGATTACAATACCCTCTCTTTCCCAGCCACCATCTTCGATTTTGATTCGATTCGCAGGTTCACTCAGTCCCAAGCTGTCTTCTTGGAGGCTACCGCTGTTATGGTGCTTTCTTGGCTCGTGTTTTGCTTCTGTTTGAGGGTTTTCAAGCTAGGAGATGGCAGGAATGTCTGGTTCAAGATTAGGTGGTGGATTAGTCGCTTGGATATTTGCTTTGCCACCAGACATTGGTTGGTAAGTTCGACCTTTCTATTTCGGCCTCCTTTTGTGGCAAATTCCCTATGCTTAATTTAACTATGGAGTTTTTTGTGTTTAGCTCTTCAGCTTTTAGAGGTGAGAAAGCAAACATTGTTGTCAATTGGGTATTTCTTTGAGAGTAGGGAATTGAAATGTGATGCTAGTTCCATCAAACAGCTTCAATTAATGCACGAATTTCGTGTTCTGTTTTCGGCTCGCAGGATGATCAAAAGCCGGTAATGAAGAGGAAAACTGAACTAGGGGGAACTTTCTCTATAGCCAGTTGGATTCTGTTCATTGGGCTGTTCGCTGCGTAAGTTTACATAGTATCATTCTCATTCCAGTTTGAGAAACAACAAACAAAGTTAGTGAATTGGCATAGAGATTAGTGACTTAGAGTTAGTGAATTGGCATAGTGAGTTAGTGACTTAGCTTTCCAGTTTTCCCTCAGGTTGCTGTACCAAATAATATCAAAGAGAACGATCGAAGTCCATAACATAAGAGCAATGAATGCACCTGATCTGGCTGCTTTCCTCAACGACATGGACTTCAACATAACCACTGTATCGAGCATGAGTTGTTCAAACTTACGTGGCCTTGGAAACTTGGTCACTGGGAGGTCTGGATTCGTGGACCAGAGAGTTGTCCCTCTTCGGAACTTTGTGAACTACACTTGCATGAACACAACTATGGGCCCCACTCTGTCTTTCAAGTGTACTAACTGCCAGATCATCACAGATTCACTGTTCATCTCGTGGCAATTTGTTGATGTTCCTGGTAGTCCTGCAGCTGCTGTAGCTTTCCAGTTCAACCTCACTGCAAATTACCATGGTGATAAGAAGCATGTGAGTGCAGTCGGTGGTACTGTGAAGAATGGAAGCATTTTGAATAGTCAACCAGTTACATTCAGAGGGACAGATAGAAATATAATCAGATTCAATCTTTTTCCTCGGATTTACCATAATCTACGTGATCTGAAGCTCATCCAACCTCTATTTCATGACTTCCTTCCTGGTTCTTTTTACACCAACCCGACTCAGCTCCAGAACTCCCTTCAAACTTCTGTTGATGGCTTAATCAACACCACATTGTATATCAACTACCTCTCGTCTTACGTTGTTGAGATTGAAAATCAGAATATAATGGGTCCTGGTAAGTAAGTTAACGACATTACATTGAGTTTGCTGCATTGTACGATGTAGTTCTTTGTAATTATGTTAACCTAGAGCTGCCTGGAAATGAATTTTTCTTGTTCATGGTGCAGTGAGCTTCCTTGCCGATCTAGGTGGTCTATATTGCATCAGCATTGGCATATTTTTCTACCTGATGGTGCAAGTACGTTTTTCCTTCCTCCGAGATCCTTCATTTCTATTGGTCTTGTTGTTACAATTCCACTAATCCCCCTTGTTATTGTAATTTAGATAAGTCAACTTAGAAAACAAGAATTTGCTATTTTTTTGGATGATAACACATTCTTCTTTCTGATAGCCATGTAGGCCTCAATGGCCCAGCTTAAAGGTGCTTAATGATATTCACTCATGTTCACATGAAAAACAGATAACACGATATTGATTTAACATTTGATCTCGATGAATTCTGTTCGAACCAAAGCCTCTAGGAATTGATGAATAGGCTTTATGCATGGGGACAAAGGAAGTCAATAACACTTGCATTTTCTAATACCCTACAAAGAGAAAAGAAGAAGATTATCATCATAAGCTATTTATACCGTTGTTCCTTTTTGTTTCTTATTTCACAGTGCGAGTACAGAATTAAGAAATTGCGGAATGAAGACAGAACTATGCGGAACATCAGAAAAAGACTAAAAGCTCAGGCACGCTGGGAGAAAGTAAGTTACAGCCCAGTCGAAGCGTTTGTTCCATTAAGTGCTCTTACATTTTCTTCTTACCAATCTGCTGCTTATCGTGCGCCTAGTTGAGGAAATACGTGATCTACACATGGGGATGCAGCGCGCTGGATGATGACTTGAGAAACAATAATAATGGCGAATCGAGTTGCAGTTTCATGCTTCCATCAGTTCATCGGAATGGGTCCTTGCATGGAGGGGGATCATCGAAGAAGAGGTCAAAGAGATTGGATTCCATCAACTTCAACAGGAATGCTGCTTTACCCAGTGAAAAGGTCAATCCTTCTCTAATTCTCTGTGGATCCATTTCTCTCCAAGAAAAATTGTTTAAACCTCCTGCTAGCATATTCTAACTGTCATTGTTTTTTTGATGAATAACTTTGACTGTTCTTTTATACGCAGAATACAATTCGTGAGCATAACCCTACACAGGGAGTGACATCCCTAGCTGGACATGGGTCATCAACCTCTAAAGAGAGAGTAAAGGATAATGCAAAGAAAAGCCATGTATGTACCTTTCTTGTCATCGTTGCTTGTACCACAGACCATGTGCATGCATTATTTGCCACCATACGCTGGGTATTCACGGTTTTCGTAGATTTTGATATCTCACATGGATGAAACTGAAACGAGTCTTCAATTGGTTGGCACCAGTTGGTGCCTACAGTTGACCTCAATTGCAGGATCATAATAATCAATTTCACAATCATTCACTTCTTTTAATACGTTTTACTTGCGCACTTCCAGTTCTACTATTTGCTTTAGTTGGCAACCTCTGCTATAGAACTCTTTTTGGTTTAGCATTAGTCTCAATGAGAACTGATGCACCTAGGAGCTCAATAATTTTTGTTATATTCTTAGTTTCAGTGTACATAGATGCTTCACTCATGAACTTTTGTGACTATACTTCTTCTCGACTTTCAGAAGGATCAGAACCCTCGCTCCAAAACTGGCGAGAAACAAGCAGCAGCCGGAGTGTCAAAAGGAGACTCCAAGCAACCTCAACTGCATTCCACTAGAGATGTGAATGATTTCATTCCCCCGCCTCCTCCTTTAGGTAAGTCCAAAGCTTTAATGGCACGAGGTAGATGGTTATATCTTTTATGACTGCTGTAAACTGTTGAGCTTTCGTGGTGTTCTCAGAACTCAAGGTTGGATCTGAAGTAGAGATGACAGAGATTTGGAAGAACTTTGAGCAGCTTCATGAGTACAATGTCATGTTGAGAGAGAAGTTTCTGGCCACAGAATCTTTACTCCATAGTTTAGCATCCAAATCGCCGACTCCCTCTCTAGAGAAACAGACCTAGTGCGAGTGTAAAAACACCACATGGGCATGTTAAAAGATAAGAGCTAATGTTCATTAATTCTCCTTCAGAGAGTGTACAGCATCATCGTTTCAGATTTCCAAGGGAAATCAACCCTTGCTTGTTGTGATCGAGCTCGAAAGCTTTTGGTCTTGATGATGGTCGCCTAAGCAACTACTTAAGGCTGTGGGGAGGCAGAGAGAGCTATATGTTGTCTGTGCCAAAGCTCAAGGATTGATTAACGGTGTGAAGCGTTTGGGGACTAACTGGTGGGATGACTGTGGAGTTTGGTAATCTGTACATTTTGCAGAACCGTTGGTTGGTTTATTCTTCTTTTTGTATATTTGTTGACGACGGCGGTGCACATATCAATTTTGACCTTTTTTTTCTCAGTTTGTACCGTTTCATGTCTCTACTTCTCCAGTTCCAACATTTTTTTTTTTTGCATTTAACGGAGAATGGTTATTGCGCAAAATTAGAAAATACCGTGGAATCTGAGAAATTCTTCAGTGCTCTGGGAGTACCACGTTGGACTGCTGAGATGGTGCTCCACTGTTCCGGCCAATTAAACTGACATGTGACTTTGATATAATTAATAATTTGTAATTTGTATCCCAATATATAATGAACATTACACGATATAATAGCAAATAAGAATAGTTCAAAAATATTCTTTATCCTCCAACTATAGAAGTAGATTGTTATTGTGTAGTGTGGTTAAGAAATATGGTGATTATTCAATAGTATAAGAAACATTTTGTTAAATGAAAATATGGTGTGAGTCATTGAGATGACCCACAATCCACCCATCACTAGGGATGACAATTTCAACCTGATCTGTTTTACGCGACCTATTTGACCTGTTTAGGAGTGGGTTGATATCAAATCATGAATTTACCCACCCATAAACGAATTGATGTCAAAACTATTTTACTAATTTGCGAACAACTTATCATATATGTTAGTTGACAATTCTGCCAGCTAGTCACTAAATGGATGGATCAATTTGAGATCAACGCTAGTGCAGCCTCCTGTCTCTTCTTTCTCCCCCTTTTAGGCAAACCCATAAAAGGTTATTATAACTGAAATTGTAATCATTCAAATGAATATGTCATCATATAGGCATATAGCAGCAACCACTGCATTAGGAAGTAATATTTGTACCCGAACCATCAAAACAACCAAGTTCATAAGTAAATCAGTCACCAGAAGTTTCCTGGCAATACAGTAAGTATCACATTCTGCATTTTCTTTGCTGCAGCAGCACCGTCTGCAGCATGACCGAGTGGAAATCTACCCTGTTCTGTGATCGAGAAAGCGTGAATGTAGAACATAAGTGTATGTGAATAATGTGGAGTCCCAATCTTTCAACGGGTACATAATCTGTGCCAAAAGATCGCCAAATCATACTTTAGGGCTTCAAAGCTATCACGGACTTTTCAGCCATTTCCTTTGAAACATCTGGGCAGCAATCCTGTACCGGGAGACCTTCAAAACCCGCACAACGACCCATATATTGCAACTCCAAGCTCCCAACAGGGATGAACTCGAAAAACAAAACTCTTGCAAGCTGACTGCAGCTTCTTCAACTCAAGTAGCTGGTAACATAGCAACTGTTCTGCCCTGCAAGTGCTGGTGAATGGTGATATAAAAGCAGCAGAGTTCCTTCTTAATCTGCCACGTCCCTGACTAGCGACTTTCCAGATGCAGACAACCGAAAAATTCATCAGTTACAATGACCCTGATTTCCCTCTCCGTGTCCGGCTTGTTTCTCTTCACCTTGTTATCTTGTGGTAGGAAGACTAGCTTTAGTTGGTTGAAGACCCAATGCATTTGCAAACATCCTCCTTGCAGCACGTGACTGTTCCTCCTTTGAAAACTCCTTCGTTCTGTTCCTGCTCATTTCATTCTGACTGCTACTCTTCCGAGACAATCCTTTAGCGACCGAGGAACTGCTTTCCTGAGAATCTTCCACGGAAGTAGATTTGCTTTCTTCTACTTCCTTATTTTCCTCATTCCAATCTATGTCTCTGCCAGGTGTTATCTTTTGTCCCAATGCATGGGCTATCATTCGGCGGGCTACTGCAGGGACATTCCTAGGCCTCTGCTCAACAGGTTCTCTTACCTCCTCTCCATCTACTGAAAAAATACGTAGCCGAGCAGCCAGATATGCAGCTTCTCTCTCCTTGATTGTACTGAGGGATGGTGTTTTTGCCTGTACCACTAAACCAAAAGAACTCTAACATCAGATCTGGATTGAAGGTTCAAAATAAATGCATAAACTTGGTAAAAGCGTAGCTCATTGAATGGATTGAGGCATTGAGCAACAACTGAAGTATCCAGCCTTTTTTCCCCGAAACAATGAAGTATCCAACCTCTGTGAAAATATAGAGGGAAACTATTTTACCTGGGGTGGCATCATCTCTTCTCAAAACCTGGTCAGGAACTGAGATAGACTGAGGCTCATCACACTGGAACAAGATGTCACTAACTAGAATGGCAGGTCTGCAATACAAAAAGATGGGGGCATCCAATGAGAAGTCTTTAACACTAAGGAAACGCAGAACCTTTCTGGGTAATGAATTTGACTCATATGTTAATACTAAACACTTGTCCCCTCCATAGCAAACCCAGAGATTTAAAATTGATATCAGTAGACCAGTATAAATGCAATTTGTTTTTAAATGTTTCAACTTTCTTTCTATCGACTCAATAACAACGAAAGAGAGATGTACGCTTAGGCCAAGTCACACCCAGCCAAGAGTTTCCAACCTCAACCATGCTATTTACTATCACGGTTTAGATCAATCACCCAAAGATAAATCACTAATCTGTTCTCGATATCATCTTCTTGATTATGAAGGAACTTCAAACAAGACCAAGAACTGGGTTAATTATAACACCAGGCATAGAAAATTCAGCCATGGACATCAGTAGAAATGAATCTCCCAGAAAAATAACACGATGGCTTTCTACTTTCTACTTACATTGAAGTCTCCGGGCACCTCTCCAAAATCAAGTGCCGACTCTCTCCTTCCCCAATAGATACATGCGCAAATCTAGCAAGCAACAAGAAAAGGGAAAAGAACATAAAACCCAGTTGCTAACTCAAATTATTGTAATAGATCGCGAGTAACCAATGAAAGGTAACCAACTGTGTAACCTATCCAGCTTCTCTGGATCATTGATCAGCATGAAACCATATGTAGGGGAAGAAGAGGAAGAAGAAGTAACAGTACCCAAATATATCTGCGAGCCGATGCAAGAGTAGACGATTGTATGGATCCATCGGCTCCAACTCCAGAACGCCATCAGAGCTGGGAACCAGAATATATGAAGGCAAGAAATGAGAACACTGATCCGTAGGCACTTCCCAAAACCCACAATTCCATAGAGAGTAAGTAGTACGTACGTACCTGGTGTCGGTCTGGAGGAAATTAACGAAGGTATCTTCCATGGCGAGCACCAGATGTTTTGAACGAAGGTTGTCCCTTACTAGAAACGCCAGTTCTTCGACCTGCGCATTCAATTTCGGCGAAATTCGAATGTAAAGCAGTAAAGGGGAGAGTGCGGCATAGGGAAGAAGAACGGACGGCGCAAATTTTATTACCATGGCGAACTCTGTGACGCTCATAGCTTCAGACGGTAGAGTAAACCGCAAATCCGAATCTCACGCAAAATCGCAGAGAGACGGGAGGAATTCCAGGCGGCTGCCCTCCAGCCAACATTATCCTTTTTCTAACCAACTTTGTGGTCGGTCTATAGTCCAATTGAGTATTAATAGTTTTTTATGTTAATTCATGTTAAAAAAATTTATATTTATGAAGGATAAGAAAACTTTGTATCCGAAAATTCAGCAGTAATATATTTTATATTGGTTGAAACTTTGGGTAATTTTTATTCTCAATTAAATATTTTTTTCACATATGTTATAAAAATATAATGATTTTTTTAATAATGTATTATAATGAAATTGTTAATATCACTTACCTAACTTTAGCTATCGTTTCACACTTTTGTTTCTTCCATTTATTTATGAAAAAATTAATTTTATTAGATTAGCTCTATGTATATTTTTTTCTATTGATTTAGAATTTGGTATGAGAGTCACCATTTAAGATATGATTATTAATATTTTAGTACATAAAAGTGACAAAGAAGTTAAAACATTTAAGGGCCACAAATGAAGAAGTTAAAATAAGCAAGTAAGTTTGAATTAACTAAAAAATAAGTGAAGAGTTTTCCCCTTTCTCTCCCTTCTCGTATATTGGTATATGATAACAGAGACTATCGTGATATAGATCCCACGAATATCATGTTGTATTAGCTATCCATGCAATTTTGAATGAGTTAGGTACCACATTGGCATCTACATCGTCAATCATTCGATTACTCATTTAATTTACCTTGAAAATGCTCTAGAGGAACAAACCAAAAATAGAATTATAAGTTGTCACTAATTTATTGAAACAATATTTTTAGCAAACTAAACCGGATATAGTAGAGAACTACATATATCACTTGCAAAATGGGAATTGTGCTCTTTTTAGCGAATAAAAACATTATTGAATAGTGAAAGTAGCAGACTTCCCTGCAACTCAGTTCATTCTATCTTGTAGAGTCCTCATTTGTGAACTGGAATGATGCATCTATCAAAATAGTAGTTGGTAAGAAAATAATTATGTCAGAATCAAAGCCTTAATTAGGGATTCAATTAGACCAAAATTCAAGCTAAGGAAACTAACAAATATCATTGCAAACAGTTATGACATAAATTATGAGTCGGAATGAATGATTGTTATATCTCAACTTTGAAATGATATTGTTGAAATAGTTGAGGTGAGATTGTTATGTCTCAACATTTAGCTTATGTGACATACACATTATAGTACCAAATAATATATTTTAAAATGTATCAAATTCATCAATATATATATATATATGGCAAAGGCTAACGTACACCTGGCGTACGTCATATATCTATGTTCACACTTATTTAAATAATTATTATTCTTAAATTAATTTTATAATTAATTTATTGTTAATCATAATTACAACTAACTCCATTAATTTATTTTTTTATTCACTATACACCCATAACATTTCGTTTCATTCATTATGTTTAAATCATCATCTAAATATCATTATATGAATTATAGTGCCTGCTTTCATCAATTTAGATTTAGAATGCCCAAACTATTTTAAGTCCAATTGAGGTATCGTTTGTGTTCTTTTCAAGTCTATTTGCCTGGTTTCCAATGGAGGCGCCGTCGTGTTGTGTTGAGGAGGGATTTCATGAAGAGAGCCCTCGTCTTGAAGACCTGCTGTCGTTGGGTGAGATCTGGAAACAACAATTTCACTCGTGTTACTGTCTGGTCGAGGAGGGAGAGGAAGCCAACTGTGTTCGATCCTCTGAGTTTCTCATTCCGGCGCAATCTCGATCGCCTGTTTCGAACCCGGCATTTTGAGGAGGGATTTCGTGGATTTCGTTCTTCTAAGGTGAGGGAGATGAAGCGCCTGTTTTTGGTTCTCTGGGTTTTGTCACTCCAGCGCAGTCCCGATCCCCTATTTCGATCCCGACGACTTGAGGAGGGATTGTGTAGATCCCAATCGTATGCGGTGATGAAGATGAAGCACAAGTTTCGGTCCTCTGGGTTTTTCCTTCCGCTAATCTTTGATTTCCCCCTTCTCGTTTCTCGTACTGTTACCATGGAGATTTCCGCCATGGATTTTGCGGATGTTTCAATCGAAGCAAGTTTCGTGCTTGATAGGTTGGAAGGTTCGAATTTTGGTTTCTATGTATTGTTGGTCAAGGGGAAAGAGAGGTTGATGGGTTCCGCATTACTTTTCTCCTGCTAGAAATAGAATCCGAATTTCTATCCCTCTATTGCCTTGAGCTTGTTACTTTGTAATCTGGATTAATTGGGAATTGAGGTTCTGTGTTATGCGAAAATTGTGTTATTGTTGGTTTCGTTGGATTCTCTATTTGCTAATTTGTCTGCAATTAGCCCAAGGATAAGAGATGAATGAGACAAAACGGCAGATGATGTTGCTTTGTGAATTGTAATCGCAGGAGTAATGGAGTTGTAAATAATCTTAAAGTTTGGCTGTTCTAAATTGATGGTTTGGAGAAAAGGGCACTATGATTTATTTAATTGCTAGTTAAATGCTTGATTTGAGTTTAATGTACGATAGAAACTGATATGGGGCTAAAATGTATACAACAAATAATTAATGGGTTTGATTGTAATTTATAATTAATAATTAAATTGATTATAATTACATCAAAATAATTAATAATTAAGTTATAGGTGTGAATACAGGTGTATAGTGTACGCCTGGTGTATGCTAGCCTGAACCATATATATATATATATATATATTATACATATATTCACCCCATTATATCTATTTAACACTCACAACTTAACAACCCCTAAATCACTAACAGTTACGCTTTCACCTTATTTTAAGTTTGCATGAGCACAATTTGGTCCATCGGCAATACTACTATACAATAGACAATGCCCAATTTGGGTTCTATTTTTGCACGGCCCAAATCAGAGATGATTAAATGTGAGAAAATGTTGTGGAATGCGAATAGTGTGAAGCTTAGTTAGTAAATACTTCGTTTAATACACGTATATGTACCCGTACGTACTTTATCCGTTTAAAACTTCTGTATTCGTATTATTGTCAAGCCGTTTCTTTTTTGACCGTTCATTTGATGGCTCCCGTATTAAACACGTTTAAAACCCGTATAACACGTTTAATATCCATATTTAATGAATCAAATTACGAACTTTACCATTATTTATATATTTATTTATTTTTAAAATAATAAATTTTATATATTTATGACAATTAACGTACTACTAAACGTAACATTAGCATAGAAACGAAGTAAAATACCCGTACGTATTTTATACGTAACTTTCCTGTACCGTATTTTACTAACTATGGTGTGAAGCAATGAGAGATCAGCTCCCGCTGATGTGGCAGATTGTTGTTTATATAAAATAACCATAATATACTAGTTTTTTACCCGGCCAGTTGGCCGGTGAAGTTCATTTTATTATTTATATTAGTTAACTTATCTACATATTTGAACTTTTTGAATCTTGTATACATTTTCTGCTCTCGCTTCATAAGTGAATATGTGATGTGCCTATATCGAAAATTCTTAATATTTAATAGTTAGCACACTCGCTTGTGATGTTTTTATTCTCTGATCATTAATCATGTCGTAAAGGTTTATTACGTCCCATTTAGGATCGTATATATCAAATTTTTTACCAAGACGCTCAAAATTATTATCTTATACAACATATATCAATTCATGATTCTCGAGTTTGTACGAACTCCCAGCCAATTAATCAGAGTTCAAATTATTGGAGAAAGATACTTGATTACTGGATAAATTATGTTTATCCCAATTGAAATTTGACACACATCGTATCCCTTATAATTATTAAATTCTCTAAACCTCACTCATTTTTATCGTTGATGTTCATGAAGTCTTTGTATAGCATCTTATGACAATTTTTCTACCAAGATACAAATTATTATTATCTTACAATATATATCAATTGCTAATATTTTAAGTTTGGACTAACCCTCAACTCATGCCTTTTGTCTAGATGTTCGTTTAGAGTTTGAATCCAAGGCATCCATATCCACTATCGAAGATTCTCATCTTAATATGTTCCTTCAATGTATAAATTTTCAACTATTTGAATGTCCAATCGCTAAAATTTCTTTACATTTGGTGTTTGTTCTAAAACAAAATTTTCATTACTTATATTATTAATTGGTAAAGTGTGTATACGACAGACATATATTTCAGGTGCATTCAAAATGATGTATTCCTTGAATAATTAACTTTTAATTTTTTAACAAAATATTTTGTAGCAAAATTTAAAAGTTCATACAAACATTGTGGCTTTTCACATGTATTTGAATGATTGGATGTATTGTAGACACATCTATTATTAATATCTAAACATATATATACATAGAGTTTATTTTACTTTCAACACTAATTAATACCTTTGAACTCAGCTCCTTGGGTGGAATATGATGTCAATTTCTTTTGTTATTGCCAAAATTTGGTATGAATCACAGGCTCACAACTAAATAGACTTGTTACAATTTTCATACTAAACTCATATTTACAATATTCTTCTTTTGACCCAATAGCTCGGTTTACACTATTGTAACTATAAATGTTTTTTTGTTATATATGCGAAGTAAAACATTAATGTTTATTTATTACCTTAATCGTCGAATTTAGATTATTCTTAGCTTGCAATGTGATGTTTAATGTGATGTTTAACGTAGCTTGCTCAATCAACATGACCTAGAGAAAATATTAGTAATGCGAACTTAGGATACATTATAAATAGTTAAATACTGCACATGCGATTTATATGTTTTCACTTGATGAGAATGAATAAGAAGCTTTTTTAATAAATAACTATTATTTCTTTGTCAAGTTTCTTTCATATCTTATCGACAAAATATTATTATTTTTGTATGTTTGTTTAAATTATTCATTAAAATGTAAAATTATTATTAAGTTTTAGTAAAACATGAGCAGAAATTTACATAGTAATCTTTAACCATATATTTTTTTTTGTTTAAAAAGTGTGATATATATGTCACTCTACGAACATTAGTACACTGTTGCGTATATCGATATAATGCAAAAACAAAATCTTATATTGTCACGTCGGTCGGCTTGCCACCGGTTGAACAATTCAACCGACACCGGTCATGAAATCGACATGACACCATTGGTATGACCGGTATGATCGTTTTACAAATTTCTAAGTAAAATACATAGTTTTAGTGAATTTAAGTATGAATACATGTAATTTTATTTGAAATATCATATTTTATTCAAATATCAATATGAATTGTACGTAAATTCTCTTCAAATATGGTTTATATATGATTAAATTCATTTGATATTTCTACATATTTTATTAACCGACATGAACCGACACAAATCGGTTGTACCATAGGTAAAACCATTTAACTTGCTAAACCGGTTTGATAACCTTTCTGTCCATATATTATTTATAGATATAATGCAAAAACAAAAGCAAAATAATTATTGGATAAAAGAGAATTAATATTAAATGAAGAGAGAGGGACAACTCCATAAATAGATCAATAACTATTTTTTTGGTAAAAAAATTGTCCACCTTGGCAACTTGAGATCTCTCCAAGTGCTTATGTGGCAAAAAATTAATTTTGAATTGCCATAATATTATGTATAGATAGATAGATAGATAGATAGATAGATAGATAGATAGATAGATAGATAGATTTACGAAGGATTGAAAAACGTTGTATCCAAAAAATCTAGATCAACCGACTCTCTTTGAAGAATTCGAAACATCATATATATATATACTAGCCTATTACCCGGCCCGTTGGCCGGATTACTGTATGTTACCCACTTGTGGAATAGGAGAGAAAGCAAGTGAGAGTGAAGGGATTGGGATTCCACTTGATTAGAACCGACCCACTAATTCGATTCTTCCCGACCCGCCCCAACCTAAAGGGTCAGAAAGAGTCAATAAGAAAATACGAACGGAGAGGATTAGTCATATTCATATATCTTGACTCTTCAGAAGTGGGTCAAACAGGATCAAGGTTGGGTGAGGGAAATTTTTAGCGCTAAGCATAGTTCTGGGTTGAATAACTTTACTTAGGCCTAGAAATTGGTGTTGATGCAGACTGCAGTTTTTATTATACCATCATCAATCATCATTGAATTAGTCCTGGGCATCCCTCCCCGTTGTCGGTATGAATTCTAATGATGGCTTCGTTCCTTGCACCAGCCTTATCAGCGAGTTGTCATCTCGAGCATGATTTGCCTATGTACAAATGATACAATTAGAGTATGAAACTGAATTCAAAGAAAAGGAAAAGAGATTTCTATCACATGCCAATAAATACACACATAATAGTTGAAGCTAAGTGAAAGTCATTACTCGCACATCAATTCTCAAAAATTACAAACTAAACAATGGCTAGAATGGCACTGAAACTACCAAGAATCATGGACGAAACAACTTGTCAAATTAAATAATCCTTATACTGAAACTACCTTCTAACTTGAAATAAGACATGATCACAGTTCATAGCTCTCTTCTCACTATGAATTGATTGCAGCTCGTCCTTATCACTGCCTCCCAAGCTCAATTCAAACAGAATAGAGACCGTTATGTAAGATAACCATATCCTTACTGATCATAATTCCTTTCTTCACTCCATTTTTGTCAGAGAAAAGAGTTACCCCCCTCTCCTGCATTTCCCTTTCCCTCTCTCTTCTCCCTCTTCTTCACAAACCGATCCCTAAACCAGCAACAACAACACAAAAATAGCCTTCGCCTCTGCCATCTCCATCTACTGAACGCGTTGGTGGCAAGACAGGACTGCAGAAGCAAAATTTTCTAAATTCAAACTAAATTTTTTGAAGGAGACTCAACCACGAAAAAATAGTAAAGCAACAATGCTAATAGTTCAGATGGTTGGTTTTGATGCTATACATTGCTTTTGTTCTGGTCTCTAGTATATCAACTGCAATAGAGATGTTTCCTCCAATCATCTTTAGTGCACGATTTAGAAGCAAGTCCTCCTGTTTGTGTCAAACGGAAACATTCATGGGTTCTTAACTCCCCTGTTAGTGTAAAAGCAGCAGCAGCAACAAAGAAGTTTGACAACACAGCAAGCACCCAGGCAAAATGATACAATGCAGTAGGTGATATGTGGCTCAAAGGTTTTGAGTTACTAAAGTTCATGTTAAAAATAAACATGAATTAAAATGGATTATTCTATTAAGCAAACATCCCCTCCAATCATACAAAGATCAGATATCCAATTCACAAACAATTAAGCCATAAAAAATCATCACACATCCACCACCTTTGATTGCCTAAATTTGGTTTTTCGCAAAAGTTATGGACTCTTAAGGGAAACGTTAATGGGTAGTCTGTTTCATAACTCTAGAGAGCACAGTAAGCAGCCACCAGCCAGACACAGTGCGGTAGGCGAATATGATTCTCAATTCACAATTTCTCACCACCGGAAGTAAGAACATACCATAATAAGCGTAGCGTTCATGGGTGGTCTGTTTCATAGCACTACTACACAATTTGTTAAAAAGGAAAGAAAGGTATTTAGCACCACGGCGGAACAACTTTTACAGGCCAACAACGACAACATGCTGCAACCACCAGAACTGGTATCACAACTCATAGGGAAAATCAAAAGATTTACTCTCAAATTAAGCAGTTACTACATCGAGCAATTGTCAAGCACATACACCATCACAAAAGTCACGGAACCTGATTCACAAAGCATTAAAACATTTGAGGACATTTCTGCAAAGGTACAACTTATATGTCTTTTTTCCAAGCCATTTCCATCAAAATGCTAATAAATTTGCAATGCATAAAACAAACGGGCCAAAACTTGAAATTCAGCCTGTTTGACGACCCATGCCAAATTCTAATTATTCTTTACTTTGAAACTTTCTATTTGAAAATAAAAAATAGTGAAAGAAAAGAGACGACTACAATTCGCCATTTGCACATCACTTATTCGGGAATAAAACCATAGAAATTCAAAAGGAACTGAAAATGTTTAGGATCGTTATAATGTTTAAAATAACCAAATAGATCTTTATGCTTAATTTTTTACTAAAAAATACCAAACGATTCCCTGTAAAATACACTATAATTTGATCATTATGATATCAAATAATTATAAAATATATATTTGAAATGATAAAAATTGGACTAATTGTGTTGTTCGAGGTTGAACCATTGAATAACTTTAAAATACATTATATTTTAGCCACTAAGATATAAAATAATAGCATAATATATATTATGTCAGAGAAATTAGCTTATTTTAGAATGACAAACCAATGATGTTCATTTATTTTACTTGATGGCCAAATCCCATGTAGGTCAGGCACATTCAACTCTTTTATTTTATGGTTGGCGGTTAGCCCATTAGATACCATGCATTAGTTTATTGTTAAATGTTTTATTTTTAACAATAAAAAGGAGTATTATTTTTACCTTTTCATATATATTTGTCACCACGGAGAAATAAAAGGGCTTAAGGAAAAAAAATTGACACTCCTGGACCTGTTTAAATTCACATGTGTACGGTAAGTTGGCCCGTTCCACAGAGGAGAGAAAAAAAATTGACACTCCCTATTCTACCCTTCCTACAAACGCTCATGGAGCAGGGAATTTGAAATGGGGAAAGGGTTTTTTTCCTCCCTGCTATTATATGTTTTTAATTTAAAAAGATACAACAAATGTGCTTAGTGTGATTGGTCATTATCCTTGCTTTTCTTTAAAATGGTCATGGTTCGAATCCCAGTACGTGTCTTTTTAATGAATAAAAAAAGTAATTGTGAAGACCAAAATGTCATTCCTACTTTCACTCTCGTTGCAGAAATCCCGTTGCCAGCCATCAGAACGAGTTCTTGGGAGAACATCCCTCTAAAACCCTATAAATTGGCTGCCAGAACATTGAATAGAGGCAAGTTTGGCAAAATGGCACGAAATGAGAACTAAAGCTTGAAAAACTGAACAAAATAATCAAGAATGTGGTCTCGTTTTCCCCTTTGTGTTTCATTGAATAGAGGCAAGTTTGGCAAAATGGCACGAAATGAGAACTAAAGCTTGAAAAACTGAACAAAATAATCAAGAATGTGGTCTCGTTTTCCCCTTTGTGTTTCTTCCATTACACAAGAATCAACCAACGATCATCCTTTTGGGACATCAAATTCAACACCGAGTCGAGCAAGGTCTTTCTGCAGCAAATCTGCATTCTTGAAGTGTACACCTTTCATGCCGACTTCAACTGCTGCATCTACATTCCGGATGCTGCAGGTAAACATTGTCCAATACAATTCAGAACAAGCTCAATTTTAAGAAAAGCCGTATCTGTCTGGTGCACTGTAGCTTCAGGTAGCACCAATTGTTTCAGGTTCCTTGAGTCGACATTATGAGAGAAAGGGAACCATTAGGGGGGAAGGGAGCACATTATAACTTAATTACCGGTCATCGATAAAAATACAGTGACCCGGATCAACTTGAAGGCGTCTCACAACTTCTAAGTAGAGATCAGGATCAGGTTTCCTCTTCCCTGAAAAACAACAACAAAATTGGACCAAGCTTTATCTTCTTCTTCTGTCCCTTCTTTACAGTAGTAAAAACATTAGTTTCCGTAAGCTGAATTCTATTCCTTTAACAAGTTGTACGACGATTTCAGTAGTCACTATTCTGCTTTACATTCTGTTATTAGCACTTCAATAGAAACAGCAAACTGATGTTATACCAATGGTGCAGGAACAGAAGGTCCACGACAGGTATGCTGAGATATCTAACTTCTCCTCAATCATCTCGTACCTAACAAGTCGGGTTCACGAACTTGAAACATTAGCCAGATGATAAATCAAACAAAGAAGTGAAATAAGGTAGCTAGGCTGCAAAAATTGTTTTTACCATACAGGATAATTTGTGAGAGCATGCATCTCGTAGTTTCTCCGCTTTAGAGTGTCAAGCAACTCTTTCATACCGTCTAGGTACTGATATCCTTTCTTCATACAGCTTTTTAAGCCTGCAAATTTAGGAACTCAAAACTCAGAAATGCATTAGAGACAACACACAGATCCTTTCAGAAAGGAGCTCAAGTCGAACAACCAATATGACTAAGTGAATGTGTTCAGCAAAGCTGATCTCAGTTACAAAAGAACTCGGTTCCCACGAGAATCAAACAATACCTTATGGGTGAAAACTGATTCAAGACTACAATTTTACAAGGAAGACACAATTATGTTCCATATAACATATCCACAATGCATAGTTAATCTACCTTCCATATCAAAGGGCCTTCCGTCTTTGAAGAACTTGGAGTAAAGCTCCATCTGAAATGAAGTAACAAAACTTCTGTCTTACTTCTTCTCAAGGCAAACAGCCACACGATTTCGATTACCATTTCAAAAAACCCAGAAAGATACTCTCTTGCTGGCAGCAATTATGTGCAAACCAATATTGGAACTCGATACCAATCCTGGCCTTCTTAAACGTTAAACCTACCTCATCAATCATCCCCTTTTCGAACTCCATCCATGCAGTTGGGTGCTTGCATTCTAGCAGTTCCTGCATAGACATTCTGGGGAAAACAAACTTTAAGTTTTGATCGTCTTCTGCAAAAAGACGCTATTCTAGCGAGAGTATGCTCAGTCAATTCCACTACTGGCACACTCATACCCACCCATCCGCTCATCAGTACCGTCTACCCATTTTTAAGATTCGAGTAAAAAATCAGTCCACTCGGAGAAATTAAACAATCCATTGGGAGTCAAGAACATATTGGAGTTGGGAATCAAAGCCGCGAGAGGAGGAGGAGAAGGTTACCCGAAGAAGGAAGGGATGTCCCCGTAGAAAGGATCGCGAACGACAGTGTCCATGATGTCGAAGAGCAGGACTGGGAGCTTCCGATTGCTGTTAGCCGCGTTCATGGAAGCGGAGGCGGTGGCCACCGGGAAATTGGGGGCCGATTTGGTGGTTTTGGCGGCAGAGGCTTTGCAAGAGAAAGACACGGCGGCCGGCACTCTCAGCAACAGCGCCATTGGTTTTTATATCCAAAAAATGCCAATATATCGGGAGTTTCTATATACAACTTTTTTCCTTCTTCTTTACTTGGCATATTTTCTTCTCGCAATTTTCAAATATATTAAGGAGAAAAACATGTAACGGCAAGATCCATGTCGTTTTAACGATTCCTTGTTTCCTTCCCTTCCCACGACCTCTCCTATAGAAGGGTTGATTTCATGCCGAGAACCTGTCACTCGAATATTGAAATATTGGGAGATGTTTATTAATAAATGGTAGACTAATAGCATTACAATCAAGGTTGTCAAACCAGTTTATGCTCATTGTGTCGGTTTAACAAGTAGAATGGGTCTACTGGTGGTACAACCGGTTTGTGCCGATTCTTGCAGGGCCGTCCCATGATAATCGGAGGCCCTGTTCGACAATTTAAAATGTGGCCCCAAAATATTTTTTCATAAATTTTTTAAAAATAAAATTATTAAATAATAATAAAAATGACAACTTCAGAAAATGATTGAAAAATAAAAATATTATCTACGCTTAGATATTAACTTTTTCAAATTTTCGAGTTGACATAATTAGAATTGGGTGTGTACAATTCATATTTAGGCATTGGATATTTTTGGGAAGTTGAGAATTTTCGAAAAAGAGAAGAAGATTAAATACCTAACTGTTAGTTTTGATTCAACTAACAAGCCATAGCTTAGTGGTTGCGTCTTATTTTGATGAAAAAGATAGGTCCACGGTTCGATTCTCCTCCTGCGCATTTGTACTTTACGTTTTTGTGTGTGGGCCTCGCCAGCACAAGTGGTTCGAGTGTGGGCCTCGCCATCCCAACGGGGCCTCCAGACTAAGAGTTTATGTGGGGGTTTTTGCGAGCCCAAGGTAAGCATCTGAGGCCCAAATAAAATTGAGTCCCTGTGCTGTGGGTCTTACCAGCACAGGGCCTGGGCCGGGCCTGGATTCTTGTCGGTCAATAAAATATGTAGAGATGTCAAAAACTATTAATGTCAAATGAATTTAATCATAAATAAACCATATTTGAAAACAATTTACGTGCAATTCATATTGATATTTAAATAAAATTACATGTACACATATTTAAATTCACTGAAATAACGTCATTTTACTTACAAAATCATGAATCGATCATGCCGATCATATCGGAGGTGTCATGTCGATTTCATGACCGGCATCGGTTGAACCGGTGGCATGCCGGCCGACGTGAAAACCATGATTACAACACTTGAATTACCTAAAATATTTCATTTGTGTTAAATTTTGTTCAATATTCTATTCATATCTTCAACTGCTGATTCATTAGGATATCTTCAACTGCCAATTCATTAGGATTGATCTTGTTGACCATTAGTATTTAACAAGAAATCTAGTCAGCGTTGATGTGGTCATTAGTCTTCCTTAAGCGATTGTTTGGAAGCAAAATCTCTGTGCAGTCTCTTCTTCTCAATTGCACTGACGGAGCTCATCCTCTACTCTCGCTTTGGAGACACAAAAATCAAGAACAGAGGCACAAAATTATGCACAAGAATCCAGGGAGCTAGACCGGGCAAGAGTCTCCTGCTATGGAGCCACCAAAAAACAAGTACAGCTGCACAAAAATATCCCCAAAGCCATCCAGGGAGCTAGATTAGGTTGGGAAGAAGAAACAGTTGAGTAGTATTCTCGGATGGATAGTAGTAGTCTTCTCCGGCGGCTTACAGGAATCGAGTGACGCGTTGTGGGAAACACATTAATTGCAGTATTTTGTTAATTCGTATTATTGTCGGTTTTTATGATTCGGAGTATTATTTGGGATATTCGGGAATAAATAGGGAGTTGATTGCTATGTTTAATTAGTTGGGGTAGTAGATAGAGATTAGGGAATTATATATTCTGTGCTGGAGGCATTATTTTCATTAAGGAAGAATTAATCAAAAAAACCTAATCTCCTCTCACTCTCTTTTCCCTCCTCCCTAGCGCCGAACCCTTCCCTCTCTTCTTCCCAAAAGCTGCGCAGCAGCAGCCCATTCTTTTCCCTCTAATTCTCAATTTCCCACAAATCCCCAACCCTAGCTAGATCAATCCCTAATTGATCTAGCTAATTTCCCTAATCCCAATCACGTTAGAAACCTTGTTTCTAACATCTGGTATCAGAGCAAGGTTCGAGAGTGAGTTCTTGAGCTCTTGAACCAGGGCAAACAACAATGGTGTCGACGAAATCCATGAAGGCAGCGGAGAAGGCAGCTCAGGCAGCCGGGAGGAACACCGAGGCGGGCGATGTTGATCTCGACGGGGTGGTGATGGAGGACGTCATCGAGCTGGAGGCGATGAAACTGGTGGTGCACGAGCACTCTGATGCGCTGGCTCGGCTCGAAGAAGGCCTAGCAAGGGTGCAGGCTGACGCGAAGGCGGATGCTGATGATCTGCGACAGAGGCTGGAGGACCTGATGCGTGCGATTGCCTCGCTGCAGGCAAAGGGGGACGGATCAGGTGGAGCGCCAATTCCGGCTGAGTCGGCGATCGAAGGAGGCGGCGCGACGGGGGCTGCGGAGACGGCGGCGACCGCGGCTGGCGGGGCGGCTGTCGGCGGGACCACGGCGGCGCAGGTGGGCGCGGCTCTCGCGAAGGTCGGCGGCGGGGCGAGCGCGGCAAGGGCGGCGGCGGCTCAGGCCGAAGGAAGCAGGGCGGCGGACACCGGGCCGGGCCGAGCTGATCGAACTGCAGTAGGGTTGGGCTCGGGTCTGTTACCGACGCCTACGACCCAAGAGATTGCGGCACGGAAGGGAAAGGCTAAGATGTCCGGGTATGACACGGACGGGCTGCCTATGGGTAATGGGCCGGGACCGTTGGGCCACTACACGAAGGTCCATAACGGGCTGGGATGGTTGGATCTGGAAGATGGGCCCGAGCATGACAAACTGAGCCTGGCGGATCAGCAGGCCCAGTGGGCTGAACCGGAGTTGGACCTGAGGGGGTCGGGTGGGCCGGTGACCAGATGGGGCAGGGAGGGTCGGCTCCAAGGGGGCGGACCGTAGCGGACTGGGCAAGAGCGGGCCGAGCCGAAATCGGTCGAGCCGGGATCCGGCGGTCCGACGAGGATCAGACCGAGTTGAGCCGAACCGGACCGGGTCGGACCGGAACGGGTCGACCGGAGGTGGGTCGAACCGGACATCGACTGAGCCCTACTTCTCAGCCGATCAGGAGGGTGGACAGCAGGGGACCAGCAGGCTGGGAGGGACCTTACGAGGCACCTCCCGCTCCAGGAGGGTACCCGAACCAACAAGGGAGCTACCCGGGTGATCATGGGCACGGGAACCCAAGCCAGATGCAGGGCGCTCCCTTTGGGCAGCCGTGGAGGACCCCAGAAAATGACAGGTATGGGTCCCACTATATGAACTATGAAGGAATGGATGGAGTAATTTTTCGAGCTAAGCCTCCTACCATTGAGTTTCCAAAATTCAATGGGCAAGAGGATGCAGGCCTTTGGTTGTATGCAGTTGAGAGGTGGTTTAAGAACCACTCAGTTCCGGAGGAGAGGAAGGCCTATCTAGCATCGTTCTATTTGGAGGGAGATGCGCTCCAGTGGTGGGAGTGGATGGAGAGATCCTACGCAGCAGCCGCCGCAACTTTGATTACTTGGCCCATATTTCAGGAGGAGCTCCGTTATCAGTTTGGAAAGTCTGATGGGTGGGCTCCTGAGCAGTTGGCAAAGCTGAAGCAGACCGTCACGGTGGCTGAATACCGTGCGGAGTTCTTCAAGTTGGGGAACCAGTGTAAAGGTGTCTCGGAGGACACCTTGGTGGGGCTGTGCATGGCGGGTCTCAAGCCCGAGATAGCAGCAGCCGTCAGAGTGTTCGAGCCCGATTCCTTGAAAACTGCTTTCCGTCTTGCAGGTCATAAGGAGGAAGAACTGGCTAGCTGGAGCAGCACCATTGGCCGCTTCTCGAAGTTAAGTGGAGGAGGAGGAGGCAGCGGGAGCAGTGGCAGCACAGGAGGCGCGCCAGGAGGGGCTCGACTGGGGCTAACATGAGCGGTGGAGGTCCCGCTCCAGTGGCCAGGCTGGGACCGCGGGCCATACCGAAAGGGTTCGTGCGACTGTCGCCGGCGGAGATTGAGCAGAAGAGGCGGGAAGGCAAGTGCTTCAACTGTGATGGCCGGTTCACCATCGGGCATCAGTGCCCGAAGCCGGATTTGATGATGTTAGTCGGGCGTTGGGAAGATGAAGCAGAAGATGAGGTCGAGGACGGCGGAAATGGCGAGGAGGAGGCCTAGTGAGCTAGAGGAACAACCTTGGGGACAAGGTTGTTTTTCGAAGGAAGCGGGGATGTGGGAAACACATTAATTGCAGTATTTTGTTAATTCGTATTATTGTCGGTTTTTATGATTCGGAGTATTATTTGGGATATTCGGGAATAAATAGGGAGTTGATTGCTATGTTTAACTAGCAGAGGGCCCGGCCTCTTGGCCGGAAGACCTTTATATACTTGTATATATAATTATGCTCGACTTTAACGAACATATTACATATGTGATCGGTAAGCTGACCATCAATAACTTATAAAAGTACTCAAAATATTTAATTAGTAAAGTTTATAGAATGTTATTGAAAACATGTCGAACAACATATATATGTACCTAATATATTGATGCATTTTAACTTAACTATCTTCGTAAAGAAGGTCTTATCTATGCAAAATGTTTAGAAATAATAGCATGATTGTTTCTTTCCATGACATATGCATAATTATTGTGTTGACCCATCACAAATCATTAGTAAGTAACTATAACAATGTCGAACTTGATAACATCAAATCTCTATGGCGACATCACCATTAAATGAAAACCTTTATTATGTGCCTTTAAAATTCCTCTCAATTCTATATAATTATGCTCGAATATTTATGAAAACTATGACAATGTCCAAATTGACCTTCATAACCTAGTACTCTCTCGTCTTCATCTTTCCCTCTGACCCCAAAATTTTAAAGTTCCCAACACTGAAAATTCTTTTAGTCCTCATATCTAACCCTAACAATTCATATCAACGGTAAAATTAACCATCCTTTTCCAATCAACTTCTTTTAGCCGATCCCAAGTATATAATTTGGATGATTCACATACCTGTAAAGAATAAGATTTTTTATAGGCATATTAAATTGCCATATTTCGACTGCTCATTCAGATATACAATGTCATCGAGATCTATTACCATCTTCAATAGACAATGTTGATGAGTAATAAAAAAAATACAATGTAATTTGTAACAGAGAATTTGTTTATATTTCCATCTTTACTCTCTAGATCTCAATTACCTAGACGCCATTGTTTGTCTTTCCATCTGTAACAGAGAATTTGTTTGTCATTCCATCTTTACTCTCCGTCATTCGGATGCACGTTGTTTATTGTTTTATTATTTATCAACGTTGTCTGGGATTTTTGGCTTCAAAAGTTTATACTTTTTGTGAGATGAGTTCGACGGGTAAAGAGGAGTCTGATCTAGGAGAAGAAGCTTGATGTCAACCTTCTTAGTGATAATGGAGTAAAGAGAAATTGAGAAAGGGGCATGGATTTAGGCTGTCGATAGGAAGATTGGTTGGAGAAGGAGGTTGAATTTGTGAGAAATTTTAGGGACAGGGTAGAGATGGGTAGTGATTTGGCCTAGAGTTACACCCACCTGAATTAACCCGGTCATAACCCACTCAACACATGTTTGGGTGCGTGTGTGTCATTTTCTTTGTGGCCCATAAAATTTGGGTGGTGACGGATGGGTCATTAGCCTGTCAAAGCACTTGATATATCATGTTACTAATATATATTATATGATAATGTACATAAATTCTAATCCCAAAATATTAATCATTATTGAAATGATAATTAGTTATTATAAATTTGCTTAGCTTATTACATAAATTATAAAATAATTATTTAAAAAATACAATACATATTCTTAACGATTATTGATTTACTCGCACCAAAAAATTATTAATAATTTTCTTGAATTTTTAATTTTTTATATTCGATAAGCTTATTATAAATTTTTATGGCTCATAGTTATCTTTTTATAAATATTTTATGACCAACCAAATCGTCAAACCCACCAACCATCCAACATTAGCAATACGACCCACTCACTTAACTACAAATGAATAGGTTGAGTGATGTTTTCATCACACACCAAAAGAATGAGTTAATGGATTTTGGAGGAAAACTCCTCATCAGAAGTACACAACCATCGCTCATAGATATGGTAATGGGTTATCTGACCCAATTGTCAAGAGAGTATTGGTGTCAAATCCAAATGGATCTATATGCACTTTTAATGGGTTTTGGTTGGGTTTGAATTGTGTTCTATACTTCTATTTGGCTCAATTCATTTGGGTTAAATCCAAATGGATCTGCCTGAGTCTAGATGATTGTATAAAAAAAATTATATCTGTCGTTTTATTAACTACTTTCAACCCAATTATATACCTTAATGTAGGTGTTTCTACTGTTCTATTTGTCTCATAACAAAAAAAAATTGTATTATAATCAAGTATCCATTTTCTTTTGAACTTCCAATATTAATGATAATTTGGACCAAAACTACAAAATTGAATATTAATATACTCCAAAAATAGAATTACACAAACATGATTTAGGCTCTAATGAATTGAGTTTGAGTGACAGCAGAATATTAAGTAGTTTTTGTAATAATAATTGATATTTTTATGTGGAAGTCATAATAATTGATTACGGATGGGAGATTGGAGACTAAATTGAAAAAAAAAAAAACAACTACAATTTAAAGATTGGCAAAACAAATTGTTTGAGTTAGTGAGTGGCACAACAAAAAGAAGAAACAAACGGAAAAGCAAAAACAATAACAAAAAGTCAAAAACAATAAAATAGAACGCAACGTTTTGGGCTAAAACTGATAAGGGTGTTTTGACAAAACTGTCCCTCCGAAAATTAATCCCGTGGCTCCATTTTTGAAATGCAGCAAAAGCCACCCATGAAAATGTATTATATATAGTGTAGATTAGTTGGGGTAGTAGATAGAGATTAGGGAATTATATATTCTGTACTGGAGGCATTATTTTCATTAAGGAAGAATTAATCAAAAAAACCTAATCTCCTCTCACTCTCTTTTCCCTCCTCCCTAGCGCCGAACCCTTCCCTCTCTTCTTCCCAAAAGCTGCGCAGCAGCCCATTCTTTTCCCTCTAATTCTCAATTTCCCACAAATCCCCAACCCTAGCTAGATCAATCCCTAATTGATCTAGCTAATTTCCCTAATCCCAATCACGTTAGAAACCTTGTTTCTAACACGCGTGAAGAATTCACGCGTCGTAGATCTCTCGAAGTTTTCTACGATGAACTAAGGAAATGTGATAAAGCTACAACTATTTTTTACTAAGTTACAGGACTTCTTATTCATAATAAAAACGCATAGGGGCGATGTACAAATTTATAGCACTAATCGAACAAACATTTTCCTCCAACCTAGACAAGACACAATTAATAATACTAATCCTAAACATAAACCAATAAGAATATCCAAAAATAAGCAAATATCCCAAAAATTAATAAAAAGACCTAATAATACTAATACTAATAATTAGCCACGTGGGCTAAGGATGCTTTAATGCATCAATCCACCTCCTTAACTATTATATTGAGGAAAAACAATAAGCTTGCAAACCATATAAAAAGATCAATCTGAATGGACAGAATGAGGTGATCTTTTTTTTTTCGAGCATAAAATTTAAATCAGAACTAATATATTCGGAGAAAAAAGTATAATGGAAACCCTAATTAAAATTGAGAGGAGAACTCATTTGTGAAATAGGATAAGAAAGATATAAAACCCCTAGAGTTGAGGCTTGGGTTCGGAGTGCATGAAGATTGGCAACCCTCCTAAATTGTTTAGTGTTTCCTGCTGGAATTGAAGGGAGAGAGGGCGCCGGAGGTGTCACTGGCAGCCCAGCCAAATGCCTTTTGTGGGTGCTCCATCGCCGGCGGTTTTGTCGTTCCTGTAGTCGATTGTGGGCGCCT